TTCGATCTCTGCAACGTCCCGGCTTCATTCCAAAGTTATATCAATAATTCACTGTTTGACTATCTCGATATATTCTACACAACTTACCTGGATGATATCCTAATCTTCAGTGACAGCAAAAAAGAGCATACAAAGCACGTTCTCAAGGTTTTACGCCGCTTACAGGACCGTGATTTACAAATTAACATTGATAAATGCGACTTTGATACTCAAAAAGTCAAGTATTTAGGCCTTGTTATAACTACAGAAGGCATTCGCATGGATCTTGCTAAGATAGCTATTATTCACGAATGACAGACTCTTTCATTAATCAAAGATATTTTTTTTTCGTCAATTTTGCAAACTTTTATTGCCGCTTTATTCGAGCTTTTTCACACCGTACAAGACCTCTTACTGACCTTACTAAAAACAGTAAGATCTATGAGACCAAGTCAGAGACACACCGCGTCTGCTACCCGCCGTTTATCTGGACATCGGAATGCGACAAGGCGTTTAAGAACTTAAAAAAAGCCTTTCAAATAGCCTTTGTACTCGCACATTTTGATCCCGACCTTGAGACATGAGTCAAAACTGATTCTTCCGATTATGTAACTGCTGGAGTAATGTCGTAGATGCATAATGACATGCTACATTCTATAACCTTTTTCTCAAAGAAATTGTCTCCTGCAGAGACCAATTATATAATCTATGATAAGAAGCTTCTTGCAATTATTCGATTCTTTAAAACTTGGAGACCGGAGCTGACTAATACATCTTTTGAAAATCCTGTTAAGATTTACACAAATCATCAGAATCTGCAGCATTTTATGACTACAAAACAATTGAATCACAGACAGGCTCGATGGACCGAATTCTTTTCTAAATTTAACTTTAAGATTATGTATCGGTCCAGAAAGTAAGAAAAGAAATCTGATCTTTTGACACGGTGTTTTCAGGATCTACCGCAGAGGGCGGATGATGCCCGCGAAAAAGAACATTTTCAAACCCTGCTCCTGCCCCAATACCTTGACGAAGCAGTTCAAAAAGACCTCCTTGCAGTCACTCGTAACGCGCGCAATGTCTCTATTCCAATCAACGATTCCAATAGCGCCGCATCAACGACTCTTAACAATCCCCCAGAGATTCTTTCCACCCCCAAGGATTTTGAGCTCTCTTTAAAAACGTCCGACCAGTTGAACAATCAACCCGATGATCAGCTAGCTGAAGATTCCGTCGAACCATCCGCCTCACAATTCTTCATAGTTCTTTTTAAACAGCCTAATGAAGTGTCCCTGGAGACCTTTATCGAAAAAGTCTACAAGAATGATAAAATAGTACAGGCAATTATGAGAGCTAAAGATAAAAACAAACGAAAACTCTCTTCGATTATGCTTGAATAAGAGATTCAACTCTCTATAACCGATCTTATTGTCCGAAATCATCGTGTGTAAATCGGCAAATGATTATATATTTCTAATCATCAATCATTTCGCCATCAGATTCTCCAGACTCTGCACCGTGATCGGTTATCAGACCATTCAAAACCCAAAAACATGTATCGAGCGATTATTCGCTATTATTACTGATTTCATTTGAAAAAAAATATTCATCAGTATATTGACTTCTGTATCACATGCAAACGCGCAAAGACCCGCACAGTGTAAACACAAAGACTGTTTCGTTCTCTTTCAATATCACAGTGCAAATGACTTGACCTTTTTATGGACTTGGCTAAAAATCTACTGCCTTGCAGTCGTTGCGGACAGAAATTTCACAATATTTTTGTCGTAATCAACCGATTGACTAAAGCTAAAATATTTGAACCGTTAATCACAAAAAAAATAAATAAACTTGTAGAGATTATGCATCAACGCATCTTCTCTGAACACGGCTTCTTGCGTTTGATTATGTCTGACCGCGGCAGCGTCTTTACAAGTCATTTTTGAAAGCGCTATTGCGCGCAGTATGAGATTAAAAGCAAAATGTCGACTGCATATCATTCCGAAACCGATGACCAGTCTGAAGCGACTGTAAAGGACTTTAAGAATTATCTCCGCGTCTATATCAACTTCACACAGAACGACTGGATCAATTTTCTTCCAGATGTGCAGCTCACGGCTAATGATCACATCTTTGAGACAATTGGCATGATCCCTTTCTTTGCAAATAATGGCTTTCATCCCCGTACCGGGGCCGAGCCACCTGGGTCTCTGCCACGTGCCACGCATCCCGAAATAGAGACAACTGATAAACTGATTCGTCGCACTGAAAATATTCGAAAATTTCTTCGCAATGAGATTATTTGAGCTCAGAAATCCTACGCCCGGCATGCCGATGTCCACCGCCAATTCCATCCAGTCTACCGACTAGATGACCGTGTCTATGTGAATGCTCGCGACTTTCGTTTACAACGTGAAAGCCAGTCTCTCGCACCAAAAGCGCTCGATCCGTGGCCGATTATTCGGAATATTGACAACAAAACATATGAACTGACTCTATCCGACTATATGTTGTCAGCTGGGATCACATCTGTGTTCTATTTTTCTTTATTACGCCTTGCCCCTTCGACCGACGCGGCTTACTCAGGTCAGTATGAGGATCCTCAGAAACCTGTTGTGATCATGGACACGGACATCAATGAAAAACACCAAGAATGGGTCATTCATGAAGTTGTTGATTGCCGGAAGACACGGCAGAATACGCAATATAAAGCTTTGTTTGAAAATAACTAAAAAGACTAGAACTCGAACCCGCCATGGCAATCATGACATGATTTTAAACACTCTGTCGATCTTATTTTGGATTATCACGCTCGTCATCCTGATAAGCCGCTGCCGCCGCCATATTTCCTTGATCCTTCTGTCTCGACGGCCTCCTCAATTGACTAGTTTTCTTGTTCTGTTTTGGACATTTTTTATTGTTATTTGCTTATATTTGCGCTCGAGGGACCTCACGCCTCCGTTTAGGGGGAGTAGTGTCAGGAACCTTCCGGCTTGTTCCCAGGAACTTACCGGTAGGATCCCTCCGTATGGAACTTCCCGCCAGGAATCTCCCGATTCCTGGCAATCATGTTGGTAGTAGGCAGTATCATAAATAGGGGCTTCTGCCCACACCCAGCTGCTGGAACCCATGCAGCTTATTCTTTGCTAATACATACCTACGTTCAATGGTTTATGTTCCTTACACAACATGACTGCCAGGAATCGGGAGATTCCTGGCGGGAAGTTCCATACGAAGGGATCCTACCGGCAAGTTCCTGGGAACAAGCCGGAAGGTTCCTGACATTATTTAAAAAAAATTTACATTTAAATTATAAAAATTCTGCAAACCCTACATGATTTGAATATAAAGATATATTGTTAATTCATTAATTAAAAAAATGATCATAAAAACAAGAATATATATAAAACGAAAAAATAAATATTATTTGTTGTAAAAAAATAAAAAAAAATAAAAAAACAGATCACACATTGAATTCAAATATAGAATTCAAAAACAAATAACAATAAAAACAAAAAATTATAATATCATTTTTTTATCGTCAAAAAAAAATATAAATATAACATAAAAAGATTCAATTAAACAATCAAAACATTATAACAAATAATCAATAAAAAATCAACACATCGTCAAAACAAAAAATAAAAGATTTAATGAAATGAAACGACAAAATATTTGAAAATAATTAAAAAAAATCATCATTATCACCATCACAATAAAATGAATTTGTTAAAATAAAGCAACAAAATTATCCGTAAACAATTAACAATCAACAATCAATAAGAATGCAAGAAGCTTACGAAATTTACTGACTTAGACAAGATATGTATATAATACCAGCTGGAATACATTTTGACGCCACGAACAACCAGGTCGAAGGCTATGAGTTCCATACGTTTCGAGGAGCGGATTATCCTACAGTAGGACAGAAAATAATATTCAACCTATAATGGCCTAATATCTAGACGAATTGGAAGGATGATGGATTATTCGTCAAAAGTGAGGTGGAATCCTGGAGATGCTTTGTCATCCTCATCATTTCCCTTGGCATTTCTGCCCATCATCGCTTCTCTCCCTTGCAACCAACGCCAGATTCGTCGCACTTTTCATCGACCAATTCTATTCAATGCTAAACGACTGATCGAACCCGATGCCACTAACTCCTGGAATACTACGAGCTTGCTCGTCTCCTAAGAGCTCCCCCAACGCCAGATGCCGTACCTGTAGAAGATGTCGCGCTAGAAAAGTGAGTCTCTTCCCTCTCACAGTTATGAACCAGAGATCAACCGATTAGACAGGTGAAATGTGATGGCCGATTACCAAAGTGTGGGGCATGCACCTCGAAGCAATTTGATTGTGACTACCCGCAAGATGCAAGAACCAAAATTGCGCGGTCGAAAAGGCCGTCGGATGTGGAAGATCTCCAAAGGCAGCTACGCGCATTGCAAGAGAAAGTGTCAGGCCACACTGCTCAAACGGCTTCGGCCGATAATAATAATGATCAGTCGAACGAAGTGTTCATCTCCAATGGAGCTCCTATTTTAACGACAGACTTGGAACCAGCATCACTAAAAGATCCAGATCACACGACGATACTCCATCAAGAGCAACTACAACAGAGCGTGCTTACATTGCAAGATGCCGGCAATGCTGGAACGATTGATCATGATCATAGAAACCAACAAAATGAACAGCCCGGCTTCCTTACTGTGCCGACCGAGGAAGAAAAAGCTGCATTTTACGGAGCCACTAGTCTTCATCATGATCCTTTGAAAGAAAAGCCTATACACCTGAAGCCTTTCTCAGAAGAACAAAAGCAATTTCTGACGGACATCTCCCGCGATCGACTCATGGCATATGCCGCAAAAAAGCGGCAAGAGGAGATCGTGCTCTACAACTCTCCCAGCATCTTAAGAAACGTTGACTTCGATGGAATCTCGCCTGAGATGGCAATGCATCTATTGGATTTACATTGGAACAGACAACACTTGTCTTACCTTCAAACCTATCGACCCGCGATCATGGACAGCCTTTTTAACGGCGGGCCGTATGTCAACAAGCTACTCTTGAACGCCATATATTTCTCGATCTTTCCATACAGCGACAGAGATTCTTTACGCGCGGACCCTGAACATCCACAGTCCTTGGGGATGAAATTCTATAATCGGTTCAAAAGCCTGGTTGTTGACTACATCGATCAGCCAAGTATTGCAACAGCCGTGGCCTTCCTTACATGTGGATCTAGCCTAGTACCACATGGAAAGCAAAGCGCTGCCTGGGTGTTCTGTGGTATCGGGTATAGAATGATCATGGACCTTGGGTACCATTTGGAAGATCCCTATCCTGATACCGAATCTGGGGTCAGATTGGCAGCGATTGAGATTGAACTCCGCAGAAGGCTTTACTGGGGAGCCTTTGTCACGGACAAATTCCAGTCACTCTTTCAAGGCCGACCGCCCATGCTACACTCTTCTTTCTCTCGGATCTCGCACGAGTATCTAGACACGTATGAGGAATTGGAACTTTGGAGTCCGTACAGGGATCCGCTTGTCCAGAACCCTGACACCAGCGCTCCAGGATACATGCCTCGGCCATCATATGCACTGACCACTTTTGAAGCTTTACGAAAATTGTGTGAAATAACATGCCAGATTATTGATGGCTTCTATTCTATCAACAGCCCTGGGATGTCCCGAGAAAGCCTCCTACAAGCAAGAAATGGAGTAAGGGACCAGCTCCGTGACTGGAAGGATAGCCTTCCTCAACACCTTCAGTTCGAACCATCGATCGACCCGACTCCTCCACCACATCAAATCACGCCACAGTAAGTGACATACAAGTCAGCCATGTCCGTTCTCTAATTTCCTTTGAATCTAGCACAACATACTGGGCTCTAATAATCCTTGTGGAACAAGCATTCCTGAAACCAGACCACTTCCAATTCAAACTTGCGCCAGCCTCCGAGCTCGAGTCAAAGAAAGTGTGTATTGAAGCTGCTCTCAAGATATGGGGCCTTGTACAAGCCTATAAGAACGCTTTTACTCTCCGACGGGCCCAATACGGCATTTCGTACGCTACCTACTGCGCCGTTCTCGTCCTTCTACACCACACGGACCAGAGCTCTGGTGAATATGCGGATTGTATTCGTTTCTTCTGGTCCGCGCTGCTTGAGTACCAACGTGGCTGTAGCTTCGGTCTGAAGAAGCCGTTAAAAATCCTACGATCTCTAATACACCGCCTCAATGGGATGACCTCAGGAGGGTCGGATCAAAGTGATGCGGGTATCACAGCTGCTCTTGACCTAAATTGTATGACATATGATTCCCTGAATGTGTGCAGACAGCTACTAATTTCAAATCTACAGATACGGGACCTGACTTTCAGTCAATGCTAGAGCCGCTCGCTAGAGCAGAAGCAGATGCCTGGGTCAATTCATGGTTGAATACTGCCCCCGAAGAGGGTTGCTTGGCGAATGAGACTATCTTCGGTCTTTTCATGACGGAGTAATCGTCAATGGACAGGGATTCGGAAGAATAAAAATTCATTGGATGAATCTGGGTCGCGCCCCAACTCCTTTGCCTGTCCCGGATATGCGGGCATGCATGTCCGACCGACTATCTCCGAGCTCCGGGTCTATAACCGCGATGTCCTTCACAATGGACAAAATCCATCAGATGAATGGGCTCGTCGGATTTTCGCATATGCATCCATTTCTGGCCTCTTGGACAAAAGCAGAGTAGGCACCATTTACCGGTATAGTCTCCAAAACTCAGTACTCTGAGTCCCCCAAGGCCAACGATAGATCCCGGGAGTGCCTCTACGCGCCCCTGTCATGGCGTCCCTGATTTTCCGCAGCGCATAAGCCAAAATACTGCCTCTGCTCTTGCTATCAGTCGTAAACTCTATCATTACTCCGGTCGCATCAGGGTGGTATTCGTCTCCCTCGTAAATGCTCACGTTTTGGTCGTAATAGAGTGGTCTGTACGCCGCTTGGATCTCGTCTTTCTCTTCCAGACCCCACCTGGCTGGGAGTCGAACAAGGACATAGACTCTTCTTTGGTGTGGAGTGTAAGGTCTTTGTCGCGGTGAAGGAGGAGGAGCCCGAGGCCAGTTTGACTCAGGGTCCGGCCGCCTCCTCACTCTACGTCTGTCGCGCATGATGCAGCAATCTTGGAAATGGCTTAGAATTGCTATTGTACTGTCCAAAGATATTGAATAGACCTGGTGAGTCGGGGCAGAAGACATGGTTGGTAGGGTTTAAACAAAGACTTTATAACTATGAATGGGACATTATGGGTTGGAAGTTGTCTCTAGGTCTTGAAGGGAATTCCCTCAGTCTTGTTATAAGGGGTATTTCACATTAGCAGTATGTTACTATTTGGAAGCCCTCAATTCTGGATTACTCCAGAAACTGTTGCCTTGTGAGTACGAAAATACAAGTTGGTTTGTTTGTCGGTATGTCTAGTGTTCAATTTCTACTGAGGGCTAATTGATAGAAGGATTAACTGCATTGACCTTTACTGAGTAGAGCCGCTGGTTACCTAATTAGAACCTTTTTCTTGAATCTTATTTCTTGTGTTTTCTTTTCCTAATGCAGATGAATTTGACACGCTTTGGCAGGTGTTTTCGGTAGTCTTCCGGTTTCCGAATGTTCGGAACTATATGTCCGTAGTAACAACCAAGGCAGCAACACTCTTAGTATGCAGGATTTTCACCTCCAAGTTACACTGTTTGCCAAGTGAACATGAACTAAATTCTTAATCGTCCCTTGAGGTGACTTAAAAGTTGGTCTGTCTAGCCCTGTGCGCACCAAACAACAGGTAAATGCCTGAGAATGAGGGCGACGCCATGGCGGATCAAAAACACCCACGAGATTGGTCGACAGCGCGAAAAACGATTACAACCATCATCATATGCGCTATTGGATTCACCACGACCGTTGGCGCCTCTATATACTCTCCTGGTCATGAGCAAGTACAAACAGAGTTCAACGTATCCACCACCGTATCCTTACTGCCATTATCCGCGTACTCTTTAGGCCTTGCATTTGGTCCGATGATCTCCTCGCCACTGTCGGAAGCCTTCGGTCGCCGATTAGTGTATCTGATTACACTTCCACTATTCGATATCTTCATGGTGGGAGTAGGCTTGTCGAAAAATATTGTTTCGCTCATCATCTGTCGATTTTTCGCGGGCTTGTTCGCTGCTCCTGGGGTCTCGGTTGCGGCGGCCACAATTGCGGACTATACAGCCCCTTCGGAACGAGCTATACCACTCTGCACATACTACTCAATTCCATTCACTGGCAGCGCAGTTGGTCCGTTGATCGGAGGTTACGTGGTTGATGCGAAGGGCTGGCGATGGACAGCATGGGTCGTTCTTATGATGGCGGCAGTGCTTCATACGCCAATACTATTCCTCCGAGAGTCTCAAACATCTCTCAGCAAAGGCAGATCGGAGGGCCAGATATGGGGCTCAGCAAAGCATGTCGTTACAACAACCGTGATAAGACCTCTACATATGCTTGTCACCGAGCCCCTCGTGACTTCTATTTGTCTATACACTGGATTCCAGTTCGCGCTGCTATACACTTTCGTTGTCGCAAGCCCCTGGGTCTTCCGTACCGTTTACGCCTTCTCGCCACAGTCTCAAGGACTCTCGTTTCTCGGAATGATCACAGGATGTCTCATGGCGCCTTCGTTCCTCATAACCGTCGATCGGTTCATACAGAGAAAACGACGTTCCAATCCCCAAGTACCCTCCACCCCCGAGGACCGTCTCTACGCAGCCCTATACGGCAGCCTCGTCCTCCCGACAGGCCTCTTCTGGTTCGCCTGGACCGCCCAACTACCCATACACTGGATCAGTCCAATATGTGCCCAGGGTCTGACCCTACTCGGCAGCATACTCATCTACGTCCCCTGTAACTTCTACATGATAGACGTGTACGGGTCCAAATTCGGCGCGTCAGCTAGCGGCGCGTCGTCGCTTACCCGGTATACATTCTCCGCTGCTTTTCCACTCTTCGTGACGCAGATGTACGAGGCGCTGGGGGTGGGATGGGCGACGAGCTTGTTGGGTTTTCTTGCGTTGGCGATGGCGCCGATCCCGTGGCTGCTGTATCGCGCGGGGCCGGGGTTTAGGGCTAGGAGTGCGTATGAACATGGGAGTTGATGGGGTTTACTGGGTATTAGCCAATATGAAGGCTTCTTTGGGTAGTTGAAGATGAGCCAGGTGGTGCTGTGTGTCTTGGGTGTTGGGGGATTTGGATAAATGAATGCTTTACATTGCGGATATGGGGCTTAAACGTTACATTTGTGGTAAATAGAGACCAACATCTTATTTTACTCATTTAGAACACTGGTATTGTCATTCGGGCTAACACTTAACCGTCGGGGATTGAGGTAATTATCAATTTGTCGGATCAGTATTGATTGTCAGTAACACCTGATGTACAAACTCTGCATACAAGTCACCATATCTCATTATTCCGTCCTCCAACATGCGCGGAACTTCTCAGCCACAATGACTTTCTTGAGATAGAGTCCGCGACAGCAACATGTAACGGGTTCAACCAGGAACTCAATGGAACAATGAGGTGATAGCATACTCCGACGTGAAAATCCCGCCTTACCCCGGATGACGAACAATAACGTAAGAGAGCTCCTTTCGAGACCTAATGGGGACTTCCATGCAATGAGTTCTCGCTAGGTATATAGCCTATCATCGAATCCCACACAAACCATCTCTTTCTCCTACCACCCAGCATCGCTCAATAGCTATTCGTCTGCGCTACAATCCTCAAACAAAGAAACAAGCCACATTCTTCAGACCAAAATCTTAAAACAAGTGACACTATGGTCGACTACCGCTACAATGGAGGAGGCCGATCAGGCCGCCAAGCTCGTCGACCTCCGGAAAATTATCAGAGGGCTCAGCAGAGCACGCCGTACAAGTACTACATTCATGTGGGACTCAACGTCCAAGGCCTCCAAGAGAGAGACGAACTTCGGGAGGCGTATAGTGCGCTCTCGTACGATGAAGATGTCACCATCTGCACCTCGTCAAGGGCTGTACCCCGCGGTAAAGGAGTACTCATCGAAATCTATATCGCTGATCAGCCGAGTATCAGGAATGTCAAAAACTTTGCCCTGCAGAAACTCCGCGATGGCATGGCGGGGAGGCGGGGAGGTCGCGATGGGGTCAGACGTTGGCCTCGAGGCACCGAGTCTAGAGAGTTCTGGAGACTGTATCCTAACTCTAGATGATCAGACAAACACCAGGCCATATGCCTAAAAAGCCAGAGTTCTACAGCAACTAGCTACATATTGATGTGTTTCCTTTCCTATCCATGATACTTTACTCATAATTACCACTGTAGAGCTTCAATGAATCTCCCTTAGACTCACCAGCTGTGGCCTGAATGTTCGAGTGTATAGCTATGCAAGCGCTTAATGCAGCTGAATCAACAATATGCCCCTCCGCAAATCTCTAAAACAACCCAAAGCGCGAAAAATGTTATGAAACTGGCGCCGTGCCAAACCAGCGTGTAATCCAACCGCAACCCTCTCTCCAGAAATCCGAAGGCCGCATTTTTTGCGTCCTCTAGTCATCTCCGACTTCATCTATATTATAGCTGGTTCCTTGCTTACTTGGACATAGTGAATCTGAAATTAGAAACTCAACTTGAACATATGAAACACACTACCTCAGCGGTGGTTAACTTGCAATACGCTGCCTGGTTTTCAGCGGCACTATGAAATATTAAGTGCCACGAATCCCCCCATAACACCCAAATACTCTCAACTAAATCACGATGATATCTAGCACCACATAAGCCTGTCACATTACCGTCACCCTGTACCTCGAGCTCTCTACAATAATAATATCCACTTAAACTGTGTGCGTCGCCGCCGTTTGATGCCATCGGTTGCAGTCAGATCTTCGAACATCGCAAGGATAGACATCTACCCTAGACTATACTACTACATAACTCCTATAGGCCCTTTGCTCTGCATGAAATCCATGGGAAAAGATTCTGTGTTAAAGGAATATCTCGCGTAAATGCTAATATGATATTTGAGAAGTGTCCCACTCCCGTTTCGCGATGTTGCTATATAAAGGCCCTTAAACTCCGTACACTTCCTTACAATGACCCATCTATCCAAAGCTTGCGTATCGACAAACCCACCCCAGTAACGGCGACCATAGGTGCCAGTCTGGTCAACTCCCATACGCAACCTTTCAAGATCCCGACACCTCAATCTCTCAACACTTTATCGCGCAATAATTCAAAGAATATGTGGTTCTGGAGCAAGAACAAGCGTCAGAGCACCGGGGGCTGGAGCAACAAGACCCCGTGCTACGGTTACGATGTCTTCGTGCACACTCCAGACCCGAACCTGACCCCTCAACAGAGACTAACTTACTTCCTTGAGAAAGTCAAGGAAGGAAGAGCAGAGATTTATAAGACCAAGCACAGTCATATTCTTGATGATCGGCGAGGTTTGTACATCTATGTCACCCATAAAAGTCGGAAGTTCGAAGATGTCCTCGAGACCGTGCTGTCTTTCCTGGAGTCTATAAACCGTGACCCGGAGGTGGACTCTTGTGGATTGATTCGGCGCTGTCCTCGTCCTCACGGGGTGATTGATTGAGATGACTGCTTGATTGATCTCTTGTAGACGGCTTTGTCTCTTTTTCGATGGGGTAAGCCATCGATGACGCTCTCCTCGGCTGCGTGTAGAGTGGGCACGATGCTCAGAATGCCCGAGATCTGAACTTACCGGCCGCGTCCCGCAGCAGGTCGGAGGAGGGTTTGTATTTTTAGGTGAGGGTGCTTGGAGAAGCAGAAAAAGGGAAGAGGAAAATAAAGATGGGCTCAAATTGCCGCTACTTAGGTGAGTCAGGTAGGTGATGCTCATTCGAGATGAAATAACAAATTAGATTGAAATACAGAAAGAGTTGCAAAGCTCCGTCTTCTCCGATGATACAAGTGTAGTTTATTTCTTTTTCAAAACCTAAGAGTATTCCGGATTTATAAACAGATAAACAGATACTACGATGTGGAATCCATTCTTAAGATCGAAGTTTTATCAAGAGAATTAATTGCAGCCGATCAACAAGATCCCATAGTATGCAGTATCCGAGGCTAATATCCTTTGTGATAGGACTGACTGAACCCCTAAATGACCGTTACTTTAGAAGAGCACTTATCTACATTCCACAAATGAAATCAAGGGAACTTCCAAAAAGGCAAATGCTACAATTTTCGACTACTTGCTAAGTATACACACATATAAACATCGTAGATCGCTAACCTAACAGTCATTCCAACATAACATCCGCATAAGCTCGGCTTGAAACTCTATACTCCACAATCCTCACTAACTATGCCTGCCGTAAAAGTCCCGCAAGTCGTGCATGGCCGTTACTCTCGGCCAAATCCACAGCAGACCGACCTAAATCATCCCGATGGCTCACATCAGCACCGTGCTTGACAAGAAGGCGAACAATGGGTTCGTGACCAGACTCCGCTGCTGCCAGCAAAGCTGAAGTGTTCGTCCGGTTGATCTCAGTCGATTCGTCTTCGAGGTCGTCCGCGTCTGCGCCGTTTTCAATCAAGAAAGCCACCGCGTCCAGCCTGCCTAGGCCAGCTGCCGAGGTTAGAGCACCGGAACCTTTCACCCACGCGCCCCGGTCAACCAGGAAGCGAATGCGCTTCATGACGGTTTCTAGTGACTTATTAATACCCTCCTCTACTTATGTCTTCTTTCCGGGGAGAAATATACTCACCATCATCATCATCGCACCTCACCGCCGCCCGCACAGGACTCTGATCCGGAAACTCCGCATTGATATCCGCACCATGTGCCAACAAAAACTCAATATAGTTCAGGTGACCATGCAGCAAAGCAACTTTAATCTGACTACCACCCAGCACCCGACCATTTGGTGCTTTGAGAACCGCCTTCGTAAAACAGGTCGGATCGCGACAGTAAAAGGCCTCTGCTAACGGAATCGAACCGTGTCGTGCTGCTGCTTTCAACGCCGCCCATGGGATCTCCGCGCCGGCGCCGTCACTCGCAAGATACGTGTCCCATAAATAGGCGAATATTTCCACTTGATCGGCCTCTGCGGCGGCAATTGCCAGTTGCGTGAGCTTCTCATTACAGGGTGCGTCGGTGCATGATCCCTGTTGAGGTTGGGACGTGTGGGCGCAGTACGCCGTTCGTCCTTCTGGCGGGAGAAGGGGGAAGTCGTTTTCTAGGAAGTCGCGGATCCCGTCGAGATTACCTTCTGAGCACCACGTCGTGAGCTCTGACGGGGACGGCATGGTGGAAAAGTTTGAAGTTTTCTTTTTAGTTTTTGGTTTTAGTTAGCTCGTCTAGATTCCTGGTATTGGCACAGGCACAGAGACAACAGGAAGAAGCCCCTCGATGACGTGACGTCATAAAATTGCATGATTTTCCTGCCCTTGATTGGCTTATCATCTGCCGTGCCGAGCACCAATCATTTCTGAAGTTGATTCGCTGCACCCCACATATACTACCCAATCATACTGCAATCTGGGCTCCACTCGCAACGGCGGCTGTGCAGGCTGCAGATTGATGCCTGGGGCATCGAAAGGTTGCTTTTACAGTTTACACACCGTACTCTTTCGTCTGTCCTCTGAACTAAAGGATCGTCTAGATGGCTGGGAACCGATAAGCCTCGGGACTGCTCTGTCTTCGAAAAACTTTGCTGGAGAAAAAAATTTTTTATTGTTTTCTTCTTCCCCGCAGAGAACACCAAATCGCCTGGTGATCCTTGTATATCTATACAGGGTCCGGATGAAGTGAGAACATCCTTCATTCAGCTGACATTAGGCAAAAAACACGAATTTTGCTCCTATTGATGATACTGTATATACCAGAAAAAGATCAGGGTCGCTACAATATTAGGAAAATTCAATTGACACGTCACATGTCTGTTCAACCACCCCTCCAATATGCAAAACATCTAGCGACAGTAGGCTTTTCCGCAAGCGTCTACCGACATAATCTAGTTCTCTAATCACCTTGATAACCAAATTCCGCATTGGATCTACAGAGTACCAGCATGATGCTCCTATTCTCCCGCACGTGTCTCACTTTGTGCCGCAGAAGTCACTGTCTGCTTGACCGCGCTGGAAATATATTTCAACATCATGAACAACCTTTCTGGAGAAATTACATCATAGCGGGGTCTACGCCTTAACTTTCACACGCCTCAGTGAGGCAAGGGATTGAAAAAAGTATAACGGGAGACACTTCTACCTGGTTTTGCTTCTGGAGTAGTTTTGATTGAGTGATCAAATTGTTGATTGGAAGAATTGCGGACTGGAGAGAGCAAAAGACGGCAGAGTGAAAAGACGCCAAAAAGGCTGCCCGCCCGCAAGGTGATCACGGGACCCACTTTGTTTTTCCTTTGCGCCCGAAAATCTTTTCCGCTTTGTTTTTGTTTTTTCTCTGCGAACATGGAGGGTCTGCCTGCCACTTGGAGATATGCTGATCAGCATACACCACACAGTGCATCCTGGATGCAAATCAACGTTTGGGATCCTTTAACTCTATGTGCTGGACACAATCATTTCATTATGGTGGTTATGACGCCAGGTCAGTCAGTTGCAATCGGATCTGAACGCGTATTCTCTCGGTGAATATGTGGCAGCCACCAGAGCACAGACATTGATCGGGCCAAAAACACAGGAAAACAAACAAACAGAGGGAGGCGAAGGTACTCCGTACTCCGTAGGTATCTACAAACTGTACTATGTACTGTACACTAGACTAGACTGATACGCTGGGAGTAGCACCAAGCCCAGGCTACCACATCCAGCAAAAGAAAAACAAACCGCTTTTCGGGGCTGATCCGTCCGCCGCGCCAACATGCATTGGATGCAAGGCTGATAGGAAGATTTTTTGATCGCGCGCCCCTCCTGGTCTCCTCGTCAAGACGAACCCACGAAGCGGTGAACAGGGTGGATCGAGGCAACTCCACATAAGCTACCTGGCAGCAGCAACCAGCGCCGTCGCCCCCCAATCAGCGCCCGCCCTGCATATTAGTCCGCATAGTATACTTCTGTTCAAAGTGTTCATGGCCGCGAGTAGATTGTTTAGCTCGCACTTGGGCCAGTCCGAGGTCCCTGCCCGCCTTGATAAGTGAAAAATCTGCAGTTGCATGACCGCAAGTCGAACATCTTACGCCATTTTGGTCCGATGAGGGGGACACGGGCTCTATAAAGTCCCTGCTGGACGCGCGCAATCTCGTCTGGATGGTTTTGTTCTTCATTCGACTCTCTCAACGGCCCGGGGCTGTCTTCTTGTTTGGTTTTCTTTCCCTCCTCGTCTCCGCTTCGATATCCTGTTCCTATTCCTATTGTCCCGTCCCCATGTTCAAGCAGTACTCCCAGATCCTGTCTCACAAGAGGAGGAAGAGCAAGGGAAGCGCGATCCAAGTGCTCTCCGCTGCTCAGTCGGAGCCTGCCTCCGAGACCCCTACGGCCAATGAGCCCGTCGAGACGTGGGTTCACTCGCAGCCGTTAGATCTGGATGGACAGCAGCAGAGCGAGTGTTTCACCACTCTGACGCCTCGCATCCATAAATACGACCATGTCGCACAGCGGGGAAGCGACCGGTTCATCGAAGACCTGAACGCCGCGCTCGGTACCGACAGCGAAAAGCGCAAGGAGAGCTACCTGACCTCCGCCGTAGGAAACTACGCCAGCTTCCTGTACCCCGAGTGCGCGCCCGACAAACTCGAACTTATCGCTTACTTGACCGAGTTGGCGAACTTCCATGATGGTATGTCACGACTGGACCGGATAAAACAACCTATGAAGACTAAACGCTGACACGTACCTAGACCAGGCCGAGAGCAAAGAGGAACAACCCGCAGGAGAAAAGACCGACGAACTGAGCGAGTCGCCTCGTACTGAGGTGCGGAAGAAGCTTCTCCAGAAGGTCATGGGCGGTTTGACCGACAAGGACGGACAAGACATCATTGACTGCTACCGGAGTACTTGGCTGGTGACTCCCGAGGTCCCGACGGCGGACAACTGCGCCAACCTTGACGATTACGTTGCTCGTCGCCGTCTGAATGCCGCTATTGAGTGGGTTTACCCTAATTATATTGTTCTTCTTGACGTTCGGAATGCTAATTTGGCGACAGCGTCTACTGGACCCTGATGGGCTTTGCCCACGGCACGCGCCTCGGAAAAGAAGACCAGGCGATCGTGCGAGACGCTTTGGATGCAGCCGAGCGCACGATGTTCTTCACGAACGACTTCTACAGCTGGCCCAAGGAGAAGCGCGACTACAAGACGAGACGCGTTGCCAATGTGAACCTCTTCCTGATGAAGCACGAGGGGCTGTCCGAAGAAGATGCACGCGCTAAGACCAAGGAGCTCATTCTGGAGAACGAGAAGGAGTTCCTTCGCAGACGCGAGACGCTGTATCACAACAACCCGGAGCTCCCTGCCCACCTGAAGAAATGGATGGAGGTCCTGGGCGCCGCGCTGGGTGGCATTCACTACTGGTGCAAGAACGCGCCGCGATACGACGTTCCCGACGAGCCGTTTGAGGAGAGTGAGGATGAGTCCGAGGACTCTGAGGAGGATGGTTCCAGCGATGAGGAGTCCAGCGACGAGAATGACGAGGCGGACGATGAGGACGAGGAGGCACACGAAGAGCCGGTTGCGGCAGAGTTACCTGCTGAACCCGAGGAGGAATTCCCCCTGTGGACTCCGCTGGTCGCCGACGAAGAGGCTCTGGCCGTGAATCTGGATTCTTCGGCCCTTCTTGCACCCACTGGCTACCTTGGCTCCATCACCTCGAACGAAGTCCAGTCGGAGCTTCTCACCGCGCTGAACGTCTGGCTGCAAGTCCCGAACCGACCCTTCAGCTTCATCAAGCAGGTCGTCGACGACCTCCATCACTCGACCCAGATCCTCTCCGACATCCACGACCAGGCGACCACCCACCACCAAAGAACCGCCGCTCACCACGTCTTCAGCCCCGCGCAGTGCATGAACAGCGCGACTTACCTGTTCGTCCGCATCGCCAAGGCTGTCAGCAGCCTGAATGTCCCCGGCATGCTCGGCGGACTTCTCGAGGAGCTCGAATCGCACTTCGTCGGTCAATCCTGGGACCTGAACTGGCGTGCTACTCTGGACTGCCCGACCGAGCAGGAATACCTGGCCATGGTCGACAAGAAGAGCGGCTCGCCCTTCCGCATGCTGGTTCGCCTCATGCAATCCGCCAGCATGGGTGGCGTGGCTCTTGACTTTGAGGGTCTCGCGCAGCTGTTCGGTCGCTGGCACCAGATCCGCCAGGAATACCTGGGTCTTCTGTCCGGTCGCAACCAGTCCAGCTTCGGCGAGGACTTGGACCAGGGCAAGATCACCTATCCGATCGTCCGCTGCTGCAATGTCGATCCCAACGCGAAGACGGTCATCCTCGGCATCTTCAGACAGAAGCCTCAGGGCACGACCCTCTCGACGGAAAGCAAGTTGCAGATCCTCGAGCTCCTCCAGAAGGCCGGTGCCGTCGAAGCCACCTACAACTTGGTCCAGCAGCTTGGACGCGACATTGTCAAGAGTGTCGGTGAGCTAGAGGCCGTTGCCGAAGAGGCCAACCCGACCTTGAAGGCTCTGGTGAAGTCGCTGGGTGAGCTTCCTGCACCTGCTCAGATCTATGGATCTGCGTGAAAAAGTTATTGATTTATGATGATGGATGGAATGATGTGTGATGATGACACACTATGTATTTTCTTTGTACTCTCATGATTTATGCCTGTCTCTCGCTTACTGTATGCCTATATGTGGCTTATGTGTTATGATTAATGATATGACTCACCTTTCTTCATTCATTCCGATGTGTAACTGTAACTGTAGCTCAGAATATTCTTCCAAACAACAAAATTGAGATCATAGACCTAGTAACCAGATCGACAAAACTAAGTATACCAAGTAACCTCCGGCAGCTCCCCCAACAAGGCATACCGACCCAGCTCCCTCCTCTTATACGCCACCGGATCATGCAACGTATGCGTCCGAATATCCCTCCAGAACCGATCCAATCCCACCTTCGACGCCGTCGCCCTGGCTCCAGTGACCTCAAACACCCCCGAAGAGACCTGCAACCCGACATCCGTCGTCACAACCTTGACGCTGGCAATCCACTCGGCCACCTCGCCGCGCTCCTCGGGCGTCAAACCCGCCCGGTTCCCTCCGTGGCGCGCATACAGCGACGCCAGCTGCTCGCCAGCTCGGTCGGCCAACGCTTCTGCGGCGCGCAGATGCGCGAAGAAGGACCCGTAGCGCTCCAGGATGTAGAATTCCTCCGTCGCGGAGTCTTTGTTGTCGCCGCCGAAGGGCCACGCGCGTGTCGTGGTGCGTGTGTACTTGGATGCGAAGTCCAGTGCGCCGAGGGCGATGCCGAGGTAGAAGTTGCTGAAGACGAGTTGGATCCTGCATTTTTCTGATTAGCATCGCGGCCACTCATATCCACTTCCGAGAATATGAATGAAGAGGACTTGGGGAATAATCAACATACGAAGGCAAAAGCAACCCAGCAAACGGAATCCCCAACACATCCTCCCTTGGCCTCTTACTCTGCGCATCCCAGCCCAGCGCATCGGTCCACTTTGCCCTCACATTATCGATCTTGACACCCCCGGATTCAGTCAACCTCAGGCCGATATTATGCCAATTATAAGCGAACTGAATTCCCGGGTCACTGGTCTTCACGATCGCAAAGATATGATCCTGTGTGCCTTCCAACACGCCCTCCAGCACTGTGAGATCCGACACCACGCCGCCGGTGTTGAAGTGTTTCTGGCCGCTGAAAATGATTTCGTCGCCGTCTGAGGTGATCTTGAGATCGTTGTCGCGTGGGTTAACTGCCCCGCCGACGAAGTAGTTGTTCGAGATGATGAGCTCGTTCGTGCGGTCGATTTGCTCTGCCGTGCCGACTACGTTGGCGGTTGTGGACCAGAGGAGGTGGTAGCCTAGAAGCATTCCGAGGGATCTGCGATCAATCACCCATCATTAACATTCTCTCCTTGACGCACAAGATGAACAGAGAAATGGGCTCCTAGATACTTACCCATCCCCCTTCGCAACCTCCCTAATTGCCTTATAACCCACTTCCCAGGACTGCTCGCCGCCACCATACTTCTTCGGTCCCAGGACCTTCAACAAACCCGAGTGTTTGAGCAGTGCGATTTCCGCCCCCGGGGACTTGTTCTCCTGATCGCGCTGCGCGGCGTCTTGCGATAAGACCTGCGCTACGTCGCGCGCTCGCGCGATCCATGCGTCTGCGGTATCGGGCAGCGCGGACCATTTGGTTTCGTATTCCGCGTAGATGGCGGGGTCGGTTGAGGGAGTGGGAGGTTGTGTCATGGTTGATTAAGTGGTTGGGTTGTTTGATAGCAGTCTAGTACAAAGAGGAAAGGGGGGCAGGGGATGCTCAATCTGTAATGGTCTTCAATAATATCCGCGATGAGGATGGAAGGGTGGAGAGAGGGACATGGCGTCGTATATCTATGCGTCGCTCCCCTGGCGAAGGGAATAGGTATCGCAATCGCGCATGCAATTCGGGATAAACCTTACATATGACGTGCGAGCCTCAATAATCAGACTAGTTGGAGAATGCGAGAAAAGGATGAAAACAGGCGACTGAGAGGTATTCGTTATTTGTTATTCGTCAACGACGTGCAAGATGTCGTTATCATAACACCATCGGATGCCGTCGATCTTAGGGCCCGAGGGACCCACGGGGTGGAGTCGTGCCCTATTTTGTGTTCCTTGTGGCCGAGGAGGTTCTGTAGAATACCCCGTAGGGGGTAGGAAGTAGGTCATTTTTCAATTAGATTTTGAATGATGAATAGATTATTAGATCAGGAATATGCCCATTGCACTATGTTGTCTGTTCCTGGTTACCTAGCATTTGACCCTCCCTGTACTCCGTGGACTAGCTACCTGATTCTAATCGCCATTGCCAGAACTCCCCATCAGCATCCTCGCGAAATAATGTAAATCATACTACAAAGCTGTGAACTGCACCGAATCACCAGACCAGCACTCTACTCCGTTTTCCTGCCTCTCTTCCCAAAGAACCTCGACGTATCCCCTAACGGCAACTCCACCAACGCCGCATCCTTCAACAACAAATGAAACACAATATACCAACCCACCAAGCCAGCCACAAAGCAGAACCCGCCCCCGGCCTTTTTCAACGTCACAGACGACGCATGATGTTCATCTGCCTCTGCGAAATAGCTCGCAGCGACCGTCAAGAAGCCCATGTCCACGAGGAAGAACACCGCGATGTAGGCGAGATTGCTCGGCAGAGAACCGATCAGGAACGTGAAGACGAAGACGGTCCATAGTATCATGAAGAATCCCAACGCGTTATTGTACTGTGTCGTGTCGCCGTTGTAGGAATCTAAGACGCCGAAAGCGGGAGTGAGGATTGCGCCGTAGCCAGCGTAGAAGAGGCCTACAGTTATTTCCATGTGTTAGATTCTGGCTTTGAGTGTTTGAGCAAAGAACAGGAGGTGGATTAATTAAATCCGTACCGAAAGCGCTAAAGACGGTGTACGCAAAACCATTTCCAACTGAGAGCTCCCACTGCGCGGTGACTACTAGACCGAATGCCGAGATGAAGAAGAAATTGCCGACGAAGACGTTGGCGGTCGTAACGCCGCGCCATTCCATCAAACTCAGAGACAGAGTTGTGAGGGTGGTGCCAAATGCGCCTAGGGCGAGGGCGGACTGTGGCATTCGCTCTTAGAAAACAGTATCATTTGTTTGTGGAGAGTGGAATTGACTTACGCCTGCTCCTAGCGACCTTGGAGCTTCGGTCGTCACCGTGTTCGCTCTAGATTGTCGCTCAATATCAATCTGATGCGTGGGCTCTTTGATGCCGGTGCCATTGGTGGACTCCTGTGTCACTGGAGATGTCGACATGATGTGTTTCTCGATCTTTCAAGTTAATATTCTGGCCGAGAGCAAGAAATACCGTGTATGGAAAGAACACTCAAGGGAGAATCGATGAACAACGGAAGAAAAATACCTTGAAGAACGGAATGGCACTATATATTCAGAGACTCATTTCACAGTCTCCCGATTTATCAATGAAGAACTCAGGTTATAGAGTAACCGAGCCATGGATTCCGGCCATCATTGCACCATTGCCAAATCCAATTGCGACTGTACATTGTCGATCGAATGGTGAAGAAGATCTACTGTAACGGACGGCTTATCACGACGGGAAATAGATTATATCACCCCAAACCTGTGTTAAAATCGACCTAAGCCCTCTCTGGGGTGAAATCTCATGCCCAAAATTGGGTTATCTGGGTCCAAGTGCCGATGCATAGTTTAATCGGAACCCCGTCGAACAAGTGGGGCGCATTGCACAATTAACCTTCGGATGATGTGCTTTGCCATGTGGAACCTGACTCTCCGTATCTTTAATCGGAGAGTGTAGTCTTGATGAGAGGCATATTCTCTATCTAGATTCGAGAACATTGGCTCGTGGCTTGTATCCGGCAAGTTAAAATTCGATGGATTGATTGCCGAGGCTGGGGGCGTTGGTTGTAGGCCGGGCTGTGACCTTGTCATAGTGAAGATGAGTGACATAAAGAGAGGAGTAGAGATAATCTAGTTGGGACACAGATCTGAAAGAAGCGAATGAGGGGGACATCAGGAAGAAGAGATCCTCCTGTTGCGTACTCGGAGGGCTAAGTCTAATGGCGATCTGACGTGGCGGGTTGCGCCTCAGCACCGCACTCTTGCAAAAAAAGCGTAATCGTAAATAAAATTCTATGGGGTGACTGCCAATAGAGCAGGAGACTCATTGCCTTGAATTTCTATCTGCCTCCGTAATTGAGTTCGTCCTTGTATGCTTGGACTTTACTTCTATGAAGGGTAAGAAATGGGCCTGATCTATCCGACAGTATCCATGTATTGGGTAAGGATGCATTTTTGGTGTCGGGAAGCAAGAAAAGAAAGCTTGCTGGGGGTAGGTAAACTTGGAAACAGCTAAGGCGTTCATTATATTGGAGTCATACGGAAATCACATGTATAAAACATAAACCGAAATTTTGGAATGCATAGAACTGGCTAAGAGCATTTGAAACATGGCGAAGGAACAACTTGAGTAACCACTGGGGATAGAACATCTTGAAGGGAAAGACAAGGTAGAGGAATAGAAGTCATGTACAATAGGAGTCAAGAGCAAAGAGAGAATGAGAGAAAGAAACTGCGGACAACAGAGCAAAGAAAAGAGAAGAGGTATCTCCTCTAATTGAGATCCAACTCCAAGGTGGAAAGAGACCGTCCTTGAGCAGTGACTTCAAACACACCACGTTCATTGCACCCGTCGAAACGGAACCGGACGATAACCTGCAGATCATAGTGAACTTGTCCGCCTACCATCTTGGGACCGAGCGACGGGAAATGAAGTTGTGAAAAGTCGAAGAAAACCGTAGAAACATTCTGAGCATCTAGAATCCCCAGTTAGTCTGCTCAACGACTCTCACGGGAGATGTGGGATCCCAAAAGGTACATACCAGGCGCCGCCGCATCTCGCGGGGCAATACTTGAATCACAGCTGTAGATGCTTATCGACGCCGCCATCAGTTCCCCGGAAGTGAAGGGGAAATGAATTGGTTTGGTGACGGTATAACCATCAGTGTAAACCTCACCCTAGAAGGAGCGAACCATGAAAGTCAGCATGCTTTATGTTCTTCCTATGTTTATCTCCATCCTGGCGAGCCTACCTTGCAGAAGAACCAATCAATCACCCCACGTGCCATTTTGTGGCCGGTCAAGGGGTTCACAAATGAATTCGCTTCGTTGTCCAGGTCGTAATTGTATGGGACTGGATACGATATTCCGTCGTGGATAAACTCGACCAGCCGGGTGGGAGGCAACGATGCCCCGACAGGCACACCCATCCGCGATCGCCATTAGCCTGGAAAATGTTAGTTGTCTGGCTTGGCTCGCTATGAAATGAAATTGGGAGCAATCACGGGTTTGGCAATGACTCCACAGCTATTCCATATTGATGGAAAAATGACTGCATTGTTCTCGACACGTAGTGGGATTGCGAGAACCCGCCGCAGAGAACAGTTTTCTGCGCAGCCGTTAGCACCCAGGCCATTGGAAATGTAAATCTGGATAGGGTGGGAGTATACATTGATTACGAAGCGGTTGGTCACTCCACGGGCCTTCTCGACTTCTTCATGTAGCAAACGGCAGATATTGCGAGTGACCGGCTCAAAGTAACCGCAGAGGGCCTCACTGTTGTTTAACACATTAGGATCGTCACTCTGAAACATAGCGAACGAATGCATACCGAGATAACTTGACTGCCATTGCTTGTCGATCGAAAATTCTGGGGTCGGCGTGGTCAAAGCCGGGGCCTACATGAAGTAGGTATGTATCTTTTTCTTTACTACTGCCCAGAGTGCATTTCGCTCTTTCAAAATCGTTCGCAAATTCACTTCCTTGACCCTTCTGGGAAAGAGGGACTTTGGAGAATGAACCTTCGAACAGAGTTTGTAGGTGGACATAGAAATGGCGATCCACGGCCGTGGCCCCACATAACGAGCCTGCACAGAGTCAATGAAAGGTTGTTCGCGTTGTTGTTACTCAGATGCCAACAGACCAGAGTGTTTAGTCAGTTGATTGTATGAAATCTCCGGACTCATGGACACAATCTCATAGGAGGTCAGGTCCTAGAATCTATTAGTCACAAGGCACAGCCTCATCTGTATGGCGTGTAGAACACATAAACATACGACTGTTCCTCCGCCCAAATCGCAAATTACCACACCGTCACGTTCCTAAGGATCATTGATTAATGGCTGAAGTGAACGGATGACAAGCCTTTGCATTGGTCTGGGCGTGACTTACTTGTAATGGTACGGTCGGTCCGAGCGAATATTGGTTGCTAGTCAACAACGTCGTCACGATCGCTTCCGGCTCTTGTATCAGCTTAAAGCTAGGCTCCCTCTTGTCGGGCCCTGTAAAGTCCCAAAACCTGCATTCCTAATAACATCGAAGAAGGCAGTCGTTGTGTTTTGCTTCCACACTGCGGGAATACCAAACCGGAACTCAAGGTAGTGTTGGTCCAAAGTGTCGGCCCCAAGATCATTCCGCAGAGTTGCGCAAATGAACTGGTACAACTCCCCGAGGTAATTAGAAACAACTTTATGGGCATCGATAGTGTCCAGGGTGCGCATGATCCCAGTTTGTATAGCCTCTTCCAAAAGTGAATCTCTGAAAGCTTCTTGGTCCAGGCGAATGATTTCATCCCTGGCTTGACCTGGTAGCCCCAAGCGCACCGAACAAGATCCCCGTTTTCCAATGGATAGGCGATCAAACTCGGAGTCTTCGCAAATGTTCTTTCACTCAAGCCCGGCCACCTTGGGTATTTCCGAGGTGATTGCATAGACGTCTTGCCATCGGAAAGACGGACGTAGCTGAAAGCTGTCATGCCAATTAGACTAATATTCTGAAAAGAATAGTGTTACTCACTAGAGCCTGTGGTCCCGTAGTCCACTCCGACGAAGATTGTTGGGACCTTCTCCATTTCCTTTTTTCTTCAGTGCCAAGGAAAACGCCGTGTGAGAAAAGTCGTCTGTGCGAATTGCAAATGGAAGACCTGGATGGACGAAATGGGCAAAGGCGGAGCAGCAGGCCAAGACGACAAAGAATAAAATGAGATGCGAACTAGAGAAATCTCGAAGAATAAAGCGAGCTTGGTGGTAAGGAAAATAATTGAGAGGGGCTCAGAAGCGAAGATGCTCTGGGTAGAGGAAAGAATAATTACTGGAGGGCAAGAAGCCAATCTATATATATGTACTCTTGGTCAATTTATTGATTTAGCGGCCTGTGGGAGGCCTCAGGTCAATGATACACCGTATGGCCCTCGTACAGAGAGGCTGCATTTACCAGGATGAACAAGCATAGGTTATTGCTGGAGGACGAACATGCTAAGACAGCAGGGTCTAGAACCCTCTGCATGTACCCAAAACGGGTCGTGTAAACAGGGATTGAGATAATCCGATAGGTAGCTGTCCAGGTAAAGAACTTGAACACGCTGGCCAGCATTTTGAAGAATTTGCAAAATACCGAGGCGATCAAATACCGCCATGTTTGCAGTCCACGGTCTGTATCCAGATTACTGAGTACTCATGTACATAAATATTTCTCTATACTTATGCGTTTTTTGTTGTATGAATAACTTGTGAGATTAATGTATTGAAAGTGGCACAGGCTTCGGAAATTTACCAAAATGCTGGCCAGAGCCGTAAGCCTGATACAGTAGCCTCTGTCTCGTTTTCTGCTGGGTTTTGAAAGCACTTCCTTGTCGACTTGCCATGGCAGACAAAGAAATGAATTTCTTTTAAGACAAAGAAATCCTATTAAGCTACGAGTACTGTCATAAGCCCTTCATTCCCTAGTCACCAGTTTTTATTCTCGCAACACGCAAGTTCGTCTTGTTCATTGCCTACTTTACGTTCTCTACACCTCTTCAACATATCCATATAGGATTCCTTCCTAGATAGTTGCATATAATGCCTCCTGATCGCAGCAGCCGCAAAGTTTGAAAAAGTGACGAGATCTCGAGCAAAGCGCGCTGCTCAAGAGAAGTGCGGGGTATGATAGAGATTTCCTGTTTTTCTTTTTTCTTTTCTTTTCTTTTTTGCCACATCGAAGAATGCAAGTCGTTACTTACCAGCTCGTCAGGTACCTAGCGATAACCTCGCATCTGCCAACCCAACAGAAGAAATCATGGTTGGACAAGCAGACGACAAAGGTGAACCTGAGGTGGCCGTCGAGGATCCCGAGTTTGTAAGAAACCTCGGTTCAATTATTCTATGTCCAACGTGGAGGTCAAGACCATTATTCATCTTTCTCGATGCTAACTCATGGTTCCTTTACAGGAACGGCGAATGAAAAAGGCCTTTGAGGCGACAAAGAATACCAAGTGGGATCACAGTAAGAATCAGTATCACGAGCGGCCAGCTTATGAGGGCACGGTTGGCTGGCCCACATTCTGCACAAAGACGACCCGAAGTCTTGCGAGGCATATAACGTATGGCATTCAGGAATGGGCGGCGGATTTCTGTGTTGAAGACCCAGAGGTTTTCGAAAAGGAATTCTCAACTGAAGATAGAGAGGAGCTCATCAGAAGCTTGGATGGATATTGCAGGCAGATGAGCTGGAGTGAGCTGATCGACCAAGTAGGACGTGATACTTATGCCTACAAGTGCCTCCCTAGGATAATTACAAGCACAATCCTTGCCAAGTCCATTTGGGAGGATGTTGTCAAGGACCCCTTCTTTTTTCTTGGGGATGAACCTGCCCCCATGCCTACCGGAGGCCACTCGGATCTCCTTGTGCCGTCAAGACCCGAAATTCACAATATGTGGCGGTGGTGCCAAAAGGGTAAGGCTAATGTTTATCTCTCCCTCTTGGGGTTTCTCATGAAGCGGCTAGCACATACTAATCTGGCCTTCAGTTGATCCGTACCATTCCTGCATATGGCGCCAAATGACTGTGCACCACCTGATCGAAACGTCGGGTTTGAGCAGGAGCCCTTCACTGGGACTACACATTGTGAAATTAAGGGACGAGGCCATTGAAAATATGGCAAAGAAAATCATCAGCCCATCCGGAACTCTGCATCGATTGTTGAAGGATATATCCGACCCTGAAGAGGAAGAACGTCGGCGGTGGAAAGTTGTGTTGTTATACCGCGATGCAGAGCAACTCAGCTACGGAATCAACGCTCAAGACTTTGGGTACAGGTTTCACCCTTTTGGTTCTCCACCCATCTTCTCTCCCGGTATGAAAGACATTGAAACATCCTTGAGGGTACATAATGGCGAATCCGAAGAAAAACGGGCACAGAAGCATCGCCTCATTCTATTTCAGTTCAGACCGGGCTTGACGTACACTTGGGGGGAGCAGCATGAAAGAGGTATAGGAAAGTCGGCTTTGTTATGGCCAGCCAATGTGGCACTTTCCGACCGTTCCCAACGCTTCACCTGCTTTGGATGAGAGTCGATACTCTCTGGCGCGGAGGTTTATTTGAGTTTTATCTTCCATCACCAAAAGTTTTAGGACAACCCTTCACCCTTGTCTTCTTCTGTTCCACTGCTCTTTCTTCTTCGTCTTCTTCTTCTCCCCCCCCCCCCCCCCCCCCCCCCCCCCCCGCCCGGCTTTATTTGTTTCCATCTCCTATGTACTCTCGGTATCCTATGATCTCTTCTGGTTTTAACAATGAACCCTCTACGGCCACAAAGTTGTGTCTTTCGGATTTCTGGCCATTTTGTTCACCACCAGTACCATTCTTAAAAGTGGTCTACCAATATATGAGGTCCTCTCAATAGTTGTAATTTTGTCATTCTAGAAGTCCTTCCAGCGTAGAACTCGTCGATCACGCTAATTTCTATATGCGTAAGCAAGGTTGTCGCGATGTACTTAGGGTTTAAACTTTCCGACGAAATTCTTTGCAAGCTTCAAGCAGCAAATCTCTGGTGTTCAACCGCAGAACCGAAACTACGCCTCTCTCTCTATTTCTGTTCCTAGTTTCCTTAAGTGAACAACATTGTATCTTTGATACTGTATTGATTCATCCGATACGAGGTTACCATGGAAGCCTTCTCCGAAAACCTGCCATGGAGTAAGGAACACCATTCGGACAAATCGGTTAAGTCTAGACGTCAAACCTGCAGGATGATATCGTGACTCACCAGAGAGGGGGTCTAGACCCTAGAATCATCCATACCAGGCGATAATTCTGCGATGGTGTATATTGCAAACACCGCCATCTGACTTGTTGGTGCATGTACGTATGTCACTGTGGCGTACCCGGAAATTGCCATCAAAAATACCAACACACGGGTCTCGAACTTTCAAAGTAGGCGACGGACACCCATGTCTGGTAGAGACGGGTTATGCTGAGATTGCGCCCCATGCTGCCCCGCGTTTGTATTGGCATCGGGGCTTATGCCCACCACACCCACAGGCCGCATACCTGCATACATGGTTCCAGTTTAGGCAGACATCCGGGCCTGCGTCTGTCAAGAAGGTCCGTGCGCTGTGATGATTCCTCTATGGCGTTTGCGATGGAAAGTCTCCGATGACTCCCATGGGCCGACAGACTTACGGTGTAGGAAGTTAATTTTTTGGACAGAGCTCTGGATTCCACGGGGCTGCAAGACATAGACTCTCCTCGAACTTCATGATTGGTCAAGGCGCGTGTGATGCGGAAACAACAGCCCAAACTGTCGTTTCTGAGCTATCGGAACTTCCCCACGGTTTAGGCTTGCATCTGTGCCGACGGCTGACTGCTTTCGGTGTACTGATCGCATTGATTGGAATATTCGGCTAGCCTAGACTGGTAGGGCGGGATCATACAGCTGAAAGCTAATGTTGCTGTTTTTGGGATCCGGTTTGACGGCCCTTTGGAAATCGCTGGGATTGCTCGGAAATATCACCGGGCTGCAAGGCATCCTGCTTTACATCGGTAAGGGTGGTTTGATGCATCAGATGGTGCCAACGGTGAAGCTCTAGTCCAACACCCGGGGGATCAAAGTTGTGTTGGCTCCCAACAGACTGCAGGTATCGAGCCGATAGATCTGCGATAGCCAATGAGACCTAGGTGAGATCGCTCGAATGACTGGTCTAGCTCTGAATGTCTGACAGAGCTTCGGACGAGCTGCCAGGTTTTTCAAGGGTAGCGCAGAATTAACGGTACCACTGGACAGAGTGACTATTCCATTGGTACGTTCTTGATTCTGCACGGTTCATCCATCTCCCTCCTTCGCCACAAAAGTCATAATTGTAGAGAGCCAATGCAGAAACGGTCGTCGCGCTAGAGCTTGCAACTCACCGCTTGGCACAGAATCATCGCAAGCTGGACTGAGACAATTGCAAGTTGTATAAGGGTGTAGTGGAACATAGCAAGTTCGGAGAAAGCTCAAGATGCGGTTGCATCTATATCCCGACTTCCCAAAGCGGTATAGACCCTTTTGCGGGAAAGGTTGCCTTGCCGCCTGACCGTCGTGCGCCCGCTGCCTTGCTGCCTTGCCGCCATAGCTTGTCTTACCACCAGCTTCCATTCGCGTGACTAGGGGCAAGCTTTGGGTTTGTATCTACGCAGGCCCGCAAAGCTACTGTTGCAAGGCCAATCAATAGAAAGCTTGACCACCCATCGAGCGCGTACACCGGAGTAAGTGGCGTGGCATGCTCAGTCCCGGTAATCAATATGGGGCTTCAGAAGGTTCTGACTTTCCAGTGATCGCAGCAACCATAGTATTATTCAGGGGACTTCGTCGTATTTTTGTCTTCACGTTTCTTTCTCGCTTATTTTGATTTTTTACTTTTGTTTATTTCATTTTACTCTATTTTTTCACTTACATTTTCAAACACAGCAAGAAAACCTCGGTCGATGTTTAGGCTGTTTATCTAAACATGTTCTCTATAACGTAATCAACTACCGAGCGACGAATACCACCGAGCGACGAATTTTTATCGCACCCACTACAACCTCTTACCAACGCGTCGATTATCATCACTACTATTGAAAATGCCATTATCTCAAGAAAATCGAATACAAATGGCTATCTCAGCGTACGAAAATAAGACAATCAAATCAATATTAAAGGCTGCCAATACTTTTAGTGTGCCTGAAGCAACTCTACGCGCTCGTCTAAAAAAAAGACAATCACGCGTTGAAGTACGCGCCAATGAACATAAATTGACCAAATTTGAAAAAGAATCTCTTGTGAAACAGTTTCTTGATACAGATAAACGAGAATTTCCAATTCGGCCTGAATTTATGCGTGAAATGGCTCAAATATTGCTTTCTGGACGTTTACAAAACTCTACTGCAATTCTTGATGTTAACTGGGCTTATAAATTCACCAAACGCCATCCTCAACTATCTACACGATATAATCGACGAATTACCTATCAACGTGCAAAACAAAAGAATCCGCGAATTATAATACCATGATTTCAAACAGTCTACAAGACTATCCAAGAACACGGCATACACGAGTATGATATCTGAAATTTCAATGAGACTGATTTTGCAATGGAACTCTATTCTACTGCTAAAGTTATTACTGCAGTAAAGCGCAGTGAGAGATCACGCAGAATTATTCAAGGTAACCGTGAATGGATTACAATTATTGAAACTATTAGTTCAAAAGAATTACATATACCATCGATCATTATACTGAAGACAGATAATCAGCAAGCTATCTAATTTCAAAAATTTAAGCTTGCTAGAGACTAATAAATTGCAATTAATCAAAATGACTAAATAATTGATGAAATAAACCTTCGTTAATTAAAAGAAGTGTTTAAACCATTCTCTAAACGCTCTATGACCGGTGTTAAGCGATTACTTATTCTTAATGATCATAACAGTTATTTAATTGTTGAATTTGACAACTTTTGCAAACAAAATGCAATAATATGTTTTTATATGCCTGTTCACGCTTCGCATCTTTTTCAACCGTTTGATATGGGTGTTTTTGGCCCGCTTAAACGCGCATATGAAAAGCTGCTTGAGAAACGTATGATTGCGGATAACAACCATATTGATAAAAAAAACTTTTTATCGCTCTATCTAAACACACGAACTCAAATCTTTACTTCTACAAATATCTGCAGTGGCTTTGCAGAAGCAAGGTTTAAGCCACTTAATCGAAAGTGTATTCTTTCTAAATTTATCTTTCAACTGCGCACGCCTACACCTGCATCATCATTAATTGAAAGGTCAATTTCCTCTGCTTTTCAGACTCCACAGAATACTCGCCAATTAAATCGCAAGATACGCAGTCTACAAAAAAGCCTTAATACTAAACGAAAACTTTCTAATAGTCCAGTTGCTCATATTCAACATCTTGAAAAGATTGCTCAAATGGCGATGCAAACCAACCTTCTTTTACAGAAAGAAATCAAAACTTTACAAGCTGAAAATGAGCGCAAATATAAAAAAAAGACAAGAAGACGTGCTCTACTAGGGAATGATAACCTTCTATCTGTACAAAAAAACCAAAATCGCATTCAGCAGTTAAATACGCAGCTTAATGAGCAACCTGAGCAATCTACTCCCATACCTCGTCAACGGGCTTTGCCACGCTGCAGTGGCTGTGGAACAGTTGAACATACAATTCGGAGCTGCCCTAGTAAATAGCTGAATTTTGATATACTTAGTTAGTTAAATTTAATGGAGTTTGTGGTTGAATAGCTTCAATTAGTGGTGGGTGCGGTAAAAATTCGTCGCTCGGTGGTATTCGTCGCTCGGTAGTTGATTACGTTACAGTTTTCTGTAAATATCATATTTCCAGTAAATTTAATTTTCATGGAAACTACAATTAATTACACTCGATGTTCATAGAACCTGGAAGGGATGATGGGATTTCCATACAGGTAACGCTTTTGCAAATTTCAATCATTCCATAAATAATGGTAAAAGCAGATAGAGATCTCTCGGCGGCTGATTCCACAACCCGTTTCTCTATCGCCAAAAGTAACACCGGACCCCGAAAGAAGACAGATATACAGTCTGATACAAAGTTGGAATCTAAAATGTCAACATCATGTATTTTTCCTTCGATGCCTTTTTCCCATCACTCCTCCAAACACTCTCCTACATGCAACCTCCTACATTTCGAGCATCTTGTCTTTCGCGGGGAAACAACAGCGGGCTTTGGTGCTGCTCGCTTAACTTTCGGCTTGGCTGGCGACCGAAGTGCAGGAGAGGCGGCTGCAAGGGTTGGTTTACTTTTCGTAAATCTGGGCGCTCGAAGCTGCGGTGTCGGTTCTATCATCCCTTGTATTGTGCTTGCCGGTGGCATTTCCCTAACAGGGTCGGATTTGACTAAAACCCTTTGAGTTTGAGGACTTTGACGAGGCATGGGTAGAGCAGGAACAGTAGCTAACGCAGGAATAGGCGTCGCTGCTCGTGAAACGGGCTGGCTTGATGTGAAGTTCGGGGTCCGGAACCGGGGCGGGCTTTCTGCGACAGGGTCTGCGTGGCTTTCCTGCCCACTGGAAGATCCATCGGAGCTTGATTCGAATTCAGAGGGATCGAAATCGGCATCGTATGACGTCGGTTGTCGAGCGGTTCTGTTGCGTCTGTTGGATCTAGGAGGCTCGGGGGTGGGACTCCGTTGGGGTTGTATTAAGCTCTGGGATTGGACATTGGGTGTTTGAGTTCTTGGGCTTGGGGACCGAGACCAGGGTTGTTGCTCCTGACTCGATGGTGGGCTGGACAAACTCGAGGAAGACTCTTTAATATCTTGAGTGATGTCCTCGCGCAGATGGCTTCTTTCAATCGGCGTATTTGGAAGAGAGCGAGGCGATTCCTGGAGTGCCTGGCTTATTGGACTGGGGGTTTGAGCCCTGGTAGGCTGCTCGATGGAGGGATAGATGTCAGTCTGGATCCGTTGACGAGGTGACAGCGGGACAGAAGCAGGTCTGTACGATGGCGAGTTTCGTACTCGTTGAATAGGATCGTTGGTCTTAATTGGTGTGGTAGGCGTCCTGTTCAACGCCTCATTGTCCGTTGGTTCATTTTGACTCTCTGATCGCACATCCAGTTCGATTGGACCGACCCACTCAGTCTGAGTTTGTACTGACGAGACGTCAGGGCGACTGTTCGACATGCCGGGATGAGGACCAGACGAGCTTGAGCCCACGCCCATATCATTGCGATTACCGATAACCGTCATTGGGGGCTTATTCTCGATATCCATGCCGGTCTCCCCGAAGAGATTCAAACATAGATAAATGATCGCCCATTTCTTCAGAAGGCCGTGAAACCAGACGAAAATAGGATACCACATCGTCTCCAACACCCGTAGCTCTCCCCGGATAAAGTATGGCAATTGCTTTGCAGCCGGATATCCAGTGGACATGCCCCCGAGTATTCTTAGCCTCTCGCTCGTTTTCCGTGGGCTGGCCGAGATTATCATCGCGAGCGCAGCGTCAAGGCAAAAGGCTAGAAGCAAGAAAGCTAACGCATGGCTACCGTAAGCTGCAGATGGCATATTCCCCCATTCAGTGGCGATGTTCAATGAGTTTCTGAACTTCATTCTCCCGGCCTGTCGTGCGTACCTGACGCAGTAGAATAAACGGTGTGTCCAGACAGCGGACTCAGGCGTCGTGCGCGCGGGTGGTTCGAATGCGTCATGACCAGCATAGCCCTTCGCGGTGTGGTATCCCTTCTCCAGTGCCCATCTTTCCAGGAAAAGCGCGGCACTCTCTTCGTTGTAGGAAGCAGAATCTGTCGGTTGTGCTCGTTTGAAAGATGTGCTGAACTCGCGATGCTGGAATAGAGCCTTCGGACAAGCTATAACCCGAGCGGCATGTTCCCCCAAAGACAACCCAATCCTCGGTTCCAGCTGGGTGTTTCCAACACGGGGGCTTATTTCAAAGAAAGGCAGTTTGAAGCGACGAATATGTTGGTGAATCATTGCGAATCCCACGGTGGGGCCGAAAGAAACCAACAAGCGATCCAAGAAACGACGGGGCCAAAAGACATTGGGATCAACGAGGACAACGATATCCGTTTCAACGATCTTGACGGCCTCGCTGATCATGTCGCATTTCCGGGTCTCTTCTGTACCAAGCACACGGATTGCAGTTTCTGGAAAGCACTCACAGAACCTGTTCACCATATCCTCTGTCCCTGCGAGCTCACTACTGGTCGTCACAACGATGACCTCTCGCACCTTGTTCAACAAGCAGGATGTTAGGCACTCTTCGACTCTTTGTCGCTCGGTATCAGCCGTCGAGATGATGGTGGTGCAGTTTCTTTTTTTCGTCTTTACGATGTCAGGACTCTCGTGCGTTTTGAAAAAGTAATAGAACACGCCCCATTGCGATATGAGGCGGACCACGCTGAAGCTAACCACCATGTAGGATATCACATGCTCCGGCGTTGAGACAAAATGCCAAAGGCGATCAGTGATGCTATCCGACGGCCCCGATTGGTAATCTTCGTAGATTTTATCGCAGAACTCGCAAGGATAGCCAGATGTAAGCCAAAGCACAGCAATGAACACTGACTTTACCGGTGATGCAAGGTCTTGGATATTGTGAATACCGCTGATTAGGAAATACAACACTATGTTGAGCACCGTGTGATAAACCATGGTGATCATCCTCTCAATATCCTTTTGTAGTCCAATGACTTCGATGAAATCAGTGACATTGAATTGCCCGGAGACGGCAATAAGAAGTAAGGTTACATTCAGTAAGTGACGAGAGAGACGAGACATCGTGGCAAAGTCAGGTCAACAAGGACGGAGAAATGGGTAGGTGAGGTGTTGTGATGACGAGTCAGGGTTTCGGTACAACTGCAAAGACGATAGAGCTCATCATGGCAAATTCCGGATATATCAATCTATTTAGACTTTTAATCTTAGGCCTATATTTGTAGCAATCTATGACAAAGGGCCCGTTTCATGGCACAAATGAGGTCGTGGAATTTTTTCTCCATCCATAAAGGACTGCAGAAGGCGAGCTACCCAGTAGGTGAAAGAGATGCAATGACCAACAAGATGGCCCAATCGGCCCAATTCGTGATTTACAACGAAAGCTACCGATCAAACATATTCCTCACAAAGAATACTCACAAGTAGTATTGTAGCAAACATTTAAAGGAAGAACAAAGGCAGAGAATCAACAAACTGGGTCCGTTTAGGCTAAAACATAGCCGGCCATCAACGCTTTGTGTGAGCAGAAATTCTTTGCATCAAGTTGGGTGTTAAATTTAGACTGGACATTCAAAAAACCGTGGAAGAATAATTCTGGAATTTTTGCTGTCGCCACGAGTCCACCTGGTGTTTACTTATGCTACACTACCTGTACCATTCTGCGAAGCTGCTATGGCTGTTACATAGTGGTAGGGCTCTATAAGCTAGTTGAGGAAAATAACGTTTTCTATGTCATGTTGCTCATGCTCCTCTCGTCCTTTTGGTGGGATTTTAGAAACAAATAAGAGCAAACGGGGTTTCAGGCGAACGACTTCTTTGTCTACACATTGTGAGTTCTTTCCTTTACCACTTAGAAATCTAGCAAGGAATTTCCTTTTTTTTTTCTTGTTCTTTGTTCTCTTCTACCTACCCAGTCCTTCAGAACTCAGCCCCGGTGCGCAATAGTACAGAATATTCTCAGCAGAACGTCATTTCGAATCGAAGGCAGAAAGTCGCTTTTCAATTCGTACGTGAACCTAAAAGCTTCCCCAGTAATGCAAATTATAATCCACACCATTAGGTCTCCACAGCGGCTTCGGAGTATAAACCGGAATCGGCACATCGGCTATAACGACAATCAGAATCTGCAAGCACACAAACAAAATGGGAACAGTAAACAAAACTTACTTCCGTATCCGGTGCTGGGTGCTGCCCAGGCCGGGCTCGGCGGCGCAGTCCATCCCGTTGGCGAAGCAGTAATTGTATACGTGCTCGTGTAGGCTTGAGGAGTAGCGTTTGGACTCCATGGCTTGATTCCGTTGTCTTCGTTGTACGAGTCGTCTCCTGTGCCGAAGATATTGCTGATCTTGTTGGCCACTTCGGTCCCGGATTCAGTCCATACGGAGAAGTCTTCAACGGTTACGTTCGTGGCGTAGGTGAGATCGTTGGCGATTAGGAAGAGAGGCGGACGTTTTACGCCGTTGGCGACAGACCCTGTGTTTCCTTTGAGTGTTTGGGTGAAAGAATGTGAGAAGACTGGCCGACGTACCGGTGAAGTTGCGGAAAACAAGATTACTCAAAGCGACGGCGCCACTGTCGGGCTCAAAGGTGTTTTGCCAGTATTGGTTAATGCTAAGGCCGTAGAGACTCGCCTTGGAGCGGAAATTCTCGAAGGTAATATTAGTGACGTAGCCTGATCCGCCAGGATAGGTCTTGATGAAGGCGATGTTGTTGCCCTGGATGATATTGATGTTTCGGGCGACCTTTTGGTTGATGTTAGTGTTTTTTCGTCAGATAGAGATAAGGAAAACTTACAATATTAGATATTTCGGCGGATACATTAAGACTTCCAATCGAGATCCCCGAGCCCGCTTGGTTACAAACCAGGTTTTCTACTAAAGCATGATGGGAGGGACTTTTCACAGATACACATTCGTCGCGGTTTGTCACCTGTTTCTGTTAGCTTCTTTTCCCACGGAGTTAAAAGTTGCTTCTAACCTCGTTATCATGAATGTAGTAATTCGTTCCAATTGCGTCGATACCATCGTAGCTACCCAGATTACCTCCCCGGATGGTCAAATGGTATGCCTCCACATTGACCGCAAAGTCAAGAATAATGTGGAATTTAGGGCTGTCCACGAGAATTAAGTCGTGAACTGACGCATTTGTGGGCGAAATCAGTCTCACGAGACGAGGCCGATCCGCACTTTCATCATGTTCAGCATGCGCATTCCCAGCCAACTCATCACCTGCAGGAGACTTACTTATTCAGATTTCGGTACAAATATCCCTGGCCCTGGAACGCACCCCGGCCATTAGAGGAGTAGAACTCAAAGTCGACCGCTATATCCCTAGTTAGTCTACAGATTTCCACTTCTGCTGAGAAAGCTTACCATTGACAATAACAAGGACATCTAGCAAGAACTTTTGGTCACCCTCCCCGTTGATGGTATCGTTCAGAACATCCACGCCGGCAAAGCCTTGGAGAATCAACCCACGTTCAATATTCCAGTCCCCTCCATACGCAGCCGTAATCAGTCCGTCGAGCTGGAATGCCCAGTTTGTAGCGTTGCTCAACACCACGCCCCGATTGATGAGGTATTCGCCTTCCGGGACAACCAGTCTGCTTCCCTCATGGCGGCGGACACAGTCATTGAAGGTCTTTTCCAATGCGTCCGCAATATCAGTGCTATTGTCTGCGACTCCGCCGTAGTCGAGGATGTTGCATTCTGTTTTCTTCTCCGAGAGGTCGGTTGTTGGACCGACACGGCCTATGAGTTGGCCGGAGATAGGGGATAAGAATAGAAGAAGAGGAAGGAGCCTCATTGTGACTCATGAAGGGTTTGAATTGCTTGTTGATACCCTTGAGCTAATACAGATATTTGCTGCTTTTAAGAATCGCTGATGTGCTGTGCCAATGTCTCAATCAAATGTCGACATTCTGCTCCTCCACTCATTGTGGATCTGATGCTATACAACTGATAAGGGGAACTGAACCCCGTCATCGGAGATTACAGAATGATGCAACCATATGGACAACTTACCTCATTATGGCATCGATGATACAATTCCTTCAGTAAGCATTTAATATCGCCGTTAGCGTGTCGAAGGAACAGTGAAGCTCTAGTCTAACTGTGGAAGGGTAATCTCCGATTCACGCAGCATTGCTTGAATAATGCTATACAAGTTATATTACTTATGGAAACGATCATATGACAAGTCTAGCCACCTATTTACGCGTCCTTAGATAGAGCCTCCTTCCTAGTCTTTGATTCGGCATCCAAGTACGGTTTTTCGGCCTGCGGCGCAACTCTGAGTCCGTGTCGGAGATGTGGGACTGGGAGCTCTAGTCAACAGAGTGTTTCTTTATTTCGTAGACGGGCACTTACAGTAGTCAAAAATCCCAGTGTGGAAAGTGGCCCGATTGTCCCAAATTGCGACCGCGTCTTTAGACCATTTCCATCTCACCTGGAACTCGTATCCTTCGGCCACGGTGCGGTAGAGGGAGTCCAATATCCCATCTCCGATTCTCTTCTCCAACCCCACGATCTCTTTGGTAAAATTCTCGTTCACGTAGAGAGTCTTCCAACCTGTCACCGGATGGGTGCGGACGACGGGGTGCTGTGGTAAATAGTTTAGGGCTCATTCGGTCATGTGGTAGGAAACAGTAACCTACGATAGTCTCGATAGGATCTCTGCGTAGGCAGCCACTCGTACGCAGCGCTTTCTCTGCTTGTTCGAGTCCGCTGTGTTTGGCCTCCAATGTCTCCAGGAATGCTCGCAGTTTAGACGAAAGCGCTAATCACACATTTCTCAGTAACGAGATATCACGAATCATCGAGGAAAAGGAAACCTACACTCGTACAACGCATACCCACTCGCCCAAATGGTATCTCCCCCAGCTAGGGTGCCATCTGGCCCTGCCTCCGGGAGAGTATCCATCTTAAGCAGCGTCAATCCAGGCGGCTGGATCTCGTAACTTACATCGGAATGCCAAATCTGGTGAGAGCGTCCGTTCACAGCCGTCTCATCCTTGTGGATCGGATGCACCCATGGTAGATCAGGTATAATGCCAGCCATCTGATGAATGTGCAGATCACCGTAGTACGCGCCAAACGCAATCTGTTCGTGCGCGTCCATCTCCTGGTCGCGAAAAAAGACAACGCCCCGTTCGGCGACCAGACGCGCTAGATCATCCTTTTGCTCGTCGGTCAGATCGGTAAGCTGCAGGCCGACAATCTCGGTGCCGATTTCGGGGGTCAGATGGATGATAGAGGTAGCGGCGCCCAGGAGCCGGGATTTAGCTGGGTCGGAGTTTAGGCCGCGGTCTGTAAAAGGCTTTTCAACGAGGTTGGGTAGCTTGAAGGGCGTGTAGTTCGGGTATTGCAAGCCCGCGGCGGGCACAGACTGCAGCGGGGATACGCCACGTGGAGTAGTGTATTCCGGGTGGGGAAGGCCTTTGGGGCGATCAGGGAGCTGTAGCTCTTTCTTAATGGATGGCATTTTGTAGGGCCTTAGCTACCCTTCCTGAGAACACCGAATTTATGAGATTTTGGACTGTATGGTTTGGCCTATGGCCAGGGAGTGGACGTGGTATATAAGCTTCTGCCACGCTGCTCGTTCCACTCTCACATCTCTTGGGTCATAGCTTAGTTGCAGTTCGTTTAATATCCGGATAAGGTCCTACTCTAATATCACGCCATTTTGGTCAGCATTGATTCCATCCTCGATAAAGAGGGGATTAATGAATTATCAACTATGGCCTAGTCAACCATACTACTCAACAATCCTGCGGTCCTGCCACCCACCCACCCCACAAACTAATCACCCTATCAGCTCATTAATGAAACCTCTCTAACTATCAAAGAGGAAGTCCAGTCGCTTGTTTCCCTCGTCGCTAGTCGTATCCAAATAATGCGCTTTCTCCTGCTCGCTCATCGCCTCCCACTTGGCCTTCTTCCACTTGTTCCGCCATGCATAGTACACCTTCGCCAGAACGTATGCTACAATAGTGGCAACATTGATTGCAATAAGTTGGCCGTCTCCCCGATGATAATATGGTTTGTCATCCTCGCGATAGATGTTCGATGACGCGATTCCGGACAATTGGATGGTAATATTGTACACGGCCGCGCTAACGGTTCGGGTTCGCACGGCGTTACTAATTCGAGAAGTCCAGCCGACATGAGCAGCATGAGGAGAGGGCCAACCCAGAAGCACGAATGTAACCGCGTACAGACCCCAGCTGGAGAGCGAGCTGGCGGATGTGTAGAGAACGATGAGCAGCGGCAGAGACCAGAGCTGGGTGAAAATGCCCACGATTGAAATCTGGTGGAATCGCTCGGTGATTTCGGTGATGATGAGCAGGTTGATAGCGGCGAATACGGTGACTGGGATTCCGAGGAGTGTTGTCTCAAACGTGCTGAATCCGATCGCCTTGAGGGATAAACTGAGATATCCTTTCGGTGGCCCGGTGGGGATCTCAAACAGAATACCGATGATGTAGATCGGCCACAGATCGTAGTCTTTGAGACTTTTCCACAGCATACCCAGTGATAAGGCTTGACGGTTGTGCATGTCTCCTTTGGATGGATCGTCGCGGAGGACACGGTTGACGATAATCTTTTCCTCGCACTCCGTGAAGTAGCCACTCGGGTTCCACCAGGTTTTGGTTTGTGTCGGTCCCGGGACGAGGAACAAAAAACTCAGGAAACCGATAACGATACTGATCAAGGCTTCAATGAGGAACAACCATTGCCATCCGGGGCGAGATTGAACACCACGCATATGCAAGACTCCGTAGGCGATGAACGATGCAATGACACCAGAGATAGAGTCAACGAACCAAAAGAACGCCAGCCGAAGAGGCATCTCCGACTTGGTGTAGAAATATGAGAGATACAAGATCGCGTCCGGAATAAAACCACCCATGAAGAACCCCAGGAAGAAGCGACAAGCAAAGAACCCAGCGCGATTGTGGATGAAGAACTGACCTCCCGACGCCAGGCTCCACATGATGATCTGCGCGGGGATCCATCGATCAGGACCAAGTCGTTTTCCAATCATTTGGGATGGAATCTCTGCAATCAGAAATCCAATCCGGTACATGTTCTGCGCGTTGTTGTAGTCATTCGTGTTGATGTTCAAATCATCCAGTAGATTGTCGGCGGAAGCATTGCCCAGATTGCCTCGGTCGAGGTTCAGACCGAAGAACATAACAAGAATCCAGAGGAAGATCTTTATGTCGCATTTGCGACGCACAGCGGTCTCTTCGCGGTGCGTCCATCTTTCGTTGGGGTCGAATCGGTGCAAGTTCTCGTACTGGGGATGAGGCTGATAGTATTTTGCCAGTACAGGGTCGTCGAAAACGCTGCGTGTAGTGGCAATGCTGTCAGGGTCTACGCTCCTCTTCCTTGATAGGAAAGCAGAAACAAAAGACCTATATTGTGGACGCTCGTCTGGCTCAGCCAGGTCGACCACGGTACCGTCTTTGGTGAACTCTGGATTGGGCGTCTTAGACATTTTCACCGTCACGAAGGTCCAGGCAGACGGTTTAGTCGAAAGGAATAGAAGACGAACCTAGCAAATGCCTTCACATTTTTGCGTAGCATTTTGCAGTAGATATATACTACCACTATCTACCTCGAGATATTTCAGACATGCTGCGTTCGTGATGCCGGGAGACAATGGTGCAAGCAAGTAGCCCAAGAAGCTAAGCTTTAGAACAATGCCATCAAGCCATTGACTACTTACTCTTGGTACACATTCTAAGCAGCCAAGACATCTAGGAATTGAACGAGAGGCGCGACGGGGATGGCGCAGATGATGTGCTCACCGCGACGAGTGTTGCCATGTAAGGGCGGATGGCATCAGCCTACCTCCGAGCCCTAATTGATGGCTCTCCCCGCTCCAACGTCCCAATGTCAGCATGATAAATTAATGAGCCATTCAGACTTTTAACAGCTATCATTTATATTAACTTAATCTCATGATTGAGGGAAAACCCCGACGCCCTTGATCTATCAGAGTTAAGCACTGGCTTAAAAGTCTTGGATACGCCATCGTGGGAGGCGATGGTGACTGCCGAACTGGGCTTTCGGAGATTTCTATTTGCTTGTTTCTAACCGAGACGTTCATTTTATCCGATCCTAGATTATCTCTGGTTGAAATAACCTGCTATCCAAGGTGCTCGTTTTGTGCTTGACCCTGTCCAGATCTCGTCCCTTCTGTTCTTAGTACGACCGACGGGTGAGTCGAAGTCCCTGCATCATGGTCTCTGATGAGACGAAGGTAAGGCTAGAATGGCTCGGAGATTGCCCGGACGAGCCCCGAACCACATTCGGCGTTCCATGGCCACGAGGAAAATATTATCCTGGTCGGACATCCTTCGCTCTTAGCGACGGGAACGGTCAGTTAACACCGCTACAATCCTGGGTCAATGCGTACTGGCCAGACGGGTCAGTGAAATGGACCGGGCATTCTATTTCCTCGGAGGAGAGCGTTCCAAGCGGACACTTTATCAAGGCGATCGGAGCAAAAGAACATGTGGACCTGTCTACTGGATTTCAGATTCGACATGACAAAACCGCTAAAGAAATCTATGTTGACACTGGAAAAGTGTCCGCCACTTTCCCCACTGAAGGTCCGATTGTGATAGAACAAATCACAAATAGCAATGGTAATGTTGTTGGATCGCAGGGAAGACTGATATTACTCTCTCAGTCTGACCAGTCCATCAATTCCGAATTCCATGGCTCGGTTGAAGACGTGACCATCGAGCAGGAGGGTCCTATCAGAGCAATCGTGGCAGTCAGAGGAAGACATGGAATTCCTGCTGCTGCAGACTCTTCTACCCAGGCCTCATGGCTTCCATTCATCCTGCGCTTTTACTTTTATCGGCGATCTGAAGAGATCCGCATTGTCCATACCGTCATTTACGACGGCGATCCCCAAAAGGTCTTTATCCGGGGTATTGCGATTCGATTTGATGTCCCTCTTGGCAATGAATTGCCTTTTAATAGGCATGTGCGCTTTGCTGGAGTAAGCGATGGGTTATTGGGCGAGTCCGTTCAAGGAATCACAGGTCTTTGGAAAGATCCCGGTCAGCATATCAGGTCTGCTCAAGTGCATGGCCAGACTCTACCGCCAAAAGAGACATGGGACAATCAAGTTGGAGAGTATGTGAAGTGGGTTCTTTGCTGGAACGATTACACCCTGAATCAACTGTCTCCCGACGGATACATGATGAAAAAGCGAACCGCCCGTGGATATAGTTGGGTCAATATCCCTGGAGGGACCCGTGCCAATGGGCTCGCGTATCTCGGCAGTGCGACCCATGGTGGCCTCGCGATTGGAATGAGGTTTTTCTGGGAGAGGTATCCAACAGGATTAGATATTCGAAACGCGGGTACGCCAACAGGGCAGGTCACACTATGGCTTTATTCTCCGTTAGCAGAGAAGATGGATTTGCGTCCCTATCATGACGGGCTCGGGCAGGAGACATACGATGACCAGCTGGACGCACTACGCGTCACATATGAAGATTGGGAGAAGAATAAAGGGTCGCCGTATGGGATTGCGCGCACAAATGAACTATCCATCTTCGCTTTCAACCGGACACCTTCCTCCAAGCAGCTTTCTAAAGTTGTGAAGCTTCTACGAGAACATCCGGTCTTAATTCCTGACAGAGCACACGTCCTATCTACCAAAGCGCTAGGCACATACTGGGCGCCCGAAACTACATCCCCCAGTCGAAGTCCTTCTCAAACAGCTATCGCGCACAACCTTGACTTTCTTCTTTCCTACTATGTAACCCAGATTACGGAGCGCCGATGGTACGGCTTCTGGGATCACGGCGACATTATGCACACGTACGACAGGGACCGACACGCCTGGCGATATGACGTTGGAGGCTACGCATGGGATAACTCCGAGCTTTCCCCGGATCTCTTCTTTTGGCTCTATTTTCTACACACTGGAAGAGAAGACGTCTACCGGCTAGCCGAGACACTAACTAGACACACCTCCGAGGTCGATGCATATCACATAGGGCCGTGGGAAGGTCTTGGGACGCGACACGGTGTACAGCACTGGAGTGACAGTTGCAAGCAGGCACGCGTGTCAAGTGCAATTTACAAGAGGGTGTTTTATTATATAACGGGGGGCGATGAACGCACGGGAGAGCTGCTGAACGAGACGTTGAATGCCGGCAAGACGCTGTTGACTTTGGACCCCTATCGCAAGGTCCGCCCGGATAAATCATATATCGCATCTGCGGATGCCGTGACGATTTCGCTTGGGACCGACTGGTCCGCATTTGCTGCAGCGTGGTTCACCGCGTGGGAGAGACGCATCCCGAACTGGGAAGATTCGTTCCAGAAGCTTCGTCTCTCCATGCAGGGAATTAGCAATCTACAGAATGGTTTTGTCACCGGCACCGTGCTCTATAATATCAACACCGGTGATGTCCTGCCCCCTTCACATGACTCGAATGATACCGGAGTTGTTAAGGTGTCCCATCTTTCTGCTATGTTCGGGTTATTCGAAATTTGCGCCGAGATCATCGACTCTTTTGGAGACACGCTGCCACTTGGTTTTCAGTCCGCATGGATAGATTATTGTCGGTTCTTCAACGCAAGCCCCGAAGAGCAAAGAGCCAGATATGGTGTTGATTTTGGATCGCTGATCCTGCGTCAGGGACATTCACGGCTAACTGCTTATGCGGCGAGGACGCTACATGATGCAGGGATTGCAAGGCGGGCGTGGAGAGAGTTTTATACTGGAGATGGCTATGCGGCAGATGCGCCGTGGAAGAGTGAGCTGGTGCATGGGAGTCAGGTTCCTGTTCCCGTGCAGGAGGCTGGATGGGTGTCGACGAATATTTCCGCGCTGTACGGATTGGCGGCGATTCAAAATTTGGCTCTGATTGGGGATCCTCTGTCAAGCTCGAGTGGAGATGATTGACCACTTCTACTTGCATTGCTTCGAGGTCCAGAACTCATGATGGTGAGCCCAACTCTTCTTTTGGGGGTTTTATTAATGAGTTGTTGTGCTCCCTTCAAGGGCATCTCCGCCAGTACATAGGACAAAACACATGAAATTTGATTTACTAAATGGCTAAAGATACTTATAATTAGTAGAAAAGCAAGAACAACAACTGACCCGGCCTAGCCCGTGTTCATAACAAAAGAGTTCGCATCTTACTTCTTCATTTCACTCGAACTCTAACCCCTTGAGTCCCCGGTTTCGCATGCGGCAAAAACATATCACGATAGCAATCAACCGCACTGCGATCCGTCTCGAACAATTCAAACTCAAAGTTCCTATATATATTCGCCATCGCGATATACATCTCCGCGTACGCGAGGTTAATTCCAAGGCACGAGCGCGTCCCGCGGCCAAACGAGACCAGGTACCGGGTGAGCTTCCTTCCGTCAGGGGCGAGAGGATCACCGAGCCAGCGCTCTGGTCTAAAGGTGTATGAGTCGGGGAATATTCTTTCATCGTGCGAGACAGAATAGTTGTCCATGCTGATGATGGTGCCCGGAGGAATAACGTAGGATTTATAGGTGAGAGTGATGTGGTCGGAGATGCGGGAAGCGCGTTGCGAGACCCCGTAGGAGAGGCGGACACCTCGAGATAAATCAGTTCCAATAAACCATATAAACTCGAGATAGAGGGAATTGACAGCTCACATTCTTGAATACAGGCTGTTAGGTAGGGAAGCTTTTCCAACTCGCTCAATGACGGGATGTGATTGGGATCCGGAATGGCCGCATCAAGCTCGCGACGAAGGCGCAGGTAGATGGAAGGTGTGTTGATAATGTGAAAACTTGCCACTGTAAGGGCATATTTCGTTGTCTCAAAACCAGCTCCAATTACAGTGATCGCTTCGTGCTGCAAGCGGTTTAGGGTGACCTCCTGCGGTGGTAGATCAGACTCAAGCAGTGCATTGAAAACAGTTTTCCTGACCGATGCCTTGGAGGTTGCTCTATTGTCAAGAATGTCGGAGATTTGATTTCTCATTTCCTGCACAATCTCAGTATTTGTAATTCGGGAATGTTGAGCGTTGGACCTACTTTATTGTAGTGGTTAACTGACTTGAGCCCCGGCTGCATCGCCTCCGCCACCTTTTCCGGCAGCGCATTGAAAATTGTCGCAACCCATGGAAATTGCGTCACTAGATGCACCCCGTCCAGCAAGTCAAACAACGCCTGTATAAAGGGCGAACTAAAGTCCGGGGCCTCCAAGAACCCGTATCCGCGATCGAAACAATATCGAACAATGATATCTGACGCAATGCATCCCCACATCCAATCGAGGCGCAGGACTTTCCCAGTCCCTTTATACTCCCGGCGAAGACGCAAGCATAGGTTTCCGAGTTGTTCCTGCATCATTTGTGCCGCACCAGAAATTGCTCGCTTCGAGAAAAAGGGATTCAACGCTGCGCGTCTGTGTCGGTGGGCCTCGTGCTCGGGGGTCGGGAATGTACCGGTAGCGTTATTGAATCGATGTTCGAGGTGTTTCAGCTTATCCCACTGATGGGATTGGGAGAACATTTCTTCGAAGAAAGCCGAATCTTGGATGTGAACCTCGAAGGGGCTAATACGAACAATCGGGCCTGTGTGCAAGCCGATGATGAGTGAGTTGATATGGACCTATAAGCATAGAACAGGGTAGAATAATGCCTTTACCCACCATATTCTTCATGAAGTTTTCGATAATGGAAAAGGAACTGTCCCCCTGGTTGCTTGAAGAACTCATAATACGTTTCATACCACTGCGTGAAGGCCGCCAGTTTGGGGCCCGGAAACTTGGCCAGCGGATGCAGCGTCAGACGGTACACGCCCAAAATCAGAAAATAAGCCAAGCCAAGAACAGTCAGTGTCCCCGTGGCCCTTATAAATGACCCGGTACATGGTTGTAGCAAAACTACCAGATCGTGGGTGAATCCCATGGCGATGGTTTGGGTTGTGCAGAACCAGGATCTTGGGATCTCGCTCCACACAAACACCCTCGACCCGAGCCTTCGGGTTGAGTAATTCTAATAACAAAAGCCATCCTTCCAGGTGGAGGGCCGGCATATCTCAGCATCAAATCAAAATGACCTCCCCTTTTGTGGGGCACGGGCCGTGCGAACTGTCGCGGTGGAGATGAAGAACTTCTGTCTTCCCTCCTTGACAGGTTTTGCTGTCGCGGACATCAACTGCCTTTGCGGGCATTGGCAAATCAGACCAGCGCCAATCCGTGAAGAATCACCCCATCAGGAAGTCCAGGCCTCTTGGGCGCTCCACTTCTGGAGTAATCGGTGCAGATCCCACCTATCAGGCTCCTTCGGACGGTCCGTGGGCTTCCTTCACGAGCCAGTGGCTCTTGATTTGACGCATGCGTGTGTTTCTACCATTTTGCAAACGGTCTGCGCGGTGCAGAACTTTCTTCATGAAAAGACGCTACTCCGTCCTAGCTCGACCTAAAACGACAGTGCAGAACTTTGACAGCGCGGGAGTTGATAGCCGGGCGTATGACATGTCATGCCGATGCCATTATTGATGCACCTAACCTGCTTGCAGTATCTGGCTGCGAGGGGGCAGACAAACAAGTTGATGAGAACAATGTCTCGGTTGCCTTCATTTGCGTTGGATAGTGGAGAAACGTTCGTTTTTGGCAATAACTTTTGGCACCAACAACGCTCAAGCCACCGCCAACTTGCATATCGCTACTCATTTTAGCTTTTGTCAGACGGGGCCATATTCCATGGCTGTCATCTTATTGTTCCAATTGGGAAAGGCCTAACATACCACTTGGAAATTGCCCACTTTTGCTGAGAATTTTTGAATAGTTATTGGCAGAACACGGCTTGTGGAGGGTTGTAATCTGTAGGGCTTGCAATGGCAGTCTGCCCACTTCCCTATTGCGATCTCCATCTCACTTTCCTAGAAGAGCTCGTATCGAGGCGAATTAATAATCCGTGGCTTGCAATCCCTTGCGGATCTGATCGGTCATGACAAATTCAATGATTCCGAATACTGGTGGATTGCATGGGAATTCTCGCAATGAAGTGGAATGAATATGCCAATATCTCAAGTGGCACCTGCTTTTATCCCTCGGGAATATAATCGCCTGCACCACGAAGTATGTACAAACATCAGCAAAGCTCCTCCCCCTTAATCCTCACAGACAATTATTGAAGAACCCCACACGGCTTCAGACTATCGTCCCGATCAGCCAGCCTAGCGAGTTTTTTCATCGTAAAACCCGCCAAATTCCCGATACCACCGGTCCACCAAGTCCCCACTCATCCCCGGTGCGATCATCTCTTCCCCTTGCTCCCACTTCGCGCTTACATCGTCCATGAACTCCTCGATCGACAATGCATTAGGATTGTTGTGCCTTTTGTTATCATCGGGGTCTTCCCTGTCGCGATGCAGATTGGTCTCCACCGTTGGGGGCGCAATCTCGATGACGCGGATTTTTTCATAGCCGCTCTGCTGCAACTGCGTGCGGAGATTCATGCTCCAGAAATGCAGCCATGCTTTTGTACCGCCATAGGATGGGTTGATGGGAGCAAATGGGAGGAATCCCAGCACCGAAGACACGTTGACGATCACGGCTCCGTCTGGCTTTGCTTTGAAATGCTCGAGAAGTCTCTGAGTAAGGTGCATCGGTCCGCGGATGTTGATATCAATTTCCTGGTCCGCTTTCTGGAAGATATCTTCGGGGCTTTCCTTGACTAGGTCAATGGGTCTCTGAACCCCGGCGTTATTGATCAGGCAATCCAATTCGGGATGTTCGTGCGTAATGCGTGAGATGAAGTCCGGGAATAGGTCCACGACCCCTGTATCCAGGACATAGTAGGCAGTCACGCCGAGTTCCTTGGCGGTTGCTTTGAGGTTTGATTCGGTTCGGCCGGCGATGATGACCTTTTTGCCTTTGGAAACGAGGTACGAGGCGATTGCTTTGCCGATTCCGCCACCTCCACCAGTGACCAGGGCGCAAGAGAAGTTGAGATTATCGGTCGGCATAGTGATGAGTTTTCAGTTTCAGGTTTTGTGTGATATTGTTTTCTGTTCTTTCCGGCGTCCGGGAGAATTTATGTTCGTCCAAGTGCTACATAATTGCGTCATCATCAGCGGAGCGGAGCGGAACAGCGGGAGTTTGCGGACTTCCGCAATTCCGCAACCCCGGCAGGCACAATTCCACCTCCCTCTCTTAAATTCCATCATCCATATGGAGCGAAAAGGTTGGCCGTGAACAGCTGGTCAAGGTCCAAAAATTCTCCATAATTGTAGTGGCCAGTATCAGTTTGCTGTAGCCCAAAATCAGGGTTTAACGGGCTCTGACCGAGTGATCCGGCATTATTAATCTCATTCGTGAGAATATCGCTCGCCATGCTGTTCAGCAAGTCGTATTCTTCCTTCTTGCGCTGTAACTGTATGCCGATAATATAGCTTGCGCTGGCAACGGCCTCTTTCAGAACATTTGTCCCATAACAATCCGCAATCACTTGTAGCGCCCGAAAAGATTTCCTCACACCCTCGAGTGAAGACCGAGAATCAATAGCCAGGAGAACGCAGATAACTTGAAAGGGCACATGCGCTATATGCCACCAGGGAGAACGCGTATAGGCGAGATCCACTGCCGTATCAACACCTTCTCCTGCCAGCTGAAGCACCAGGCCGGTTACTTCGCCCGTACCCGTCCGTCCGAAGGCTCGGATTCTGCGATATATGCACATGCCAATACTACAGCGTTTCAACTGCAGCAAGGGATGAGAGAGTTTCAATGCGATGGTTTTCCGAAGAAGGTTTTCTAGCTCTGTCGTATCTAGATACCTGTCCACATCCAGAGCATCGGATAACTGCCATATTGTGATTTGGTCCGCGGTCAATCCTTCCGTTGGGAGCGAGCAGGAAGCTCCGCGCAAGTTAACTCGCGAGCGCCCGTAGTCGTAGGAAATCCACATGTGAAAAAGCTGGGAAACGCAGTATAGCCGTCGTCTGGAATCCGGAGTGTAACCTATGTCTGTAGCGGTCGGCATCGTGCCCGATGGCTCAAGGTGAAGGTTTGTCGTTTCCACCATATGCATCAGCGTGCAGCTAGCCATCCATGCTGCATGCGGCGAGCTAGTGAGCCGCAGATAAAGAACACGCAGGAGCCACCCGGTTCCGTGGTCCACTGACGGCAGTTCCAATGTGGTTGAATGTTCCAAGGTAACGCGAGCGCTGTGCACAATCTGCGCCTCGATATTCTTCGGTTGGGGGCTGAACAGACATCCCAGCGCAGCAATTCCGAGCAGCACACATTGCACGGGGTCAAAAAGTTGTTGTTCGGGAATGGTTTCAATGGCAACGTCAACCATGTCAAGATCTGCGAAGTTATACGCGGTGTGAACTTCTGCAAAGTAAACCGATGCCAACCCTCGCATTGCATCTACCGTTAGAATCTCGCAAAGTGGCAATGGTGCAAGGTACTCGGTTGGTTTCTCTCCAATTCCCAAGTTCCATGCAAACAAGCGTAGACCGCCGGGGATCGTGGACTCTGTAGACGAAAAGCCCAACTTTCTGGCCAATACAGCGGCGGAATTCACGTCAGCTGAGAGAGGCGCCGAGATGGGCTCATCGGGTGTCACTGTAGGCTTCATATGTGTGCGCTGGGTCGATCCTTCCGTCGGACTCTTCCGTGCAGGTCGTCTCGTTCGAGGACGATGGTCGTATTTACAGTCGTAATTGGCCTTGGCGCAGCTCTGACAGGGTTCCTTGCCATCACATTTCCTCTTTCTCTCCCGACAAGGGATACAAGCGTTTTTCGCTCTATCTGGAGGCATGACGATGTCGGTTTTGGTTTCTAGCTCGTTCGAAATACAGGTTGATATCTCTGCGTAGTCATGAGCGATGTGATGTCTATTTCAAAGTCAAGAATGCGGTCATAGAACCTTGCCAACGTGCATGATTTTTTTTTTTTTGGATCAGCCAGAGTTTGGCTTACAATTGGTGGTGCATTTTCATATCTTCTTGTTAGCCACCGATATATATTCCGCGTCATCTCAGAAATCAATGGGCGAAAAATGAGATTCAAATTTCTGACTAAGCAAGCATAGAGTCTAACTAGTTGACTGCGAACAGAATGATGGAATCAGGGCAAATCAAAGCAGCAACTAAAAACCCTACGCAATATCACTATATCAAAGTAATACTAATATTGTCTGAGGTCTTCAGCAGTCACGTTGTCCTCCGCAGGGCCGACGCGCATCACGGGGAGTGCAAACAAACAAAACTCGGCAGCGGCGCACACCGGATCTTCCTTCATTTTCGAGTTTCCACCTTTCGCTCTCGCTTTCTCCCACAACTCGCCCACTCCCTGGCAGACCGACCCACTTGAGTTCTTACCACGCTTCATTAATATTCATCCAACGTGGGAGTCAGGGGTGGTAGGGTGGTATAACAGATCGGAATCCTGGTCTGCAATTCGCATACATGCTTGCGTGAGCTGATTACCGTTCGCTCCACATCCTCTGACCCTACAGAGTAAGTAGCATGCATTGTTGCTCTCCCCTGACTTGGCTAATTATGCTTAGTGTAGGAAAAAGCTTGGCGTTGTCAACCAAAGGATTCGAATCGGCCCAAGAGGCAAGAGCAAGCCTCAGAATTCGATGAGAGCGTTCCTAACTTCTTAAAGGAGTAGTTTTGATGCGATCGGTTTTCGCATCCCAAGGTGTTTCTCGATGCTCACGATGAAAACACAATAATGATAGCCAGTCTTGCACTGCCTGGATGCACATCGCGTTGGCTTTCCTGTGCACCATTCTTGAGCAGAGCCGGTCCGTCGTCGCTGAAAGAAGCGTCATGGCGATCGAATCCGGCATAGACCATGGAAATCACGCGCCTGTAGGAGGGTTAGATCTGCGAATCAACCTTAATCCTCCAGTCAGAAAAGCGTTCAGGACCAAAAGGAATCGCGCTTAGATTTTAGCCTCTCCATTCGGGTGCCCTGCTTGCCACATCGGTGAGGCTGTGAAGCTATGAAAACCCTTAGTCGGGGTCTCAAGCAGCCTGTTGGAAGAGCTACCGTTGAATATCTCCATTCTTCGGCCCCCACGACTTGGCATCCCATGTTGCGGACGGAACATTCACTACCATTTTCAATAAATGTGCGGTCGCGCCCGCTATTTTCAGAATGCGCAAGGTCACTTTCCCCTCAATATCTTCATAAATGTCTTGGTTGGTCCCCGTACTTAGAGGGACTGTCAGCGGATAATGCCGAGGTCGGTAGAGCTGGACTCTCTCCAGCCTTCCTGCGACGGCCAACGGGCGAACTCATACACCAGCGAAACCCCGCTCATGTGGCAGGGTTCGCCGTCACTAAGGCCTCAACCAGAACCGAAAGGAGGTCAGGTCTCGGAGGCTTCTGTCAGTCCTTCAACAAATCCCGACTATGAGAAGGCCGCAACACAGGATGACCATGAATGCTCTCCTCGTTTGCCCATGTTCAACCCTATTTGGCTTAGCAAAACTTGTCTGGGCGGATTCATCGTGGCTCTAGTTCTGATTGGCATTGCTCTTGGTCTTGTCTACCATTTTGCGGAAACTGATAATGGTTTCAAACTACTTTTTGATGATCGCTATTCCTGGGCGTACGGCCCAACTGTAGGTGTGTTTTGAATTCATTAGTTGTTGGTAACAAAGCCTGGGGCTGATCGTATAAACTGAAAGTCATGGTTTTTATCGCTGGTCTTTGGCGACAGGTTGACTACTGGTGCAAATGCCTGTGTCCCTGGCGGGAATTACGGCAAGGATGGGTACCCGCGGAAAAGTCTTTATTTCTAGACTACGTTGGTCAAATCCATATTTTCGGGTGCTGGACCGCCTTGAGGAATAAACACTGGACTGTATCGGCTTCCATCGTTGGTGTCTTACTCTTGAAATTGATGGTAAGAACGCAAAGACGCAGTCTACCCCGAAATTCTTGCTGAGGACCAGGATCTGATAGACGGCATTCGCATCCGCACTTTTGGTCGTCCAGCCTGCAAAAGTGCGCAGTGGCTCCATCCCCGTTTACGAGGTTGGTATGAACTCCAGTGTTCCACATTTTGAGGACATCAATTTGTTCAGCTCAACCTATGCCTACTATGGAGTCCTGGCGCATGGTTTGCCCTATCCCAAAGGAACGTCCCCTAAATTCGTCGTGCCAAATATCTACCCAAAAGATCCTCTTCCCGACGGCACCACTCGTATTGCGGCCAACGTCACGGGCTACTGGCCAAGCTTGGACTGTCAGCCAGGAAGCCTGAATTGGACCATGCTAAGCCCTGATCCCGACACCCATGATGATAAGGATAGGGTTAGAATTCGATTTGAAACCGAGGATGGCCGTTGCTCTGTTGGTAAATTAGTCCCGGATACTGCCGTATTCTCACTGAATGATCACTTGCGTGAGATACTACCAGAGAAATTGATTTATCCTCGGATGGCGAACCTGTACGCTAATTGCACTGGCAACGAAACGAACTCCGATATCCATCCATCACTGCGTCTCCTGTTTACCGTCCTTGACGTCCGAAACACTCAGGACCTCAAGCCTAATGCAGAACAGCTTCTACGTTCAGGCGACGATGTCAAGGTGGCAAATTCGGCCACTGTTGAGATCAAGAGCGCCACGGCCATTCTCTGCAAGCAAGATCTGGTCGGCAAGCGAGCGAGAGTTGAAATAGATCCCTCTGATGTGGATACTCAGAGAGGACCGGGGCTTGACGTCACTCCTATCTCTACCCTAACTACTCAGACATTGCTGCAAGGGCACTCCATGGATGAACTAGCTAATAATTACTTCCAGATGATGTGGAGGTTTATGGCAGGATCTCCTAACCTTCTTGGACAGGACAAAGCGACGGAGGATGCTTATAGGCCCTTTTTCCGTCTCATGCTAGCGGAGAGCGACAGCCCCGACTACGAGTCGTTTCTAGACACCAAGCGCCTCACAACAAGCGCGGCCAACGTTTACATCGGTCTGGCAGCCCAGTCGGTCTATTATATACTCCATACCTTTCTCAAATCACCCGATCAAGAAATTCCTGGGGAGGCTTTCCGCAATGAGAACCGCTTGTTTGTGCAGAAGACTCCAATTGGTGTGATGGTTACCTGCGTTGCTCTCATGATATGCATCTCAGTGGGTGTGATTATGACTAGTCCATTCAATGTTGTTCCTCGGAGTCCAGATAATATTGGTGCTATCATGACCTTCCTTCCCAATAGCAAATTGACGAGGGTGCTTGCCGGAACCGCTTATTGGCCTTTCCCGCGGATTAGAAATGCTCTCAAAGGACAGCGATTCCGGACTCGTTTGGAACCGTCGCCCACTGATCGTTATGCGAAACCAACGAAACCAACATTCACTATTGATGTGGATCTTCAGGATGCGTCTGAGAAGCCACAAACTCCGGCTGAGAAAACACCTGAGGTGTTGGATAACACACCGCAGAAGATTTGGAAGCCCCTAGCGTATAGTTTTCCTTTTCGTTTGCTTGTGCTAGTATCTCCTATTGCTGTTATAATCGTCATCGAGACTCTGCAGCAGGTGTCGACTAAAAATGGCGGGTTTATGGACGTTCCGAGGGACTCTAGTGTCCTCTTCTGGAGCAAGTTCATCACCTCCGGAGTGATGGTCTCCCTCTGTCTCATGTATGGGACCTTTGATTTTGGGCTTGCATTGCTTGCCCCATACCGCGTACTCAGTCAAGGTTGTGCCGCAAATAAGCGCGCAATGTTTGCGAATTATCTTCGCGATATACCTGTATTTGCACTTGGGAAATCATTATCCGATCGTCAACTTGCTGTGTTCTTCAGTCTTTTCGCCACGCTCGCTGCAAGTTTGTTTACGATTGCCGCATCAGGACTTTACATAGTGGATTACCAGGTGAGTTGACCGAGTGTCGCCGATCTTTTTGAAAATCGATATTGTGAACTGATTGTGGGACAGAACACTTTGAGTCGGACTATGGCAGTCCACCGAAGCGATGTGTTCAACTTGACTTGGCCCAATGCCTACAATGACAGTCATGCGGGCACTGTGCTTAATCTTATTGAGCAGTCAAACCTTACCTTCCCTCGGTTTACGTATGGAAATCTGGTTTTTCCGGTAGTTTCATCCCCAGTGTCCTTTGAACAGAGAGGGGACAGCACCGGCCAGGAAAATGGGCATATGACTCTTCGAGTACCCGCTCTTCGCCCACGGCTTGATTGCAAGCCCCTCGACACGGCTACCTTATATACGGGCAAGACCTCATCAGCGCTAGAGCCTGAGAAACGGGTACCTTACGCTAGTCTCCAGACCACCATCAATCTCGAATCCATGTATCCGAAATGCAAGCGCGGTCGAGCGTACGGAGATAAGAATCTGTTTAACTTTAACAGCACAATTTACTTTCCTGAGAGGCAAGTTGGTAACGGACCCATCCTTCAGACACCCGTTTACGGTGGTTTTCTTTTCGATCTGCATCTCGGAGACATCCTTGAAAACGAGAATGTCAGCTCGCGATATACCCAGTTTGAGAAGTGGGGGAATAGCGATCTATTTGCCGACTGGTACTCGTACGGCGAGTCTCCCTCATATACGGAGGACAATTACGATAAGGGACAGAATCCAGAGGGGTGTCCTAGCGTCGGGTTCAGTTTCGGTGCATTCATCCCACTCTCCACCAACATGACCGAAGTGACTAGCGGGGTTTGCGATCAGTACATTGAGGAAGTCACCACGGAAGCTCGTTTCATTCTTCCTAGTCTCGAGCTCGACCCGTCGAACCCCCCTGTCCCCGATGAGTCGACCGCCCATGTGCTTGGGGATGGCCACGGGTTCGATATGCGACAATACCGCCCCCAATATAACATCGAACAGAGCATCCTCTACTTCAATGCGAACGCGTCCGGATACATGGACACCTTCTACCAAGTCGTTGTCCACGGCATCGACGGCATCCCTGAATCGGACCTCGTCGGAAAAGACAACATTCCTCGCCTCCTCAACGCCACCAGTGACCTGTACGGTAAATACATGGCGATCGCCATATCCTACAACATGCGCCAGAATACAACCTTCAAAAAAGACGACGACCTCGGCAGTGCCGCTTCTCGCTCGATTCAAGGCCAAAACGACGATTCCAACTTCGAGGCTTCGGTCGTGTATCCGTCCGCGCGCTTGAAAATTGATCGTCGAGCTAGTCTCGCGCTGGAGATTTTACTGGCTATTGCTTTCATCTGTAGTGCGATTGCTTGCGCGTTGGCATGGACTCCCGTGTTTATCATGCAAAATCCTGGCCAGATATCAGGTGCCGTGGCCTTGGTGGCTGGGAGTACGCTGGCTTCGCGTAAGGTTATACTGGAAGGGACTGAGTGGCTGAGTAATAAGCAAACGCAAGAGCGGAAGATCTTTGCTGGACTGCGATTGAGGCTGGGCTGGATAGATGATGATGATGGTAGAGGGCGGTATGGGATCGATGTTGATAATCGGCAATCTGCTTGAGTGCTTTTTGCTCCATAATGTGTGATCAATGAACTGAATTACAAGCTAGTTATTCAATCGAGAACTCTTAATTCACTCTCAATTTCACGAAACATGATATTTCTGTCAAGCATGCTCCCTGTCCGAGAGGAAAGGTCATGTGACGTCACCCTCAATGCATTGAATAATGCAGAACATAACTACCTAATGCACAAATCTGTCATGAATAACTCAACGACTTCCCCTCTTGGCCAGCAATCTCCCAGGTCTAATCAGCCACTACTACCACCCACCCAACGTATCCCTAGCATGGGAGAAGAAAGAAGCCCTTCCGACCTGGTATGCGACCACTGTCACTCTCACTTTAGGCGCCGCGAGCATCTCGAACGCCACACTCGTCGTCATCTCGAGTTACGGCCTTTTCCGTGCCAGTGGTGCTCAAGGTCATTTTCTAGAAAGTAAGTTTTCGATATCTTCTATGGCACGAGTACTTACTGTGTGATAGGGACTCCTTGAAACGGCATGTCACCACGCATGGGCCCAGCGCGGTTAGGTCGTACGCAGCTACTGCATCTCAGGAAGCGAAACGGGTCTCTCGGGCTTGTATGAAGTGCACGAAGTCAAAGCAACGATGCAACGGCCGGCAACCTTGTGATCGATGCCAGAAAAAACAGTCGATCTGCGAGTACTCGATGGTATCGTTGGTTGGTGGTGAAGAGCCTCGCTCCCTATCCCGTCAGTCTCCGCCCCCGGCTGCGATTGATCTCGCTCAAGCCGAGGTCTATCAACAAGAAACCGTAACATCCAATACTGGCTCCCTTGGCCCTCCTGATCTTTCTCAGTCAACGGAGTTAATGGACTATATTTTTAATCCGTTTCCGTTCATGGCTGTTGATAATGTTGATCACAGTCTGGCCGGTTTTCCGGCATCATTTTTTCTGGACTCAATTCCACAAAGTTCAGGCTTTCCAGATGAGAAGTTACAGTCACTGCCATACGGTACCCCAAATGTACCGCCATTTGACGATGGAACTCGTCATCACAGCGGACAGAACTTCTCTGCTACTTCAATGCTCGCCGATCCGCATGCATTACCTACCAATTCGCATTCTATAGAATTAACGAAAGAAACACCAATCTTACCAGCAGAGCATAACCAGCAAAGAGAGTCTACTGCCAACGTTCCCGACTCCATATCTGATGAACAGGAGATACTAGTTAGCGAGGATTTCTGCCATGTCGAACGAATATCCGAAGACACGTACAATGCTATCTTGGATTTCTATCGCGAACACTGCCAGAAACCCAACACACCACAGCCGGCGCCTCCAAGCATCCAGGTCGTCAACACATTCGTCCAACTATATTTTGAACACTTTCACCCTGTCATGCCTATTATACATCACGCTTCTTTCAAACCTACACCCGACAAATGGGTTCTCGTCGCGGCGATCGCATCTGTTGGGTGCCAGTACTCTCGCATTCCTACTCGACCTCAAATGCACTCCTTCTTCTGGCGTCTTCTTCAGAGTATCATTCTCAACCTAGTAAGTGTAGTAACGTTGCAGTCTAACACAAAAACACAATAATAACACAGCCAGCCTATGCAACGACTCCTCCGCAACGACGAGGTCCACATTGCCCAGGCCGTCCTGCTGCATAATCTGTCGCTATTCGACGGTTCAAAGGACACCGTCTGCACGATGCAATATCAACGAAACATTCTCATAACGTTATGTCGACCATTCCTTGTGGGACACGCATCGCCATTTACTCGGCTATCGTCCATAAATTTGAAAGAAAGTGGCGAAAACTGGTCGCAGTGGACTTTGTCGGAGTCATGGAAGCGCACTATTTATTTTACTTGGGGTACGTGTGGTTCCTGAAGTTACTGCAAGGAATTGTCGCTGATTGCTACTGTTCATAGTGCTCGAATGCGTCCAATTGATCTTGTTTGACCTGCCTCCTGCGCTGGCGATCTGGGAATTGAGAGTCGGACTTCCTTGCGATGATGCTCTATGGGATTGCTTGAACTCGGGTGAATGGGAGCGTCGGTTTCAGTCTGAGGAAGGTATAAAATCCCTTTATTTCCATCTCTATTAATCACATAAAATATCTGAACCGGAGACTAATAATACCCAGAACCGACGAGCCTTGTCCAACTTTTCAGCACTCTCAGCACCAACAACCCAACCCAATCACTCGGCCAAACCACCAGTCTGATCATTATGATCTCCCTATTCTCCGAGGAGCGAATACTCCGCAGACAAACTCAATCTCTCCCGTATTCTACCTTCCTCTCGTTCGTCGATTCTTCATCTCAACTCAACAAAATCCCCGGCATCCTAGCCTCCCAATTCAAAAACCTCGATCCATCTCAACGCTGCGGTTCAGACCTATCCACCCCATCCCTCCAGCTTCAGAAACTCTACCACTTCCTTTCCATCATCCGCCACATCCCCACGAACACCATGCACGCATCGTACGGCTGGATGACCACAAAAGCAGAAGCCGAGACCGCAGATTCCCAAGTTGGCGAACTAATGAAGGACGCGAAACAAGCTCGGGAATCTCTAGTCCACGCAGCCCATCTGTTCCGGCTCCTTCGCGAGCAGAACATCGTCACATTCTACGACCCTTTCTGTCTATTGATCGCGACACAATATATTCGCAAATATATACGCCATGTGCTGGGGGAATCTGCCAACGAAAGGTCACAGATATTCGGACAGCCTGTGCGCATTGACCGATTGAGCCCTGAGGAGCAGAAGGCTTGGATCCAGGCTGGAGATGCGGGGTCTGGTGTTCACATCACTGGTATCGGCGTGTTGGAGAAACCGGGTAGCTCGTCTCGAGCGTTTAAGGAGGCGGCGAGGATTCTGAGGGGAAGTGTAGCTTGGGCGAGGATCAGTCGGATGATTGCGCGCTCGTTGATGCAGTCGCTGAGGGGGGAGATGTTGACCATGTCGGCTTCGTGATTGTTTTACTTTGGTTATGTTTCAAGATAGACAAATCAATCTTCGGAAATTTTTATTTCATGGCTGGATGCTTCATGCTCTTGGTCGTTTATTGCGCAGTAATAAGCCTCTTTATGCAAATTCTTTCTCGAGAAAATGCTATCAAGTTCGTATAAAAATGCGACATTCGCTTTAAAGACAGCGCCTCAAGATCTACCAGCTAGCTTCAAACCAACCTCCTTCAAATATCCTTCCGTTCTCTAACAAAGCACCGGAACTTGGGCTTCACAAACCAAGCCTCCCAGGTAGTCATTTCCTCTCCAGGAGCCAACTCAAACTCATACTTCCGATACAGCTGGGGAATGACCTTGGACATCTCCAGCAAACTGATATTCTTACCGATGCAGGTACGAGCACCAGCCCCGAACTATTATTGTCAGTTAGTTTATTCATCATACCGTAAATAGGACTTGGTGGAGGACGTGGTGGAGGACGTACCGGAATGAAATTCTGCTCCATAAAAGACAGCGTCTCTTTATCGTTTTCCAACCATCGCTCGGGTCGGAACTCCGCTGCGTCGGGACCGAACACGTCTTCGTTGTTATGGATCACCCAGGTGTTGACTCCTACTGAGCTCTATAGACTATTGTCAATGCCTGGGACATATTTGAGTCATTGTTTAATGTAGATGGTATACTCACCCCTCTTGGGAAATACTTCCCAGCCAAAGTTACTCCCTCGGACGGTACATCACGCACCAGCGGCCTTCCTGTCGCAGGGTGAACTCGCAGCGCTTCTTTAATACACGCCTGTAGATACGGCATCTGTCGAGCCTGTTCGAAAGTAACCTGTTCTGAGAGTTTTCCGTCACGAGCAAGCGAGTCGATTTCCTCTCGCAATTTTTTCTCGGCCTCTGGATTCTTGAGCAAGGAGTAGACCACACTGCTAAGAGAGATGGCGGTTGTATCGGATCCAGCAGCAATATTCGCGCCGACGGTGGTGAAAAGTTGGAAACCATTGACCTTGTCGGCGCTTTTGAGGGCGAGCAGTTTCGATAGAAAGTCGTTCCGAGAGGATGTCTTCTCGTCACTCTCCGCGGTCCGCGTTTCGATCTGGCGGAGGATATACGCGTTCACGGATTCAAGGGGCGTTTGCTGGCGGAGGATTCGACTCGCAAATGCGATCCAGTCGTGCAGTTCAGGGAATATCCCAATCGTGGATCCGTATTTCAGACTCTCGTCGATTGCTTTGAGCACGCCCCATGCGTCGTGGCCGGTTTTGAGGAGGCCAAACGGTTCACTTGTCTATTGGCGGCTTTGGTGTCAGCTTCTATCTATCTACCTAGTGCTCAGTCATGACAAACACGACGTACTGTGATATCGCCAATGACGTCAAACGCATAGTATTGCATCCAGGTCGGCACATCGAAGGCTTCTTTTGCTTTTGCGAAATTGTCCAGTCGCTCGCATAGCATCTGGTTGCATCGGTCGACGAAATGCTCGTACGTGACCAGCGTTGACATGGAATAGAGCGATGAAGTTTTGCGTCGATTCAGTGCGTGCAGCTGGTTATTCTGCTCCGAGAATAGATGCTTCGGACCTCTCCCGGGATCTCCGAATGGATGGTAGAAGTCTGATTTCGGGAACTTGGAGCCGGACGAGTAGATGGTCTTTAGGGCTGCAGGGTCGTTGATGCTGAATGTAGCCGGGGCGATGCGAACGACAGGGCCTGGATTAGACTTCATTATTTCACTGTTCCCGAATATATACTAACCTGTAGCAAATCTGACCAGCGACAATGCTCGAACGTACCATATTTCTTATGCAACTCGATATCCACCTTTTCGAACCGTCCGTACCGTGTCTCCTTGAACAGCCAGAACCGAGTAAACCGAGCAAGCCACGGTCCAGGGATCCCGCTGGTTGCACCAAACAGGCCCTGATAGAGAGTCCAAAGTAGATATCCAGCAATACCAACCCAAATAAAGTGGCCAAGATATGGTCCCGCGACATCAAGCACACGGCCCTCTCCCGGTATATCCAATTTCAGCATGATGTCAACCAGAATAAGAATGATAATATCTCGCACTCCAAATAAAATTGATTCTTGAAAACGAGCACACAATAGCTCTTATATACCCCAGCGCACCACAACCCCGACAAAGCCCTTTACCCCAGGAAATCCCAGATCTGCAGCGATTGCCGTGCAAAAATGTGGTGGAGCCGACCCGACCGTCGGAATCTCCGCAACACTCTGCATCACACCTCCTTGATCGAGGCATGATCGGCTCTTTTGGTCTTGGATGTTGGTTTTCGGGGACATGCATGTTATCCACCTAATTAGCAACGAGTCATCACGCAGTAGTTTCTACTGGTAAGACTTCTTTGTTCGGAGGCTCGGAGGGCCGACTTGGTTCCGAAGCCGAGATCGTGGATCAGTTTTCTGCAGGAAGGTGGTGTTCGTGCAGATCACAGGCTTGGTCGCGTGTTTGCTCTTGCATGAGTCTATCATATGTTCTGTGTTGAACTTTTATACATGATTTGTATAGTGATGTGGAATCCCCGGTGCGCGCGCCGAGTAGATTCAATGAGGATCTGTGGCACTCCGTTGATTTAGACATGCTCTGAGTTCCATAAACCTCTCGTCTGCAATTTTTATATTCCGCACTCGGTCTTTGCTCTTGAACAATCACTCGCCTCTAAAGTACCAACGAGCCCAACCCTATGGCCAGCTGTCACCTTAGAAAAATTGGGAAATCAGCGACCCCAAACATAAGATGACAGGTCCACGAAATGTTCAACGAATTCAAAGAAATAGTCAGCCTGCATTGCGAAGTTATCTCATCGATAAATCCCCCGCAATCTCCGCATAAGCAAAACTTGGCTCCGGCAATGACAGATCGACTGACATACCGGATACTCTTGTGACTCTACCGATTCGGGGTGGCTTCTAAACTCTTACCAAAGTCCTAAGTCTAGGCCTCGGAAAATCTCGAGGATCTCCTCTTCTTACCGTATGATTTCAACGTTAATCTACCCGGCACCACTCTCAACTGTCTATCTGAAACAAGCTGTCGATCATCAAACACGACTCTCACAGCCACTGCGGCAGCAAGTGGAGTCCGCTCTAAAACAAGTCCTTCGTTAGTTTAACAATTGGCCTAACTAAATGTAACCGTCTTTGGTCCTGACAAGCTTGTCTTAGTCTCTAAGGCAATATGTGCTAAGTGGACTGACTGCTCAAGGGGCGCAAAGTAAGTACGGAGTACCGACTTTCACGGATTTTAAATTAAAGTTGATCGATATCGTTTTCTAGCGCCGCATTTCTGAGCGCTTTAATTTGTCTTACTCCGAGGCTTCAGTGTACAATCCCCACTCTCCACGTCTCCTGTTTCGACGCTAGTCCGTTTCATCCTGGAATCGAGCATTCGAGACTTCACTTCTACGTCTCCCCCTGAGGAGACAGGCGGGATGTGGGCAGCTGTGTACGCAGCACTGTATAAGCTACGGGGTAGCTAGGAGACTAGGAGTAGGGGGAGTAGGTATATAAGAACGATGATCTCCCGAGTACACCTCCAGCTTCAACCACTAGCAACACTCAATCCTCTTCGGCCTTTTTTCCTAAACAATCCTCAAAATGGTCTCTGCTAAGACTCTCGTCTCCGTCATCCTCAGCGCCACTCTGACTGCTGCCACCCTCCAACCGGCCACTTCCAACACCAAGGGAAAGTGCCCCGGTTCTGTGAGCTGCTCTCGTACGTCTTGCTCCTCTGTTGTAGTCTCTACGTCTACAATAATATTCATCTTCAAAAACAAGAACAATATGAAAACGAAGTACTAACTCCCACACCCACAGCCGCTAAGACCTCCAACGCTATCCAAGCCGCCGAGTGCGCCTACAACACTCGCACATCTGGTAATTGTCAACCGAAATGACCTGACCAAGTAGAGAGCTACAAACTAAGAGCTACTCCCAAACAGAAACCCAAACCTTCGCCGTCTTCGAAACCGACCACCAGTATGACACCTCGAACGGCGCGCCCTACGGCACCTGCAAGGCGTACACCTGCACTGCGCCTACGAATGACGAACTGACCAAGTCGGATGATGATTGCTGGACTTTCTTCTGGAAGTAAGCTCCCTTTCCCATTGATATTTCTTGTTTAGATGGGTTGTTCTGGGCGCATGGACTAATGGTGTACAGCGACAACGGCGAGTCCTCGGGCGTCGGAACCGACTGCATCAAGAGCCCTGATGATGGAACGTGCGGATGTGAGAACTCCGATGGAACGTTTGTTTATGGTGGTTCGGATTGCTCTTAAGTTGGGTGATGGACTAGGGTGTATCATATAAAGAAGATTTGAGAATGGAATCCAATTATGCTTGGAAACATTTAACTCTGAGTACCACAACCGGGTGGAAAAAAGTATATGAGTCGTTAACTAAGATGGTTATTCGTAATAGTCATCGCGTAGGCTGTGGAAATGAGTATCGCCTCAGCAATGGGAATCAATGATGATATTACGAGACACCGTCCTCATGGCCTTTGTCATAGCCCTTGTCATAACCTTTTCCGTACCCCTCATCGTACGCTTTCTCATATGCACTGTCATCCTCTTCGTAGTCCTCTCCAGTATCGGCGCCCCCTTCATTGCCCCCTTCGTCATCCTCTATCTTATATCTTTCCTTGCGTCCTTGTGTCCATCTTCGTACCCTCATTATATCCAGTATCTTCCCCCTCTTCGTACCCAACGTCATAATCGTTGTTACAGGCCTCGTCGGAACCTCCTTCAGAGATATTGTCGTGGCCACTGTTCAAGGCAGCGTTGTTAGCAATATTATAAGCAGCCTCTTGAGCAGCAGTCAAAGCAGCGTTATAGGCAGTGCTATAGGCATAATTGAAGGCAGCATTAAAGGCAGCGTCATAATGGGCAGCGTTGTTGGCAGCGCCACGACCAGCATCATTACCAGCCCCATCATCAGCGTCGTGGCAACCATCGTAACCACTGTCGAAGCCTAGCCGGCATATCTACCTCCCCTATCATCGTTGCAATCCTCGTTAACTCTCTCTATCTCATATTCATATAGATCCTCTTCCGAAAGGTAAGTGCCATCAACAGTACTCTGACTGGTAATGGCCTCATACAGCAACCAGAAGTCCCAAGTCAATAAGGGTTGAAACATCTCCTGGGTTCGATAATCCTCAATAACTGGATCGACGTTTGCCTCCGGGTCCTCCTCATTCTCATCAGATGGGTGCGAGGAATCCACCAGGTCAAAGAAAGACCCAAACAACAGAGGCATCGGTCTCAAATTTCTCAACTTCGACCTGCACTTGATCCTCTTCCTTTTGCACTTTTTCACCAAAGGATTCACGCATGACTTCTTGATTCATGTGACAATTTTCGAACCAAAGCCTCAGGCTACCTACACTCAAGGTCCTATTGTTCGGGTTGTCTTTATGTTCGCTTTCGTCTTCAGGTATGAGACATTCAGGTGCAATCTTCTCTACCAGGCACTCGGCGGGCTCTGGCTCTTCTTCGGAGAAGCTTCGAAACATAGCATGGACGGCGGTGAGATTGGTATCAGGGTCTAATCCCGGAAACGGGAGAGGGTTTCCAGACGGTGTCAGCAATCTCAGAAACTCTCGGGCAGAGATCCTTGCAACCTTCTCACAGATACTTTTCATTTCGCAGATTGGGACCACCAGTTCGAAGATATGAGCATCACTACCAAAGCCTAAGGCGGCATTCGTTTCTGGGTAATTCCATGTGCCGTTGACAAATCGGCAAAGTTTCATGATTAGTTTGCGCACTGGGCCATCTTCAAGACAGCCTCTATGGGTCCGAGGGAATGCAATCGGGAAGTGCACCATAGTACTAGCAGCTACTGGCTTGGGACATACCGCGCAACGAAGGACAAGATGATGAAGAATATCTTGCTCGTAATATCCGGAAACCCGACAGTAATCAATTGCGGCATCTGCTTGATTCTTCGATCTGTCCGGCATTGCCGACCGAGGGAAAGTCGCGGACAGTACTAAGCAACTAAGCTCTCCGCTGGGAGGCGTGTGCTGTACCTGGAGACTTGGTCTTCCCACAAATATCGTCTTCCCAATATTGTAAAATCTCTCTTTGAGAGGACTGTCGGGGAGAGATAAGTCAGATGATTTAGCTGCGAGATCAATGTCATGCTTGGCGATGTCATTATCGTTCGAATGAGTAGTGGATTCATGTGTTCCACACTTTGCCTCTTCAGTGATCTGGCCATTCTTTGCTGTGTTGAGAGGCCGCGGTAGGATGTCTCCATCAATTATTCCCTCGATATAGCCCTGGGCTCTCTCGGTCGCGATTCGAAAGCACTCGCCGGTAGTCGTGCACACAGGCATCGCAAGGGAGCAAACATAAGGCCGGCCATCCATAAAGCTGCCGATGCTCCAGTCCATCTGATCTGTCTGCATTATAGATTCCGCGTGAGAGGCAATCGTCGACATAAGCTTGTAAGTCTCTTGGAAATCCACTAACTGGTGGTAGCCAGTTTCAGTGACGCACAAAGGGCGATGGACGAGGGATTCGACCGGGGCTGAGTTGCAGACAATACAACCCCCATGAACGCAGTTGAACATCTCATCAGTAAAGGTCAGCGAGAGCGATATGATCGCGCGAAATATAGAGATTTTTTCACGAATGTCCTGTCTCTCCCGATCGGTGCCTACAAAGCTGATGTTTTCGACAGAGTCGTTGCCGACGACAATGTTAGCACGTTGGAAAGCAAATATCTCCTTGGGGATTCTAGCATCGAACCAAGCATGTTTGAACCGAGGAGCTGTAGGGTCGGGGTTACCAACGAACACGCTGAACCATGCTGAGACCTTGATTTTCGGTTGAGTCGACACACTTGTAGCGGAGCTGTGCTGACTTTCCGTGAGATTGGACTGATTGTCTTGGGAGAGCGAAGATGAATGAGTAGAATCCATCGCTGTATTATGTGCTATATGTGGTCAAGAGAAGATGAGAATCAATATTTGAGATGGCTCGCATCATGCAAGAGGAGGGATTGGATGAGATGGGTTGTCATTGTGGTTGTCGAGTAGATGAAGTGAGAGAAGGTCAAGAGCCTTGAGGTCGGTATCAGTCACATGATGGACTGGCTGACTACATTGGGGGAGTGTTGCTTTCACCATCATTTCACCCAAATATTGAGACAATAAGTTGTCCCCCATAGGGCTGTTAGTGAACCATCAAACAAGTCTATAGTTGCTGCTTATCTTCTTGGCACGATAAAAATAGCCATTGTAAGGAGATGGGTTAGTCAGCGGACTCGCTCTCTCGAAATCGAGCATCTCCAGCTTCCACTGGAATGGATGTGACATGTCAGCCGACAGAAGTCCCGCATTGAGCGTCCACCCACAGCCCAATGGGACTCCATACCAGCAGCTGTCATCACTGCACTCCGGACGGACGCAAGAAGAAGAGCAAGAAGAGTGAATATCTGCAAGCGGCCTCGGTGGACCCCCGGCACGTGATGTGGAGGCGGCGTTGCCCCTTTGCGGCCAACACGAGAGAAGCAGCGAGAGAAAGTCTTTCGCTGGCCTCTCTCCTGCCTTGATTCCTTCGTCCTTGTTTCTTTCTTGTTTCTTATCGACTTCCCTCCTTTTGCCCTTACACCATTTAATTCATTCATCTCCATATTGAGCTTTGTTTATTTCTCTGACCCGACTGGTTCCTCCCCCAACTTGCTCGCGTGGCTCTATGACCAGCCTCTCTCGCCGATCCTCCAACTTTAGAACGCTTTCCTCGATTGCCCTTCCTTTCATCGACTTTCCTTTCGTCTCCTTCATGGGCCATTGCCCGTGATTGACCCTCTTTTACAACTCGACCCTTTTCATTATCAGCCGATCGCCCGACCGTTACGGCTCTTTCACGATGAGAGTCCAACGCCTCTCGCCATTTGTCCTTTTCCTCCTCCCCGCGCTATCGGCAGCCTTTGCAGACCTCACTCCGAATAGCAATGTCCCTGGACGGCGCGCCGCTTTTGACAGCGATTCCGTGTCCCCGGACTTCGATGATTACGCTCCGGTCCGCGCGAACCCCAAGGTCGCAAAAGGAACGCAGGACGCCCCGGTTGATGGCAGAGACGGCCGACCTCACGCTGGCCCGTGGGTAGAGACAAGCGCTGAGCGGGACCGCAAGAAGGCAGGCTCGGTCGTGCCTTCGGATGCCCCGTCAAATCCCAAAGTTGCCCAGCATTTGGGTCCAGATGGAAATCCGATCCCCTATTCGAATGATGGAGTGATGGACGATCCGAACCGGACGGGTCCGAAAGAAGGCACTCGAGGCACCGAGGGCGGAGTGTCGGAGAAATTGAAGGATACTTATACTTCGGAGAAGACTCCTGATGCTCCCAAAGAAGCTCCTCCTTTGCCTCATAGTGAGAAGCCAAACACTCCTTCCCAGGACAGCACGGATGAGTATTCCAAAGGACCCGGAGACTCCACCTTGGGGAAGCTGGAGGTACGTCTTTATACTTAGAGTTCTTTTGGCCTTCTTTGTCGGCAATTCACTAACTCCCATCTCCAGAAACCCGCAGACTTGCCTGAGAAGCCGCATGACATCCCACACCCCAAATCCCCCGCCCCCGTGAGCGAAGATCCCCTTGGTTTTGAGAAACCCGGCAGCTCTGCTGGTGCCACTCCTGGTGCGGTCGGATCTGGAGAGCCGGAGAGCGACCCGTTGCACTCCCTCCTCTTCTCCTTCACCATGATCATCGTCTCCGAAATTGGCGATAAGACATTCCTGGTCGCAGCTTTGATGGCGATGCGGCACCCGCGCCTTCTTGTCTTCTCCGCTGCCTTTGCCGCATTGATTGGCATGACCGTGCTATCGGCTGTCCTGGGGCACGCCGTGCCGACACTTATCCCTAAGTCTTTCACCAAGATTCTCGCTGCCGTTCTCTTCTTCATTTTCGGTTTGAAAATGCTGAAGGAGGGTCGCGAAATGTCGCCTGACGAGGGTGTTGGCGAGGAGATGAAGGAAGTCGAAATGGAGCTGGAAGAAAAGGAGCAAGAGCAGATGCGGATGAACCGCCGTCGCTCCTCCGTCACCCCTCACTCTCTTGAAGCCGGCCGTGCCGGAGGACGCCGCAAGTCTCGATCGTCTGCCAACCGTCTCCCTTCTCCCCCCGAGAGCCTTTCGTCCTCTTCCTCCCGCGACTCGTCCCCCGCACCCGGTCGCCGGCTCAACGATGTCTTGGTCGGAATGAACAACCTTTTCTCCCTTCTTCTCAGCCCTGCCTGGGTTCAGACCTTCGCTATGACTTTCCTTGGCGAATGGGGCGATCGCAGCCAAATTGCCACCATCGCCATGGCCGCCGGTCAAGACTACTGGTGGGTGACCGTCGGTGCGATCACTGGACATGGCATCTGCACCGCTGCGGCGGTCATTGGCGGCAGTGCTATCGCAGGCCGAGTTAGCATGCGCGTTGGTACGTTTTTTCTCCCCTTATTGCCTTTAGATTCAGCTGCTAATCCCTCGAACAGTAACACTTGGCGGTGCCACGGCCTTCCTTGTCTTTGGAGCCATCTATCTGATCGAGGCCCTGTATTAGCGCCTCTATTTGTTTCCGCGCATACTCTTCTATAGTGTCTTTTAATAATCTTGGGTGATTTCCCTGTACAATATAGAATTGGGAAGCCAATTGAGCCAGATGTATACATTATTGGAGGCTCTTTCCTGGCTATGTGATAATGATAAAGAATACACATCATTTACGGCCGGTGATCTTTTCTGTAGCTACCGTGGATTACTCTTTTGCTCTGAACCCATCTTACTGTAGTATAAGATTCCCACGAGATCAATCCGTTTATTTTCCAGTACTAGTACCGCCAGCAACAAGTACACTCTTATGACCAACCGATAGACCAATGAGACATGTCATCTCTGACCAGGGACCGTGAGCAATGTGGCCAGGGTCAATCAACTTGGAACACTAGTCGCTAATATCGGCATAGATAGCACGATTGTCCAGGAACCGCAGACACAAACCTGTTCATCTGCGCTAACAACCAGGGACTACTCCGCAGAGTCCTCCTGGTCTGGGTCGGGCGGGAAGTTAGGGCTACCGACTTGGGCCCACTGAATCGTGCTATTCTTAGCGGGTCTTCGCTTCTATTTTTGCAATTCTACCCTGCTGTATTTTGTCGTGCTTTTTTCACTACCTTTTCTTTGTGTTGTCTGCCAGGTGTTTCTAGTTCTCGGAGAGGTCGACTCACTCACATAGGCGTTCAACTCTTGCTGCGGTAACACGAGCCTATTACTACATCTTTCGATGACGGCAGATGTCTCTACACGAGAGAGTAAGAGCATACCAAGCGAGCTCAAGGTCAGCCCCAGAGGAAGATGGAGAGCCCCGCCCCGAAACAGGAAATTGCACTGGGTAATCCTAAATCCTTAGCCAAAGGCCGCGAGGGACTTTCCCTTTGACGCTCCGACAGACTACCGTTGTGGGTTCTCCATATGTCAACGCATTTCCCTCCAGAGCCAGGACCTGCAACCGCTGAGGTCCCTTGGATAGGCGCTACTACGTAACAGATTATTGGTGTTTCCGAGATAGACCGTCCAGGATACTGCCGAGCTTAAGGCGAAAAGTATGGGGTGGAAGGATTTGCACGTGTTGCAATACGGAACTGCACTTGAAAGCAAACTAAGAATATCCATGTTTCAAGAGAACTATGTAGTGACATTACAAGTCAACCTCAAATTCCACCGGCGGCCTCCATCAAGATGCTGGCCAGACCGAATCCGTTGCAGGCCCAAGCTAGCACGCCGAATTAGTCTGTGTCAGAAGTCCCAATTTCCACGGCAGCGCATTATAATCGCCGCTAGCATTCGGGTCCATCCCCTGGTAGAGGTAGCGGAGGTTACACGGGCTAATCGTCATGGTCTGATCCACCTGCGAGCGGACCATCTCTCCGTGACTAATACTTTTAGTCCAGGCGTTGCCGTCGAATTTCACATTGTTCGACCGAGCGAAGGGGTTGGCTTCGGTATCTGCGAGACCCGTCCAACTGCCGTCAAGGCTAGGCGAGGTCCAGGAGCGGAAATAGCGCGCCCCATCACTGCCAATGGCCTCGATGAGGAGAAGGTACTTGCCATCGCCGGTGCTGTAGACGTTGGCGGCCTCGAAGAGGGCGTAGCGATCTGAGTCCTGCAGGGCGATAACGGTGTTGCCCATGCCATTGGGGAAGTTGGCGACGGACGTCTGAGACCGGTAGAGGTGGCCGTTGTCGTCGGACGAGAAGAGGTGGCAATTAGATGCGTCGCAGATGACCCACATGTCTACCCAGTTTCCGTCGCCGATGTTCTGCTCGATGATGCTGGGCATGCTACTGTAGAAATTCTTGGGGGCGCTCCATCCCGCCGGATTATCGATGTCGGCATTAGTCGAGTATGCGGCGTTTCCGTTCTGATAGACCAGATACCACAGTTGCTGGGGCTCAAAGTAGAAGACTTGCGGTGCGGCGCGGTACCCCGTGCCGATAGGGGTTTGATCGAGGTAATGAAACTCTGCCGAGGCAGCTTGGCTGAAGTCGGAGAAGCTGAGGTAGACGAGATTATACCCGGATGCCTTGGCAGTGCTGGCGAAGACATGATATTTGCCGCCGTGGTAAACGATCGAGGGGTCCTTGATTCCCGCAATGTTATAGCTGTCGCTCTTAGGCGCTATCAAGGGGCCGCTGGAGCTCCATTGGAAACTAGTCGGGAGGCTGTCCCTTCGAACAAGGTCGTTGTTTGGCTGAGGATCAGGGGCTGGTAACGCACCGATGGATTGGAGGCAGAACGAAACAATAAGAATAAGCAAGCACTTCATCTTGGGTTATCCGTTTAGATGGGCTCTAAGAATATAAGTTTAAGAAGTCTGTCAAGGATATAAAAGACATCCCAACTCTAGGATAGCAACTACCCAGATATTTATACTCGTTCAACCCGACAAAGAAATCACAATTCTATTACCTCGCAAGAGCTAAAACTTCCACCAACCAACCTCGCCTCACAATCTTTCCTTCCTAGGTATCAATATCCCCAGAGTACCAGTGTCGTTGTTTCGTCACCGGAGGTCTCTCCGGTCAATCACTCACTTTACCCGGCTCCATTTTGAGAAACAGATGATTTCCTTGCGCTAAGAGGCAAGGCATTGAAAATATACGGAAGTTTACTCCGAGCACGATAGTAATGGCCCCATCTCGCTAAACCTAGACACCTTCCATGTCTTAGACTCTGCATAGCGGAGCTATTTATCCAGAATCTATGAAACACTTAAGGGGTAGGCGGAGTCTACATATCGAGATATAGGCTGATTGCAGGGTTAGACTGTTTAACGAGAATATATTTCCGGATGTGGCATTGCGTATGTAGATCAATACTTGAAGCCCGACTGTGCTATAGATGGAAATAGAGAAGCGAAGGAGAATAGGCTATACAACGATAGATAGGCTCAATGAAAGTGTTTGAGAGAATACTGGGATTTGTGTGGACAGCTACGAGGGGAGATTGTACAGAATCCACTTATTCTGGTCTCCTTACTAGTCTACGACACTCTCTTGAGGTCCACTTGGCCGGAATCTCAGTTCCGCGGTAGCAAAGTGTTCGTTAAATCTCTACGCCGTAACAGAACGATCAATGTTGATCAACGATTTGAAGAGAAAGAGACAAAGAGAAAGAGACAAAGAGAAAGAAAGAAAGAAAGAAAAGAGAGAGAGAGAAGAAAAATTATCTATATTCGTCGCGTTCCGCCCACAAACCGGTGTACACTGTGTAGTATCTTGAGAGTTCTAGACAGCGACGATCATTAATGTACTGAGTAGCCTCTCTCCACCTATTAGAGGGCCCATATCTTCTGGACGGACGCAATTCCGCGCAGCGACGTGGGGACGATGCTAGTGAAACAGGTTGGCAGCCTAATCTTGGTTGCTATATTATTAATGAGGAAATCGTGGTTCGCTAGACAATTGGTCAGACTAAATGGACCTAATCGAGAACGATCCACTCAGGGCAAGATTTGGCTTGTGTTCGCAAATACAACCGCCGGTGTACACACTCTGTCTGCGCAGTATATAACAAGACTTTGATTTCGCCAGGACTATCATCCTACATATTAGCAAGTTACAGCCTTTACTGGGATCCATACCCTGGTGGCTGCGCTGGGAACGTTTCAGACAGAGTGACTCCTAGGTTGATTTTAGAGAGTCTTCGTTCGATCCTAAACTCAATGCGGTGACCGAGTCGCTGATTTTCACATGTCTAAACAATGCATTATTACCCTGTCAGCGGTTGGCAAAACCTACCTGCTCATCTACGGGAAAACGGGGCATTGAGCGAGCTATTGGCATCTCTAGTGATGACTTGGAAGAGAAGACCTCACCATCTAGTTATGATTTTGCTGGAACATCTTGTCATGCTGGAAGAGTCAAGGCCGCTACAAGTATAAATGCAGGATAGTGTCGTTGGAGACCTTAGAGCCAAGTTAGCTTGCTAGCGGCGTAACAAACTTTCGCACTGGTGGTGATATGACAGGCTGAACGGGCTCCGACGCTGATCTCTCGGCAGATGGGACGGCATCTTTTTGCCGATTCCCTGTTATAGCCAGCAGCTCGATTAGCCTAATTAGATAAGAGGAAGGGAATGTCAGGTTTCATAATTCAGGGAGTACATTTGAGTACACCGTATGTAGGGCTGAAATGCTAGACCTTCGACAGGGACCCAAGGAGTGGAGCATATCTTTCGACTACTCACCAGGCCGGACTGGGAAGCAGCCTTTTCCACGGCGGTAAGTTCCGACGAAGGCTCCTTCACCAGAAGAATCTGATCACCAATCCAACACGTCGAGCTGGCCCGCCGAGTTGTGGCACGGTCTCAATGTGTTCCTACCTCGGCGGCCTAGATCATGTCTATCCCTCCCTTGTGAAATATCTGAAAGGGCTTACTACAGATTAATATCCCGTACATATACCATTCGGCAAAAGATAAACCTTGTATGATCCTAGATCGATGAAATGGTAAGGACCCTTTCAAAATGTCAAGGTCTCTTGTTAACCCTCCATTCGAATTATCGAATACTTATGTTTGAGAGATTCCAGGGCCCTGTCATGACCTTTCCTCACTTCGATCGACGGTTTTAACTCTCGGTGAGCAGCCCCTGAGACATCCTCTAACACGCGGCTTGATGTTCAGGCAAATTCGCCTCTGTCTCCTCTCTTGGCAGACAGAACCTTAAGCAAAGACCCTGTCCATGTTATGGGGCTGGGCCGCAACTTAGAGTTCTAGAGGATTTAGCTTTACAAAACGTCTTAGTGTCGGTAGCATATTCTAGTAACGGCAATGCCGTGGCAGGAACAGGACATCGCACCTCGGCTCCGGTCCGTCTTCAGTGGAATGGTAGCTCCTACGCTGCTTTCGCTCCGGCTGAGGTCAGCTGTCAAAACTGTCTGTGCCAGCTTTTTGAATTCTATATGGGTGAAAGCTAGGCTGCCTGCATGTTATGCGGCAAGGAATATGGTCTTCATCACTGCGCACTTTGTGTGAATCCCTAGGAACCTCGGTCGGTGGGTTTAATCGACCAAAAAACTATAGCGGCACTACCAACTGATCATCTTCAATATGAACAAACTCCTCAGGAGCAAACGATGCTGCGCGCCAAAGGCTAGGAAACACCAGCAAAGTCTAGTGCAGTTCCTAGTAGGCTTGTTAGCTCCCTGTCCAGTGGATCATGGAAGGCAAAGGGGCCTTTTCCCTGTATATGATGAATGCCAATATGATGAAACCTTGAACGTTGCAAAGTATCATCTGTCGCCCGGGCACTTATCGGCGGCCTTGCTTCAGATATATGGACTTGTGGGCCTCAGGAATGAACCCGACTCGGGAGTTTAGGTACCAGATGAACATATAAAAGCGTCAAGTGTTCCTGTACCAGGCTTCTTGTTTTTCTTCTGCATATCATTCTACATTCGCTCTTTTGCTGTTTCAATCTGGTGCTACCCGGTGTAGACCTTCGTCCTTCTTCCATTATACTTTCTTTTCAAAATCTTTCCTTTTTTCGTCTCGTTCATTACTAAATCAAGATGAAGCACTCTGCCCTTGTTGCGGTTGCCGCTGCCCTGGCCCAGTCTGCCTCGGCCCACTACATTTTCAGCAAGCTGGTCTTGGATGGCGTGGCGTCGAATGACTGGCAATACATCCGCCAGACGACTCGCGCCGAGAACTATATGCCGACCAAGTTCTCCAACACCTTCGACAACCTCACCCCCAACGACAACGACTTCCGCTGCAACTTGGGCTCGTTCAGCAATGCCGGCAAGACTGAGGTCGCCGAGGTCGCCGCTGGCGACACCATTGGCATGAAGCTGTTCTACGATGCCTCTATCGCTCACCCTGGCCCTGGTCAAGTTTGTATGCTTATATGATTCCTGCAGCTCTCATGGAGTGCCATACACTAATACATTGATTCCTCTCGTCTAGTTATGTCCAAGGCACCCTCCGGTAACGTCAAGGAGTACGAAGGCGACGGCGAATGGTTCAAGATCTGGGAGCAGACTCTGTGCAACGAGAACGGCGACCTCACCACCGATGCCTGGTGCACCTACGGCGACTCGCAATTCGAGTTCCAGATCCCTGCGGACACCCCGGCCGGCGAGTATCTTGTTCGCGCCGAGCACGTCGGTCTCCACCAGGCTCACGTGAACGAGGCCGAGTTCTTCTACAGGTGAGTTGTGGAACTCTTTTTGCGCTAGTCTGGACGCATGCATTACGGACACGCAAGTTAACCCAATCAACCTTCTTCAGCTGCGCTCAAGTCAAGGTCACCGGGTCTGGCTCCGGCTCCCCTAGCACCACCTACCAGATTCCCGGCCTATACAACCAGAACATGAAGCTTTTCAACGGTGCCAACCTTTGGGTAAACTCTGCCGATGAATTCAAGTCTTACATCAAGGACACCCCGATCGGCGATGCTGTCTGGGGCAACTAAGTTGTCCAGGGCCTCAGGGAAAGACTTCGTCTTTCGTTCGTTCTGTCGCATCGCTCTGTCAAGACAATAAAAGCCCCAAAGTATGCATCGCGAAACCGACACACGGAAGCGGACGAGAGGAAGCGGTCTTTGTTCCTTGGACCATTCGAAGGCCGTATCGTCGGAGAGGGTGTTAGATAAATCCCAAAGACGTTGAGTGCATCGCGTGTCATTAGGTGTCAATTGTCCTGTGGCGGCCATGTAGTCGACGGATTGAGATATTGGTCAGGTTGTATGTATTTTGAGTCGATCAAAATGTTCTTCGGCCCTCTTTCTCCTTGTTTTCTTCTCTTTTTATTATTACTTTTGCAACAATATACATTGTACCTTTTTAGAGATGAGATGAATCTAGCGATAGGCCGCTATCGTTTCTCGAATACGTTGTTCGGTAGTCGGGTGTTAGTATGAAGCTTTGGGAGATTAATTGGATGTTGGATGGCGGTTGTGCAGCGACGCAGCGGGTGGCCTCCCTAAGACTTGGAATAGCATCGTCTATGGCGGGTTGTGTAATCGAATGTTTTGGCCATGGGCCGTTGCCGACTAGTTGTCCATTGCTTACTGAGTACAGATGCGGAGTCATGGCGACCGATAGGTGAGGACTGCCAATTGCACACTCATTCGTTGGTAGCGTTGGAGTGCAGAGTATTAGGATGCAGAGGAGTACTGAAATTCATGGTTCCGTTAATCAGGGTCCCAGAATTCACACCGCAGGGTTAGGGTTTGGGTTTGGGTTCAGGGTTTTCTATAGGGTTTCATGCCTCAGGCATCAATAAACATCTCAGGCACCAAATTCAGGCACCAGTTCCAGCTTACGTAAGAAATACCCTATCTCAGGGTAGCGGTCAGCCCAACCGCCACGAAACTTCTTTCGCTCCTCCGTCAGCCCATCATTCAGGGCTTCATCGTCTATCGCTGACCTTTCCCCATCAAACCCGATCTTTTCCATCCCATTTCCATCGAATTTCGCACCGGGGCGACCATCTCTACTACACTTCTACTTCACTTGACGGTCCCCCAGCCCCCTCTGACCGCCTTGCGTGATGGCACGCTCTCGGTCGCGCTCTGCCTCGACGAGGCCTTACGAGTCTACGCTAAAATCAACAAAAGCCGTGACCAACCCCAAGGCTGCCGTACCGAGTCTATCTCGTAGACGTGTTACAAGGAGTCAGAGTCGTGATCCTGAGAACTCGGGCCTGGAGAATGCAGTCGTGGGCACCGGTCGGCCCTCTTTGAATGGTCCGAGATGGAAACAAAACATGGGCAAAAGCGGAAAGGGTAAGTTTGGTCGCCGGTTCCACTTGTTCCCCTCCCCGATCCGTTGTTTACGGTCGCGTTGATGAGCTTTTGCTTTTACGGGGCCATTTTATCTTCGATTTCTTTCCTGCGTTTTTTACTTTATCATCTATAAGTTTTTCTTGTTTCGTCCCGTTTTGTATCTTTTTTGTTCCATTCCATGTCTTTCCGCCCACCCTGGTGTATCCACACCCCGAACCTACAAACAAACAGCTAATCAGCTACAATATCTAGGTCTCGATGCTGTTGTGGAAGAATCGCCCGTCAGGTCGCCTGCCAAATCGCCTCGCAATAGCGGTGCTCGTCGCGAAAGCCATGCTGCACCGGGTTCGCCCGAAGATGCTGCCAACATCTCCGGCACCACCATTCTCCCTTCGGAGCCGGACACTGACCTGGATCCCGAGATGATGCTCGAGTCTCTGCCGGACCTGGAACGTGCTGCGCGAGACGTCTTGAAACTGCTTGTTCCTGCATCTACGGACCCGGTCAGCATCGTCAATCTAGCAGCGAAGCTGGCAGATCCCAAGAACACGCAGAGCAGGCGTCTTTCCCGCTCAAAGTCTAAGTTCGAGTCAGAGGCCAGCTACTTCGGAAGCCATTCATATATAGACACCGAAAGGGTCAGCGAGGCGATATACTCGGCCCTGGAGAATAAGTGCGATGGACTCGCCAATGATTGGACCCCTGACCTCAGTGTGCAAAAGGCCAACTGTGCGCGGTTTGCCATCGAGGTGCTCCTGGCCCGAACTGAGACAGACGCTCCAAGACAGGCCATTCAACATGTCGAAGGCCTGTTTCCGTCTGTCTTCATGAACAATGTTGTTCATGACGGTCAACGACCGGCAGTGGGTGAAAGTTCTCTTGGAAAAGACACTTTCAATCTTGCTTTGGAGATCAGGACGCAGTTTCTGATTGCGTCAATGGAGGATCAACAACATGACCCTGGTTTTGATCCTGATGCCATACTAAAATTGGCATTCTTCGTGGAGGAAATTGATGAGGACGTTTACGATAGCAACGAGGCACCACTCCGAGGCTTCAACTTGGACAATCTTGGTGGTGCAGATGGATACCTTCCTTCGCGCTATAGAGATGCTGCTTATGATCGTTTCAACGAAATGCGGGTCTTGGTATCGGACGGGCCGGATGAGTTGAAAAGCGCGTTCCGATGGCCGAGATTCGCACTGAAAGCTGCCCAATGGCTTCGCAAACGCAACGATGAAATTGACAAACAATTGAACAAACAGCGGCAGGCAGACGACCTGAAAGATGAGTATTTTGCTACTCCCAAAACGGGATCCAAGATGGGCAGTGTACCTCCTCGCTCCGCAGCCACCCTGAGTCCCGCAGGAAGAGCAAGCGCGAGACCCTCCTCTGTTGCCGCTGAAAACCAAAGAATAATGGCTGCTCGAGGCTCGCCTTTTGCGGCGACCCCAACTAGATTAAGAATATCGAGCAATCTACGAGAATTGGAAACCCCTGGCGTTTCGGGCACGGAAGGACCGATTTTCACGGCGCCATCCATTCAACCGAGGATATCGGACGCTCAAAAAGAACCTGCTGTCCCGGAAACATCGAATGGTCAAGGATCGCCGACCGAGGGAGCCCCCATCGATGATGGTGCTCCGAAACCCCCTAGCAATGAGGAAGAGCCTAGGACTGCCTTTGAAAACCGGGAGCGGCGTAAATCAAAACCGTGCGTACCAGACCTTTGTGCCAATTCGAGCGTGCTGCTAACAATCCGAAGCTCTTTTCTGAATGCGTCCTCCATCGACCGCATAATGCAAAGACAGAGGCGACGGTCCGACTTCGTGCAGCCTTCGCCACAGGCCGAGGGTGACACTCTCGCATCCGAAGACCAAAGCAATACATTGCCCGCTACCTCGCAATCTAGAGCTGCAGACCCAGTAGCACCTGCAGCACCTGCAGCACCTGAAGCGCCCGTGGAGCCTGCCAACATGCCAGATCCCCATATGGACAGTCCTCTTTTTGTGCCCCAAGACGACGACTTGCTGACAATCAATGATACTGGCTTCACTCTCGATGGAGATAACTCAAGAATTCAGATCGAGCGGTCTCACAGCCCTCCCGTCGGAAATAGAATAAGTCACGGGCCAGGGCGTCAAAGGACGGACTCTATAGCAAGCATCCCTGTGAATCCACCCTCGATCCTACCTTCCGATCGGGAATTATGGCAAGCGACCAAAAAGCACGCCGCTTCTAGTTCCCAGGCAACGAAGGATAAGCACCCACGGGCAGCTTTTATCGATCATCAAGAGAACGCCCACCGGGTCTCGCCAATCAGTCACGGGGTAAGCTCACGCAGCGCCCAAAGATCATCCAATAAGCGACGACGTGACGAGTCGGACGATCTGGAGGAAAATGAAGAAAGCGGGAATGATTTCTCGACGGACGCACGCGCACTTGATATTTCTCGCAAACGCGCAGAAAAGCCAGCACAGCCCACGAGCAAGCGTCAGAGAACCACGACTAATGAGGAACCGCAAGCCGCGCCTGAGGTGCCAGGAGAGAGCCGCGCGACCAGACGGGGGTCGGCAACCATTCCGTATCGTTCTTCACAGCTCACCTCTACCAATCAGTCACACGTACGATGGCAACCGGCCGAAGACGAACGGTTGCTCCGCCTCATCAAGGAAAACGAGTGTAAATGGGCGTTGATCGAGCAAGAAAACGAGGCGCAGCCCGAGAAACCAGGCGAGAAGAGAATCGAGGGCCGAAACCAGGTTCAGCTGAAGGATCGGGCACGGAACTTGAAGATCAAATATTACCGGTGAGTTCTGTCTCTTTTTCTGTTCGATTATTTGTGGTATAACTGACACATATCCCAGGGCTCGACAACCTCTCCCAAAGAACTTGGAAAAAGTAACTATGAAACAGAAGGACAAGGCCCGGCTCGCAAACATGGGCATTATCGTCCCTGACAACTAACCGATCGCCCCCATGCGGAGTATGGACGGATGATACCTCGCTTTCTTGCTTTTTATTTGTTTAAACTTTGGATCGATCAGTCCTAACGTCAGCATGTCAGCATGACTATGGACTATAGTATGATTCCTTGTTGCCTTGATACCCCTGAATTGTTCTGTTGGAAAGCGTTGGAACTATTTCTTTTTCTTGTTTTGTTTCGGAGCTTTCTGCCTTAATGATTCCTAGCGATCGTGTGTTCCATTGTTCGTATATACTAGATGGAAGTCATTTTGGTTAATGATATGATTTCGGTTCCAATTTTCTTTTCATCTTGAATAATTGAATCTCTATAGTAAAAGCGAGTGTATATCGTGGGTATCTCCAAACCAAAAAAAACAAAAAAGAGAAAGTAAGCCATTCATCCATTCAACCTTCAATCTTGAAATCAACCAGCAATTCCAAGTCCCAACCCAACAACCCAACAACTCCGAAGGTCATGGCAAAGGATCGAAAGGAATCAAATCAATCATTAGGTCAGTAGGGGGGAAGGGTCCACTTAGGTGTTCGTCAACAGCTTCAGACCCCAAATACCGGAACACGCCAATGCATGGAAGGTCTGCGGATCGTATTTCCAAGCCACAGACGGAATATTGTACATGGGTAAAAAAAAATAAAAATTTGTCGGTAAAGAAAAAAAAGGTGAAAGAGTGAAGAAGAAGAAGATGGAAAAGGATGCAACGAACAGGGTCGGTCAGTTGGTCAGGCACACACAACAAATAAACATCCACGAACTAGTATTACTGTGTCCTTGGTAAAGACCGACCGGTTCGTCAAACATTGTCTGTCTGACTGACTGACTACCTGTCCTATTAGAAGACAGGAGAGATAGTCTTGTTCAGACGAGGCAGTGCGATAGTGTGATTGCGAAAGGTGTCGAAGGGACGAAGAAAAAAAGCAAATCCAACTACCGGGCCACACTGGATCTCCATAATTAATCAAAAGGCAGACCCCAGCACCAATGGTAGAAGAATCGCCCCCACAACCGACCCAACAGCAGCCGGGCCAGCGGGCCCCGCAGCACCGTTAGACGAACTCTCGGGGTCCGCGCTAGACGAGGCTGACGAGGAAGAAGACGACGACGAAGACGATGCCTGCGTCGCGGCGAGCGCGGACGGTTCTGCGACGTCGGCGTTCTTGGGCGCCGTGGTGGGCGCCGTCAGGATGCTGTTCGGGATGCTAGTTTGGGTGATTGCTGCGCCGGTGGCCACGAGGTTGGGGTTGATGCTCATGATGGCCTTGGGTTCGGAAGTCGAGGACGATGACTTTGGTTCGGTTGAAGAGGATTGCGGTTTGGAGTGTTCGGGGTTGGTTGATGAGTCGTATACGATAGTCCAGACGTCATCGCCTCCACCTAGGGTTTGAGATTAGCGATGTGTTTTAGATTTGTTTTTTCTTTTCTCTCGTGTCTCGTGATTCGATAGGATAAGGCTGATAGGGGAGAAGGGGCCGAAAGTGATGCTTACAGTTTTCACTTGGATATCCTGGGCATGGCTCGTTGCACTCTTTCTGCGAGACTTTGGCGCTGATAGGAGGTAGTTTGTCGCCGCACCAGCACCGGTCGCCTTTGACGCCATATACGCTGAAGTCTTGTTTCGCGCAGTGCGATTGACACATTCCCAATGATTGAAAAGTCGAGCCCATATGGATTTTCAGGTCACCGATGTTGCTGTAACATTCACTTTGTGATCGCGAAGCCGAAACGATGGAAGGCGAGAAGGCCAGAAACGAGAGCAGGCCTAGGCCGAGAATCTTCCTCGACATGTTGGAAGATTGTTATGCAAATGAGTGTAGAAGACAAAGGTAGGTTGTCTAAAAAGTGTTTCAAGTTTCAAAAAAGAGCGACGAAAGTTCAAGTACCAAAAGTCAGAGAGTAAATGTGAGAGGGGCCAGACAAAACAGGGCGAACCCTAGTTAAATAAGACGAGTGACCTATATTCTGCCCCCAGAAGCTAGCCCCCATAAATGGAGGCAGTACCTGGCAAAGCCTTGTTGAGAAAAAGAAGCGACCCAACCCCTTGGGACCGAAATGAACGCAAAAATCAGCAGCGTTGAAACGGCGACAGAATGCTGATCGGGAAATTTGTTGCAGGGGGCAGCTCAACGAACCAGAGCGCGCCAAACAGAAAGTCAGAAACATATTTCTTGTTCTCCAGAATTCCCGAATGGTTCGTCGGACGATCGACGTGTTTCGGGCGATCCCTTGCTGGATCGAGGTGGCGTTTCATCATCACTTCTCTCCCCTTTCGGGACTCGGGAGAACCTCTCGATTTTCGCGGGCGAAAAAGGAATTCCAACCGATGATGTCAATGATCGGCGCACTATTGCTTTCTGAGACCACCACGCGAGGACTATCGATGGCTATTTGGGGCAGTGGGCCAGGAACCATTCAATGCTTGGTTTTGACAGGCGGGGTTTCTTTGGTAAGGCTCAATGAGCGATGATCGCGTGGCAATCAAGGCATCAGTAATTGGAGTGGAGTTTGGAGAAGAGTAAAAGGGACAAATTGAAGTCATGACGAAGCGGATAACCTTGAAAGATATGATGTAAACACAAGCAACTGCTTGGTGTGCTCATCTGTAGTTACAAGGCTCGCATCGCTCTCTTATTGATTAGCATTGCTTCACAAGAGGTAAGCTACTCTTAGAAGTACTTATAAGAAGAAAGGCAGTCCTGGGTGCTGTGTAAGTGTGTCCAGTATCAGATACTTAATTCTCACAATATCCATAGACTGCATGCTCGCACATACGGTGTATGACTATTTCAAGATTATCTCAACATCATTGAAATAATGATAAATGCTCTGGGGTGTAAAATGAAACCAGGTGTTCTACAATCTATATCAAACTGCATGTTAGCATGGAAATTTGTTATGCCTAACCTATTTTTTAAAATATATTGCTCATATTTGCCATTTTTTGTGACCATTTATTGTCAGGTTGGCAGTCTTTTACCTGGTCAAATGGTATCACTTGGCAGATATAATTTTGGGAGTTGGTCTACAAAGTAGTATAAGATCTTGGAGTGCCTGAGCGTTAGTGTCAGGCCAGTGGCCTCTTGACATTTTCCACTGCACTACAGACCAAAAACCACAGGAATGGCCTACAGCATTCAACGAACTATATACCAAGCCAGGTCCCTGACATCCGGTCATTCTTTTGATTCCTTTCCATCTACGTTATACAACTCTTGACGCACCATCCGGTAAAAAAACAGTGTATCTCAAATGTACAACTGATTACATGTCTTATCGAGTGAAACAGAAAGCGAAGGACTTCCAGATAATATCTACATAGTGGGATGGCCAGATAATTTATCCGAATCGTGGAATCCTCGTCTGACCAAGAGGCCTACTCAATTTAGTGATAGATACGTTATCATTGATCACAAGACGAGTGACACTTGATACCTGTCCATGTGTTAGCGCTTAACAGGAGGTGGAATGCTCTTTTTCATTCCAGGTGACCTCATGCTTCCTTGGGACTTAAAAGACGCCATTGCCAGCAAGGTAAAATGCTACTCATATATTAACCCCCGGAATACAGACGATATCAATTGACGCAACGGCATGCTTTCTGTTGATTTTGCAAAATGGAATCTCAGCGCATTGAGACTAATGAGTCTGACTTCATCATCCTCACTCTCTATGATATTATCGGCCTCTACCAAGTGTTCAACCGGCGCACATATCGACCCTATCATAAAGGTATCACTCCGCTCACCTACCTCTATCATTACATCTGACATTTGAACTGATCGAAGATAGCTCTTCCTTGGCATATAGCTTCGGGTGCATTGGAGGTCATCCTCTACTATTTTGGACTCCAATGCTCCGTTGGGGCGGTGGCTGCAACTCTTGTCCACTCTTTCACCTCACTAATGCTAGTTAGAAGACTTCCAAATGGATATCCGCCTCACACCCGTAAGTATGATTCATCCAAGCTATACATAATGCACCTACTGACAGGCATGTTCAACAGGACCCACATATCAAGCTGCCTCAATAATGCGATCAGTCCAAATGATCTACGCTTACTATACTAAAGCCCCAGTTGATTACCACGACGCCATAATGCCGCTGCATGGTTTTGTCTACACAAGAGCTCTGATCTTCATTCTTGGAGCAATGAGGCCTTATAAATCCTATGTCCAGAATGTGAATAATCAGATAGTTTACACGGAGGCTTCTTTGGAGCAGCCGTTATATCTGTAGCCCAGTGCAGCAGTCCTTGGGCTCTAGCAGTATACTTGGTTCTCATTAACTTGGTAGGAAAGCTCAAACAGGAGAAAAAGGCTCATTACAATGGAAGCCAGTATGTGGATCCACCTATTCTCGTTTTCGAGGGGACTGATTCGTTCCATATCCAGCGCTATATCAAGCACTTCGAATGGGAATAAACTCAAAGTGCCACAGATTGGACTTCTTCACATGGACTGCGTTGCGCACTTGTGGACAAAGATGGATATGGGGTATATGAGAAGTTTGAACCAGATAGGTCTGTGAAAGTATTATGTTTTGGAACAATGGCGCAGTGTATTTGGACAAGGGTACTCGGGCAGTTTCGAGCAGTCTAAGTTAAGCCAACATGCCTCCCCCATCCGCCGATGAAGACGAAAGGTTTGGTAATGGATATTGAGGTGGACAAAGGTTCAGTATACGGGCCCATACAGTTTCCTTTTCAGATACTATAACAACGCTAGTTAGTCGCTTTCCCGGTAACATTTCCTTTCTGCTTTTCGGGAGAGAGGGAGGGATTGTTATCTTTCGAGTTTGTTGGGTCATTTATCGCGCCCATTTGCTTCTTGATTACAATCTATGTGTGTTAACATTTGATTATATCTGTTAGCATAGTGGCCATAGAAAAGCACAGTCTGGCACGGAGAGGGAGGGACGGCGGATGATTGAAAGCAACTACCTACTACTTCTTCTCTCCCCAGCGCCGAACAACATAAGAAGATTGGGCCGGCAACCAACACACATGAGTTTTAAATGATCGAGTCGGACCTGATCCTAGACCATTTCGTCTATCTGCTTCAGGTTACGTGAGTTCATCTCCCGCACGAAGAACCACGCAACACAAATACATTTTGTGATAGATAGCGTCCCATAGATAAAGGCCACACAATCACTCATATCCACCTAAATAAAGGGATTAAAGAACATATCAATTAGGTCCTATAGTAGTCTATCTAGACCTTAAGTAATTCTACGTCTTGCGAGTTAGTAATCGTAAGAGGGTAGTGGATGGTCTACTCTCCCATATGAGCCAAAAAGACCAACATGGAATCACTACGGGCTTCCACCATCCAACCCGCCATATACAGTGCCATAAAAACTCGGAGCAAGCTCACCCGCTACGGAGCCAACAGCGTCCGGTGACAATAATATTATTACTCTACCATTTATGGGATCTTTTAATAATATGTTATATCCCGGAATATCCGGCCTGTGCGTTGATATATCCGGTAAAGAGGCCTTATTAGCTTCCCTAAGACCCTTGCTAGTTTCAGTAAGACTAGATTCGTGCAGGAGAGTCAGAGGATGTTACGCGTGGCGTTGTCAGCCGGTGGGATGAAATGAGCAAGTTATTGATTATTGATGAACCGGTGGGATATGCCGGTGGAGAGACAATCTGGAACGGCGTTACGTCTTCGATATTGTTTTGCCCCTGGTAAATTTTGGATGATGGTTGAGAAAGGCCACAAGGCATACGTACCAATTTTCATCTTTCTGGCAATTCCTTATGGTCTGCTGGATCTAGGTCTAAAGCAACAAGTTCCGCTGGTATGATAAAGACCTCAGGGCGTGGAGACTAGATATAGGAGGCTATCAGTGCCTCGTGGGCACAAACATGAAGGACATTCATTACAAGCTGGCTGTAGAAATTGTCTAGTTTCATGATAGAGCTGAACATGAGAACTTTCAATAATCCTATCTCCCAGATTGTTAGAACGGCTTTCCTATCCTGCTCCAAAATTTCGTATATCACGTAGTCCCCACACAGCTCGTTAGAACATACAATGGTATACTCAAAGGCGTGATTCATGGATACACATCCCGGATACCTCGTCCATACCACCGTGAAGAGTATGGCTGGAATGGATCGAACTTCCTTGAAACGGACAGAGAGCCGAAGCCGCCCCCACGCAGCGGGTGAGTTCCGTAAAGAGAATGCCATGTATTGGACCCACCTCACTGACACGGATCCTCTGGAGAACATCAGGATTTCTCTTTCTGGTAATGCCAAAAAGTGTATAATTTGACTTTCGAGCCTCGCCGACAACGTGGAGCACACGTGGGGCCCACATTCACCCCAAAGGAAGCAATAATTGCCGAGCTGGTGTTCGGCAGGATCATCATCGCAAGTAGACCAGACGAATTGCTACTGATCGTGAGAGACGAAGGATTGAGAATGGGGTCTTGGTCATGCTATGAGTTGCGATAACTCGTATTTGTGTTCCCGCCTCCGTGGATTGACCCCGATGAAATCAGGTATAAAAGGGCTCTCCTGGGTATGTAGAAGTATAGATCTTGCGAAACCAATTCAAACACAAATTCAGTCTTGTCAATTCTCTTTTTCGCTAAGTCCTCGCAAATCATCATGAAGCTAAAGAATCTCGCGGCCTTGGGCTGCTTTGTACCAGTTCTAGCTGCACAGGTGGCCCATGAGGATGTGAAAGCACCAGCTCATGACCAGCAAGGGGAGAAGCCCAACTTTCTCTTCATCATGACTGATGACCAAGATCTCAAACTGGACTCTCTTTCATATACCCCCTTGACGATAAAGCACATGGCAAAGAAAGGCACAAGTTTTGCCAATCACTTTGTCACAACTGCTTTGTGCTGTCCTTCTCGCGTTAGTCTGCTTACTGGTCGTCAAGCGCATAACACTAATGTGACTGACGTGAATCCTCCCTGGGGTAAGACCACTCCTATTCCTAGCCATCGCCTGGTATTAGGCTATTGCTGACAGATTTCTCTAGGGGGTTATCCCAAATTCATCGATCGTGGTTTCAACGAGAATTACTTACCCGTCTGGATGCAGCAAGCAGGCTATGACACTTACTACACCGGAAAACTGATGAACTCCCACTCGGTCGAGAACTACGATAGCCCGCATGCTGCAGGGTTCAATGGATCTGATTTTGTCCTGGATCCTTATACCTACGACTACATGAACGCCACCTACCAGCGCAACCATGACAAGCCGAACAGCTTTCTGGGCCGTCATACGACAGAAGTCCTACGTGAGAAGGCTATGGGTTTTTTGAACGATGCGTTGAATGGAGAAAGGCCTTTCTTCATGGTAGTCACTCCAATCGCGCCTCATTCAAACATGAATGGGACGCATGGAGGTGGTGCCGGGCCACTGTGGATGGACGAGCCCATTCCCGAAGAGCGTCACAAGCATCTCTTTCCGGATGCGAAGGTTCCTCGAACAGACAACTTCAATCCCAAGCACGTCAGTTTATACCTTGATCGGCTTTTCTCAATTCTGTCCTCTAACACGCTATATTCACAGCCAACCGGTGTCAGTTGGATCCATGAGCTACCATACCGAAACGAATCCGTGATAGAGTATAATGATCACTACTATCGTCAGCGTCTTCGCGCCCTCCAGGGCGTTGACGAGCTGGTTGATGGTCTGATTACACGCCTCGAACAGTCTGGTAAAATGAACAATACCTTCATCATTTACACCTCCGACAATGGCTTCCATATCTCGCAACATCGCCTCCCCCCAGGCAAAACCTGTGGCTTTGAAGAAGATATTCGAGTCCCCTTCATGATTAGGGGTCCCGGCATCCCTGAAAACCACGTGGATAACACCGTCACCACACACGTTGATATTGCCCCGACGCTGTTCCAGCTCGCGGGTATCTCACTCAGATCGGACTTTGATGGTACCCCGATGCCAATGATCCAGACCAGTGGAGATGTCCATGAACATGTTGCGGTTGAATATTGGGGGCAGGGTATGCTTGAGGGCGGATTGTCAAATCTTGGTATGTTGGAATTTTTGTTAAGGTCTATTCAGTGCTGATACTCGAAGGAACCCCTACCGTGCCTAATAACACCTACAAGGCCGTCCGCCTGCTGTCCACGCATTATAACCTTTTCTATTCTGTGTGGTGCAATAACGAACATGAGATCTATGACTTGAGTGTAAGTTCCCCTCATTTCCTCGACAACTTGCCCAGAACCATCCAACTGACTAGAATTCACAGACGGACCCATATTAAATGAACAATCTTTGGAAATCGAATCCCAAACAAACCATGCTCCACGGACACTCTATGTCTGATGTGGTCGCGAGACTCGATGCCCTTCTTCTAGTATTGAAGACCTGCAAAGGCGCAGAGTGCATCAAGCCCTGGAATACTCTGCATCCGGACGGGGCCGTCACAAGTCTCAAGGATGCACTGAACCCCAAGTTTGATCAGTTCTATCACTCGCAGCCGAAGGTTTCCTTTGACCGCTGTGTTTACGGCTACGAGATTGGTGTCGAGGGACCGCAGGAGGCTCTAGCTTTCAAAAATGGGTATAGCTTGGATGCTTGGGTTTAGGTCAGGGTGGATCTTCTATCTTAGCATTTAGAGGTTAGATTATCGAGTATTGTTGAGGGGTTTCCGGTTGAGTCGAGTCCGTCATAAACGTTATTCACTGCTTATGCAGATACCCCATGCATTGGCTGCCCCCACACGACCCCACACGCTGAGTCGCGCATAAACTGGCATAAAGTGGCAGGTGCGCTGTTGTTCTACTCAGTAAAGCAATAACCACACCTCGACTTCTTATTCACTACTTCTCGTCATGGGGTCTATCCACCAGTACTCCGTCCCCACGGAGGCTAAGAAGCTCTTTCAAGAGGGGATCTTGCAGAACCCTCTGATGCCTGATCTACCAGAAGAACTGGCATCACTGAGTAAGCTTGTTGTTTTCGAAGGATCCGACAAACCGATCATCCCAATTAATTGGCGACTCGCGGAAAGCATCTCATCCATCAAGGCCTTCGAGGCCACGATGCTCAATTACCTCTTGACCAAGAAGTACAGCATTCCACCGGTTGAAATTAAAATAAATACGTGAGTTTCCCGTTGAGAGTGCTCTAGAGGACAAATGAACTAGTGGTTTCTAAAACCCCCGCTTTCGTTATCTAGCAACCATGCCAGTCTATTCTTCATGTCTGTCGCCATCGCTCAATACCTGAAGGATGGGAAGCCGGTGCCAGCGGATCCGTTTTCTGCAGACCTCATCAAGTTGTTCCCCAATGAAGATAAACACAAGTCTCACGGGAGTCTCCACCGTAGTTTGACCACCAACATCTACAAAACGAAGGATGACCGGTTCTATCATCTGCATGGAAACATGGACCCGAATCCAGCCCTGAAGTCCCTCGGCCTGCCTCTAGATGGCGAGGAAGGCGATACGTACGACGCTGTGGTGGAAAGGATTGGAGCTGTAGTCGCTCAGCATGACGCCGCGGAGCTTGACCGGCTGCAGAATGAGACCGCCAAAACCTCAGGAACCATTGCATGGACAGCTGATGAGTTCTTGACCACCGAGCAAGGTAAGGCCTGTGCTGACGTCGGATTGTATGAGATCTTCAAAGATCCAACCTCGGCCCAGCCCCCTTCTTGGTGGCCGGAAAACTCTTCGCTCCCATCCTCGCCAAAGAGACCTCTCGCGGGCCTTAAGGTGGTTGATCTGACGAGAGTCATCGCAGGTCCCACCATCACTCGGTCCCTTGCCGAGTTAGGAGCCAGTGTTATGCGCGTGGTGTCTCCTCATGTGACGGATTTTTCCCCCCTTCACCAGGACCTGAACTGGGGGAAGTGGAACTCCCATCTTCATTTGAAGAACGAAGGAGACGCTGAGAAGCTACGTGAGCTGATCCGGGAGGCGGATGTGGTGGTGGACGGATATCGCCCTGGAGTGATGGATCGACTTGGCTTCGGGCGTCAAGCCGTATTTGATCTCGTCAAGGATCGGTACCGTGGCATCATTCACTTGCGGGAGAACTGCTACGGTTGATATGGGCCATGGGCACACCGAAGTGGCTGGCAGCAGATTAGTGATGCGGTATGGGAAGCCTATTTTTCCTTCTTCTCTACACTCACTTGCTTTGGACTGATCCCTAATCTGCATTTACCATAGTGCTGTGGCGTGTCTCGAGCCTATGCCCAAGCGATGGGGCACGACGAGGCCGTGACCCCAGTGTTTCCAAACTCTGACTACTGGTACGTGAACAGACAGTATTCGAAGATGGGTATAATTAGCTAATCGTATTCTCTAGTACTGGCGCCCTGGGGTCCACTGCTGTTTTGGAGGCACTTGTTCGTCGCGCAGAAAAGGGCGGCAGCTACGGTGTGGATGTAAGAGCTAATTTCCTGCTCCTGTGCGATTCCCTTGTGCATCTGCTGACCATGTTCCAATCATCAAGGCCTCGTTGAATTACTACTCTCAGTGGCTTGTCCGGTCATGTGGTACTTACGACTCGGATATCTGGAAGGAAGTGTGGGAAAGACACGACTCGATCACTTTCCGTCACTATCATGCCATGCAGTATCTGCTTCCTGCGATGCTGAAAAGTTTATATCAACATGACCGAGATACTCTGTTCAATCCCGCATTCTTTGAACCCCGGCTGTCAAAGAACATAAGCACTACATTTATCGGGGTGAAGCCAATCGCCCAATTCCCGGGCAAAGAAGTTGATCTCAAATACAACGTTGGCACTCGTGGTAATGGCATTGACCAGCCAATGTGGCCAAAGGATTTGACTGTCGAAGTCGTCACTGGATCTAACTAATGTCGAAAGGTTTCTGGAAGTGCAAGTATTGGCTAGACTTCGTTTTATGTAGAATAATCCTAACTAGCGGCCATGCCCATTCCCCCTGCGCTGTTATTACTACCACGTCAGGACTTTTATTCATCTCTCTTCCTCGACATTGAACCAACTGTATATCTCAAATACCTGGTCCGAAATGCAACTCTCATACACCCCGATGCATTAAAGACCTCTCATGCGTGAATAAAACAGCTAAACAGCGCTAGCAGTAGCTATCGCAGAAAGCGTAGATCACGCACATTCTCCCCGGTCCGTGATCGAAACAGGTTTCCAGTGATCCTTTCGCCGGCTTCAATGGCACCTCTATGGATTCTTCCGCATTCAAGAGCTCCCAAAAGTTCGCCAAGGCCATGGCGGCGACGGGGTTGGAAATCATACAAGACGCAAGCCAAGGCACCGGCGGGTGGAAGATGAGGGCAAGGCAGTGAGCTCCTGAGAGAAGAATAGTCCTGCGGCTAAAATGTAATTTTCTCACCAATCTCTCATAAATCCATTAATCTAGCTCTAAATCTTGAGGGCATAGACGAGGACTAGATTCGGATTCCGTTGTCTTAGTTGTTAAGGGTGGGAAGACGATTGCTAAGATATGAGTGTATCTATACACCCTTAGCCCAGGACCATCATGGCATACCCCTTAACGAATTTATAGGATTTCTTAGGCAGGTTTTGTTACTACTATATAGCATATTCAAGATGTTCTCCAGAACTTGGTACCCATCCCGAGACTAGGGTACCCTAGTACTCGGCCTCAAAGCGTTTCACGAAGCTCCTCCACCTGCGAGACATCCTCCACAAAGGTCGCGCCATACTCTCTCATAATCTGGATCCTCTCCTCCATATTCATCGCGAATCTAATTCTCATAAAGTCTCTAGGCATTTCGCTGGCATTCGCAAACCTCAGTACCCACACGCCTACACCATCCGCCGGCCACCCAAACACCAGCACTTTCTTTTCTTCCTCCGTCATCTCTCTCTCCTCTAGAATCACCCCAAGCTTATCCTCCCTACTCGGCCACCACGTCGCCCCAGTCCGGCGCAAGAGCTTGCAGAACCTGTCCTCCTCATCGACACTGGATGCGCGCTGCACGGGCTGAAAGCGCGGGAGCGAGAGGAAAAGCAGGTCAGCCAGGTCAGCGTTTTTAATGAGGACGCCACCGGTGGAGGGGTACCCATAGACAAGGCATCCCGCGCGGCTGAAGACGGTCCGTTCCATTGTCGAGAGAGGGGGGTTCATGGGGCACGAGCAGGCGTTGTCTTGCTTCACGCCGTCCTGCTTCACGCCGTCGCGTGCTCGGGGTCGTCGGCCCACGATCGGGAGGCGGTCCACGTTGATGGGGAGGACGCGGCCGATGGTTTGGGCGCCGAGGAAGGAGAGGAAGCTGGACATGTTGCTCGGCTGGGTCTGGGTTTGATGAATCTGGGTTTGATAAGGTCAGCGGGTGAAAGAGAATCGGCAGGGAAGACGCAGTGAGGGGTGTTACGGTCGGTGGCAGGGCTGGAACGGTTATCCACTGCGCCACCAAAAGACTAGAATACCAAGTCAACAGACTTGGTACAAACAATGGCGGCTTTAACTAACATAAGCCTCAAATCGCGAATCACGGCATTTGACACCTTCCTGGACAGGCGGGTCAATCCGCCTTTGGTTCCGATTGCACCATTTCCTTGCCGACTTGTCAAATCATGTCTTTTGGCGAGGCCGCTTCTCGTGCGGAGTAACGCACTGCTGATAACCTGACAACATAAATAGTTGGGACTTTTGCTCATTTCGCTATGGCTGCTTTCCGAGATCTTCATTCTCTCGTGCGCTTTTCCAAATTGGCTACCCATCATGCGTCCAATTGCCCCGATCATTGCAGGATTCCTGCTACCCTCGGCTTCATCTCTGAGCATTCCCTTGCAGCAATTCCTCCCTTCATGGACCGAACAAGACAATGGCTTCTGCCCTCTGCCCTCGAAGATAACCCCACCTAATGACGGATTAACTTCCTCTCTGCGATATGTTCAGGATGATAGTCTCCGATCGCGTCAGGCCGAGCGTCTCTCCAGAGCTGTTCAGGTCCCTACCACTGTCACTGACCACGCAAATGACCCCTATGATCCAGCATTCGCCCCATTTGTGAAGTTCCAAGAGCTCCTTGAATCTCTTTTCCCCTTGACGTATGCTTTCTCTTGTCCCTATAGTCAAACTACAATCCCTCTAACAAAAGGTCAACAGCCACCACAAGGCCCGCGTAGACCATATCAACAGATTAGGTCTGGTCTTTACCGTCAATGGCACCGACACGTCCCTCAAGCCATTGCTATTCATGGCCCACCAAGATGTCGTCCCTATCAACGACCCTGCCGACTGGACATACCCCCCATTCGAGGGCCACTTCGACGGCGAATGGCTCTGGGGCCGCGGTGCCAGTGACTGCAAGAACGTTCTGATCGGCCTCCTCTCTGTCCTCGAGGACCTCCTAGCCCAAGACTGGAAGCCTACACGCAGCGTCGTCTTCGCCTTCGGTTTCGACGAGGAATCCCACGGCTTTCTCGGTGCCGGCTCCATCTCGAAACACCTCGAGGAGAAATACGGCCCCGACAGCTTCGAATTCATCCTCGACGAAGGCGGAATGGGCCTCGAGATCATCGGCGATCCAGACGATGACAACAGCGTCGTCTACGCCCTCCCAGGCGTCGGCGAGAAAGGTGCCCTCGACATCGTCATCGACCTCCACATCGCCGGCGGCCATAGCTCGGTACCCCCCGCACACACAGGCATCGGGATCGTGTCCGAGATCATCTACGAGCTCGAGCGACAAGATCTCTTCATCCCCGCCCTGAACGAAGATCACCCTACGCGGAAGAAACTCGAATGTCAAGTCCGCCACTCCCCGGAGCAAGTTGAACCCTGGCTCGCCTCCGCCCTCCAATCCTCCGACGCCACGACCCTCGCCGAGAAAGTCGCCGCCGCCCGCGGCGACAAAGTCCGCTTCACGCTCCAAACCTCCCAAGCGGCCGACATCATCACCGGGGGCGTGAAATCCAACGCCCTGCCCGAGACGATCTCCGCGCTAGTCAACTACCGCGTCGCCCTGCACGAAACCCCCCAGACCGTCCTCGACCGCGCCATCCGCATCGTCGGCCCCATCGTCGAGAAACACAACCTCACCTGGTCCGCTTTCCCCTCGACCCCTACAGACCAAGACCAGAAGCAACTCAACCACCTCACCCTCTCCACCCCCAGTAACCCGCTCTCCCCGGCCCCCGTCAGCCCGACAGACCCCACCCGCGACTCCGTCTGGGCTCGCTTCGCCGGCGTGACCCGCTCCGTCTTCGAGTCCATCCCCAGCCTCGGGGGCAAGAAGGTCGTCGTGAGCGGAGACATCATGACGGGAAACACGGATACGCGGTTCTACTGGCCCCTGTCGCGGAATATCTATCGGTGGAGCCCGTCGAGGGCGGACAGGTCGTTGGATATTCATACGGTGGATGAGCGGATCGCGATCGATGTGCATTTGGAGGGGATGGTGCTTTATTATGGTATGTCTTTTCTTCCTTATTTTTTTTTTTCTTTTCTTTATTGGTGGCCCTACCGATTTTTCCACTCTCCCTCTTTCTCTCTCTCTCTCTCTCTCTCTCTCTCTCTCTCTGTGTGTGTGTGTGTGTCTGTCTGTCTGTCTTGATTGAAGTCTAGTGTCCGAGTTTGATTGCGTATTCGGGTGGATTTACTGCCTGTGAAATCTATATGAAACTGACTCAATGTTTCACAGATCTTATTCGCTCTTTCGATACGAAATCCAACTAAAACGACTCGCGGCATTTACGTTTCAACATTAGAATACACATATACGAGGCTGGGCATACATGGCAAGCTACGGGATGAATGATGAAGTATGATGCATTCAACGTGGACAACTTGACTGAGCGTCATTTGGGTATAGACGATACTATATTGACAAGTCAATGGAATTTTTTATTTGGTATGCTTTCGACTTTTGTAAGCTGAAGCTTTAGACGTCCATGTCAATAGACCGCGTCATCCGTTCAGTGCAATATGTAAAGGAGTCATATATGCGAATGCACTATAAACCAATGAATAGTTCGCAACAAAAGTCTCGGCCCTAACAATGACCGGATAAGAATAAGGCAACAAGAAGGAATCGTTGCTGGTGACCTGCACAGCTTTAATCTACAGCAAATCATTGGATCAAAAAGACGGCCATTCGAATCATAGGCCCTGGTCAAGAAGGATCAATGAAAAGGCACCGCCCATGACAGGACGGGCAATGAACGTGATTTGTGGGTAACTGTTCTTGTTAGCTCGGTGTTTCAATAACAAGCAGATATAAACAACTTACTCTCCAGTGTTTGTATCATATAAATCGGTAAGAGCACGGTTTGTAGGAGTCTCGTTGATCCACTTCGCAAGTCGCCGAATGAACATGTCTCTCGTGTCTGTCGAGGCGATGGCTGCGGTAAATAGTTCCCAGTCACCTGTTCAGGTCAGCATGTAAGTACGATACGAACTCTTGAGCCCAACATACCCTTGGTATATTCGTGCCGTGTGTCAAGCGGTACTCCGTATGTGTTCTGGACAGTGGCATAGAACGTGCTTTGCATGTCATACACAGATTGTGGAACCAAATTCAGCTTCAACTCTCGGTCGGCATAGAGGTTGTATAAAAGCCCTGTTAAAGTCAGCACATGGTATATCTCGTGTCATATGCCTAGACTTACCATGGGATTGATTAGATCCGTACGACAAAGTAGTGTGTGGTGGGTTTGCATCGTGGGCAATTCCCAAGGTCTGCCACCGGTTGATGTAGTCATGAGCAATCCGTGAGTTATTGGTAGCGGCTTCAGGATCGTTGGTCAAGTTTCCAATAACAGACATAGCTTGGATACCAATAATTCCTTTCAAGGCCAAGTTGGTCTGGTTTCTGGAAAAGGTGTTAGCTCCGGATCCTGTACCAAAGTGATGGGTATACGTACGCCAAAGGACCAGCAAAGTCGTCAGTAGAAATCTGGTTTGCCGGATAGAGAGCATCTTCCACCAAGTAGGTTGTCCACTGCTTCAGGAAATTGTAATGAAGGTTCAGGTAATTCGTGTCCTTTGCCTTGAGGGCATATGCCAGAGCCATGATCACCATGTTGCCACATTCTTCCAGAGGCATTGGCTCGTCATTACCATCGGGGTGGCCTGTTGCATTAGGATAATGACTTCCAATATCATGCATCGCATATCTGTTAGGATATTTTCCACGTTCTTGGATCTCGTAAAGCGGTTTCAACAACAGTCTCAGAAGTTGCGGGTTGGTGTATAGAAAGACAGGGTGAGCAGGGAAGATGACGTCGACGGTGTTCATATTGCCATTCGAAGATACCTCCTTCATAAACATGTACGTATTCTCTGGCGTTCCGCATAGCTGTGTCGCAGCAAATGCCTGGCGGGCACTGAGAGACGTGATGGTCAGGTAGTCCTGACCGGCTGCAGCCAAAGAATCTGTCGCAATCCGTTTATCCAAGTCGGATGAGAGAGAAGTCGACTCCGCAAAGTCATGGTGGAAGAATTCAAGCTATACCATCTGAATGAGCGAGCGATAATTATCCAAATATGCCAGGCACTTACCGCAGCTTGACCGTCATCAAAGTAACTTGTCCACAGCGAAGGCTCGGCAATAGTTCCATCCGAGCTACCGCTATACTGGATCGCTTCTTTTTGTGCCAGACCAATGGTAAAAAGTGCACCTCCCGACTTCACTGAACCGAAATCGCGTGCAAAGCCAAATACCGGCCAATCATTTGAAATAGCACGGTAGTTGCCATCCTTCGAGTTTCCGAGCTTCCCATTTCTGGTGAATGCGCCCCGAACAACAGTATCGGCTCCAGACTGGTATGTAAGGCCATCTCCACTGTCTGTGGCCCAGTACCAGTCACCCCACTCGGCCTGATCCCTCACCTCAGAGAAGAGCAACTGTGTTTGGCGATTGATCTTATGATAAGAAACACCGTTCTTGGTGACACCATAGTCCCACTCCACTCTAGCGTTGCGGTCTCCTGACACCCATTCTACAATCCAGTCAGACACGGATTTCTAGGCTGACACTCACATTGTTTCGGCTAATCCCTCTGCTAGTGGGTAGCGCGAATAGACATACCTGCAGAAATATCCGCGTACAATTGCACGTCATGAGCCTTGCCATCCAGCGAAGCGATGTCAACATCGAGATAGGAGAATATGAGCGATTGTCTGCGCAAGTCGTCCGGTGTGATTGGGGATAAGAATGTAACATTCATTTGGACCAAGTCATCGACATGCAAGGTGAAAATGCTTTTTGTCGACGTGTATTCATATGCAGTCTGGTTGACCAAGGTCGATCCCGGTATCCCTCCCATCCACGTGTAAACATTACCATCGACGCGGATCATACCGGCCCAGCCAGTGATCTGGCCTCTGTATCGGAGTTCACTCTTTAGCCAACACTCCATCGTAACTATCTCACAAGACTAGAGCCACTCACTCCCAAAAAGTCGGCCATTCTCCCGCCAGGTATCCTCCATTTCCACCGTCTCTCCCTGCCGGCAGCCAGGTGCTCAAGTACGGAGACTTCACGGCCAGCGGCAGAGCTGGAGGTCTAGCAGGAGTGAAAGTTGACACTGCCTTTGTCCCTGAAGCAAGGAATGCGGCCGAGATGCAAAGAAGCGGGAAGATCATGTTGAGTTGGAGGGTTGACGCTCAAGCAGGGATCATTGTTTTCTCAAAGTTGAAACTTTATATAATTGGCAAGTGTTTGTTTTTTCTTCACTTCACGAAAACAAATAAAGCCCAGGAACTGACGATGTCAAACACCTGGAATGGGGTTCGGAATGTTTATCGGAATGCCACGAGCGCTTATATAGTTGGTCGAGTGCGCATTCCAGGGGTCAGGGAGGAATTCGACCAGGAGACTAAAATCGATTGAAGAAACTTATTAAGAGACAAGGTACAGTCTAGAAGCGAGTCAAGAATGCATGAACATGTGAATATGTATGATGGGAAAACTCCCAAAAGTCGTCTGACCGGCCAGCCTCTAGAGGGGGGGAAGGTCTCGTGCAAGATATATGCCCATATACCCGAGGAACCGAGACCACGAGTAATCTGGCCCAGGAGGTGGGTGGAAAATATTTACCGTGCAAGGGAAGGTAGAGCATGAAGGGCATCTAGCACGGCAGCGTGATAGACATAGTCCAGGCGCCAAGGATGATCCGATCAACAGGGCGGGACTCTGGGCGTAGTGTGAGTGGTACTTGGGCCTTGCGTCTTGATCCACCTCAGTCGACTATTGGAGCTTAATAGACATGCCTAAGATATGGGGTAAGGAGCCAAGGAGTCTTAGTCCATACTGCGTAGTCACGGATGACTACCTCGGTTATTAGGAATAACAGCAACGAGCGACGATTGGATGAAATGAGCGACAAGGAATAAAACCGGGACAAGCGAACGACTTCAAAGCGATGATTTGTAAATTGTTGCATAGGATGAAGGGAGCAAACAGGAGAATCCAGTGAGAAGAAAAGGCGAAGCCACGAGCACCTGCCGAATCGGGCAGGTGGCTCAGAACGCTTCCTCAGGCACATCCCAGGCACTTCAGGTATCCTCTCCCCCTCTCCCCCTCTTCATCTCTTTCTTTCTTTTTTCCTTTCGTCTCTCTCTTCTCGACCCACGATACGTCAACTCAAATTCCCTCGGTATGACCACTCTTTGTGACACCATCATGTGAGACGGAAATCCTCCTCCCAAGAAGTATGTCGACCCTCTAGACTGCTCCTGCGGTGTGACGGATGACCAGCCCAATCTCCTCAAGAACCAGGATTCGATTCGGCCTGCATGATCAAATTCAAATCAAAATGATCACCGCCACCGCAAGTGCGGGGACTGGACACCGAAGGCTGGAGAAGTCCGATCCGCTCCACTTTTCCCACCGATCATAGTCCGGAGTTTACATACGACGATGAGCGGAGACATAGAAACGAGCTCGAGTCAAAGTGCCTGCGCCCATACTTGATCATCCATCGGCCCGAACGATTAAGGGAATTTCAAACAAAGGAGAAAAGGGAAAGGAAAACTATGACACTCAGACTCACTACCTAATAATCTCAGTTCCACAACAACCAAAGCCAAAGTGGGGGGGAAAACCAAGGGACAGCCACAATCACATTTTCCACGCAGGTACCAGGTTCCGGTCCGACATCCGAGTCACAGAACCTTTCTCCATGCTTGACTCACGTTTCCTGGAGGGTTGTCGGTGGATGTCCAGGCTACCACGTCAGTAGCAGTTAGTGTTTCCCCTTGTTAGGTATCCAATGCACTCAGTTTATTCTGTGTGCATAATGCTTGTATGCCTCGTTGAACAAGGTCGAGTTCACCGACAGGATGTGTTGTCAATGATTTAAGACGGGCCATGTAGGTAACTTCGCTAATTTAAATCCCTCTTTCTGTTTTTTTGGTGCATGATAGGACAGACACGCTCTCCCCTTGCATGTGCCGGGTAGTGCATGTACAGTTGTCATTGTTATCGGAAAGCAAGGAGCCCTCTGTAGACTTCGACAAACGAGCTCGGCTACGACGTGAGAAGCGAGTAGGCGTAGTTGTCCTCGATCTGGCTCTGGTAGTGTGTAGGGTCCATTGAACAGACTGAGAGTTCTAGGACGCACGGCATAAAGTCCTCGCCTCGCACTCTGCACTCCACATCAAAGGCAAGACAAGAATGTAACCCGACAACTCACTGTCCACACCTACTTTTCTCCTCTTCTGATGGATAGATAAGAGTAGTGGAATGTAAAAACATAAAGCATGCTCACATAATACTAAGATCCCGAAATATTTTGGAACCCCCGGATATCAAACCTAAGAATCAAGATATCAATAAATGTCAACTCCTCAGCCCTGTCATCAATCATCCAACGGACAACTAGATGTAGAAAAAGAAAAGAAAAGAAGCAGGAATAAGGAGAAAGAACAAGCGAAGAAAAGGTAAATACACGGTCCGAAAAACCCCTATTCATTCCTCTAGATTCATAAACAGTCATAAATCATAATCGATTACCCGGTAGGATGTATGTACGCATGAATCGTACACACACATACCTCCCCTAATTAACCCCCAAGATTTTCATCAAGCCCTCTTCATAAGCGTCTTCGAGCTGCGCGCCAACTCAATGCAGAACTCGCCCCATTCGGTGCCGCCGCTGGTCGGTAGCACCTCCTCTGCAATCGCCTCCTCCAATCGCTCGCCATACCGCCGGCGAAATTCGGTCTTTACCTGGTCCAGATGCCGCGGTTCCCAGTGAAATCGGACCAGTCGAGAGATCAATAATTCGGATCGTTCTTTGCCTGTGCGCGACTCACGGAGGGCTTGGTGGAGCAGAAGTGCATCGCGCATGGGCCGATTGATAACACCGTTGAGAATGTGGGCAAGTGTTTCGCCCTGGTGATTGTTAGTTCAGGGATCACCCATATATAGCGGAATGAAAAGAAGGTTCAAAGAAAACCTACCACAAGATTTTGTGATTTAGAGATCATAGACCGAGCAAAGTTCCGGTTGTAAATCTTCTCATAGGCGCGAAGAACCTCCCGCAAATGCGAATCGCTTCGGCGGACAATGATGTAAATCATTGCGGTTTCGCCGCCACTCCGCGAAAGGAGCGCTCGGTTGAGCTCCTCGACGTCGCGATGAACGAGATCCATATTAAGAGGATCTCGCTCACTCTGGCGCTTCTCCTCGAGCGCCAGCAGTACCGCCAAGCGGAATTTATCCGCTTTCAGTTCCGCTTTCATGCATTTCTCCAGACTGTCTGAATAGCGGGAGTCACGAAAACACTCCTTGATTTCTCGGATTTCGCTGTTACTGCGGCCAAAGAGCGACTCGATCAGAAGCTCCCGTCGCGACGTACTGGCCTGGTAATAGCAGTTGGCCCAGAACGCCTCCGATTCCCACCGGCCTAGCGCCGTGGCGTAACACACTTTGCCAAAAGCGCTGTTACCCAGCTTCAGCCGAATGTGTTTGGCCAGGTTGATTCCTTTACCGTGCAGCTTCACGTGGTTCTTATACTCTTTGCGAAGATCCAGCATCTCCTCGCTGGTCAAATGAGGCAAGACGCGGATGATCGCCTTGTTGTCGATACTGCGGCTGTTTAGAGCTTCCTGCATGGCAACCGCATCGGGACCGACATCATAGAATGACACTTTCTTGCGACTGGCAGACGGAGAGATCAACACAAGGGCCTGTCGGCTGTTCGAATCGTGGCGCTCGTGTCGAACGCGGCTACTGTCTCTTTTAGAGCGATCGATGGTTTTATCTTTCCGCTCTTTTTCATCTTTGGACTTCTTCCGCCGATGCTTCCTCCGTCCACTTGTATCGGAGCCGCCATCCAGCGGCTCTAGGTCAGAGATGTCCTCGTCCAGCTTGGAAGGGATGACAATGGGTGACGGCATCGGAGAGATACTCTGGTATGTACCTTTATACGGCTCTTGCAGAGGACTGGCAGGTCGGAAACTTGGGTCCGGACCGGCAACTGAGAGATTGTTGGCCGACGAGACAGAAAGACTTGCCGGGCGATTCCCCGTCCTGCTTCCTGGAGTGATCTCCACAAACTGGGGCTCTTTATCTTGACGGCTGGTCTGGGCCTTGGAGAATTGAGGCGTTGCAGAATATCTGACATTTGAATATTGGGGTTGACTACTTTCCGCCTTGGGATATTGGGGCTGTGTGGAATATGACACGGCACTGGACGAGGATTTGGAGCTGTACTTGACCTTAGGGTCCACCTGCGCATATTGGTAAGGGGTCGGTTTGGCATACCCAGGTTGGACAGAGGTGTCAGATGCATGGCGCTGCTGGGTCGGAGATGCCAACGAAGATGTGTACGCGTTGGCTGTGGTAGATACCGAAAGAGGGCGACCACCCCGCGTGCCGTACTGCTGTCCTTCGAGATTGGCATACTGAGGCATCGGGAACCCCGCCGCTACGGTAGGCGAAGAAAGCTCCGGATATGTCGACGCCGGGGGGAAGGCCCCGGGCATTGCTTGCTCTGCCTGCGACGTCGGCGGTACAAAGCCCGGTCGCTCGCACTCTGGAATCGGGGCCCAGTTCGACTGCGAAGCCGGCTGCGCCTGCGCGTACTGGGAGGGCACCGCATACTTGTAGGGACCAGGCCGAGCATAGCTGGGATGGCTACCCGGGAGGTCTTCCTCGGCGCGCGATGAGCCATTGTTGAAGAGCCGATCTGCATTCAACGCCCCGGACATCTGCGCTGCCTCGACCTGCGAGGAGGATGCACGAGGCGACGCTCCATATCCGTAGTATCCACGCTCCGCTCTCCCCGGTATATCTCCATAGGCAAGGGCGTCATCCTCCGAATCCAAAGACTCATCCGAAGAGTCATCGTAACGAACGGGGCGAAGGTTGGGCGATCGCGCATACTTGCCGCTGCGCTTGGCGGATCTACCCTCCGCAGCATCGGAGAGATAATAGTCGTCGCGGTTTCGTTCGGGGCGCAGGATGTAGCTTCTGTCATCGTGGTCCGAGTCCGAGCCTGTAGGTCGGTAACGAGAGCTGCTGCGATGGCTGCGACTGGTGTTCGGTCCTCGGCTTCTGGAACGCGACCGCAGGTGTTCGCGCACAAGGTCTGGGTTTAGAAAAGAGGATCTGGTGGCATCCGGTCCCGGAGAAGGCAGTCTACTATCGCGAGAATGGGAACGGTCACGGATGCGGCCGCCTGGGGACTTGGAACGGCCGCGCGACCGTGGGTCGCCGACCTGGAGTGACATGGATGGCAATGAACTCAAACGAGACGACAACAGTTATTTAGATGCTGTTTAGAAGCTAAGAACAGCGACCGAGCCTGTGATAGGAAAAAAAGAGACAATTCAAGGTGAACGAGCAATGAACAAAAATTGCAATTCAAAGTGCGACCCGGTCGCAAGTAAATAATAAAATTTGGGTTTGTGGCCCCGGGGAGAGCGAGAGGGGAGAGGAGGGAGGGCAGCTGAGCAAGCGCGAACAGACCGATAAACAGAGATGAACGAACTGATCGTCGGAGGGGTCAGCGTCAAGGGGAGAGAAACTTCAAACAAGAACAACCTCGAAGGCACACTGGTCACTCGCCGCAGAATACGCGCTGACTGAATTATTTATGGCAGGAACCACAGTCCCGGGACGCGAGCGACAATATTAATCGTCGAGGAGCCGCATCGTCTCAGAATTGAAGCTGACGGACGGATCGATTAAAATTCCTTGGACTGCCCCTGGTCAGTCTGGTCCAGTGGTCAGCTCCCTCGCGAATGACCTGCCATGGGAGCTGAATCCACCTCCGCTTGGGCCCTTTGCTGCGTTAGCGCCTCGTATCCTAGCAGGACGGTGTCGCACCAGTCCACCAGGCGCTCCCTTGAAAAATGCACAATCCCTTCGCTCTTCGCTCTTGACTCCATTCTTCGCGGCAAGTCCGGCCACCACGCCTCCGCTCATTGGTCGCGCGCATTCCTTCAGCCTTATTTGCTCGGTTCTTCGTCTCTTGATGATTTGCATTGAGCGGTGCAGCCTTCTGCTCGTGCAACAGACTGATGGGGCCAAAAGGGTCGAGCTGTAGTCATGCCATTCAGATATTGGGCATGAAAGTGACATGGATGAGGGCATCTATATATGACCCGAGATGACAACGGATGGGGTCTCAAGATGATGATGATGATGAGAGTTCTTCTACTCCATGTCTGGGCGATCTTGGCCAAGATACATCCGCTTACTAATCTCATCTGGTTGCCTGCTTTTTCTGCCCACCAGGTCTTGGGGTCCTTGAGCTATTACAAATGTTGCGATCTGCGGGGAAATGATAGTCGCATGGGTTGTAGAAATTCATTGATAAGTAAAAACAGCACATGATTCCATGCTCACAACATGATCGTCCGAAACCTCCTTAGGAAGCAATCGGAACTAAGAAAAGAAATAATAGAACGTGGGCTCGAGACCAGTCATTAGAGGCACAACCAGGACAAAGACGGCATATTCCGACAGAAAGGAAAGAGAATTTAATAGGACCAGGAATACATGTAATGGAAGTAGAAACTCGAGAGAGATCGCACATGAGGAATGACAAGATGAGATGGATTAGAGAAAAGAAAACATGAAGATAACCGTGCCCATCGGATACACCCAACACGAGTCGGTCCTAAATCAGAGACGCTGGAACATCGACAGTGACATCGTAATTAGTACGCTAGGTGGTATAAAAATCTCAGGCGCTTCTGTCAACTAAGCTTGCAGAGGAATCGTAAAACAACAGTGTTCAAATCCAAGGAGGATCCAAAGATGCCGGTGGGGTTCACTGCGCACGAACGGAATGCCAGTGTTCGAAAGAATTGTTCTTGCTCTCTCTCTCGTCGTTAGTCCAGCAGCTGTCCGAATAGTCCGAAGCTGTTCCGAGTGGAACCTGGGATCATTCCACGTTCAAGTGAGAATCAGATAAGAAAACTGCATGATGGAGAAGGAAAACGTATAACCAGAGACCCATGCTCACTTTCTGTTGCATTTCAAATCTCGACAATCGGATTGGTATTTTAGACCGCAATCTTGGGGATGCAAGAGGTGAAACGAAAAGTAGGATGTGACATCTGTTTCATGAAGAAGTAAAGGGGAAAGGAGAGGGATGGAAAATTTCAAATAAGCCGTCCAAACGGGCAAAAGATGACATGACGCAATATGAATCAGTACTTGAGCCCCCTTACATTCAGCGGGGGCCCATTCTGCCACTGTACGTCTTCTTCTGCGGAGCAGCGGCGGCGGCGGCAGCACTAGGGCCATTGCGATTCAAACGGCTCGTTCTCCAGTTCTCATACCAGATCACGCGACTGGCCTCACGCAGTTCAGCCCGCCACTCGCTAAACACCGACTCCTTCAATTTGAGGAAATCGCAATGCTCAGGGTTGTGAGGGTCAGCAAAGCCCCAGGGGAACCTTCGACCGACGGGCTCGTCATTGGATTTCAACGAGTGCGGGTCAGGCGACAGTATCGTAAACGGCAAAAGTTGAGAGGCGACCTGGGATCCTGATGATTTGCGAGAACTCTGGCTTCGAGCGGATGGGGATCCGGGGGGTTTCACCGCCGCACCCTCTTCATTTGAAGCAGGCTCAGCACTGGAATCCTCGGTCGGTTTGGCCTCCTCATCAACTTCCTCCTCGTCTTCATCAGCACTCTCGGAAGACGTATACTCATCTTGCTCATCGAGGGCGAGCACTTCGAGAGGGTCGATGTTGGCCTTCTTCAAACTATCCCAAACTGCCTTCCTTAGGTAGGACATGTGGGTCGATGTAATAGTGTCGGCTTTGCTGATGACCGGGACGACCGTGGTTTTACCGACGACTTTGCGGAGAACTTGGATGTCGAGGTATTCGTCAAGGATGCCGACAACGGGAGAATCGGTGGACTTGGGTGTTCCTTGAGCGGCACGTTCGGCGGCGGCGATATTTTCGTCCAGGCGTACCGGATCAAGGATCAAGAAAGTACAATGGATGTGGGTGTCACGCACGCCAGGCGAGCGGATCACCTTCATTTCCTCACTCAGGGTCTCCTCGAATTTGCCTTCAAGGAATCCCACCACACCACGCAGCTGGATGTCGACAATGTTTCTTTCCAATCCTTGCGAGTCCCACAGGGTCAGTCCGACGCGTTCTCCGTCGATTTCCGTTTCGAGATAATGAGACGAGTAGCCTTCGTTGGCGGGGGCCTGACGATGATAGGATTCGAACTCGTCCAGAGGGCGAGAAGGGTGTTTGTGAGGTGGCATTGCCAATGAGTTTCTGAGGAAGTTGAGGAATGAGGTCTTTCCCGAGTTGCGAGCACCGATGACAAGGACACTGGAAGATATGTTAGCGCCTGATCCTCCGTCCGATCCAATCTTTCCCTGGTACCACTCACTTGTAGGGTGTCGGATCCTTGCGGCGACGCAGCCTGCGGGGGTTATTGACGGTGCTCACAGCACTGCTTGCGTAGCTATACCGTCCACGGTGTGTCATGCTCTCGGTGCGCGCATAGGGGTCGTAATCGGGGGCCACGGGGGTGCTCACGGCGCTGCGAGCCTGTTGCTGCGACGCAAAGTTCTGGTTGGAAAGAGCAGCGACGGTGTCGCGGCGTTCATCACCACCGAATGTCTCGAGGACCGGGGGAGGTGCGAAATCGGGCAGACGGGGAGGTTGTCGGACCATGGACTCGCGCTGGCGACGGATGTCCTCTTCCGTCGCTTGAGGTTTGCCCATTTTCTTGCTTTTGCTTCCGGAGGATCTTCTTTCACCTAGGATATCGGTAGACTTGGAGCGACGGAGGAAGCTGAGAGACGAGGTTCTTTTTTGGTCTTTGGTGGTATCACCATTCTCAGGAAGGGGTTCGGCGGGAGGTTGAGGGTAACCCGGCGTATGGGGTCTAGATGAAGCGGTCGACATTGGGGGAGAAAATCAGGGTGGCACCTTCCAATCACTCGACGGGCTGTTACACGGATGGGTACTTTGCCCAGAAGTGGGGTACCAGTGAATTAATGTTGTCTCAGATATAGATTCCTTCGCCGACAGAAGCTTCCCGCGTTACCGACTCACTTCTGGCGCAATTTCAGGTCGGTCCGTTCCCCTGAATGATCGGGAATGATACCTAGCTAATCGCAGGGTATAAGTCAGCACGAAACCCTTGCAATACACGCCCGCAGGTTTGTCCGGCGGCAGGTGCAGCTCTCCTGAAGAGTTGAGGTTGCTCGAAATTCCTGAACACTAGAACCAACTAGATGGCAAAACACTTACAGTCTTGGCAGATTATGGGGTGTCAGAACTGCGCTGGGGTTCAATCTAGCTAAGTATACGAGCTGCTGCGATTCAATGCGTTCGCCTGTGTTGCGTTTCTTTTTTCCCTGAATTGAGTGACTGAGGCTTGAACCGAGGAACCAAGTGCGATCATTCAACCGCAACCGAGACAGAATTGATAAGATTGGGGGAATGCGCCTAGCGATAATTTGACGTCCACAAGCCCAGCAAGCTTCGGTCGAGATCAGTTCCGCGTGTGCGGCTTGGAAGATCAAGGGAAACTGAATTGAAAAAGAATATGCGGAGTTGAAGTAGAGGTGTTTAGGGTGAGGAGAAGCTCCTATATCTCTCCTTTTCTTTTCTGGATCAGGAAAAGATAAAAGCCTTCAGCTCTCGCAGAAGTTGTAAAAATGCCTGCTCACAGCGTCCAACTGATGCGGCGCGAGACGGTTAGAAGGAAAAGGGTGTGACAAGAAAAGACCAAAAGCAAAAAGTGAGTTAAACGATCAGGCTGGAAGGGAAAGCCGAGTTGAAATGAAAGGAGCGCGGCGTTCTAAGATTGATGATGATCGACCGGACGACGGATAATGAGGAGGATAGGTGTTGCTCTCCTAATTCATTTGCCCCGTTATCCGAATCGCGCGAGCTTGATGGAGCAATTAGATTCGCACTTGGAGCTGCAATCCAAAGCCGGCGTTCTCTATTCCCACAGCTCGTGCTCGTTTGGTTGATCTGTCACAAGGCTGCAACAGAGACGAAGGCGGAGAAGAGGCTCGAGAACGTTTATTTTTTTTTTCGCCTTGAGCTCGGAAGATGGAGATTCAGGGGCAACGGACAAGAAGCAGCCTTAGGCCAAGTTTGCAGGGGGCTCGACCTCCCAAGACCTGTTGCTCCCCACTTCCGGTTAGTTCGACGGGCGTATTTAATATGTGGAGGGGCTGTCGGTTTCTGACTTTCTGTGCGGAGTGCGGTACAAAGTCTGTTCAATCATGGAGATGCCCAGAAGACTTAAGGCTTGAGAATCAGGGGTAACACTAACACTCGACAACATTTCAAATGGTCTCTACGTGAAAGGAATGTCGGGCCAAAAATGTGACAAACACGGCAAGGTTTGTACATTTGATAGATCGTTACCTACACATTTCCTAGAGTATAAGGATCATCATTACGTGGGAGGTCTGCAATTTCGTCCTAACAGAGTTTGTACTCTGTGCCTACTTTGTACCTGCGCCGTACATCCGTAATGCTGATAATTGATTAAATAAACGGTGATCAAAACTCCAGGCACACGTGGGTACCTCCCACTAGGGAGCTAAACTGTGGTGATGCATATGGCATGCATGAATTGATGTCAGTCCCTACTACTCTCTACAGCGTAGACCTATGACCTGTCTTATTGCATCCTACATACATCGCCTGTCTACCAACACAGTGACAAAGTCCTGTGTATAAAATTAAAAAAATGTCTTTCCTTCCCGTCAGAAACAAACACCGACCAGGTAACGTGACGGTAATGCGCGCAGTGCCCCACCTGACAAAGAGCGGCATCCGTTCATTGGCCAGCATGATCAGCTGCTCAGGAACCCCGGCGCTAGTCCTGTTTGGGTTTGTCTGATCCCGTGCCAGAGAGAGGAACCCCTGAGAAGAACCGCCTTCTGTTAGCTTCCACTCTCGACTCCGTCTTCGCTTGGACATTGCTTACGGAGCAATCACCTTATACTTATGAATTACGATGGACACAGCTGGAATGACTATCAATTCCTTCTATAACACATTCACCCCTCCCACAATTACCCTCCTCTAGCATTGCAACTCAAATAATGGACTAACACAACGCTTCGGACAAACAGATCAGATCCAGTTACTCAAACCCAACCCTTCTCGCTGACCCCACATCAATCCGTCCGATTATTCGACCATGTCCCACGTCCTGTACAGTAACCGTTAGGTCCGTACCGGACGAATCGGCCATCCCCTTTTCCCTTTACCCCGTGGACCCCGTTCCCACATAATCCTCGTCCGCGTCGTCCTAAGCCAAGGTCCCCGTTCCTCAGGCCGTTGCCGACGTTGAGTTGATCGTGCTCCAAATCCGGAAGGGAAGCTCAACGCATGGATCATCCGGACACACCTTGGTCCGGGAAAGCGTCTTGAATTTGGGTCCGTTGGGTCCCGCGGAGTACTTCTTCTGTCCAAACAGCTCCGGTCCGCCCGGGAGCGCATCGTCGCCCCATTGTCCGTTGAAGTTCAGCCAGCTGACCGGGTAGCTGTCGTCGTAGGGCTTGAAGCTCTGGTCCGCGGCGTTGTAGCTGTATGCGTATGTGCTGAGGATAGGGTCCCAGAGAGTTCCCTGGTCGGTGGTGTCGACGACGAAGCCGAAGGGGAGGTTCAGATGCGGAATGGCGTGATCGTGGTTCCTGGATAGACAACCGGAGGGTTAGTATGGCAGGGAGGAAAGGCAGAGCGGAGGGAAGATAACTAGCATGAACCTACCCGGCGATGGAATACAATGCATGCGTGCCTTTTCCGGAATAGGCGATCGGTCGCTTGCCCTTCTTCTCCGTGGCCTTGTACTTGAATGCTTGTCCGTTCGCATGCTGACTGTACCAGATGGCTTGGGGTTCTCCATTGGAGAAACGGATCATGTTGTGCTCCCTGTCAATCTCGTCAGACATACGCAACATGGAGGTATCTGAGTAAGATCAACGAACCAGTCGCCCATGTGATTCCCGAACTCCATGCCCAGGACCGTGTTTCCCTGGTTGTACCTTCAAATGCGATGAGCATGTTGTCTCTCTCCGTTACATGTCCGTCACACTCACGCATAGAAATAGAAATAGAAGGCATCTACCGTGCCGTCACCGTGATCATTCACGATGATCGACGAGGAGACATCATCAGACTTGCCCTCCGCTGTGATATCAGCGCCGAGGAACCACGACGGTGTCGGGTCCGCATCAATGCCTTCTTCGGACGTCAGGTAGATGCTCGTGTTGCCCAGATCATTAAGCTTGTCCAAGTTGTCGAGCGTCAGCGGCGAGGGCGCTCCTTCGACCACTTTCCAGTCCACCTGCGGGCTGGTGTGTTCGAGCTGCTGGGCGAAACCGGATGGTCGGTACGGGTCCTCGCTGTGTAGCCAGACCAGCGGTGCTGGGTTGAGGGTTAGCGCAGGGTGGTATTCTCAATCCGCCCAACATGACCTACCGTAGTCCAGCACATAGCCAGGCAGAGAAGTTGCTGCTAGATCCATAGATGCGGATGCAATTCTCAAGTTGTTGTATTACTAGTAAATGGGACTATGTTAGATATCAACACCCAGTCCCAAGTATAGAACAAGGGGAAGAATATCGAGACCTTGTCGAGGGAAAACCTACCTAATAGACCAAGCAAAAGCAATTGCTTCCTTCGTCAACTTCACCAAACAAAATCGAGAAACGGAAATCAATCCTTCGGTCAGAACAAAGTACAAATCCTCCTCGACCATTTCCCTCTTTAAGAGAATCCCCAGCCAGCCCCGTCACGGGCAAAAGACAAGGAATCTACATCGGGACATGATTATCACGGTTCCTCCTGCACCTCGACCTCCCAGGATGGGCTTGGGTTACATAGCATCGATCGATCAGAACCTCCTGACCAGGCCGTGGTATTGCCATCGTGGGGTCCATTTCTCCCATTCCCCTGTCTTGATGGCCAGGGGGGGGGGATGAGAATAGAACAAATGAGAGCTAACCCAGCATCTGCACATCATACTCGCAGCTGATGAAAGTGTCACAGCCAATGCATCTGGCTCGGTTTGCCTCGTGCAGGTGCAGAAATACAAGTAGCAAGAGAGATTGGGGGAAGGTGGTGTCCATTGCCGATCCTCATTGTCCCTGACCGGGGTAGTCTATTATTGTTGGATCGGAAGCGCCGAACCCTAGTCATTTTCACATTCTCGACAAAACCGTCGGGGACTTACACCGTAGACCCCTAGGTACATTCACTTGTGTTATCTAGGGCCGAGCAGGGAACGCGAATACGCCATACAGAAGGCCGATAAGCATGATCGCAACAGGACCAATGAATCCTAGGCAGCGTCCAACGTGGTCATGTCGGATATGCCCGATCGATCCCGTGATGGCCGTCGTACCTCTCATTCGGAGTGCGTTCATAATTTAAGTATCTGCCCTGTCGGCTGTCCAGATGGTCCTTACACAGTAGAGTCAGTCAGCCCTGCAGGGATCACCCGGTCTGTACTCATGTTCTCGGATGGGTTGTGACCGACCGAGTGATGAGCACGGGATGGGTGACCTTGTAACTATAACCCTTGGGAGCTGGGATGTTTAAATCGGGCGGGTGGGACGCATTTTGCTTCCTCGAATTTGGAGTTAAGTGTTGCAGCCTAAATATAAGTATTTTCAATTTAACATTGAACATTGAACATTGTATTCTACCCTACTTTCCCATCCCCTCTACTCCGATACATATGTACTATACATTCCCCCCCTTCTCCTCCCCCTCCTTCCTCCGCCTCTCCTCTAACAACTTAAACACCCTCAAATCCAACGGAATCCGCTCCCCCAGCCATGTCGCCCTCTGTGTATGATTTCGTTCTTCTTCCGTTTCCACCGTGTTCGGGTGGATCAACGCACTCAGCGGCCCCCGGTGCAGGATCAACCACGGCACAAACGCCCCGAACTGGGCCGGCGTGAACAGGTTCACTTCGAACATGGCCACGGGGTGTGGGCCGATCGGTCGGTCGAAGAATGTGTAGATGCGCAGTTCGGGGACTATGGGTTTGTTTGGTTAGTAGGGACGGAGTATGAGAATGTGGATAAATCGAGTCAGTCATGCAGACGAGCGAGCGGCGACCTCGACATTGGGGTTTGTTCTGGGAATGGAATCGTTCCGACCAGACCACGAGACGAGCCGCGATAAGGCTGCTTGCTTGAGCAGATCATGCTCTTCAGGTGATGACCAGGCATGTGAATGTGTCTGTGTCTCGGATTTGAGAGATAGGATATGGGAAGAGCAAGAATGCTCCGGCTTACATACATTCACGTCGGATTCGTTCCCAGAGCGCCTTTGCGTAGGCTACTTGGTCGGGGTTATTCTGTTCGGATCTTTTTGTTAGACATCCTGTCTGTCTCCCTCTCTCTCTCTCTCTCTCTCTCTCTCTCTCTCTCTCTCTCTCTCTCTCTCTCTCTCTCTCTCATGCACACACTCTCCTGAGCCAGAAAAGCAACCAACAAACGTACCTGAAAATGATAAATATGCACATCAAACCCCCCTTGTCTATCCTTCGCCAGCGGATCCGGGAACTCCTCGTACGCTTTACTCAGGATGCCATGCTGCGGGTTTTTCAACGATTTACCGTCTTCGTTCCTCTCGCTATTCTTTGTGAGTATATGTTCATAATTAAACATGCGATCTCGGTGTCTTGCTTGAGCGCAAGGGTTCATGAGCGAAATGTATCCGTAGAACTTACTCCGAGAGAGGCTCTAGGTTCTCATATCCCTCCAGGGGAGAAGGGTACGTGAAAGCCCAAGCGTCTGTCATATTCCGGACCTGAGTAGCTGTAGTTCCTCGCAGTCTGATGTCTGAGAGGATTCAATCAAGTAAGGTAAGTAGCAAGCGCCGCAGTGTGTAAGTTGTAGGCAGGCTAGTCAATGACAAGATCAGATAAAGAAACAGAAGATCATAAAAGCGAAGAGAAGCTATACGATCAGTTATCCCGCCTAATATACTTATCAATCAATCCACAATCCACAAGGCCACAGTGGCTTCTAGATTCCTCATGCGTCAAAGTATGATGTGATTTTGGCGCGGACGAGGCAAGACGCCCATGTCGCATTCCGCACTCTGACAAAGCCGCGGAATAAGGGCAGCTCGAGTCTTGGCACGTCGATGGCGATCTGTATTTGGTCATGGTACTTCAGGGTGTTTTTATGGATTATTCGAAGTTTCTAGCTTATTACTCTGGTTGCTCTTGAGGTAAATCGAGATAATGGCGAATTAATCAAGGCTTGGTGGGTTGGCTTGTATGCTATCGGTGTAGTTGATTATGCGGAGATATATTTCTAAGTCGTCCTTTCGGACACAAACTTAAGCCTCTAAACAATGAAAGTATGCCTCATGATTCATGTTCATCGTTACAATATTCAGTCTCACCAACCTTGCTTCAGAGATAAAACAAAGGACAACCCAGTCCAACGCCCGAACCCCAGATAATATGCTGAATTCGTAAATCGGCTACCAAGAGGCTTTCACATCGATATGACCCTCATCATCAACAAACTTTCCTCGGTCCCATTCCCGGCCTTCTCCTTTCTTCGACCATTTCACGTCTTCAAGTCTGCCCTCGGAGTCGTCCGCTGCCGCTGTAGGGGTAGTGTTGCTCTTCCACCGCTCCACAAACGAATCATTGAACCCAGCCTCTCGCAATCGTTCCTCGCCTCTTTGTCTCCAACGTGCTCGATCCCGGACCGCTTCAAGAGCAAGTTCCCAGTCATCATCTCCAGTCATCAATCCAGGAACCGGGCGGCGAGTGGACTTCTTCGCAGTCGAGTCTTCGTCTTCTAGTTGGACGTCCAGTGCGGGGTCATAGTCGGCGGCGAAATGCGCATCGATGTTGCTGGCATTGGGCCTGTAAGCACCTCGGCCGCGGGAACGAATTGGTACATTTTCATCGAAACCATTTCCCTTCGGGGGAAGAGGCCCGACCAAATCCTCCAAAGGGTCTGTGTCATATCCGTTCTGCTGGGAAGGTGCGGCAGATGATTCCTTGCGAGCGGTGGTATGTTTTCGAGATGATTCGCGTTCACGGGAGCGATGCCGGCCGCTGCGTTCACTGTGTCTGTCCCTTTCCCGTCGACTTTCCCTCGCTCGGGGAGATCTCGACCGCGACCGCGACCGTTGGGGGGAATTGGAACGTTGTTGGTATCGTCGATGGTGACTGCGAGAGTATGAGTCCCTGTCGTCCCTAGGCGAGCGACTTCGCGATCGAGAGTAGGACCGATGTCGACGACTCCTGCGGGATGATCTATGGCGGTCTTCTTCCGTACCATGTCTATGGCGATATTTACTGGAACGCTCCCTGTCCGTAGATGCTGAACGACTTCTATGCCTGCGTCGATGCGACCGGTGTCTTTCATCACGGTCGTCATTCCGTTCACGTCGTGAGCTTCGATCGTCGGTTCTAGAATGGCGATGGCGGGGTTTGGTAGCGTCGTGCGAAGACGCAACTGCTTGGGTTCGCAGCTGTCGCATCCGTTCCCTTGCCTCCCTCTCCTCCTTTCGCTTTAAGGCTGCATTATGATTATCCGTTTCTTTAATGATATGACGTAAGAATCGTGTATTCGGTCTCGGAGCGGCGCCGGTAGGTCTATAAATAATTCCATACATCAGCTCAGCAATTCCAACGCGGGGAGCTAAAAAAATAAATAAAGTTCTCACCGTTTAGGCATATAAGCTCCCATTCCCTGAGTCGAATATTTCAGAGAGCTATCCCGCGCTTCACCCGCAAGTACCTGAGCCACATAGTCATCGTTGTTGACGTCGCCGATTGCGCTCCCAGGATTAGGAGGCATCGTCAAAGATGGGCGGCGGCAGGTTGCCGTGGAGAGATGACAAGAAAGGGCAGTCGAGCGTCAGGCCAGAGATGGAGCGAAATAACAGGTACTGACAGGTAGCAAGATGACCCGTCACAATATGCAGCCAGCAGAAAGAACCAAGCACATCATTAAAGTCACCGATGGAAAGAGTAAAGACGCAAGGAGGAAAGAACTGACTGGCCGTCTGGACCGGTTCATTATCAGCGGGCTGTTTTGGTCTCACCGCCCGCGGCGCCGATCGAGCGGTCGCATCTGACATTTGTTTATCTCCGCCCGTTCTGCCGACGCGATTCTCTCCTCCCACTTCGGTTCTTGGATACGCTTGGTTACAACAATCATATATTTTAGCCGAATTTCTTATTACTGCAGTCATTGAAAGCCTCATATGACCTCAACTGCGCGCAAATAGCTGAAGTCTCGCAATGTCAGACGTCTCCCATACCGACATCCTGGAGAAACTCCAAGGATTGGAGCAAGATAGCGGCAATTTAGACACGAACCTTGCGATTGTTCGCATCAGCGAGCCAATCTTCTCCCCGGACAATTCAGCACCTACCCCGTCGAAGCGAAACTCCGATGTCTCTACGATCGACAATCCCACGCCTGCCTCGCTCGAGGCCGATCTGACACACTACAAGGTGCGACCTCGGTTGGTTTCACGTATGCATGGGAAGATATTAACAAAAGGCCGGAAAATAGGAACTGTTCTCGAAACTCCGATTCTCCTACGTCGAACAAGTCACGAAAGAGAAATTTCTACGAGCGATCGTCGGTGATCCGCCGCTCGTGGTCGGCCACAATGAGAACGTCGAGTTAGAGGCGCACTCAGCGGAGGTGAAGGCCGAGTTGCGGGCACGCAAAGAAGAAGTGCGAGTGATGATTGAAGAAATGGAGAAGACGGGTCGTGATCTTTCAAGGCGTGAGTTATCCCCATGCTCAAATGCCAACCGTTGCGGAATGGGATGGGGTTAGCTAACATCAGATTCCCTGACAGGCTACAAGAACGTTCAGCTTCAGATGGCTCAACTCTCGACACTCCCTGAATCCATTGAAAATCTCGAATCCACGATTGCGGGTCTGCGCGCCAAGCAGGTTGCTAATATGGATCTATCGTCGTCGCAGAACCTTCCACTTCCCGCAACGTTGAATCTTCTGTCAGAGAAAGAGGCAGAACTAGCAGCACTTGATCGGCAACTTGCCGCGGTACAGAACACTCTGCCCCGGAAAACGAGGGAGGTTGAAACTATAGAACGAGAGCTCACGGTGCTTGAGAAAAGGAAATCAGAAGCCGTGGTCCAGGCGCGGGAAGCTAAGAGAAAGAAGCAGGAGGGTGAAAGCGACGGGCTGGAGGAAATGGGACGATGGTACAGAAGTGCCGAAGAGGTGCTCAAGGGACTAGTGCGTGTTGGGGAATAAATCGGCCTGGGGATCGACGAACTAGCACGATGTACGATAAAATGTGGGGAAAGGCGTTGGGTCTTATTTTGGAAATTTCTTATCAGAGGGGTTCAAGGGGTGATATGAACGGGATAGTCTGGGGCAGATGAAGGAACAATTACGGAACACTACGGAGTACGAAGACAAGAATTATAGCAGTGTTCGGGTTTCGGAATGCAGCCGTAAGGCCAATTTTTGATTCATTGAATGGCATGATCGTACAACATGATACGCTATGCTGCAGTCACAAGGAAGCCCCCAAAATTTTGTGTTCCATAGCGAAACCCGTCCTTACTCCATATTTAAAGAATTTACTCTTCCTCCTCCTCCTCGTCACCGTCACCGCCACCGGCAGCAGCAGCAGCCTTCTTGCGCTGGACACGTCCAGGGCGGCCACCGCCGTAGGGGGAGGTAAGAGCGAAGTCGATGTGCTTCTGGGAGTCCAGGCGGACCATGTAGGAAGGCACGTTGACGATCTGCTTGCCAACACGGATGTGACGCTGCTTGATCAGGACACGGGCGTGGTGGATGGACTTGGCAAGGCCGAGCTTGTAGACACAGGTCTGCAGACGACGCTCCAAGAAGTCCTCGACACGGAGGGCCAGGACGTAATCGAGCTTCATGCGGGACTCATCGAGCACACCGATACGGACCAGACGGCGAATCAAAGCGTTACCTTCGAAAAGACGCTTGGGGTCCTTCTCGTCGAGGGTGAGCAGCTCACTAGATAAGAACTGTTAGTCTCCTGTTTCTGATTCCATATCCTTCCGCAAGTTTCTTATTCATCCTCCGCGATAATTGTATTCTCCGGGAATTCGGGGTCGCATACCGAGCAGCACGACGGATCTTGGACAGAGTGAGCTGGACACGCCACACCTCACGCTTGTTGCGCAGGCCGTACTCGCCGACAATCTTCAATTCCGAGTCACTATTCCAACCAGGTTAGAGACGTGAACACACGACATAAACAGAAGCACGCTTCTGATTAGTGGCCGGAGAGTACTAACAGACGAGCCGACTCGAAAGCTGCGCAAAGTTAGCATTTGTCGGTCTCCATAAAAAATTTTCAACTTCAAGTTCATTTCAACAGAGGCAAACTTACGACGACGGGGGACCTTGTAGGTCTTGGAGTAGACGCGACTGTAAAGAACATGATAATTAGACGACTGCGAAAACAGCGCATCACACTCGACGTGGCTGTATACTCACGGGACGGGGGCCATGGCTGCAAATTGGGCGTTGTCGCGAGGTTGTCGAACACACTAAGCTTGACCAAGTCCGCGACAGATGAGAAGATGAAGATGCCTTTTGGGAGAGCGGAGCTAAGCGAGCGAGAGTGGAGCCGCAATCGGCTTAGCGCAAGGGTTAGCCCTGGGAGGTGGAGAACCGCGCACTAAGCATCCGAAGAAGTCTACAACCCTACGGGCGGCAGAGTGAGGCACTTCTTCGTTGTCGACAAGTTCCCAATTCCAGCACCACCAACACCGCCGACATGGGTCACTCGCACGGTTTGAGATCCGGCACTCGGGTATGTCGATTGTCAACATGATGGAAATGCGCTTTTCGGTCGGGAGTCATGCGCTGACGCTTTTTTTCAGTATGCCTTCAGCCGTAACTTCAAGGAGCACGGCCAAATCGCCCTGTCGACCTACCTGAAGACCTACCGGTACGCCGAAAATTTCACTCCCGCCGAAATGGATGATATAATGGATATGGAGATCAGGATCTGATATGAATGAATGTTTCTAGGGTCGGTGATATCGTTGATATCAAGGTCAACGGTGCCGTTCAGAAGGGGTCAGTTTGAATTCCCGCCCGCGCTACGTCTCGATTGAAATCGTGAAGGAAATTTTGGGTCGTTTTTTTGCTGAGACATTGGAAAACAGTATGCCCTACAAGGTCTACAACGGTAAGACCGGTGTCGTCTACAACGTGACCAAGTCCTCCGTCGGTGTCCTCCTCTACAAGGTTGTCGGCAACCGCTACCTCGAGAAGCGCGTCAACGTCCGCATCGAGCACGTCAAGCACTCCCGCTCCCGTGAGGACTTCATCAAGCGTGTCAAGGAGAACGCCCAGAAGAAGCGCCAGGCCAAGGAGCAGGGCATCCACCTCCACCTCAAGCGCCAGGCCGTCCAGCCCCGTGAGGCCCACCTCGTTGAGGGCACCACCCCCGAGACCATCACTCCTATCCCCTACGACACTCACATCTAAACGAATGGAATGGTCGACGCGGTTGTTTGGTGTTTTCTGGGTTTCCGATCCATGGGTGGATTTTGCATTAAGACGCAGCGAAAAATTTATAGGGTTCTCGGATGTACGAGCACATCTCACAGCCTGTGCATAGATTCCCCTGAATGAAGAAAAAAACAAAATTTCGATTCCCCTTGTTCAAACTCGATCGCCAGACTTTGGCGCCATGGCCTTTTTTCTGTCCCGGTTTCTGCGACTTTGCAGATTCTACATCAAACCTCGAGGGTCAAGAAGTCTCGGAAACCCGCTGTTGGATATGGCCGGTTGGTTGCACCCATGCAGCAGTCCATATCGCCACCCATCGTAGAAGAAATGGATTTCTTGAAAATCGAAGGGACCCACCATCCGGGGGGCCTTAGAATCCATCCCTGGAATACCACTCGTCATTTAAAGATCTGGACTCTCAATCTGCATCATCCCCAAAACCGTACGTGTAACATCGTATAATCCATGCATTCGCACTTCACCCTTTTGCGTGAGTCACATTCTGGGCGCGAAAGATCTGCACAGATTGGACTTTGTAACACCGCCCTTTCGCCCGTCACAGGGATATGATTGCGCTACATCGAACATCCCAAGCTCTCTTCCCCAGATCCCTCAAGCCCCTCACACTCAAGCTAGCTGCTAAGCCATGGCGATTGCCGGCCTAAGAAACCGAAAATCCCAACATTGGGCACCGACACTAACCCTCCCATCTCCATCCCATCAAACCCTTGACCAGGCAAGGTGGTTCTAGAACGCCATCCCCGGTTGGCGGGTGATGTCATCAGCAATGAATGGACTAGTTAGCGTTTAGCAGTCTCCCCTCCTTCTCGACTGGCAACTCCGCCACGATGCAGGGTAGCTCCCATCAGCACACTCAGGGACCAACAATGAACTTCATGTTGAAACAAATAGTGCAGGCACGTCTTGGCATGTTGCCGCTTGTATCCGACCGGGTGTCAGAGTGGCGAATATCTCGACCGGAGCCGATAAGGCTTTGAGTGCCAGCAAGACAAGGCTCCCCGGTAATGACTCGTATGTAGAAGAAGGCAAGACTCTCGAGACACCACGTGTTGTGTTAAGGTGAATCACGTCTTAGAGATGATTTCTGGTTACGTGGGAGGCTTTGTGCTGGTTGATGATTGTTTAGAATGGCACTTGGGATACATAAAATATAGTTTGGTGGGTATCCGACGAATTAAGCAAAACAGATAATGAATTGAGGTGCTGCGACTTTAGTTTGGGTGGTGTTAGATCCTGAACACCGACAAACTCCTCTTTGTGCTTAGCTCCTCGACCCGAGAGCCTTCTCCTGCAGCTGCACAGGATCTTTGGCAGAAATCCAGACCGTCTGGACAGCAGAGGAAGATGGAGTTTGGCCGACCCAGCGGGCCGTTCTCGGGGAGGTGTGGCGCAGCCGAGTCTTTCAAGCATTCATGGAACACGTCGCTGAGCAGTGCCTCAACCGATGGATTGATGGTTTGTGATTTGACTTTTGATTGAAATGAACACATTATTATGATGAATTATATTCTCTTTTCTTTTTCTCTTCGGCGTGCGCCGAGAGTGGCTTGAAACGCAGTCGGACGACAGCAACCAGCCGTGACGGGCGTTCTCCCCACGCCTCATTTTGCTGCTGCGTGCAGACTGCAGATACTGCTAACTGTACGGGGTAATACAACGTCAACGTTCGAATGACGGACATTTATGACATGCTAACTCCGTACGGAAGAGATAGGGGGGATATCACGCCCTGTGACTTGCAGGTGCCCTATGTGTCATCTGGGGATCACCTGCGAATGCGATCGTCTCAACGGGCGTCGTGGAAGATGATTACCAGGATATGCATTCCAGCAAAAGAAAAAAAAGATTTCCACGCAAGCTGACGGCGTACATCGTACACTCTGCCGAATCTAAGCAACAACCAGACGGGCTTTACCCTAGGAGAATTGGCATGGATATACCTGGTTTAAGGTAGTAGTTCCTGGCATCTCCCCCACCACCGTCGAAGTGGCTGTGTTGCCTAGGGCAGGTCAATGGACTGGAATACCGGACATGTACATGTCTGCGATGCCCATCACACCGGATGGTGGGAGTGATTGGCGCAGGGGTCGGAGCAAGTCGGATGCTGGATCAATTCATCAATATTCGATAATAAATCAGAAAGAATAATGATGTCTCCACTTCGTCCGAGCAAAGCAACGGGAAAGGCCCCCACAGCCCCTACGCCTAACTCCGGACGTCCGTGCTTCTTTCGCATCCTCCATCCTTTGCACGGAGCTGTCCCTGGAGCTCTCTCGCTCCTTCTCTTGATCCGATCTCTCGCAGCTCGGATCATAGTCTTCCGTGCTCCGTTTCAATCTAGTCACTTGCAATCAGCCGTGCCCGAGAGCAGACGCGACCAAAAGAATGAGGCGACAAGTTCGCGGCGGGGATGTTGGCGAGATTTCCCGCGAATCTCTTTGCTTTTTCTCTCCTCTTACCTTCCTTACTGCGTACTGACAGACTGACCTTAGGCAGCGATTAATCCCCTGCAAGGTCCACCGCCAATTACGTACTTAGTAGGAGGGGGGTGAATACTCCGCGACCGCACCATCTTGACTGTCCTTAGCTGCACGTCATGCGGCGCGCGCCCTATTTGCCTCGGAAAAAATCTACGACCTGTTCAGCCCAGTTAACCTGGTATTCTCGCGATGGATGAGGCTCTGGGTATTCGGATTACACTGTCCGTCGTTTTTTTTCGCCTGAAATGCCCGGTGTCGACATCCAAAGGATTACCTCCCACATCAGACCTTCTTACTAGGGCATACTACTTTACCTGCTCTAATAGCTCACCCGGGCAAAAAGGACGGGGTGAGTAATGACCAGCGACTTGCCCAACTCGCAGGATAGCGACGTATATGCAATAAATACCGCTTCTCTCCCTCTGATTTTTCCTCATTCTGATTCCTGTCTTTGGTTCCATTCTTTCCTTCTTTCCTTCTTCTTCCTTCTTTTGTGCCAGCTAGTTATTCTCTTATTGTGACATAATTCCCTTTCGTGGTTTCTTCCTCTATCCCACAGCCAAGCTACCTTGCTGATCTTCTGATACCCCATTGGGTCTGCTTGTCTTCATATCTCTTGCTTCTTATCTGTAGTACTATCTAGTATTACTTCTTTATACCATACCTCACTCTATTCTTCTTGACTGTTCCTCGCCTTTGGCCCAAGGGCTGAGGGCCTTACACTACACATTGTCATCATGCCGCCTCGTCATTATGCGTTTGGAGATGTCCCACAGTTTCGAACCCCCAACTACAACTCCTCGCGGGGTGGTCACCTTATGCCACCTGGACCTCATGACACTTTCACAGTGAGTTACCTATACGCAATCCCTGCCCAAATTCGACTTACTGACATGTTCATCCTAAGATGCTGAGCCAGTCCCCAATGTCGCCTGCAAGCAGCTTCGGCCCAGATCACGCCCCAGACAGCACAACCTTCCTAGAAGTGCCTCCACGTCAGACAGAAGATATGTCCCAGTCGTTGATGGGGATCTCACCACGGCTAGCACTCGAGACCAACTTCGGTGACTTTGAGTTCTCCTTCGACGATGCCCTCGCGCCCGATGATCCCCCCGGACCTCTTTTCCCTCCACAACCCGACGCTTCCTCTCCTCTCTTAGAAAGACTGCACAGTGAATTGGAGCAGATCGGGGCAACGGTCCAGGAGATTGCATCTTACCCGGGTGTACCCCAGCTGTACGATGCCAAAGAACTCCTTAAGTGCAGATTCAGTAGTTTTGAGACTACGATTCAAACAAGAATTGAACGCGACGAGCGGCCTAGCCTTAGTAGCAGGTTTGGGGATAGATTTCTCTGCAGGCTTTGTCAGTATGGACATCGCAAGGTGTACAAATCTCGTGGTACTTTCAAGCGCCACGTCTCTGAGGGGCACCACCCCAGATATCAGTTTCGTTGCCCTTCGTCGTGTGGTTGGACCTCGTTTAGGAGGGACAAGGTCCATGACCACTTTAGAAACACCCACCGACATGCAGGCAGACTCAGGCGGGATCAAATCAACCGTATAGAAAGGCGAATCCCGCCCCCAATGATCTGCGAGATCTGCTCGAGACTAGTCGACGGCTGGGATGACTACTTCAAATGTGTTTCTGAGCACTGCCGTCTTCGCGAAGACGACTCGACAAATACCAGTGCGTCTCAGAGCAGGAGAAGCAGCGGAGACAGCGGAAGCGGCGCAAACGGTGGCAGTGGGAATTTCAATGGCGGTGGCTTTCTCGGACCCCAGAACCCCTTCCAGTTTGGGGGTGGCGGTGGCCAGATGAATGGTGGTTCTTATTACTCCAACACCGATCAGCATTACTTCTCCCAGGCCAGCAGCTACTCTGAGTTTGACTCGGCCTCCCTTAGCCGCCAAAGCCTGCCGGGTGTGTTGGGTTCACGCTCCGAAAGCCCCGTTTCTTTCAGGAGACAGACTTTCCACCACTCGTTTTTTAAGCAGCCAAGCAGGATGGAGGCCATTCTTCGAGAGCCTGAAATCAGTCCAGGCCATCGGCAGCCGCTTCGAAGGAGTTCCACGGAGTCCTCTCTGAGCTCTACAGATGCAGACTCAGATTTGCTGTCGCCCCCCAAGATACCTCCCCCAAAACCTCAGTCTGCCGATAGTCCTGTCCGAGGGAACCCCCTCGCAAACTTGTTCAAGAACGACCTACCAAGGTCCGGTACCCTTGAATCAGACGTCCGCGACAACAAGGAATGCAAGAACTGCGGTCATATCATGGGAGATTGCACAAGCTGTCATTCGCTGCAACTGAGTGTCAACGAGTGCCACATTTGCGTGAAAAAGTCTTGCCAAAAAGTTTCCGAGGAAACATCTCAACTACCGAAATTCAGTCTTCATGAAGTGACTGTTGGTCAGGAAGCGGACGGTACCAAATCCGAAGATTCGACTTCACAGGTCTCAGACATCTCTCTGCATAACGCTCTCCGGATCCCCGCAGATGACCGTTCGGAATTAACCGAGAAACACTCAAGTCGAATCATGGATGATGTCGTCAATACTACCGACACGCCCTCTGCAGTGACCATGGGTCCAAATTCCGCGACCGTGCCGATGGGTAGTCGCAAATACAACAAGACCGACCCTTTGAACACCTCTGCCTTGACGTCACTCCACAATTCATTGTCAGTGATGCTCGTCCCGAAAGACCTGCCATCATCTACCCACGATGCTCTCTCCAGTGAAAGTCCAACACAGCAGAAGGCACCATCGAAGACCAAGTCTTTGGTAAACTCGGCGTTATCTGCGCCGTTGTCTCCGAGCAACCCGCACTATGGCTTAGGCCTATATGGATACCATAGACCAAAGCTCAACCTCGATCAAAGCTCCCTGATCCAGAAGATGATTCCACAACTTATGCCGCCCAAAAGAAGCTTGAAGCACCACACCGGAAAATTCCTGTCGACAGAGTTGACCCCAAGTATTCGACATGGACGAGCCAAGTTGTCTAGATCACGTGGATCTTCGCATCCCAGCCAAAATGGCCTGCAGCTTTTCCGAACGCCAACACCTATCATTGAAGAGGTTGAGCCGCAAGAAGAAAATCAGGATGAAGATATAGAAAGTCTTGATCTTGTGGCTCAGAGCTCCTTCGCGCTGAGTCAACGCCTCGAACGTCCGGATGACCCCTTACGTTCCAACCGATCCGTTCCATCCAAACACATCCTCTCGCGTAAGAAATACAACGCTCTACGAACCAAACTTCAAGTTCTAGTGGAAATTCTAGCCCTCCGACGGTCTTCCAAAGCCCCGATCCTAGCCCCGGAAGAGGCCAACACCTCATACCTGAAATGCATCATACCGAGTGGAAGCTACTTGAAATCACCAATCCTTGACTTCGATCTCAGCCGCCTGGACATACAATCGTCGCTTCCATTGCTGTTGGAGACAATGTCCTTGTTAGAAACCGACCCGAAAGGGTATACGTCTCAAAAGCTCACCGATTATATATACGACCCTCACGATGAAATGCACCTCCTGTTGATTACTTTGATACCCCTTATTAAGAAACTCTTGTGGATGCCGACTCTTTCTGTTGATTCTGCAATGGCTGCAGCTGTTGCAATAATTGAGGTTTAGGATTCGTTTGCTGCTTCGTTTCCTGTTGTCTGCACTTTTTCATGTAATGACTTGTGCTCTCTACAAGAATTCTTTTCTGATGTCTTTTACGATGCCTTTGGTGATGTCTTTGATGATCTTTTTGTTTGTTTATAATGTCATGTTGGATTGTCTCTACTTACTATATTTAATGACTCAATACCCTCTAATATAAGATGGCCAGAACTGGGCTAGATTTGAATTTTGCTGTGTCCGGCGACTAGTATATCAGATGTTGTAGAAAGGGTACAGGGTAGGTTACAATTTCCGGATGATGAATGACTACAGCGATGCCAGATACACTCAAAATTAACTTCTCTATATTGGTCCTTTCACTATCCGATACCACATACTGGAACCCTACTCCAACTTGGACTGTGAATGGTTCCATCATTTTTTCACCGCATTTTCTCAATTCACGGAGCCAGCTACTATTACCAAATGGTGGACGGGTAATTCACCTACCTTAGTAGACTCAATGCTGATTCTCACTGAGCAACTTCATTCCCTGCGCTTAGAATCAACCTCCCTCAGTCCCCCACTTTCTTTTCCTTACTTTCTTCCTCCTTCCATCCCGTCTTCTCCTCTTCCTTCATTTCTATATTCCACCATTCCTCCCCTTCTTTTCATTCTGTGATCCCAATCAGGCTATCACAATGTCTGATCGGGGAGCCCCTGCCTTCAAGGCCGCCTCTGGATGGCAAGCGGACGATGCTACCAACAACTTCACTTCCTCCAAGACCCCCCTCGACGACGCTCTACAGACCTCGCTTGACGTCTTGACTCCGTCTACGAAGATAGATTCCAACGAGGTTGATAACGCCTCAGCTCGAGATATGTTCTTGCTTCAGTTGGCTCCATTCACCGAGGAATACGAGCCCAACGACACTGAGTTCAGCCAGGTCGTTAATGAACGCAGTTTTGTGAGTAGGAGAAGCGTTCTAATGCCGTTGGAAAGCCTATTAATGATCGACTAGATCCCTGACACCGCACATCCCAAAAGCTATAATGACCCCTACAAGCTCATTGCTGTAAAAGCAAAGGACTAGGAGGAAGCAAAAGAATTCAACGGCACCCAGTGGAAGAACTCGCACTTCCTGGTGCATGTCAAAGGCCCTACCGGCAAGTCCGAGCAACGATACCTTCCAATTTCCCGGATCCATAAGGAGACAGGCGTGAACATGCGCACGCGGGTTTGTGGAGGTAAATTGGGCCGTAAGATGGTCATGGAATTTACATTCCAGCGTAATTCGAACCTCGTTCACCGAGCTTTTCTCGAGTTCCATGCCCATACTCACGTCACGAGCTACGAGTATATGGACAGGACGGTGAAAGAGCCTCGGAAAGACCGGCGCGGAAGGCAGGATGAACCAGATGCAGATACTGTTCAAGACAGCTACATACTTGTTCGATTAGTCACAACTGGTGGAATCGGAATCGGCGTGGATTTCGACGCGGACTTCCTCGATGAAGAAGACAGACGAGTCCTTCGGTACGCGCGGCATCTTTCTACCAATTTCAGCAGGGATACCTCCATGAAACGGGTGATCATTCGTCTCAAGATAAAGTACATTGAATATGAGATGAAAAACGCCCGGACCAAGCGTAAAGACGAAGAACAGGAGCGTTTCCACCGTCAGTTCGAGACTTTCATGGAAGATACTCGAGCGATTCTCGCACCCTACCGGGATATACACGGAAACCCAATCTGCCACTGGGCACAGTTTGCCAAGCGGCAGATTATTGCTGATGAAGCTAACGGTCTCGTTCCGATTCCAGCACATATCTCGTTTGCAACGCTAGCTGAGATGCAGATAACCTTCACATACGGTGCATTCCTTGAATGGAAAAGAGAGGCTCAAATTGCACAGAGTGTTTCATGTAGGCAGCACTATGTCTCGTTTCTTGTTGTGAAGCCGTCCACTATCCTGGCCTTCGTTAAGCTCACTATGCCGGAGGATCTCAGTATCGAACAGTGGGTTCCGCGTGAGAATACGGTCGTTGGGATAGGCTTCCGGCCTCCACACAAGATCAGCCTTGGAGATATCAAGTGCACTGGAATAATGACCCCTGACATTTTCAACTTACCATATCAGAATGGCTGTCTTTTCTTAATTCCAGGGGCCGAAGTGCGGTTTTATTCGTCGTTTGCTGTTAATGTCGGACAGCGACCTCGCTTTCTCCCCGCCAAGCTAACAATCTCGGTTCCTCAATCTGGCGCACAGCGACAGGTGGACTCAATGAATCGCCTATGCGCACCCGGTTCGCACCTGGAAGTACTATCTAATGTCTCCCTCAATAGAGAAGCCGGTCCAAGACCCTTGATCAATCCATTCTTCGGTCTGGGCATCCCCTTCTCGACTGTGCAGACCGCGATAAACGATGTATTGCAGTCAAATGTGAAGTGGTCCGAAAGCCAGATCGCGTGTATAAAGTCGATAGAGTCGCTCCCAAATGAAATCCTTATGATACAAGGCTACCCTGGAACAGGGAAGACCTTCACTCTTGTCGCCATAGCCTCGATTCTCATCTCGCTGGGAATGCATGTCGTCTTTACCGCTCCCAGCCACTATGCTGCTGACGCTATCTGTAACCAAATGGACAAGTGGGTGGAACGTACCGGGGTCAACCTCAATCCTGTGAGGGTCTACCGTCCTCTCTCCGAAGCCAGAGCCTTTCGGGTCCATGGAGTAACTGCTGGTGACGAGAACTCCATGGAAGTAGACACCGAAGAACTTACAGTAGGAGAAGTCACTCCCGGTGTTACGAAAGACGACTTTATCCCAACTTGCATCCCACTTGAAAACCAGATTCACATGCCTGAAGTTCTCAGTGAGATCAAGGATGAAAGTATGAAAAGACACTACGGCATCCCGGCGAAATCCTTGGAATATCACGTTTTTCGTTTGGCGTACACCGAGGGACGACAGTTAATTGACAGGTTTCCGTCCGAAAAGCAGTTGGAGAGGTGGAAAGGAGATCTTTATGATTCGATTGAAGACGGCGATCTCGTCCCTAAAGGCGAGGAAGCAGATATGCTACAATTCCTCCGATACTATGCAGGCCTCATCGAAAAACAGTGTTTCTGCCAGTTGGACAAGATTACCAGACGCAAGGCCATTCTAGCATTCAAGAAGGCATGTAAGCAGGTAATTCGCGAGGCTTCGGTGATAGTGTCGACAAACAACAACATGGGAGACCCGATGATAGCCTCAAATTTCGGAGACACGGCAGATGGGATCTTTGTTATCAGAGACGAAGATCCAAAGGAGCTAGAGCCTAACGGTTGGATCCCCATCACCAAGCTCAGAGCAGGACCAAGAATCAAAGGTATTATCAGTTGTGGTGATAAGGAGCAACTCCGCCCAACGGTTCTTTCCCTTCAGTCATCACTTCGGTACAACGAGTTCGCCCAGCAATTGGCCGTTCCCTTTTCAAAACGGTTGATCGCGATGCATCATCCAGTCCAAAGGTTGACTGAGCAGTTTCGGTTCCGCCCCTGTCTTTTAGATTGGTTGAATCACCGTACATACGACGGCGAGGTGACGAGCCATCCTTCTACGGCCAACATCATCGTCAAGCCGCAGTTTCTGGAAGCGATGCAAAAGACACTAAATCTGGGGCATCCGGGTAACCTCGACCTTGGGCACATCGTGGTCAGCATTAATGGATCGACCTGCGAGAAGGAAGCCGCCACCAACTCTCGGTTCAATGATCAAAACCGTCTCTGGGTTTTGAAGCTCCTCTTAGAAAACTTCCGTTCCGCTGGATACAACGGCGACGACATTGCGATCATAACCCCGTACATGGCTCAAGTCATACGATACAAGCAGTCTCTCATTATCCTCATGCAGAAGGGGGTTTTGCTGCGTTCGAGCTTCCCCAAAGTTGCCACAACGGACTCCATGCAGGGCAAAGAGGCCAAGGTGGTTATCTACGACTGGGTTGTCACATCAGCTAGTGATATGGGATTTACCACTGATGACCACCGTGGTAATGTCGGAATGAGCCGCATGAGCGAGGTCATGATCAATATCCTTCATAGTTCCATTGGATCTGACGCTAAGAACAACTCTCGAGCTCCGCGCCAAAAATATCTCGGAGGCCGGATCAATACCGAAGTTCCGTATCCATGTGCATTTATTCAATGGCAATCTAGTCAAGGTAATATTGTCACTGTTGATTGTAAGTTTTTCAACCCCCTTTCAGCGTGATCCGGATCGCTCAACGTACAATAGGTCCACACGAGGACGATATATTCCCTGCTGTCCATCAACACCCTGAAGGATTCGCCCGCTGAGGGAAATTGGTAACTAATCACGAATGATACTGTAGGGGAGGAATGATTGGGAAGTAGGTGATATGTTACGCTGGGAAAAAATGGGCTTACAAAGGGCTATAGCTATAATTGAACACCGCTTCATCTTGATGCTGAACCAACTCCAATCATTTACTATGAACCAGTAGCTATAAGATGTGTTTGCTACCCAACTGTAGTACGTAAATACGCCGTACTCCGTAGAACACGAACGGAGATAACGCGGAGTTAAAGCGCCACCCAAAGCGGAGAGATGACATAACCGATTCCGGAGTTAACTATCGATAAGCACGGCGCGGCGACAACACATCCCCATCGGTCGCGCAATTGACTCAGTAACACTCCTTTCCTGTTCCAATCCGGATTGCGTCTGTCCTTCCTATTGGACAGTGAATGAATGGCTACTAGACACTAATCCCTGCGGTGTAAGCTCTGATCGTCATAACCCCTCCTCCCAGCCTCAACTCATCATGAGTTCACCACCCAACCCCGGCGGCGACCGACCCGAGGAGCGACCGTCTCAGCGAAATTCCCCCACCCTATGGCATCCGGCCAGAGAATGGCTTGAAGAGGACGACGGAGAGGATGTGGACTTTGAGCCGGACTCTGATTTCTCGGATGATAGAGACCTGGATGACGGAGGTCCCTTGTACGAAGATCCGAACAGTTTTGGAGTTTACCTCGGTATGCGTGGTCTTTGGGTTATTCGGTCGGATGAAGAAGGCGTCGTGCTGATATTTCGATGATCTTGGTGGCTTGGTAGATCCGGAGTTGCACCCTGGTGTGCAGATCGAGTTCACGATGGAGGCGCCGAATCCCGAAGACGGCGCGGATGGCCAGGCGGGCCGACAGAATCGAGGTATGGACGCGGAGAAGGAACACAGTGTTCATTGATTTAGAACACAGTCTGGGCTGAACACTAACTAGAGAAGTATCCGCAGCCCGACTACTCAATCTACTAGCTTCTAATGGCTTGCGACACATTCTCAATTACGACGGCTGGCCTGCGGGTGCCGACGACGACGACGAGGACGAGGATCCTTACCAGGGCTTTTTCAGATATCGGAGGCAGCCGCGACGAGCTAATAATGCTCAGCTTCCGAAGGTCCCGAGCGATGAGGGTACGAAATTGATGCGAACTGGCGACTTCGGGAGCAATACGCATTATGTGGACGAGTTGAAGAAACGCAAACGAACGCTAGCAACGAAGATGATGTGGCGAGAATTAGGCATCGATGTATCCGGCGGACCGAAGAGGGAGGTTCAATCCATATCGCAGGTGCGTGCGGCGCTTTATACGTTGGATCAAGGGCGATCGGTATACTAATAGTTTAAACACAAAGGACTTAATACCGGATTCGATCGCGGACAAGATAATCCATTTTGACTCGAGGTGTTACTCCGGACAGTTCTCGGACGATGGCAATTTCTTCTTTGCCTGCGCACAAGACTTTAAGGTCAGGATGTACGACACATCCAATCCTTTCGAATGGAAGTACTATAAGACAGTGACCTACCCGTTCGGTCAGTGGACCATCACCGACGCCAGCTTGAGCCCGGACAACAGGTTCTTGGCCTATACGTCTATTCGGAACCTTGTTTGTCTTGCGCCCACGGATCCACTGGACACATCTGACCCCGGGGTCTTGGATCTTTCCATACTACCTGGCGAACGAGGAGGGCGGCGAGGGCCCTTTGGAAGCTCACACTTTGGAGTAGGCATTGCATTTTCTGTTGACGGCCCAAGCATAACTAATCTGGCATAGATCTGGTCTATCCGATTTTCCGGTGATGGCCGTGAGCTTGTAGCTGGCACATCCGACCACTCGGTGATTGTTTACGACATAGAGACGCACCAGTCGGTGCTGCGCTTGCAAAACCATGAAGACGATGTAAATGCTGTCTGCTTCGGTGACAAGTCTTCACCCCATATCCTCTATTCCGGCTCCGACGATTCCACGTTACGAGTATGGGACCGACGCTCAATGGGTGATGGGCGTGAAGCCGGTGTCTTTATGGGCCACACCGAAGGGTTAACCTATGTCGATAGCAAGGGCGATGGGCGATACGTCATCTCCAATGGAAAAGACCAGTCCATGAAACTCTGGGATCTTAGAAAAATGATGACGACGGCCAAGTTCGACACTATCGATGTGAACAACTATACGAGCGGCTTCGACTACCGATTCGAATCCTATCCCCACAACTACTATGAGCCACATCCACATGACTGCTCGGTTGTCACATTCCGGGGCCATCGGGTCTTGAAGACCTTGATTCGATGCCATTTCTCGCCCCCTGGAAGCACGAACTCGAGATACGTATACACAGGAAGCGAGGACGGCAAAGTTCACGTGTTTAATATGGACGCCACGTTAGCTGGAACGATCGATGCGGGAGCCGCGACGAAGAATTCGCGACCGCAGGATCCTGATATTTATACTACTGCATATGAGCTCCGGAGTAGGAGCGGTGAGCCGATGTGGCGCACATGTGTTCGCGACGCAAGCTGGCACCCCAACGCCCCAGTGCTCGCTGGTAAGTCACCGGTCAACCCTAATAATAGACTATTCGTCGGGAGGAAACTGAATGACACTTTTTTAGCGACATCGTGGAATGGCTGGGGCTTGTCAACCGGCACGTGTACTTTGCATAGCTGGAATGACTCTGCGGCCGATGACGAAGGCGATCCACCGCTCGGAAGGAACTACGATTGTGAATTAAACTCGGTGCCTGAGTTTAACCGACATAAGGAGGACGGTGCATATAAAACACATTTGAGAAGTCGACCGGTGGAGAGGTATGATGAAGATGACGAATCTTATGAAATATGGTGAAGTTATTGAAGATGTCGACTTTGTGCTTGATTTGTGTGTATTGATTCCCAGTCTAGTTTAGCCAGACTGGTGTGTGAGGGAGCATGTGTAAATGAGCGACCAATTTACCGGCGTTGTAAAAGCAATGAAGAATGAACCATATCCTAGTAATTAGAAGACATACAAAGTGCAAACAAGTTAAGTTGCCGGGGAACCGGAGGGACAGTTTTGCCGAGTGCCGACGGGGCAGCTCCACCTGCGGCGAGACGAGATCGGACGAAGCTCTCGCCTTCCCTTCTCTCATATCGCGCGCTCCACCCGCATCGTCGTTCTTCGGACACGTCTTACAAGGGATTGTCTGCTATCTGTCAACTCGTCACTAACCCTCTTAACTCACCTTCCCTCCCCCCTTTCGCCCCCTTTCTTCTTCTATTCATTCCTCGCTATCGACTTTGACCCGACCGCTGGCGGCTACGTTTCAGGGGATACCAACTAGGCGTGTACTTCCTGGGCGGCATCAGTGATTCGGAGGCCTCCAACTGATTTGAAACTGACGGATTTGTCTGCCGGTTCTTTTTCTACACCTTTTCTTTCTCGTTTGTGTGTGCTCTCATCTGGAGGGTTTTTGTCAGACCTGTTCTCTAGCCAGAAAGCGCTTCTCTCCCTGCCTGACTGTGGTAGCGGAAACTCCTAACAGCGCCGCACCCTGTGGTTTTATCTTCATCATCTCTATCGCTTTGGTTGAAACTAAACTCCCCATATCATTTTACCTGTACTTGGAAAATCCTGAGACCAGGAGAGAGAATATTGCGCGCGCTGTATCTCCCTCTCAAGAGATCTCGGTGTATCAGCTGGTGAAAAAGAAATTTGTTCCTTTTTGAAGCTGTCTTCGCTTCGGATTGTACGTATCATCGTGCCTCTTTTTTATCCTTTCTGTTGTACTTTCGCTCTTGCTTTCTCTATTATCTCTCCGTTTTTCTTCTTTAAAAAAAGAGTCTTGAAGTGTTTTGCGACAATCGCTTCAAAAGATGACCCAATACAATCCCCTACTTTCCGGGATGCTTGCAACAGCTTCTTTTTCTATCTCAAGTGAATGATTACCTTCTTGCTAATTGACGACCTACGTCTACAGACATGTACATCCAGTTGTTTCGTCGAAACTGAACAAGAATCATATCCAGGAGACAAGGACTGTATTACTTTTCTTTCCCTTTCTACAATCAAGGAATCTTTCCCCACGCTCTGAGACACCGAATCATACCCTAGCACAATGGCTACTGAAGATGACAACTTCGATATTGACATCTATGGAGATGGCGGTGGTTACAACGGGAATGACCAGGGAGATTACAAGGAGGAAGATACCAAGCATGAGGACTCGGAACTCATCCTAGATGCGCCCGAGACCACTCAGAACGGAGGCCCCGTGCCTGGAGATGGTGCCTCTGAATCCAACCCGAAACAGGATCATCCGGCAAACCCGCAACCCGCAAATGGCGACCATGTAACACATTCAGATGCCAATCAGCAGCAACAAACGCCAAACCAGAATCCGCCTCCTCCCCAGGGCGTGAAGCGCAAGGAACACGACGATCGTCAGACGGACCCTGACGCGACGCCGGCCTTGCTTATCTCCGACTTGTTTTGGTGGACTACCGATGATGATATTCGTGGATGGATTCGTGAAGCCGAATGTGAAGACGAGCTCAAGGACGTAACGTTCAGCGAGCACAAGGTGAACGGAAAGAGTAAAGGGTAGGATTCGAACTATATAGTGTGCCTCTTTCTTGCGCAAGCGCTAACCCAGCATTCACAACAGTCAAGCCTTTGTTGAGTTCACCACCCTTCAGGCCTCGTCCGCCACGAAACACAAGATCGAATCGTACGCTCTTTCTGGCCAGGGCGGGCGCAAACATACCGTCAACTACACCAGTCCCCAACCTAACCCCTTCCGCACGCTACCTAAGGATGCCCCTATGAGAAAGGATAACCAGGCCCGGTCAATGTCCGGTGGCTTCAATTCTTCCAACCAGAACATGAACTTCGGCATGAACAACAACATGGGAGGCGGAGGAGGCTTCCGCGGTGGCCGTGGAGGATTCAACAACCGGGGTGGCATGGGCAATAACATGGGCAACTACGGTAACCGCGGCTTCCAGAATCCAATGGGCGGCTTCCAGAACCCCATGGGCGGCGGCTTTCCCGGAAACCCTATGGGCGGCATGCCTAATTACGGATTCAACAACCGTGGCGGTATGATGGGAGGCGGTATGCGGGGCGGACCTGGAGGCATGCGCGGTGGCCGTGGCGGTGGTGGCATGGGTGGACCGAACATGATGGGCATGCCGGCCATGAACCCTATGGGAGGTATGGGAATGAACCCCATGTCCGGTGGCATGAACCCGATGATGGGCGGCATGGGCGGAAATATGGGTATGCAGGGTAAGTTTCGTGGAGAAGCGTCTTTCTCACCATCGACTTCATTCATGTGCATGTTCTGACCACGACATCTTGCTAGGTAAAGGCGGTTTCCAAGCTCCCAATCCAGCATTCAACCAGGGCTTCTTCACCCCCAACCAGGGAGTAGGAGATGGATCCTGGAACCCGCACGGCGCTAAGCGCAGTCGCCAAGAGTGAACGCCATTTTTCTTTTGAACCAATACATTCAGTCTATCGTTGATCTTCGATAGTTTCTCATTGATTGAATCTTGGGGGAGTTCTGTTTTTTTATCTCTGTATCACATGTTACATCTACATTTTTCTTCTCTGGTTGCTTTTACGGTCTCACGGGAAATTGGTCTTTGTCATTCATCTCAAATGGGGGTTTTTTTTTTCTTTTCAGCTCTTCTCATGGTGTATTAGACAAATTAAGTGTGTTTCTTTCTTCAGATATCCTTCTTGTTCTCATGTTCTTGTTGGCCATGCGATTTGATAATTATACCCTTGTAAGAATTGTGCATCATTACTGCAGGGAATGGCGAAGTATTGGAATTTTGTATTCTTGAATCTTCTCAGCTGTCTATATCCATGTGACTGATGTGCCAAGAGTAAGGGAAGATCCAGAGTTGATCGGATCTACCTACATCATCATGACCACTCCCAGGGAATCCTTCGGAATCCGCTCGCTACAAGCCTTCATCAACACTACAGAAACGACAGTTCCCAGCTTCTTTGGCCCTAGCCAAACCCGCTCTTCCCATTTGGATAATGGAACGCCTACTATTGCCTGTCTCTCGCGACGGCTTCGAATACTGCAACAATGAATTCTACGCCCTCGTGCATCCCAACCATCGACATCGCCGCTCCTCCATCCCTGAACTACGTGCCTTCTTCAACTCAACCTCCAAGAAGACCTCTATCAAGGACAAGCCTGCGCATTGGTACCGGGCTCAACTGATTCATTATGGTCTCCAGCCGACAGATATTAAAGGGACCGCTGCGATGCGACTCCTTGATGCTTTGGATCGGGATGTCCTCAAGGTGCCGGGTTCCGTTCAACGATTGGAGCGGGCGTTGAAGAGAGAATATAACAATGAGAAGAAGATTGTCGAAGAGAAGAGGGCTTCCTCGGCTAAACGAAAAGCTCCGTCCAAACAGAAGGCCCAGTCCAAACAGGAGCCAAAGTCGAGAGACTTCGCCGAACTTGATGATTACGAAGAGCTGTTGGGCGTCGTATCTCAAGCTGTCGAGAGCTCCAAGAATACGGGAGCTCGAGGTATTAATGTTTCAAATTTGAATGTGAATGTCAACATTGGAGGGCTCGATCGCCCTCGCAAATCGGCCAAGAAGACGTCGACTATCGGAGTCAAACCGGAGCCGGTTGCAGAGCAGGAGATGTTCAATTGGCCCAGTCAGGTTGGAGATCCAGGGAGTTCTGGCTATATGGTAAGTAGGCCTCACCGACTCATAAAATGTATGTGATTGACGAACATCTCACGTTTGTATTGAGAAAGCCATTGTACCGTCCCCGCCCAACACTCGGCCTCTTGAACGGCATCTACAAGATTGAGGCCTACATCCTCGACACCTTCGACTCCAACATCATCCTCTGCCTCGACGATCGCAGCCTCTGGGGCCGCTTCCAGCTCGGATGCATCGAAGGGATGCTTTACATAGCCGAACGTCCCTGGTCCGTCTCCAACGAGGATGGGGACGGTTGTCCGTACCTATGGCGGCGAACCAGAGGCGTCGACACGGGGCTTGGGCTTCGTGGAGAACAGCACTCCGGGAGCATGCGGTTTCTGGGAGATGGGAACATCAACGGAATATTCTACAACCTTCTAGATGGAGAGGGAGGATGGTTAGATAGTCAGTTTCAGGGAATGAGAGTTGGCGGGAGGCCTGGTCCCCCGTCTTATAGCGATGCATACAGTATGAGGATGGATTTTGAGAGTATCCGTTGATGAGAGGAGTTGAATGAATCTCATCTAGGATTTCCTTCGTTTCTTTTCTCATCTTTTTACTCTACTGAAAGATTGAGTATTATGTGTTGAGATTTAGATTGAGAATTAGTCTACGCACCTCCTAGTGCCTCTGAATCCCAGCGAAATAAGCGGAAGAACCATCCTCGGCGCCCAGCCCGTTCCCCCCTCTCATCTCTCGATATGCTAGAGATTAACAGAAGCCACTAATGCTATACCCTGCATCTAATATAACGCCTCCCCCTCACCCCTTTGTATAGGTAGCTCTGTCCGGCGGGCGCCGACCCGATGCCGGGACTTCGCCCTGCTTGACTAGTCAGGTTACAGCACATAGTTCCTGGGCATCATGGATTGTGGCTTCGCGATTGGATTGTAGAGTCTGTTGGTTCTCTGTCTGAGGCATAGTGCTTATCCAGTTTTAGCCTTCTGATATTAGGCTGTCGCGTACAGTTGCCGGGGAGGGAGGCGAGGAGGTAAGCTTTGAGCATTGTAGTCGGTACTTCGGAACTAGATTTTCTCTCATCCTATGATAATCGATGTTTAGATGGAAGTACTGGATTGGAGGCTGAAGTAGATGTGTGTCCATGTTAACATCACGTGTTAGGAGGGAACAATCTCACGGAGGAGGAGGAAACTCCATCTTTCCCTTCTACAAAGTACCAACCCGTTCGCTAGCTACTGCCGAACAGCGTTAGACTCTCTCAACAGCGACCTTAATACCTAGTTGAGTCTGATTCCATACAAAGCTACTCGGCACTAGCATGCACACCATCCTTTTGAGTGAATCTTACTGGAGGATGCTGTTGCCGGCTGTCACTGTGGTCCGATCCGTCCGCGTCGAAGGAACCGAACCCCTGCGCAGTGCTTACAGCCTGATATAGACAACGATCCAGAGCCAAATGGCCATTCGGAACGAAACATAATGTGCACCCCCTGTCGTGGGCAGGTGTGATGCGAAAGTACCGCCGCGTCACCGAGTAGCCCCGATTGGTTACGGCTCTGCAGGGTTGTTTCATTGATTATTGGTTGATTCGTGTGACGCCTAGTCCGCGTCCAGGGTGTGAGATGTGACAATGGTGCTGAGATCCCTTTCATGTTGTTCTATGAGATCAAATGAATGGCTGAAAAAGTGTATTGGTATAGGTTGATATAGGCGTCGATGCATGCCTTGATTCTGCGGGCGATTGATCTATAGGCCCTACCGAAAGTCCAATGTGTGATCGAGAGCTGCCCTCCTGGCTTTTACCCTCGCAGCATCACAATTAGTGCGATCCTTCCAGCCCAGGGACTGAGGCTCGCCGGTCACTACTCCGTACATACCAGTGCCTTTGGCTCCTTTGGCTCTCGCTATCTAGTGACAAGATGCAGGTAGTTGTCACACGCCAAGGAACCAAAACTATCACGATACTCACCATGAGAACGAACATGGGTGCTGGACGATGCGAACAAGGGGTATGGAATACTCGATGGCTTATCGCTTATGGTAAGCGGACTGTCCGCTTCCGGACGGATTATTTAAACGCAACTGACGAGGTGACAGAGGCGATGAGGAGCTTTTCATCAAACGAGAAATCGAGGATTCGAAATCTGATTATTGTATACCCATAATGCCTTGGCTGAACCCTGATGCAGAGCTTCCTATCAAGGAGGTCTCGAAGAACCGCAAGCCTATCGACTCGCTCCCAAACCTATCGCGGCTTCTCGTCTGGGCAGCTACCACGGATGGAAGATTATCTTTCTACTCTGTCGAGAACGATGAGCTCCAGTCCACTCGTGTCCCGTACTCTCAGCTTCTTGCGGAGGCAGACGAAAAGGCTCGCATCATCGGCCGCATTAAGGGACTATCACCGGAGTCGATCCTTCTCCTGCACTTTGATAGCCAGCAAGAGATCATTGAGTGGTTCTGGGCTGCTACTATTGCCGGGTATCTACCAGCCATTTCAACGCCCTTCGTCGAAGATCTGGCGCGTCGCAGAAACCACCTACTTCACCTACACGCGCAGCTTAAGCAACCGGTCGTGCTTACGACCAAGCGACTAGTTCCAGAATTCCTTGAACTCGAGGAGCTCAGGCTGCATGACGTTGAGTCTCTTCAGTCGACCGCTGATGAAGATACTCCTATTCGGCTCACTGGTTCTGAAAAGGCGGCGGAGGACGTGGCTGTCCTTATGCTGACTTCAGGCAGTACTGGGAGTGCTAAGGCAGTGCCTTTGCGGCATGGTCAGGTCCTTAGCGCTATCCAGGGAAAAAGTGCACATCATGGCACCGTCTCCGGAGATGCCTTCCTCAATTGGGTTGGCCTGGACCATGTTGCTAGCTTGACTGAGATTCATCTACACGCGAGTAAGACAACCAAGCCCGGCATATTATTTTCCGAGATGCTGACTTTTGAAAACCTAGTGAGCCTGGGCAGTCATCAGGTCCATGTGCCTGCGTCAGAGCTCTTGCGTGACCCTCTGCAATTTGTCCGGTTGTTAGATACTCACAGAGTGGCTTATACCTTTGCACCAAACTTCTTCCTGACCAAGATTCGGGATAGTTTGTTGGCCAATCAGACCTTCAGGGCCGATCTGTCGAGTCTCAAGGCTCTAATATCAGGCGGCGAGTCCAACGTTGTGGTAACTTGCGACGAACTCACCCGCGAGCTACGTCGTCTCGGCGTTTCAAACGAAGTGATTCGTCCAGGTTTCGGCATGACGGAGACATGTGCAGGATCTATCTATTCTCGGGCTTGTCCTTCTTATGACATTGAGCGGTCTTTGGAGTTCGCTAGTCTCGGGTCTTGCATCCCGGGCATTGAGATGCGTGTCATGAGCATTACAGAGACGGGCAAACCAGCAGCCACCGGCGAGCCGGGAGAGTTGCAAGTCTCAGGCCCCGTCGTGTTTGATCAGTATTATAACAATCCGTTGGCAACCAAGGAAGCCTTCACGACGGATGGCTGGTTCATCACGGGAGACTTGGCTTGGATCGACAATGCCGGCAACTTGAATCTGGCTGGCCGAACTAAGGACACTATTATTATCAACGGTGTTAAGTGGAGCTCGACCGAGCTGGAGACAGCCATCGAAGAAGAAGGGATCGCTGGCGTGGTGCCCTCGTTCACGGTAGCTTTTCCAACCCGTGCTCCTGGCTCAGCCACCGAGGATATTGCCGTCGTCTACTCGCCGGCCTATCCACCGGAGGATCACCACGCGAGGTTCGAGACGACTCAGGCCATTTCCAAGACAGTGTCACTCGTGACGGGCAAGAAGCCGGGTCGTCTGGTCCCTCTGCCTCAGTCCATGCTGGAGAAATCGTCGCTTGGTAAGATCTCGCATACTAAGGTGCGCGCTGCGCTCGAGAGCGGCGAGTATGCGTCCATCGAGCGTGAAGATCAATCGCTTCTTGCACGCTACCGGCAATCAAACTGGCGCAAGGCAGAGACCGAGACCGAGAGGACTGTGCAGAAAACCTTGGGTGAGCTGCTGAAGATCCCCGCCGAGGAAATCAGTGTGGACGATTCGATCTTCGACCTCGGTGTCAGCTCATTCAACCTGATTCTTCTGAGGTTTATGATTCAAAAAGCAGTAGAGGCCAAAGTGGATATACCGATGTCGATCATGCTAACAGAGTAAGTAGCCCTTTCTCGTCTCTCAAACAACTAAGCGCGAGAAACTGACTGACCAAACAGACCAACCGTCGGCGCCATCGCAGCATCAATCGACTCTCTCCTATCCCAACCGCCTGTATATACCGCAATCGTGCCTCTCCAACCACGCAACAACCCCGGCAATACACCCTTATTCTGCATCCACCCAGGAAGCGGCGACATCCTCGTCTTCATCGCGCTGGCCGCACACTTCCCCACGCGCGCCGTCTACGCCCTGCGCACCCGCGGCTACAACCCCAACGAGCGCTTCTTCCACTCCATCGCCGAAACCGCAAAGACCTACGCCTCGCAGATCCGACAAACCCAGCCTGTCGGCCCCTACGCGATCGCCGGCTACTCCCTCGGCTCAACGCTGGCCTTCGAAGTCGCCAAGGTCCTCGAAGCGCAGGGCCAGGAAGTCAAGTTCCTCGCCAGCATCGACTACCCGCCGCACATCGCCCACTACATCCGTAACCTCAACTGGACCGACGTCCTCCTCCACATCGCCTTCTTCCTCGAACTTATCGACCACTCCACCATGTCGGACATCACGCCTCACCTACACACGCTCACCCGCGAGGCCGCCCTCTCTCACATTCTGCACATCGCCGACCCAGAGCGCACGCGGGCCCTCGCCATCGACAATGACCATCTCGGCCTGATCAGCGACATCGCCGAGAACTTCCGCGTCAATGTCCAGTCCTACGAGCCTGTTGGGTCCGTCGACCGGTTGGATGTCTTCGTCGCAGATCCCCCGGTCTACGCGGCTCGGGATCGAGCGGATTGGCGCGAGAATAAGCTTGGACGGTGGTCGGATTTCTCCCGGTCGGAGGTCGTGTTTCATGATTGTCCGGGTATTCATGCGAAAATGTTGAATAAGGAGCATATGGCTGATTTTGCGAGAATCTTTAAGGCCGCTATGAGGAAGAGGGGGGTTTAGATTTTTTTTTTTTTTTTTGCTAGATTCGATAACATCTCGGTGTTTATTAAATCAAACAAAATGTTTGCACTTGTATTTCCAACCATAATATCATATCATCTAACATACAGTATAGCCATTCGTACCTTTACTACCATTTTCTCCAGGTAAACGAAGCCTACAGATTCGTCACACTATTATTCGCCGTCGTCGACGGCGACCCCTGCTTTGGCCCAGGCACCAATCTCGCCTCGTCATCGTCCTCGGTCACAGGAGCCCACTTCCCGTTCACATACGTGTGCGTCATCATACTAATATTCTCCGTGATGTTGATGCCGCTCCGATGCGAAGAATGCCGACCGCTACTGGCTGTGATGCGTGTGTTCACCTGCTTGTCGCGGCCAAGGTAGTAGCCTGCGCCGTGGGAGTTGGGACGGTCTTTAGAGTCTCCGCCGGAGTTCGTTGCTGGGCCGCTGGATGTGAGGCGTTGGAATAGGGGCCGGTAGATGGGTAGGGAGGCGCAGAGAAGTGCGACGGTTACTTCGACGACACAGAGGAGCCCGCCGGGGATCATGTCCCCTGTAGAGTGGAGGTTAGGATTGGGTTGGGTTTGCGTGGATGGGAAGACAGGAGGGATGACTTACAGCTTGGGTTGGATGTGCCGCCTACGCGTCGAGCGTAGGGAAGGCGAATAGCGGCGACGACGCAGGCACTGGAGGGTTGATGTGTTAGGACGTATAGATGATTAGATCGATGGATGTAGGGGAGGTTGTACTGACCCACCGCCCAAGGCGAAGTTGAGAGATAGCAGGATCTTCTTGCGTCGTGATAAGTTGAGCTTTGTGACGAGGCGAAGAGGCGAGAGGAGGATGACGAGATCCAGAACGAAGTTGAAGGATGTATTGAAGAGGCTGAAGTTACTGAAGTCGATGCATGTGCCTCCGACGGCTGGGTTCCAGAGCGCCTGGAGAGGACGGCATTGGAGGCAACTGACGAGGACAATAGCGATCGCATTGAGGGTGTTGATTAGGACAAGAAATTGGACCCAGTACTGGAAGAGCTTCTGCGGGAAGATGGTCAGGTACAGGGCGAGTATGCTCCATTTGACGAAAGCGGTGGCCATGCCGTAGAGGATGGGGTTCAGGATATTAAGCTGTCAATAGTAGTCAGTGTTATTGATTGTTGGTGCTGATTGGATAGTAAGTGAGACTGGGAGAATCTGGAAAATGCTCAACGTACAATTGCCAGCATGCGTATGTCGGCTGGGTCAGTGGTCAAAATCGCATGCCTCCCGGCGCCATAACGAGTTGACAAGGCGAAAACGGTGCAGAAAGCAATGAAAAAAACCTGCACTGTTTGATTAGACCGGTCGGACTCACATGTCGAGATACTCAACACTAACAACAGAACAGATGACCATGTAGTCGCTGAGGACGAGCTGGCGGCGCGTTTGAAGTCGTGACCAGATGCGCAGAGCCAGTACAATGACGGAAGCAGCGGCGCAGACGGCACAACAGGCAATAATGTCGGGGACTAAGCTGTCGTCGATGTGTGCTTTCATCCACGCTATATCCTCTGGCGTGGGCATATTGGCCATAGTGGGCGAGTGGGCCGGTCACCTCAGACCAAGGGGCTCGGCGATAGTCTGTTTAATATGAAGGATGAGGTACAATTGAGAATAGCAGATCATGTTGCCGGATTGACTGACTATATGAGCGGGATGAAGCGGGTGGGCACGAGGGCTGCGATGCGGCTAGCGAGATGTGCTAGCAGGATTTCCAATCCCCTGGTCTCTGTGTTTCCCGCGATGTAACGCTTCTCCTTGGTGGCTGCATGATGCCAAGAAATGACCAGGCTAGGATGAGAGGCAAATGGTGGGTTGCACGATGTCATTTAAAACCTCGGAATCCTCGAGGCGCTTGCCAGGATTCAAGTGCTCCGGTGCCACTAAGGAGGCCAATGAAAAGCGAACACTTTCGCATGCACGGCGCCACCAGAAAAGGAGCGAAAACCCCCTTATAGAGGCGACGGGATCAGAAAAGAATTCCTGCTCATATCACAGTTCTCATAGTTGATCCTGATAGACGATCATCGTCATGGCCTTTGCGTCCTTGATCTTGTGGGGTATCGCCGCTCTCGTTGGCTACCTTGTATACCAGCAATCATCTCAGAAGCACCGGCGCAATCTACCTCCCGGCCCAAAGCCGTTGCCTATCCTCGGAAATTTGAGAGACTTTCCTCCGGATGGCACCGCGGAATACCAGCATTGGCTAAAGCACAAGGATCTTTATGGTGGCATTAGCTCCGTGACAGTTATGGGTATGACGCTGATCATTATCCACGACAAGAAGGCGGCGCATGAGCTGCTAGAGCAGACTTCAAGCAAGACATCAGGACGACCCACGATGATCATGGCAAATAAGCTGTGCGGCTATGAGTCCATCGTCCTCTGCCAGGGTTACAATCCCACCTTCCGACGCTATCGCAAGTTCCTGCATCGGGAGCTTGGAACCAAGGTGTCTGCAGCGGAGTTCCGCGGGGTCCAGGAGATTGAGGTTAGCCGACAGCTTGTGCGTGCGTTAAATGAGCCTGGAAAATGGCTGGAGCACTTCAAAACGTGAGTTTCCGCTTTTCTTTGAGATGAAGGAGGAGCCGTGCACTAAACAGAACGAGGCGACGTAACACAGTACTGCCGGCGCTACTGTTTTAAAAATGGCGTACGATTACACCATCGAGCCTCATAAGCCTGATCCATTGGTTGACTTGATCGAGAAAATGATGACCGAGTTCTCCCTCGCCGCTGTTCCCATGGCGTGGGCCGTTGACATTATTCCGGTACTCCGGCATCTGCCTGAGAATTTCCCCGGTGCAACATTCAAGAAGACTGCCCGCAAATGGAGAAAATCCATCCAGGCGACAGCGTATATCCCGTACCGATTTGCGCAGAGCCGAATGGCTTCGTTGAGCTTTCGGCCGTCATACGTATCGAAGCTTGTCCAGCAGCTTAAGGGCGAGAGTGATAATAACACTCTGAGTCAAGAGGATGAGCATTCGATTATCTGGACCGCTGCTAGTCTGTATGGCGCTGCAGCGGATACTACCGTGATTACTCTCACCACCTTCACGCTGGCTATGATCAAGTTCCCGCACGTGCAGCGCAAGGCTCAGGAGGAGATCGATCGCGTGATTGGTACAGACCGACTACCCAGGTTCGAGGATCGCGACAAGTTGCCGTACGTCGATGCCTTGGTGAAAGAAGCCATCAGATGGTGGCCACTTGCACCCATGGGTTTCCCTCACACAGTCACCGAGGATTTCGAGTACAATGACATGCACATCCCCAAGGGTGCATTCCTCCTCCCAGCTGTGTGGTGGTTTCTGAAGAACCCCGAAGTATATGCCGACCCTGACTCGTTCGATCCCGATCGTTTCCTTGAGCCACGCAACGAGCCCGATCCCAAGATGGAGGCATTCGGCTATGGCCGCAGAATCTGTCCCGGACGGTTCTTTGCAGACTCTAGTCTCTACCTCAACATCGCGCAGTCATTGGCGGCGTTCACCATGGCCAAGGCGATGGACAAGGATGGCAAGGAAATCGAGGTAGACGTCAGGCCGAAACCGGGTGTTCTCACATATCCCACCGAATTCGATTTTCAGGTCACACCGAGAAGTGAGAAACACGTACAGTTGATTCGACAGCTAGAGCGACAGCACCCATGGGAGGCCAGCGATGCCGAACAACTCGAGAGTGTGGAGGATTTCCAAGCTGAGTAGGAGACAGTAAAAAGAGGCGACAGATTATGGTATGAATACTGTTTGAGTAGGTGATTGATCCTTCCACTTCTGTGTGTTCCGGATAAGTCTTCCATATGAGAGAGTTGTAGAGGGGAGTAGTATGTAGCTTTAGTCTGAGCGGAGGACGATCTACAGTGCAAACAGACCAAACCCACCCGTAACTAACTATACTGCCATGATAGGTAAGTTTTGTCTAAATTTGTAGAAGTGACTGCCATGGACTGTGATGTAGAGCTTAAAATCTAGTTTACTCAGTGTGCACTCTAAGACTGTTAGGAAAACAGTTACTATGGAGTGTACTACTGACACTGTAGGGTCCACCGACGAAGGCTGACGGCGGAATGGATCAACGATCGGCCGGCCGTCTTGGGGTGCGTGATCACTGATCAACTGCTCCGTCGTCATTTCTCCCACCCTTTTCCGCGCTCAATCCCTCCCCGCCGCTGCTCTCTCTCGCTGGCCCCTTCTCCTGCCTCCCCCTTGACGGATTTCTCTCGTGTGACTCTCGATCATTGATCTCTATCAGTCTCCCCCATTCCATCCAATTCCCCCTCACGTGCGGTCAATCCAGCCCGCCTCCAACTTCCCCGCGGTCCCTCCCCACCGTTCATTAATTTATCCCCTCTGGGGTCCTCTCTCTCCAACTTTGGAAGCCTTCCCTGCTCTCCACCATGCAGGCCGTTCCCGAATCCCGACAGCAGACCTTCGAGGAGATTTACGGTCCTCCCGAAAACTTCCTCGAAATTGAAGTCAGTAGATTGACCAACTCCTACCCCGCTCTGTCATGGATCCCGCTTCCTGGTTCCAATTGAAACCCTCACCAACCGATACCACCCTACCCTCATTTCAACTCTTGATCCCAAGCTAACGGGCGATTGGGAATCGCTCTAGGTCCGTAATCCCCAAACGCACGGCACGTCGCGAAACATGTACACCTCGTATGAAATCATCTGCCGCACCAACATCCCCGCCTTCAAGCTCAAGCACTCCATTGTGCGCCGCCGATATTCCGACTTTGAATACTTCCGAGACATCCTGGAGCGCGAGAGCACGCGCGTTACTATCCCTCCGCTGCCCGGCAAAGTGTTCACCAACCGCTTCAGCGACGACGTCATCGAACATCGACGGAAAGGTCTGCAGCGGTTCCTGGAGGTTGTCGCTGGCCATCCGCTGCTGCAGACGGGGAGTAAGGTGCTGGCCAGCTTTATTCAGGGTTCGTCTTTCTTTCTTCTTCTTTTCCGTTCCGTCCTTTCCGAGAATTGCGTCAAGGATTGGTTTGAGAGAGTGTGTTCATATGCTAATGACTCTATGGCGTGGGTGCTTTTAGATCCGAACTGGGACCGCAATGCATGGTAGATTCTAGCCTATCCCACCCGGTTCAATCACGCTTGATGATGCTCAACTCGGTATACAGAGTTCAATTCCAGCACCCCTGTCTTGCCGTGCTCTGGCCATCACCCTCGTGACTGGTCCGGGTTTCGCACATTTGCTTCTCCCCATGCCTATTCGCGCAACTTTCTCCGATTCAATTCCCTGCTCCGCTTCTACTCGTAAACGTGACATGGCATGGTCCGGTTTGATATGGTATATTGGTACAATGGAATACCCCTCAGCGCGTCGTGCATTGATTCATTGATTTGAAACGATCTCTTATTTGCGATTGCGAGTTAAGTTGATCTGCATGAGACATGTCCTGCTGTTTTGCTTGTGTTTACTTCTTCTATGTTCCCGAATCTGTGTTTTCTGTTTGGTCTGTCTTTCTGGCGGGATGTTCTTCTTTTCTCTTTTCTCTTCAAAATAGCGATCTTTTCTCCTCTTGTGTATCTTTCATCTTTTGTACCTTGCTCTAGGCGAATACGGCATTTTCTTTCCCATTTTCTGCTTTTGTTGATGATCTACCTCGTTGTAGCTAGTGTAGTGTGAGGTCTAAAATATAGGTTATATGGTGACTATTGTTTGTTTCTTAGATTAGATATACACAGTCTTGAGGTCGATTTAATTGGATTAGACTGTAATATCAACTTTCATTATCATTGCTTTTCTGCACTGTTTGGATGTCGTGCAAGTGTAGTTGGCAGTATATATAGATAGCTCATTGCCCATCTATCCATATGAACTCGCAAACTGTATTCGTAGATCAGAAATCAAGAACAGAAAGGGAGACCAGAAAGAAGAAACATGCAGAACCAAAGAAGAGCGACTTCGCAAGAATGACCAAGGCGCGGGTATCAGGATGATGAATGTATGGGGAAGTAATTAGCTCCCAAATCTCCAGCAAAAAATGAGACTAGAAAACCCGGAAGATGATTAGAAAGCAGTTAAAAGGAATTGAATGGACAAACGCAAATAAAATGAGATAAAGATAATGGATATGAAAAGAGAGAATGAGAAAGAGAAAGAAGAACTGAAAGAAGAAAAGAGAAGTAGCCCGAAATACAAGAAATGAAAAAAGCCCTACGCCCTAGAAAAGAAAACTAGGTTAATTCATCCCATAACATAGGAGCGAGGGTGTTATCGGCCCATGAGGCATCCACCGCCGGAGCTCCAGGTGGGTTCTCGTCCAGAGGAAACTGAAAGACAGCCGTGGACGATGCACCCGTTGATGAGCCGTCAGGTAGATTTGGCGGCGGAGCCGGGGCAGAGAGAGCTGGGTCGATAGGGCCTAATGGGGCATGTTCGACATCAGTCTTATTGGGATGAGACGTGTTTGAAGATGATTTGGTAGGCCGTGTGGGATTCGGCTTGCTACTGTCTTTAGGATCGGGCGCATTTTTAGTCTGATCGTTATGAGTTTTGTTACCGCTGACGGACCCCCCGTCACGATATGCGTGGGGAAATTTGGTCCGAAATCGGTCTCGCAGGTCGGTCGCTCTGCGATGGCCGAGGTTTAGACGCTTGTCTTGTTGGATTAGTGTCCACTGAAAGCCATGAACGGCATAACCTTTTAGCAAAGCTTCGTCTTCGGCAGCTGTAAATGGGCGCCGCGAGCGACGTCGGGATTTCATGTTAAAGTGCGGCTCGGGAATACCAAGAGAAGCCAGCGTAGACTTGGATCTACTAGATAAGCTAAGGGGAGAACTGGTCGAGGGGGCCTGTTTGAAGTAAGATTGGGAGTTGTTCTGCTCCGCTTCGGTCAAGGGGGAGGCACTGGACGACGAGGGATCGTCCAAGCTGGTTGTCGAGCTGCTACCAGCGGAGGGCGGTCCAAGATTTGCCGGCCACGGATGGGGGAGGCGAATCTTCCCAGGGATGTTCTCAGTCCCTTCGGCCTCGGCGCGCAGCATAGCATCGGCAAGGCTGTCGCGCAATTTCTTGGTCGCTTCGTTGGGATCAGCAGCCCGATACGCCCACGGGCAGCAAACGCGAAACCTGGGAGACTGTTAGATTTTTTTTTCCGATTGGGAGGAGCCAGAAGTTCAAAAGCAAATCGAGAATCTTACCTATCTTTCAAATTCGATGCGCTTCGCTTGTTGAACTTGAGTTCGGGCTGCGCCAGTATAGCTGTCCAGTTTCCGATACCGCACTTGACCACGCCACGCAGAAGAGCCGTGGTCTCCTCCTCGGTCCATTTACGTAGGTTTTTTCTGGACCGACCCCTCGATTTCGGCGACAGTGGCTCGTTATCCTCATTGGCGAGCGTTTCATGCTCTTTATCAACCTCGACTTCACCATTCGGAGGCTCCGTCGAATCGACGTCCACGCCCTCCGCGACACTGCTTGCGGAATGCCGCTGGCCATCCGGCGTCGGCTTCTCCGCGACCGGCGGATCCAAGATCTCCTCAATCCTCCCTTCCCGTTTTTCGAAGCTCAGCGTATCTGCGACAGAATTAGCGGTGAGCAACGCGGGCTCGACGTAGGATTGGTCTCGGGAGGGCTTGGTCAAAAGCTGCGTGATGGAGCCGGCTTCGATAGGCGGCAACAGGGCGGCGTTGGGCGGCGGCTCGTTTAAACCGTTGAGAATGGCAAAGGGCCCAAACGGCGGCGGTCGTTGCTCCTTCTGCGACAGCGGAATCGGCAGCTGCAGGTGCTCGCCGAAGGAGTCGGCTTGCACGTCCACCCGGCGACGTTTGCGAGCGTGGGAAGAGTCATCGTCAAACGAAGAGTATGGAAACCGCTCGAGGGCGCGGAGGTTGACGAAGGACGGTAGGATTGGTTTTGGAGGGGCCTCAAGACTGAGCAGCGTATCTACTGACGGATCATTCTTCTTGGTCCGCCCGGGGTTGGAGGCCTCCGGTACTCCGCCACTCGATTCGTTGTTGCGAGTTGGGCCGCCAATTCCAGTGGAGGCTTTGGCCTTGGAAATGGTAGTTGAGTCCCGGACACTGCTGGCATTGGGCTCAAGTGGCGAGGGGATGCTTAGAATGCGGGAGGGAACTGGTTGACGAAGAGGAGCGATGCGGAGGCTTTGCAGCTGAGGTAGTTCGCGGATCAGGGATTCGTCAAAAGGCCGGGCAAAGTTGCCGTTAGAGTCCATCATTTGGGGATCAACTCCATCCGAAGCGAAGGGATTCAGATCATATGTGGGATGTGGACTTCAGGATTGAATCCGCGCTTTCTAGATGGGCCATTTTGCAGCATCTGGAAGTAGAAACTTGGAATCTTCTTGTTCACCTCGACCCACGCAACTTCGTTCGGGTCCGATGACGCCGCCTTGTCGTGCTGACTCATCCTACGTGCGGCCGAGCCGTCGGACTTACCCCGGAGTATTCATACTGAGAAACTATATCTTCCCTGAGCATTATTCTCCACAGAGCCCCAACCCCGTGTCAAGGTATCTAGCACGCCATAAGAACAGACAAGCTCCATAGAGATACAGCGATAGAAATAAGAAGAAATGAGAGAGATCTTAATTCCCCTTATCCTTACAGCCACCGCAGAAACCTTCGCAAAATTAGTAATTTACTTCTGATTCAACATCTTTGCACAGATCATTTCAAATTTCGAACGGTTCAGAGAGTCGAATGTAAAGTAAAGAGAGGATTATTAAATAGAGCTGAATGCTCATGTGGAAAGACCTTGTACCAGCTAGAACTCCCAGGTGGAGGTATCACCATCCCAATCTTGTTCATACCACTTGGAGCCCTTAGGAACTTTCACCAAGCCATACATTTTAAAATTGCGCACAGACCAAGGCTTTCGCTTGATAGAAGCCGGTTCACGGAAACCAACCACAGAACTACAATGTGTATGTCAGTTAGTGTAGCTTTGGACTCCGTTAAGGGTATCAAGGATCATACAGGGTGTCAGAGGATGAGTGCCAGACGAGATTTTTTGCGTGGGCAAAAGCGGGCTGGATTCCCAAGCTCTCAATCTTCCTAACGGTAGTCAGCATTTACTATACCTACAAGTAAAGCAAAAGAAGAATCAATCGCAACTCACTGGAGCGTGTTTTTGAAAGCTTTTCTGACTCTGTCGCGCTCTTCTCTCTCGAGCTCCCAAAACCGGTCGGCGCCGTAATCGTCCCCAAGTTGAATCCCAGGGAGTTCTTCCCAGGCTAGGGAGACGATAAACCCGCCGGGAACGAGTCCTGTCCTATACTGCTTATCCCTTCTCCAACCCAGGAGGCGAGGCGTTACAGTGGACCCCTTGTCTGTCATTTTCTTGCATGCCCTCAACTCTGGAGGAATCCAGTCGACTGCCTGGCGAGCACGGGTGGCTGGATCATCAGCCTCGGTCCCAAAATGGTAGATTTGCTTGTAGATGCGGACGTACGAAGTCTGAGTACGGTCACCTAATATCTGACAGCGATATTTGATGCAGGCATAGGAACACACGCCGCTGTATTCGTCCATTTGAGCTTCCAGCTCATTCACCTTCTCAAGCACTCTCCATCGTGAGGGGGAGGGGAGTTCGAACGAAATGGTCTGGGGTTGGGGACCGCGGAACCAGGAGCGAGACGCAGCCATTTTGAGGAATCCGCGAGGACCTTTGAAGAAGGATGGTTTGAAAGGGATTCTGTGGGTGGAAGAAAAACGTATATATATAGGAATCGGGTGCAGTGACGCGGGAATGATGCCAGAACTTTGGGTGACTCAGATACCGCGGTATCCCTTCACAAAAGGGAGTTATAATTCAATTGAAACGGGAGGAAGGGAAAGGAATCTTCGATAAATTCACAGTTGGCGGAGGACAGTACTTCTCCTTCACCCCATACCATATTAACTACGTTCTACGCATCATTCACCAACTTTGTCTATCATTCTAATATTCATCATCTCACCAGCTACAGGCACGGATGCGGCTGGTTCAATGAGCCATGCAATGGTGGGATATGGCGTGAGCAAGCGAACTAGACGGTTTGGGCAGATGTAGTGGTTCTTCTGGGTGTATGTGTGTTACTGCTCGCGGCATACAGGTAGAGTTTTGGGACTGGGTACGACGGACATCATTCTAGTAAGATAGCTGCAATGGCAATGGAGGGTGTGGAGACGGGTCTTCGGACGGAAACGGATAATTTTCTTCAACAAGTAACTAGGAAAAGATATTAGCTAGCATGTTTCATCGAGCTTGATTGGAAAGTGCTCTATTTGGTCAATAGAAATATCACTAAGATCAGTCAAATCGTGATCATATCAGTCCATTGTATTTGTAGTGATTCCAGGTATCAATCATGACTCCCGACTAGGCTAACAAGCTCAGCTGGCTAATGGTCAATCCTTGCAGTACCTGATATGTCTACAGTATTCATGCACCTCAGCCGCTCAAAAAGCAAGAAAGCAATATAGAAAAACAAGACAAAGAAATGAGAAAGGATAAGAATAAAGAACGCAGGAGCAAGCCGTCTACACTCAGAAGAGAACATCCGGAAATAAGTATTTCAATCATAGCACATGAACCTGCAACCTTCGTCCAGTCCAAATTGATAAGGTAACCCATGTCAAACCAAACCATATCATACCAATAGAAACCCCATGTCCAGAAAACAGATTCAAACAATTCAATGCAATCCAAATCAGACGAAACCAAATACATTCCAAATCGGGAATATCCATCATAAGCTCAAGAACCCAGATCAGCCTGCGAATCAATTCACAATCAACCAATAGATCAATCCCTGCTCCCTGTGCTGTCTAGCTAGCTGCGCCACATTATTACGGTTCGAGTCATAGAGAGTCGTTATTTGACATGCTGTCGTTCCGATGCATTTTGCATTTGCAATTTCATATCATATCATATCATATCATATCCCATTCAATTGTCATGGACAGACAATCTTTATTGCCATGAACTCTCGCTCTCTGCCTGCTTGTGTATGTTTCTCCTAGGTATTGTTATTCCTTAGAATGAGGGGATGAGCGAGTGAATTGGTGGATCATAGAATGAAGGATGGGAGGTTTGATAGAGAGAGAGTGATGACAAGGAGAGAGGATATAAAGTCAAAAAAGAAATAGAGAGAAAAAGAAAACAAGAACAAGAAGAGAAGAATCAAAGATGCGATATGAAAGATGAAAAGTGGAAGATAGACAAGAAACGAAAGAAAGGATGATAATGCTGCTAATGAAGAAGAAAATCCCTAAGGAATAGTTGTCCTCATTTGTTGAAAGAGCTGATGGTATGCTGGTAAGCCGATTTCCCTGAACTCCTGGAGATGGGGAAGTAGGAACGGAATTCCCGGAGCACCCTCGAAATGTTGCCGATAGAGCAGGAAATTCTGAGCCGGGTCGAGCAGGTACAGTAGATCGGGCGGGAGGACGGGGTTCAGAGCGACGGTTCCGGAGGAGCTGGCGGTGGCGCTGAAAGTTGAATCGGTGATGCTGTATTTCTGTAGGCCCTTGAGGATGGCCGTAAAGGAGTGGTAGTTGCGGATGAGAAAGAGAGCCTGCGGTGATTGGAGTCAGAATTGGGAAGAGATGCGTCAATAACCGGGTGGGTATACCTGAACGCAGTCTTGAATGCTCCCAATCAATTGTGGTAATGCAGTGCAGCATTCCCAAACGACAGTGCTGAGATCGTCCCATTTGCTTACAAGGTTAGCCACCACAGTGTCATTCTCAGTGAGGCCCTGCTCGGTGAGGACCGCGAAACTCCTCACGTCGGCGTTGGTCAGGGTTCGTGCGAAATCAACGGCGGAGATCGATTCCGTAAGATCTTCAAAGAAGGTGTAGTTGATGTCGAATGGCTGGAACCAATTCATGTCCCGTGCGTGGATGTAGACTCGTTGATATCGAACTGCCAGGACGGAAAGCACCTTCAAAACGGCAGTTAGGCTAGGAGGGTGCTCCTTGATGAGTTCTTGGATAGAGCCTGCAATAAATTCAAAAGCAGGGGTTGCGCTCGATGATATGTCGTGGCTCGCTCCTCGATTCATGGTGATGAGGCATTGTGCTAGGGCACGGTGGGCGAACGGACTTCGGGTTCGAAGATGCTAAGCACGGTCAGTTTCAACACATGAGATACAATGGGCAGTCCTTGTTGTTGCTTGTTAGTCTTTTTCTGAAGCCGGCTGACTGACCTTTTCGACCTCAATGTACCTTTCCACTTCGTCCGGAAACTCATGAAGGTAGTTCAGCAGGTGAATGTATAAAGCCGTATGTTGCTGGAAGAACCAGTCGACTGTCTGGACACGGTATCCCAAAGAATAACGAACCATCTCTTCGAACGAAATCCGGGTGAAGTGGAGATGGCTTTCAGCGTCGATTGCTTGGGCAATAGCGTTCGGGTCCAGGGCCCGATCCTTCTGGGTCGGGAACCAGCTCCAGGGAACGCAGGGAGGACTGATGACTGCGCACCGGCGCAGAATTTCCTCTACTTTCTGCACGTGCGCTAAATTCAAGATGAAAGCCTTCTCTTGGGGCTCGAGGAGTGACAAAAGGAAGCTGTCGACGGTGGCTGCATTTCGGTTCTGTAAGGCGCGACGGGGCAGGTTTTCCTCCTGGAAAAGGCCGTAGCGGATGACTCGTTTGATCTCCTGGACATCGAAGGCCCATAGGACGGTGTCATCTTCCCAATATCGGTAGGAAACGACGAAAGGAGGGATTTCAGCGCTGGGTCGAAAAAGCGAAGGATAGCTCGACTGGTCTGGCATGAGGGTTGCGCCGGCCAGCTCAGTCCCGGGACGGTGGGGTGAGACGCGCGACATAGCACCCGGATCTGATACGGAATAATAGTCCCTCGGGGAAGAATCGAAGATGGTCTGAGCCCAAGTTGAGAGCGCAGCTCGCTCGTCCTGATAATGATATTGCATTTTAGCTGGAGCATGAAAGATAACGTCGAGACCTCAACAGTAGGACAGCAATCGTTGGAGAGAAAGAGAGACGGGTAGAGAAAGGGAAGGGGAAAGGGTTTTCTTCAGTACATACCAGCTCTTTTCTTCTATGTCCTCCCACTGTTTCGCTTTCGTTCCCTTCGTTGGGCTCTCACGGCGTACAAACAGCTGAGTGATTCCCGAAACAAGGCGCTTATTCCCGCCACAATCCTAGAACCTGAGGGATCAGGGGGGAGACCGCAGGAGTACAAGTATGCCCGAACCAAACCTGAGCTCCAACAAGTAAGCAATGAAGATGGAACTTAGGGAATCATGGGTCAATGGATCAATCAAGGATACGAGTAATGACTAAGAGGACGGACAGATTCCCAGGGGAGAGGTTTAGAGTCAGCCACTGCCGGCTAACCTTCACGTTTTGGGGGGATGATGCTGGGAGAAGAATAGGATAGTAGAAAATATGGAGTAAGACTATTGGGAAGATTCCGAACAGGTGGCTTTTAATTGCTCGGAATTGGTTCTAGTGATGTATTGGTCTTTCTTCGCCTTGGTTTCTTTCTTGTTTCTTATGGGATTTCTTTTTTTAATCTTTTTTAAAAGAAAAGAAAAAGAAGGAAGGAAAAAGAAATTGATAGCAACACCCGCAGCAGCAAGTACTAGGATGACCCTATTGTCTCTGTGAATTTGCCACGGTCGACAACTCACGAGGGAAAGCAAGACAAGCTGGACTTGGATGTCTGTAATACTCTTCAGCTAGGAAGGAAGCATAGCGGCAACAGTGGCGCGTTGCGAAAAGAAAGACGCGAAAGGGGGGCTGATCCCGTTCCAAAGGACTGGGTCCCGAGAGCCCGGATAGAAAATAAAATATTAAATTTGAATCAAAAAATACTGTAAGAGAGCTGAATATCTTCTGGGCGAGACCCGGGATGGCTGGATGGAAGGTGGAAGTGGGCCAAATTAAAAAGATAGTCCGCCCCAACCATCTATCAATCAATCATTGATCGACCCTCCCGTTAATGGGCAATTTACTAATATATGTTAAGCATTCAGGGCTCCCCCTTGAGGCCTTGAGCCAGCCGTTTGGCGAGCCAGACAGAATCGAGGGCACGGTTGACAGCTTGGAAAAAACGGCAAGAGAGGCGCAGGGCAAAGCCGGAGGGCCAATCAGTCGGATTGGGAGGACTAGTGGAATCCTCTCATGGGGCTCCAGAAAAATCCGCGAGTTGGGTTGGCGACGGATGGCAAGCCCCCAAGACTTGAGAATTATCAAAATCCTGTAATAACAGTGGCCAACGGCGGCAACCGAACAAACAATTGACATAGAAGAGAAGCGGTCAAGAAGCCGGCATGGAACGGCGTACAGCGGCGAACACGATGCTGCAGGATCATTAAATTCTGGAAGTTTCATCCGGATCGCCTATTTTATGGCAAATGGGCAATTGGCAGATGGATGGAAACCTGATGCTTCAGTGCTCTCCACCGTAGCGGTGTACTGGTGTGGCTTGGATCTTGAGACTTGCCGGTTGATACAGATAGCCATGGGGAGGGATAGCGTCGGTGGTTGCTACCGAGAGCGATGCTTGATAACCACCGTCCTAAACTAAAGGCGACTAAAATCCCAGGTCCCAGAATTGATGAGTGCCTAGGGATTGAGCGATGCCGAAGCTCCACCGCAGCCTCTTCCAATTGCCACCTCCCATGAAAGAGTTAGTTTGAGGGGGGGGGGAGAAGGGGGCCAATGCGACTAGTTTAGCTTCTCATCCTCGTGAGAAGAAAGTAGCGCATTTGCCGATGATCGGGCAATAGCCGATAGATACAGTTGTTGCAAGCCATTAGGATCACCGGTCTCTCCGAAGATTCCGAGTTGACGATGGTCATGCTTTCGTTAATTTGGTGTTTACTTTTTGGGGGGGGGTTGTTTTGTTGGGATGACGACAGATGATGTTCAATCGATTCTCCCCGGAGTCCGGAGCAGGTGATTGCCATGATTGTCGCTGGAAAATCAGGGGAGCAAAACAACAAGAAAAAGAGAAAGAAAGAAAAAAGAAAACAGACGGCAGTGTCCGGGTGGATCCGGTGCCACAAGCCGGGGAGAGGCAGCGACAGACAGAACGATGAGAGAGAGAAGCGCCATTTGTTGCTCGTGGCTGTAGATTAACGGTCATTCCTTCAGGCGAGCGAGCCATAAAAAAAAAGAGGAAGCAATTATTCCCTGCCATCAATCAATCAATCAATCGGATGCATCGCTCAACAGGTTTATTGGCTGGGCCGATCCCGATCACCAGATCGGTTGACACCATCATTAAATCATGGTCAACTCGTTGCATGACGCTGACGGGGTTTACACAGTAGGTGTCTCCATTAATTCCCTGGATTATGAGGATCAGAGACAAGGAAGAATCGAGCTGGAGATGGCCGTGGCGCAGGGGGGATCGATCAAGTCGGAGTCCCCGCGACATGAGATGACGCCTGCCTGCCGTTCGTAGGATTGCTTTTCTTTGTTTCAATTTAACGCTACTTGGCGGATGAATGAGACGAGGTAAATCAATTTCGAATTCACAAGAGAAAGGTCAAGACCTTGGGGGGATTGAAGGAGGTAAAATTTGCATCAGGACATTGACAGGGATGAAGCACGTTGAGGTGCAGCAAAGCGAAAGTTTCTGGCCGTTGCCCACAGGACGGGAAATTCGCCAGCAACTCTAAGATTGAAGGGAAGCAGGAATATGGGGGACATGCTCGTCTGTGTGACCTTGTGTTTCTTTTTTTTTTTTTTTTTTTAGATTTATTTTATTTATTTCTATCCTTGTTTTGTTTTTTTCTATGATTTTTCTATAATTTCTTTTCTCTCTTTACTTTTTCACGCCTCTGTGTTGTCCCGCAGTATGTATCAATTCTCTTGACTCCCCTCCGCAGAACATCCGGCATAAGAAGACCCCCAATCCTGCAGAAACAGGACGCCGCGAGCCGTCGTCTCGAGCACATTGGCAGATGCCACGCTCTTGTTTGCTGGGTCCAGAGCTGACCTCGGACGGCAACTTCATGCATCCCCATCAGCCATTGGAAGACCGGACGCCGCTGCGGGGACAACGGTCAACCAGCCTGCCTCTGCCTGCTTGCTTGCTGTACATCATGAGATGTACAGGCGAGGGTGAGCGAGAGCCGAGCATCCACAAGAAAATAAAAAAGAAAAAAGAGGGTGTGTGTCTCCCTCTCTTTCTCTCTCTCTCTGTGTGTGGCAGAGAGCGTGGCGCCGTGCGAAGTTGATCCACCCTTTTCCGTTGCTGCATTACCTGGGCGAACCAGACACAGACGCCCTGCAAGAGTCGTCGGGATAAGAAAGAGAGGTACATACAATACCTATTAATAACTCTCTCTGGCGAGGTGCACGATGCTGGTTCGCTTCGGCGTTCTGTCCCTGGTTCATTTTCCTCTTCGATCTTGGTTGGTATGTACGGTGGTACCGGACGGATGCCTGTGTTGAGTTCATTTGCTCGGATTCAGAACTAGCGAGAAACGATCGGCTAACTAGTAGTAGCTACTGTAGGATGTAGCTTAGCACAGGCACCGGGAGGGGGTTTTTAGCGATGTAGTATGTCTCTGTTGTTGTCGGGAGCCAAATCAAGGCACAGAGAGAGAGACAGGGAAAGACATCGACCCAAGTAACCAACTACCTACCTAATCAACTCCCAACGCCGTAGCACCGGTGCCTGTCTACCTATCTGTTCTCCCAGGAAGAACCTAGACTGGTCCATGAATTGCCATCTGCAGTGACAAAATATACCTGGACCTCTCCGGAGAGTCATGTTCGTATCTAATTTGCCCATGTCGCCGGAGGACATTTCCCCGGCCACCTGAGCCACGCTGAGCCCTAAGGTCAAGGAGGGTCGGAAAAGACTTGAGTCTACTATGACTGATGGAGGGAAAATCTTCATCGTTTCCACACGAGTCCTTCCACTGAGATCTTCCAATCGACGAGTAATTTAATTTAATATACTCAATCCTCCCGGCTTCCAGGCCTGCTCGACAGGAACAGGCATATTGGTACACCGAGTATGCAGCATTCGTCATGACTGTCTGTTTCTTGCCGTCTGTTCTTCTCTGTCCAACTGTTAGGATATTCTGCCTTGAGCCGAGTCAGTTCTTCTGACTCTCCGTGTGCCTGTTTTCCTGATGAAATATCTACTACCAGATCCCTGCCCGCTCCTCCGATGAGACAGGCTCCCCCTTGCTAGACTGCACATCACTAAGTAGTCACTAGTGAACAAGCGATAATAGCCCTAATTCCAAACCCCCATCTCTGCCGTTCCAAGTTCCGGGCGTAGTTTATCGATCACAACGAGCCAGCCAAACGGCCCGAGCCACAACCAAAGATCGCCCCCCAAAAACAAAATGAAGGGATGAATGACTTGTCATTAACCAGCTAGGTAGCTAGCTACTGTCGGAGTAGTTACTGACGGAGGCAGGTCCAGCACATCATCCAACATCAAGGTCCACGCAATCGACTCGCTTGGCCGACAGACTTGCACGGTCTGGTCCGTATTAATATATTTATATTATCTTACGTGCAGTAGGCATAGATTGGCACCTTAACTTTTTTTTTATTGTTTGGTTTGGTTGGATTTACGACCATTCAACGATTCGACCAGCTAATAATTAATAAACGCCGAGGACTGCTAATCTCCCAGGGCGTGTGACTACTGAATTAGTGGGTAGTCAATCTACTGGCCTTGTTTCGCTTCCCTGCTTTACTCTAATCTCTAGTTTCGACGGGGCTCATCTGGTGGGGACTGGAGACTGGGAGGGGAATCGGCGAACGCTAACGTTTACCACGAACTACAGTAGGTAACTACTAGTAATGAGTTAGTAGACCTGGCGATGAAGTGCGATTCGATTCGATTTGATTTCGATAACCCGATTGAGGGGCACCTCACCATGACGAATAAAAACAAAATTAACTAGATTAATACAAACGACCGCAAATATCCCCAAACAAGAAAATGGATCCCGTCCGGGAAGAGACAGATCCATCTTTCTTCTTATTGATGATTCTTCCAGTCGGCCTCCGCGTTGGATAACGAACTAGGTAGGAGTCAAGGGGACAAGCAAGGCCAAGAAAAGAACCCATAACAATGTCAATAATAATTGTAAAAACGACCGCATACTAAACCCAATGATGACGAACCTGCAGCGAGAAAAAAAAGAAAAGAAAAGGAAACATGCACTTGACTACATACATACAAACCACCACCACCACCAGCCCACTCAACTGACCCCAGCCCAGCTACAAGATACAAATCAAAGAGCAGTAGACGTGTTACACTCCCACTTGTGGCTCTCGGCTAGTATATATTAAGCCGGACGTACATCTCTCGGACGAATCGTCGGAGACCGTAGACGACAGGAACCATGGTTGGGTGGCAGTTCGCTAGGTAAGGGAGGTGCCGCGTGCCGTCTTACGGAGGATACCTTTCTTTTCTTCCCCTCTTCTGGATCGAGATATATCAATCTCGGTGGGGGGGAGGGGATGGGGGGCAAATGTGAGACGTAGAGTTGCGATGCGTTCGATCCCTGGGGAAAGGAGGGACGGGAAGCGGGAAACCCAGGAACCTTCCACACCCACCATTTTCTAACGGGTTAATGTTACTATAGTAAATAACTTACTGGCTCCGACTCCGACGCCGTAGAGGTTCCTCGGGTTGCTCGTTCGTTGACCTGGTTGAGTGTTGACACTTATGTCGATGTCCGATGGATCGATGGAAGGGATTTATTGGCTGCTTGCGGCGGTCGAGGCGGGAAGGCGGCATTCCGTACGGTTGGCGGTCTTCATTGACGTGAAAGGAGTCGAGTTTTTTTACGTGGAGGTGTGGAGAGGAACTACGCCGGAAAGTGAGGGGAAAAGGTGATGTGTCAAGAAATGATCGCGGGGAGAGTAATTGAAAAAAATTCGAATCGCTTGCAAAACGTCATTAGAGGTATCACAAAAATTTTTGGGGAGACATTTTGCCTCGGCTTTGCTTCCTATACTGCGATAGCTACGGAACAGAAAGAAACTTGACATGAGCAGACCCTTTAAACATGCGTCCTGTAGACAAAAGCTTTTTTTTCTGCTAGGTAACGCATCATAAGAATCGTTATTAACCGGAGTCATACAGGCCCACAAAGCAAGACAAGACGTCCTCTCCAGCGGAGTTTTAGAGCTTTTTATTTTACTGCCAACAGCCAACATCCCTTACCATCCCAAGAACTTAGTTCTGGGAAGCATAGGCACGGCGGCGGTCACGCTCCTCGGCAATGGTGAGCTAGATAGATTGTTAGTAATTTGTTTCGTACACCGAGGATAGAATTTATAAACATACCTTGACACCCTTGCCCTTGGGCAGGGAGATCCAGGGCTTCTCCTGTCCAATGACGAAGATGTTGGACTCACGGGTGGCGAAGGTGTTGTCAATAGCGTCCTTGACGTGGACGATGTTGAAACCTCCGTCGTGGCGCTCACGGTGAGTGACGACACCAACACGACCCATGTTACGACCACCGGTGACCATGGTGACAACACCAGTGTCGAAGCGGACGAAGTCAACGATCTTGCCGGTGGCAATGTCAACCTTGACGGTGTCGTTGACCTTGATGGCAGGGTCGGGGTAACGGATGCTAGAAGATCAGATTCGTTAGCCAACCCAGTTCAAACGTCCAAACCTTCTTACTGTTCGGGGGGGATAAAGTTGTCCAGCAGAAAGTTCTAGATCGAAAGTTCTCTCGTCCTCCGCCGATCAACCAAAGCTTGGTCCAACGACTGAATGACACGGAACTTGTGGAGTGATCACTCACGTTCGCGCATCGTGCGTAACCAAGAATGGGATCCCGCCCTTGCCGAGCTGCACACGCTTGACCTTGCAGAGCTTGAACTCAGCCTCCTCGGCCTGGATGCGGTGCACGGTGAAGCGGCCCTTGGTGTCGTAGATGAGACGGAAGTTCTCGCCGGTCTTCTCGATACCGATAACATCCATGAAACCGGCGGGATAGGTAGGGTCAGTGCGGACCTTGCCGTCGACCTGGATCAGACGCTGCATCATGATCGCCTTGGTCTCACGGCCGTTAAGGGCGTACTTGAGACTATAATAAACACATCCAGTCAGTCGATTGTCCTTGGCGTCCGTTGTCGCGATATCATTTCAGAGTTTTTCGTACCGGTTGCGGATGAAGACGATCAGGGGCAGGCAGTCACGGAGCTTGTGAGGACCGGGAGAGGCCTTGGGGGCATAGGTTCCGGACATTTTGTCCAGGAGCCAGTGCGAGGGCGCGCTAAGGCGCTTCTGGTGCTTCTTACTGTTGAGAGCATTGCGGTCAGTTTCGGTTTCCAGGAGAATAATTCTTCAATCGCAGCAAAGATCTTCTGTTCCTTCAAAAAAAATCTTCGAGGCAGAAATCTCGTGTGCATTTGAAATGAAGGATCGAGGATGGCGTTGAACTCACGGTCCGCGAGGCATCTTGGCTGCTTTGTCGACTTGAAACCGGTGATGTTGTCGGAATGTCGCAAAGAAGAGAAGATGGCAGCCCGTCGACAGATAACCAAGGCCGCTCAGCGAAATTCGCTTAGTGCTGTGGGATGAGCCCTAGCGCTAGTCCTGTTCTAGGGCTCCACTTCGCAATCCTTTCTGGGTATAGTGCATGACGCTAAAATGTTCATACGGCCCGCTTATATAATAATACATCCCAAAAGGGTAACTAATCTTGCTATGGTTCTATCTGCATGGAATTCTACTCTGTAGATCTCGTGACTGGGGATACTCAACGCCCTCTTTGTCGCTCTAAGCAAATGTCTTTTCTAGTGTCCTTTAGATGTAGCCCTTGATCACAGCGACCTCAGCGTTAAGGATCGAGGATCCAGCAGCGCCGATAACGGTGTTGTGTGAAAGGGCTGCGAATCTGAGGTCAAAGTAACCGCCCTGCGCGCCTTCACGTACCCGCCCCACGCTGACGGTATATCCACCAGAGATGTCTCGGTCGAGTCTAGGCTGAGGCCGATCGGCCTCGTCAAAGACCTTGATCGCCTCCTTGGGTGCCGAAGGGCAGCCCAGTTTCTGTGCCTCGGACTGATATTCTCTCATCGCTTGGACGACTTGTTCGGCGCTAGGCCCGGGGCGGTTCTTGAATCGCAACGAAACAAAGGCCATATGGCCATCGGTAACTCCTACACGGGTACACGTAGCTCCGATTCTAAGGCCACTTTGTTCGTTGAAAGCGGTAGCGTCTTGGTTCAAAGATCCAAGGATCTTCTGGGCCTCATTTTCCAGTTTGTCTTCCTCACCGCTGATGAACGGGATGACATTGTCCAGGATATCCATGCTAGGAACTCCAGGGTATCCAGCCCCAGACAAAGCCTGTTCCGTGAAGACCTCGACTTCCTCGACGGGGCCGAACTTGGCTTGAAGAGCTGCGAACGGAATGACGACACCAATAACGGCGCAGTTCGAGTTGCAAACCAAGAATCCCTTCTTCAAGCCAAAGTGCTTCCTTTGGTGAGGGATCAAATCCAAATGTTGAGGGTTAACGGTAGGGACGACGAGAGGGACAATAGGGTCCTTGCGGTAGTTCTTGGCGTTCGAGAAGACGGGGATTTCGGCCTTGATGAATTCCATCTCTGCAAGAAATCGTTAGCGATTGCGGTCCTACCAAAATGATGAAAGTCGAATTTCATACCAACTTCACCCGCAATGTCGCTGTTCAAGCCGGAAAACACAAGGTCGCAGTCACTGAACTGATCCGCCTTGCAGTCTCGAAGCACAAGACCGCTGAGCTTCTCGGACATAGCAGTGGTCTGCTTCCATTTCACGGCATCCTTATACTGCTTTCCGGCGGATCGACTCGATGCGCCGATAGCGTGCAGCTCTAGAAAAGGGTGATCGGCGAGCAAAAGGATGAATCTTTGGCCCACAGAGCCAGTGGCACCGAGAACACCTGTGAACCATGAGCGTTTTGTTCTTTTGTGTTGAGGGTTCGTGTGTTCATACCGCACTTCTTCTTCGGATAGGACGTCATTGCGATCGGAGGAATAGGTCAATAGACTCGTATCTGCATTCTAAGTCAATTAAGAACTCCCAGGCAAATTTCTTTCAGAACAGTCCAAGCTCGGCAGTGGCGCACAGGAAAACCCCATTGTGGAAGCATTAATGCTCTAAACTTGAACTGGTGTCATTCCTGGGAAGAGCAAATGACTCAGAAGATGCTGCCCCGCAGGGCTTTTGCGCAAGTTCTGGTGGTCGGAGATTCAAGTAAAGCGGGAATTGAAGAATGCCCTCGGGCTCAAGAATCCAAAGAAATTATATGATTGGACTTACCACCTCAATGTTGTTTCAAACTCTATGGAAGGGAGAGGAGTTGCTTGTGGCAATCAAGACGCAAACTGCGATATCGCTCTGAAGGAGATCACCCCGCGATGAGTCAGCCACCAGCGTAACCAAATGCAGTTTGCGTTGTCATTGGCTCAACGCCCCCTTGTTTTCTCCTCCAAATCCATCGTCTAGAGGTATCATGATCCAATGATTAAAGCGCGAATTCCTTCGTTCTCTATACATTTTGTCTACCTGATATGAAAAATGATATGCAAAATCATGAGTCTCAACTAGACCGCTTTCCGCATGTCTAACCGGCCTAAAATAGCGGAATATGTTTTCGCCCGCAACCAGGCACCATAGTGCTTATCTTGATAGCAATTCCTTATGGTTCGCTTGGATGATCGAAGATTTTCCCAGGATTTAGCAGCCAGTGAGGGTCAAGGGAGGTCTTGATGCTATGCATTACATCAATTGTCTCGGGGCCGAGCTCCTTCATAAGGGACTTCTTCTTACCCAAACCAACACCATGTTCGCCCTGCTTACAGTCAGTCACAGTGTCCAGGGAATATTGTGGTTAAGGAGGGTTACAGTGCTGGAGCCCTCCATCTCGAGAGCTCGGTCAACCATGTCGTAAACAAACTTCTCGACTCGTTCCCGCTCTTCGGGGTTTTTGCGATCAAACATGATGCTGGAATGGAAATTGCCATCGCCAATGTGCCCAAGAATACTTGCAAACAAGCCTAGATCATCTAGCTCTTTCTTGGTGATAGCTGTGGGACTGAATTAGATGGCAATGAAGACTTTCGACCGAATCAATCATGGACTTACCAATAATGTCCGGGAGTCTTGAGACTGGCACGGCTACGTCGGTGGACCATACTTCCGAGCCTTCTTTTCGCAGCGCCATCATACTCCATAGGGCTTGTTTTCGGGCCGACCATAGGCCATTTGCCTCTCGCTCATTTCTCGCGAACTCGAAGGACGAGGCATGGTTTTGCTTGGCCAGAGCCTTGGTCAGGCTGATGCTATCGGCGACGCCAGCACTCGTACCGGAAAATTTGAAGAAGAGCGTGGACAGTGTCTTCCATTCCCGTCCTGTACCACCGGCTCGATTAATCACATCCATTTGGACATCATCTAGTATCTCCATACATTGAACCGGGATGCCTTTCCGAATCAACTGCATAGCAGCCGATGCGGCATCATGCATCGTGGGGAAGGCGACAACTCCGACACGGGTTTCTTCCGGAATCGGGGTCAATTTGAGGGTGGCCTCAGTCACAATGCCCAGCGTTCCCTCGGAGCCCACAAACAATCCCGTCAGATTGTATCCAGCAGAGGTTTTCCGGGGGCGTCTGCGCGTCTTCATGATTCGGCCGTCCGCTAGGACGACTGTGAGATTGATAACCCAGTCTTTCATGGTTCCATACCGCACTGCATTTGTGCCACTACAGTTTGTTCCGACCATACCGCCTATCATTGCGGACGGGCCTGGATCGACGGGAAAGAAGAGTCCGCTGTCCTTGATCTTCTCATTCAGCTCCATCCACTGGATAGATGGTTGAACCACGACGTCCAAATCGCCTTCATGAAGCTCGATGATTTTGTTCATGAGACCGAAATCAATGGTCATCCCGCCGTGAGGAGCGGAGAAATTGCCTTCAAGGCTAGAACCTCCGGAGTAGGGAACCATTGGCATCTTATATTTGTGACAGATCTTCGCAATCTCCGAAACATCCTCCGTACTGGTTGGATATGCAATGGCGACTGGCAATCGATCCGCATTGATACTGGACCATTCCGAAAACCCATGTCGTTGAAGGTCGTCTTCGTCGACGCTGATTGCTTCTTCGCCGAGCTTCGCGCGCAATTCGGTAATGGCCTATTGGTTCGGCGACACCCATTAGTCCTTCGCATTGAAACAAGTTACATTCTAGGATGACTCCCACCTTCTCAAAATCTTTCGTCGACCCATACTGGGGTTTTTGGGTGCCTGGTATTTGAGACGAATGTTTTGAGGAAGCGAACCCATAGCCAACACCCGCTGCCAGCGCCGATGCAAGGAGCGTTCGGTTTAGCGACCATGCATTGGGAGCACTCCCCGAAGACTTGGAGCCGTGACTTCCGTTATTTTGTGTGCTGGAGCTGTTCCATCGGGCGAATTGAGCGAATTGGGAGCATGAGACTGCGTGTGACTTGGGAGATTTGGGTCGGCTTTGGAGCGCGCGGGGAGTTGCGGGGAAGGCCCGAGGGAGTCGAGAGATGGTCTGCATGACTCTATATGTCCCAGTATGACGGTAGGATCAGAACGCAGACTTCATACAATGTTGAGCGCAAGAGAGGTGTCTTTGGCGGTCGGTCAGTTGCAATTTCAATTTACACGGGCTCACAATCTTCCCAGTAGTACGGAGGATTTATCGATCACCAGTCCCTTCGGTAAGCAGACACGCCATCGAAGCTAAGGATGAGGAGCAGGCTGTACTAAGCTTTGGACTCGGATTTCGGCCGAGTACGGCTACGATCGCTGCACGATAAGATCTGAACGCCGAAGGACAAATCCATGACTGATGATCAAGCAGGTCTGCTTATCTTTCTTGCGACTGCAGCCAATCGTTCCGTGTTAATCTCAAATCCATCGCACTCTCTCCCCGGATCGGCCTGAACTCCGAGGCTTGGCAGGGACGAGCCAGTCCGAGGTTCTTGACGGCTATGCCATGCTGTACTTGTTCATGCTCCATGATATTAATATGATCCTGGACGACGTGGGTATAAAAGGGGCGTCGTAAAATGTCGAACGTAGGCAGGGATCCAGAGTACTATGCCCATAGTCATTTTCTTGACCGAAATCCACCACGAAATATCCCATCTAATTACGGGCAGGGGCAAGTGGATAAAACATATTAGATTGATTACTTTGAATTGTTTCAAGAAGCTTGATTTAATTCAGGTTCCGACCTTTACCTAGTCAACTGTGTCGACGACAACGATGGAAAAAGAGGAAGGTGAGCATGAAGTACCGTTGTGGGTCCTCTGGTTGACGGGGCAACGGCGACTCCCGCTATCAATTTCCTCCACCTTCCAAAAATCATAAGGAGTGTTCAAAGATTCATAGCACTGCAATGCTGGTGGGCAAGTCACGTCCAGCAATCAGCAACTGAGATTGTCATGGAGTCAATAGCTGTACCCATGGCAGATAACCTCTCTGGCCTGGGGCGTGAAGTGGAGCGCCTAGTGACGGCTCCATATGCGCCCTCTCTCCAGGTATTCCAAGCCGCGCTACCCCATAGCTGTCTCCATCCATAAATTGTCGCGAACTAAGTGATGACAAATCTTGCCCTTTAGGACCTACATGCATTTGTTCAAGGCTCTTCTACAGCTTCGTTGTCTTCATGGGCCTCGCACAAGCCCTGCCAGGTTGGTGCTTTGGCTGATATTCTTGTCGACGGCCTGTCTCGTTCCAACTTCGCTCTGGACCTCGTTAGGGCTTTCGGTAAGCAAAAGTGTATGTCCTCCTCTATGCTGCAAGTTTAACTCTCTGTAGCCCGCCTCGAGCCTTTCCGTAATGCTTTACTTGAACGCTATCCCTGTATGTTGGACCAATTTCTCCAGAGGTCTGAAAATGGTGAACCTCAGGTGAGTTGCTTCTAAGAGAATCCATGCCATCAAGCCCCCTGAATGGAATATCCTTGTCATAGGTGAATCCAGGCCAAGTCATCATCTTCAATCTGACCATTACAGTACATCGCGACATGCGTTGCAATGCTTTCTTCGCCTCTACCGCCCAACTACATTGTCCCCGCACGCCTGGCATCCTTTATCACCCATTTGGTTAACTCCATAGGCGAAAGTCCCTGCGCCGAGACTATTCTACCACTCTATCAGCTGATGACTGGCCTTCGAACCACTCCGCGAGTACTCCTTGAGGTTCCGTCAGAGATCATGTCTAACATTCAAGTCGAGTTGACCAAAACACTTCGTAACCTCGATGACCATACAGGAAACCTTCTTTGCCTTGCAACATTTGCGCAAATAGCATCTTCAAATAATTCCCAGATGAACAACGGTCCAGAGCAAGGCCCATCCTGGTTGCAGAATGTCAAGCATTTCTTCGGCCCCAAGCGAGGCTTAAAGACCTTGGACCTTGTCGTTCTGCGAGTTATTTTCGCTTGCTCCGCCAGTTGCAATAGCCTGACTGCCGAACAGGCAACTGAGAGTATCCGTTTAGCTATCGAAATATGTGGCATTGTAGAGCCGGAGCAAAGAGAATGCTGGATTGGTGCCAACTCCACCAAAATCGCCAAACTGTCCGAAAAGGTGACAAGGCCTGGCATTGACCGGGGGGTGCAAATTTTGGTAAGACCGTGACTCCCAGTTATTTGACCCTGGCTAACATTTCAAGGGCGCAACCTTTATGGTTTCCCTTCTTCCAGCTTCTGCGTTGCCTCATGGCATCCCCGGACTAGCGCCCCAGTGGCTCTTACATGAAGACACTGCTCGTGTACTCGAGCTCCTTCCATTGACTTACATCCCGCGGTTGGTGGAGGCAAACATTGTGAGTAATGGGTTGACTGGAAACTGTAAGCGTTCTAACTCACCTTTCAAGGTCTACTCAGGACAATCGGTTGCAAGCGGGCTGCTGGACTACGTGATCAGTGCATTGCAGCCAAACCAAACAACTCGAGTTCCAAGTATCAACAGAACCCAGATTGCAAGGTCAATCCTTGCTGGCCTGCAGAGTCTGGGGTCCCAGGTTCTTAGCTCCGCCGTTGCCGAAGTGGCGGTTAGACAGTGCCGGGAGAACATCAACGGGCTGCTTGAGATCTTCCCCCGGCGATGCTCCGTAACTGCCTGCCGGCACTTCAACACCTGCCAAGCTGCGGCTGTCCAACTGGAGAATGACCTGTTCAATGATCTGTTCAGCTTCTATTTCCGGTCGGCACTTGCAATGAAGTCGAGTGGCCAGCTCGACTACGCAACGGAGACGAAGGCCTTTGGGCTGTTCATCTCTAGAGCCAATGGAACTACATCAAGCACTAAATGTCAATTCCGAGAAACAAAGCCACTTGAGCTCCGAGATGCCTTTTCATCCCTAAAAATTCAAGACCAGTCACCCAGCTTAAGACAAGACTGGCGAACTGGGATAGCCCAGACACTTGAATGGAATTCCCGTTTGGGCTATGACAACATGATGCAAAAAATTGAAGAGATCTGCTACGACCTTGAAAAACGTTGCAATGGCGTTGAAGCCCCGTTGAGGGCAGTTGAGGATGAGCGCGACAGGCTACTCAGAGAGGCAGAGGAACTGAACTCTCACAACAAGCAACTGTATTCAGAGTTAAAGCAGGCATCTGGAACCACCTATGATCTCCAACAAGATATTTCGCGCCTAGAGTCTCAGGCAGAAACTGCATCAAGCCGCATCGACCAGCTGTCGGCCAGTCTTGAAACCGCACGGAAGGACCTCGACGACCAGCGACTCGAATCGCAAGAGTCCGCTAACAGCGAGCGTGAACAAGCCCGATCTAAAGAGTTGGAGCTGGTTGCTTCCCTAACTGAAATGGAGGAAAAATTGGAAGACTTACAAGAACAAATCGTGGTTCAAAGAGGGGAGAATGATAGAGTGATGGAGGAATTGGATATGATGGATCAAGAAAAACTGGCCTATTCAAAGAGGTGTGCATCTGTAGAGCAACAGCTACTTGACCTGGAACGCGAGTTTGAAGCGCAGATCGAAGAGACGCACAGACACATGGGCCAGCAAAGTGATCGAATTGGCCAACTTCTAGCTGATCGAGTCGAAGCCGAAAGTCGGGAGGAATCGCTACAAGCTAAGGTAAGTCCTCAAGTTGCTACTGCTCAATGTTTTGCAAGCGCTAACTAGCCTTCAGTTATCTGAGGAGGTTCTGGAATCCGAAAGGCTCAAGACCGCTCTTCAGCAATTAGAGGAAAGCCACAAAGCAGAAATGGGCACCCTTCAGAAGCATTCCGAGACACAGATTTCCAAAATGACCATAGAGGTGAGACCTTTCCTTCTTTTGCATTTCCTCGCCAGTTGGAATTCTAACGGTGCGCAGTCTGAAAAACTCAGGGATGAAATTGCTTCTCTTCAGGCCGGTATGCAGGCATCCGCATCCAGTGCCACCAAAGAGCTCCACGCAAGAGATAAAAGGATCCACTACCTAGAGAAAAAGGTAACGCAATTCCGAGAGACCAACGATTTTCAACAGGGCGTAGAAATGTTAACTCTATCTAGATACAACACATGCGGGATGAACGATCAGCTAAAGCACGGGAATTCTCCGAGGCGCAACAACACATCGGCCGGTTAATGAGTGTAATGGGATTCAAACCGGATCCTGCAAGTTCAAAGCCTCCCGGTGAGGATACACAAAGCCAACATGGTCGACAAACGGCGGAGTCGTTCGACCTCAATGCAACCCCAACCCCGCCTGGGGAGCGCAGTCCCAAGAGGTCGCGGGATTATGCGTTTGCTTCGACCGAATCACCAACGCCTTCTCACACATCTGGGAAGAAATCAAGGGAGTCGGTTTCTCGGCGCGGAACACAACAGCCCGGGGAGAGGAAAGTCCTGGAAGATGCAACCCAAAATAGCCAACCAATTGCTCAGGCCAGCAGCATACCTTGCTCCAGTCAACGAGAGAGTTTTCAAGGAGGCCAAGTAGGCGGGGTGACTGATGAGAATCGTCTGCAGGAAATCGATCTGGACATGGATTTGGAGTTCTCCAAGGACTTCCTGTTTACAAGCACTTCTGTTTCTGAGGTGAATGACCACAGACCTCCACTGGGGACCCAGAGATAAAGTTTGATTGATGGGAAAGGGAAGATTATGATTAATGACTTATTTGAGACATTGTTAGGCTTTGTGTTAATGATTAATGGCTCCGGTTATGTATAGGCTTTAAGATGTTACATAAATTGAAGAGAATGACACCTTCTAGTGCCGACATCAAACGAAGCATAACACCTAAAATCAGACCCATCCTTAGAGGCATAACAAGACACGTAGTCGGGGGTTTACTCGTTCCTTTTTTACATAACGTGAGGCCTTTTGCAAGGCCAACAATCCTTGTATTCCTTCATCATCAAAAAGGTGTCCTTGGCTACATACCAATATGTTCCAAGTTGCTCTGCACGTACCTTAAGGTGCATCTTCTTGCTTTGTTCTTTTCCAGACCGCGGCTCTCAGCATGGCTACCTTTTGGATATCTGCAGAACTATAAGACATTCTCACCGACTGTCTCGGAGGTGAAAGTACCGGTTCTCAAATATCTCATATACGCTGCGGTTTGTCCTTACCTTTGAGCACCATGACCACGCTTTGTTTTTCTATCTGTTGTTAACGGTATGCACTGACGCCGAGCTTGCAAACCCAATACGCAGTAGAGAGTGAATGATACGAGATGGAGGATTCGTGCAGCACCAGAAATATGATCAACCCTTGGTGTTTGGAGATGGATCTGGTTGGGGTAGTGGGCAACGAACCTGGGCGCTACGGACTGTCAGTCTTCTTCTTCTACCTATCACCCAAGAGTTGGGGAGTGAAGTCTAACTCACATCTTCTTTCTTCACTACAAAAGTGCTCAGGGAATAAAACCGTCTGAAAGCACCAACCCAAATGAGGCCTGTGAGGGTTGCCGCTGCCAGCCAGTCTCCGCTGGAAAGTGCATCTGCCCTCATCGAGTCCGCAAGGCCTTCTCTCGCTCCTCATCCCCCCGTCCATTCTCGTCCTCTTCCTCCATTTAATCGACCTCATCCTCGGCCCACTCTTGGGTCAATCAGATTACTGAATCATCTACCACCATGCCTCAACCACCTCACAATCGTCAGAATCCCCTCAAATCGCCACCCCGACAACCGCGAAACTCACCTCAACAACTTCCACCGCAAATACTAGCACCATGGAGATCTTGGGATTCGGTCGCCGTCAACATCTTCAATGTTCCAAAAGAGGCGACAGCATTCCGTATATGGCAAGCCTTCAACAAGGAAGGTAGTATTTTCTCCATCGATCTCTTTGAAGACTCTCATGGTAAACGTGGAACGAAAGGGAGGATACGTTTCAAGTATGTTGCATGAGTCCCCTGTTACTTACCACGCCTACTAATAATTCACAGGCCTCCACCCCAGGTGGCCTTTTGGAGAACAGGAGAATATGCCATTCGACTGCCCAATGGAGAATCGTGTACTATCTCGGTCGCTCTCGACGTCAATCATTATAAACCACAAATTGCAAGTCCAGTCCGGCCTGAAGTCAACTATCCGGCTGAGTTGGTGGGTATTCTCGCGTTTTATAGCCTGCATGTTTCCTATGTGACCTCTGACATTTCGCAAATTACCAGAAAATTCCAATTTCTTCTATGCAAGTTGGTGTTTTGCTTGACGACAAAACTTTCTTACCCCAGCGCACAGTCGGCCAAGGACCCAGCGAAACTGCTTACTTGGTACTTGATCTGAAAGCCCGAGCCCTTTATGTCCGCTTCCAGCTAGCCATTTCGTTTTCAAGATCAGCAACAAACCAAACCAATGATCCACATCACGAGTATCGCCTGAAGATAGCATTGGTGCAATTGGCTGAAATTCATCAGGCTATTGACCCAAAATCCGAAGAAGTCTCCCACTTCACTGTATTAGATACGCCTCCTGTCTATCACCGACGCATCTCCAATATCGTCCACACCTTCATAGATGACAATACATGGAGGGAATCTGATAGTTGGTACCGGCAGACCTACATTGTTCGCCGGCCGGAAGAGCTGTCCTCTCTTCCCATCAGCTTGAGAAGAAGCAATTCAGTGATTGATATCGGTGCGTGTCCCGCCCCTCTAGATTATTTATTGGTTCCTTCCCGAGGATCGTGTCCGTTTGTGGTTTGTTCTCGAGGCTTACTGGTTTTCTTCCTGGGACAGGGCGCTGGAATGCCTTTTGGATCACGTATCCAAAAGAAGCCCATCAGAAAGGTCAACTCGCTTTGTTACAGGATATCCTCACCGATTACAATGTGAAGATTAGCACCACAGGCTCTTTCTCTCGTTGGGATGAGAGCAGAGAACAAATGCCCCAGGTTTGGAAATGGATCGACGTCCCAGAATCTAAGGCCCCGAAACATTCTCAGTCCTCTTTGGAAGATCTGATTGACCAGAACTATGTCCATTTATCTTTCCCTGTCCGATATCAACTCGAGGTATGCCTATCAAATGGGTATCTTTCTGAATACACCATGAGCCGTGACTTTGTTGTCAAACTCTCGGAACTCGGGGATGATCGGGCTAGAAAGCTTTTGGAGCATGTGGCATCCAAAAACCAAGTTTACCGTGATCCAATGAAGATATTCGATCTCAAGTTCATCAAGGGAGTGACTGATCTGAAAATACCGCCTTACTGCTGTTACATGCGCTCCGCCAGAATCACACCTAGTACCATTTACTACAACACTCCGACGGTTGACATTTCGAATCGAATCATAAGGCGCTATATGGAATACGCCGATCACTTCCTCCGAGTTCGTTTCACAGATGAAAAGCTTCTCGGCCGAATCAACTCAACTACCGACAACACTATGGACGAAGTGTTCACCAGAATCAAAAGAGCGTTGTCAAAAGGAATCGTCATCGGCAACACGCATTATGAGTTTCTTGCATTTGGGAACTCACAATTCCGGGAGCATGGAGCCTACTTTTTTGCACCAACTTCTAATCTCACCGCCGCTAATATCCGTGCATGGATGGGACATTTCAACAACATTCGAAACGTCGCCAAATATGCGGCGAGACTGGGCCAATGCTTTTCTACAACACGTGCTATTTCTTCTGGGTCTCAAGTAGACATTCGCCCAATAGAAGATGTTGAACGCAACAGCTACATATTTTCAGATGGTGTTGGTAGGATCTCTCGTTTTCTCGCTCAGGTGGCGATGTCAGATCTTAAGATTCACACGCCAACCGGTGACCCTCCATCCGCTTTTCAGTTTCGCCTCGGAGGCTGCAAGGGAATGCTCACGGTCTCCGAGGAAGCCCAAAACAGAGAGGTACACATACGAAAAAGTCAGGACAAATTCAAAGCTACACACAGCAAACTTGAGATCATTCGGTGGAGTCAATACTCGATCGCGACACTGAACAGACAGTTGATCATGGTGCTATCATCGCTCGGTATACCGGATCTTGTATTCCATAGTAAGCTGAAAACCATGATACAAGGCCTGGACGAAGCCTTGGAGAGTGATGCGCGTGCCGTTTATTGGCTGAAAAAGTACGTGGATCCGAATCAAATGACGCTCATCACCAGCCAAATGGTTCTCGATGGATTTAGGCGATCGAAAGAACCGTTCATGACCTCAATCCTGACCCTCTGGAGGGCGTGGCATCTCAAGTACCTCAAAGAGAAAGCCAAGATTGCGATTGATAACGGCGCTTCTTTGCTTGGAGTAATGGACGAAACTGGGATTCTCAGTGGTTACTTCGCTCATAAGACACCCAGAGTCGATGCTACTCGTGAAGAACGTTTGGCAGCTTTGCCTGAGATATTTCTCCAAATATCAAGCCCCGGAAATGGCGGGAAATATGAAGTTATTGAAGGCCTCTGCATCCTGGCTCGCAACCCATCTCTTCATCCTGGGGATATTCGAGTCGTGAAAGCCGTCAACGTTCCACAGTTGAACCATCTCCATGATGTCGTCGTCCTGCCTCAGACCGGGGATCGAGATGTAGCGAGCATGTGCTCTGGTGGCGATCTAGATGGTGACGACTACCTTGTTATGTGGGATCAAGACCTGATACCTGAGGACTGGTTTTGTGCCCCCATGAAGTATGCAAGCAACAGAGCCCAGGACCTTGATAGGGACGTGACAGTAGACCATATCACGTCATTCTTTGTTACTTACATGAAGAATGACTGTCTTCCAAGAATTGCTCATGCCCATCTCGCTTGGGCAGACCGGCTCGAGGACGGCGTCAACGAGGAGAAGTGCATTCGGCTTGCCCAACTCCATTCGGATGCAGTGGATTATAACAAAACAGGAAATCCGGCCACTATGAAACGCGAATTGGAACCTCGCTTATGGCCTCACTTCATGGAAAAGAGACACAAACCAAAGGAAAAGATCTACCGCTCCGGCAAGATTCTTGGGCAGTTGTACGACGCCATTGAGCGGATTGATTTTGTACCCAGTCTAGGAATGCCCTTCGATGAAAGAATCCTCACCTGCCAGTTGGATGTCAGCGACGACCTCTACGCGTTTGCTACGGAACTGAAGGCCGAGTATGATAGCGCCATGCGGCGAATCATGGCACAGCATGATATCAGAACTGAATTTGAAGTCTGGTCTACATTTGTCCTCAGTCATTCCAATATGAGCAAGGATTACAAATTTCACGAGGAGATCGGAGGCATCTCATCTTCACTCAGTGAAATGTTCAGGAAACGATGCTACGACAAGGTTGAAGGCCGAGATTTTGAGAAATTGGCTCCGCTCGCCGTGGCAATGTATCGAGTCACAAGTCAGGAAATGAGTCTCGCATTACAAAAGTATCGCGACGAAACCCCTCAGCATCCCGAAGATATTATCACTTCGGTGCCCAAAATTGATCAACTGCCAATCATCAGCTTTCCATGGATTCTGCCGCATGTTCTAGGAAAGATCGCAACAGGACTCTATGAGCTTCCAGTTGTAAGTGATCTTCTCGAGAACAAGGGCTTCCTGGACACTGACATATCGCAGGTTGAGCAGGCTGATGTTTTTGGTTTATTCATGGACAGCCAAACCATGGGTGCATCAATTGCATCAACAGAAGTCCGTCCCAAGCAGGAACATGTCAATACCGACATCCAGTCCTTAGAGGAGCTTCTCGATTTCGGCTTTTCCGATGCGCCGCGCAAATCATCGTCGTCACCGTTATCAGACCTGCTATCTCTTCCTAATGATTCTATCGAGGACGAATTCAGCCTCTTGGATCTCAACAATGACTCGGGAGGCACTAGCGGTGTCGAAAAGAAAGAGGACGAGAAGATGATCGATTTGCTAGGATCTGCGACATGCTGCGATATTCCAACGGTCCACCAGACCGTGGAGAATCTTGTCCGCAGATCCGTGACCGAGGAACCAATGGAAAAGGAGGTAATGCTGAACCTGGATGTACCGAAGGTGACAAGCATGGAAGTTCCAGGTGGCTGCGTCGAACTCGTAGAGGAAGAAGATGATGTCGAGGCCAGTGCGCTCGATAAGTTCAATGAGATACTGGGAGCCTGATAAAGAGGCGAGTTTTTTGCAATACTGCTTACTCTCGGTTCATGTCATGCATTTCCACGTCGGCTTTCACATTTGTTATCGACATAGGTACTATCTGAATTTGAGAACTCTAAACATCCAACGGTCGTAGGATTAACCATGAATACATGTGATAGTTACCTAGAATCACTACCGAACATTTGCGCCAAACAGTGATGTACAATACCTAATAGTAAGCCCATCCGTATACCAGGACTCCTAACTTCGCCAAACAGAAATCACAACATTAACATAGCCACACCCATGCGTATCCCTCAAGCCCACAGAATCAATCCAATTCACTTCCCAAGAAGAACGCCGACGAATCTTCATCTTTACCACTCCAGGGCACTCTCACTCGTATCCTGCAACAGCTTCACAACCGGATCCAAAACCGCCTTCGTATGTCTCCAATTCGCCATATGTCTCGTCCTGGAATAAAACACCGGACAGTCTTTACTATCGCACTTCACCTCCTCGTCAAACGCAACGCCCATACAAGAACGGCACACGCGATGGAGATCGAGGACCCGCTTCTCTGCCTGGCGTTGGCGATTCGTTAGATCGAGTAGGGAGATGTGAGGGTGTGTCATGCAGTCGGGACACACGGGGATGTCGGCGTCGAGCAGTTTGGAGCGGCAGATGATGCAGGTCGAGGATTTCATGTAGGATTCAAGGGTCTTGCGGGTGTCTTTTCCAGCGCCGGAGGAGGAGGCGGTGGCGAGGGAGGAGCCTTCGACGCGGCGGATGCGTTGAAAACGGGGCATCTCGTCGTACCAGGAGCGGACGTTGGCGCCGACGAGGTTGAAGATGCGTTCGAGGGGCGGGATCAGGTTTTTGGTGATGTAGTATTCGGCGTCGAGGTCGAGTTGGGGATCGTGGAGGAGGGTTTCAGGGGCTACGCAGCGGTCGATCAGTCGGGAGCCTGGGGCGCCGGTGACGACGACGTAGGGAACGCGTTCGCCGTATTGGGGCTCCGAGCGGGGGTCTTCGAGCATCTTTTTGGTGCTGATCAGGGCGCCTGGGGGAGGGAGGCCTCGTTCGCTGTAGGTTCCGAGTTTGACTTCGCGCGCGAAGCAGAAGTCCTGGATCGAGACTTTGCCTTGGAGGATCTTGGTGCACTGTTTCTGGAAGTAGCTTTTGACGAGGCTGAGGTCGGCGGTGCGGAAGAGGAGCTTCAGTGCCTTTTCTTCGATCTTCTGCTCCGCTGGGGTGCCGTCTCGACGGACGGTTTCGATACCCTTGGCGTCGAATTCGGGCTCTTTCTGGTTGCGGTGTTCGTATTTGAAGCCGACGTAGCGTTTCTTGGCCATGAGCACACAGGGATGGTAGACTTTTTCGAATTTGAGCTTGACCGGGTGCGGGTTGATGTCGGTCACGGCTTTGGCGATCTCTTCGCCAATGTCGAAGGCTTGGTCGCGCGTGCGGCCGCGGAGATAGACGAACAGACTGTCAGTGTCGCCATATACGACTTCGGCGCCCCATCGTTCCACGGAATGGATGAAAGCAATCGCTTTTTCGAGCGTCTCTCTGCCCGATTGAACGATGCTATCGGCAATCTCGGAGCAGGGCATTCGTCCGGAGAATGAGGCAGAGGTATAGCCGTACGTGACGTTGGCGATGAGTTTGAGCGCCAGTTGCCTGTTATTCAGGAGACGTTGCAGTGTCTTGTCATCTTTGTCCTGCTTCATGCCAGATTTTACCATGACACGGGTCTCCAGGATTTCTGCCAGCATTTTGGCGAGAAGCGATTTGCGGACTTGGGATTTGGCATATATCATGCCATTCGGTGCAATGTTAATCTTGTCTTTGAGCAGCTCGAGTAATCCTGACTGCCGTTGGTAGTCCATAAACCCCATTTTGTCCCTGGTTCTCCATTGCCGCGCTCGTCCAAGGAAGGTCGAATAGCAGTAGTTGTAGGCGATCATAATACTGGGATACAGCGACTGGAAATCCAAGACTATCAGCGGGCTGGTGTAGAAGTCACTCTGAGGTTCCATAACCAATGGAAGACACTCTAGCGCATTCTGCTGGCCAACCTGCTTTCTGCTCGGGGACACGAGTAAGAAGTTCTCGGGCTTTGCAATGCGAAACATCAAAGACTCAACCTTGAATTGAGATCCTCGTGAGATCACCGAGTAGAAGTCTATCCCAAGTAATCGAGCCTGCTCACTTATCCTCGGTATCAACTCATTGGTATCCAGTATTTCGACGTTCATTTGTACACGAGAAACGAGATAATCGACGACTTTCATAATATTGCGAGGTTTGCCGCTTCGGTACCATGATGTGAGTTCACGGAAGGAATAATGAGGGATCCGGCGATGAAGCAGATGGAATACAACATTCTCCATGCTGTACTGAAGTAAATTCAATTCACTCCTCATTGCTCGCCAGATGTTGATCATATGTCGCCCGGTGATTCGGATAGAAGATGTGTGGTTGAACCCATATCGGTCAGCTTCTTTGCCATATCTGCCATGTGCTTGCGACTTGACTCTCGACAACTCATCGCAGATATCCAGCTCATATTTCTTCCTAGCTCTCTCGATCACATAGCCCCACGAGCTATTGTGAACCTCATAGCCGGTGATGATGTCGGGGTCATACCAGCGGACAATATCCACCAATCGAGTTATCAAGTCAAGCTCACTAGGCTCGTGTTCCAAATCAACTTTCACGGCTTTCGAAATCTTGATATCCGGTCTATCTTCTTCACTTTGTACGACCATTCCGATGTGGACACCTGGTAAATGACTGTTGACGTCAAGATTCTCATCGTCCGACTGCACACACCAAACTATGCAAGAGATCTCGTCTTCCTCGGGGTTCGGAGAGAGCACACCGCGGGTATTGACATGAACCTCCAAGCTCATGATACTCATATACTGATTTTGGTGCTCAACACTAGTCGATTCTTGTTTCTGGGAATACTTGAACCCATATCCGTTCTTCTGGGTGGGGCCTTCGATTTGCGATAGAACATTTGGTTTCATATCAACTGCTAAGTTCGTCTCGCTTGACTTGGTTTGTTGAGCTTTTCTTTCTAATTGCTGATTCTCAAACCAACTGATGACTTCTGCACGACTTGGGGGCACAGGCGCAAATTCCCATACCCTGCTAGTACAGGATTCGCGCAAGCATCTGTCAACTTCTTCCTGGGTATTTCTGTCTTTCACGGCTGGTATCTGCTCCCCCATCATTGCATGAGAGCGCCCCGACGGATCAAAATCAGGCAGATAATGAATGTCGTTACCTTCAAGTCGAAACTCTCTACCTGCGTTATCTCGAGGCCGGTCGGGGACATCAGCGACATTGCCATAGTGGGCCTTCTGATAGATGACAGAAGGGTAACCATATTCATCGAGGGAAGACGAAACATCGCTCGGATTCGGGCAAGGCAGCCGTAAGACACAGATTCGACTACTTGAGGAGAAGTTAAAGGTTTCATAAATCGAAGATGCCATTTCTGACACGTAAGGATCGACAGAGTTTGAGTTCGTCTCTATCGAGGATAGTTGCAAAGGCTCAGAGCTTTGCATTGGACTTGCGTCTTTGGCAACGCCCTGGGCAGGAACTGTCGTGCTTTCCAAGTTCTTCGGCATTGCCTTGGGTGTGTTGCCCTCCTGGCTAAATCGAAGAATGGTCATGGGATCATTCGGATCTTTGACTACCGGAAAGCCAAGTTTGCTGTTTTGGACTCCACCCTGGGACCGTGGTGTTGGCTGTGAATCTTCAACATTTGCTTGAAATGACAGATTAGGATGTGATGTTTCTGCATTTTCAAAGGATTCCGTCTCCTTAGTCTGGCGGTTCGCTTCTTTTTCTAATGCCATAACAGGTTTCGGTAGATTCTGGGGGTTTGGGGATAGGTTGCGTGATACATCGTCGTCAAAGAACCTGATTCTCTTAGGAGGTCTGTTGAAATAAGGCATGTTACCGAGGCGCTTGAGAGATCGTATTGCACTTTGAATGCCAGCATTTATGTTTTCTCGAGAATTTATGTCCTCAAGCCTATTAACATAGGCCCCAGGTGGTCCATCTTTTTTAGGGGTCAAGAATTTATCTTGTTGTATAGGGTCTTCAAGCTGGAAGGGTTGATCAGAGACCATCTCCCCTAGTGGACCTTGGGCAACAACTGTATCTTCTGGGCCACCCTCCTCGTCCGAGAACAAGTCCGCAATATCATCATCCGAGCAGTAAGAGCCGTCATCGGACTCCGCTGCATCCTCTTGAGGAAGAACATCAGTGTCAACTTGAACTTCTATAGCCGGCTCTGTGGCCCCGTGTGCACTCGAAAATTCATTTTCATCCGCGAAGAAATCTTCGACACTTTCCAGCACGGTCTTAATGTTTTCCTCAAATGGCTTCTTTTTCAAGATATTATCAAATGTGATGTCTTTGCTGCCCATTTGGACCTTCTCGGCTGCAGCGATCTGAGACGCCATCTGGCGGAACTCTTCTTCATGAATCCACGGCCCGTTTAGATGGTTCCTTGTGTTCGCTGATAGAGAAGTCAAGTCCTCGGCGCTAAATGGGCTACTTCCTGGATCAAGAATACCAAGCTTCCTGTTCCGCCTTCGTTTTTCATCCTGCCATAAGCCAGCCATGCTTGGAACCAATCGTTCATCCGAAGTCATCGGTTTCAGAAGCTCGGTGAAATCATGGTGTATCGGCCTTTCCTTGATATCCAAACGATTCAAGATATCCTGCACCCGGACATCAACTTCGAGAGCGCAATTACTCTGCTTCGGGAGAGCCGTCTCTTCCGAGATAAAGTCCGGCTGGATCGATCGGTCATGCCAGCGATGGGACTGATTCGTAAGCTCAAGATAATCCGGAACTGGCGATCTGAACTTGGCCTTGCTACATTTCATATAGGTACAGCCGAACAAGCTGTAATCACACATCCATTGCGGGATATATTGTAAATGGCTTTCGTACGGTTGCAGAGGGCGCTTTAGTACAGCCCCTTGAAGCAATAAGTCGGCCAGTCTTGTCGTATATGTCGGGCTCAGTAAGTAGATCTTGAAGAAAAATCGATAACCAACATGGTAGCCATAGAAAGGGATCCCTTTCACCAAGGTGACATGGGCCACGAAAACAGATTTTTTGTCATTTGCGTTGCGCTGGTAGCTGGCTGCCAAGGCTTGATCGATTGAGACGTGTATATTCCGGATCGCAGACGCCACTAGCAATTGTTTAGCTAAAACGAACCGCACCCATTCATGAACTAGCTCAACGCACCTGAATCCGGGTCCAAACTACCATCATACTCGACGTAGAGGTAAGGGATTGCGCCATGTACATGAACGCATACCTTTTGGCCGGTTTCAGTCACCCCAAATATTCTTATAACTGGAACTCTCGGTTTGTACTGGTCTTTCGCAGATCCATCTTTATACTTGAAGGGAGGATCAAATTCTGACGAAAGTGCCTGATAATGGTCCAAGCAGTTGAGGCGCACTTGAAAGGGCTCCATTAGTTGCTATTAGGACAGCCGGGACTGCCATCGACATTTCGTGAAGAAATAAAGATTCCCTCATATCAAGAAGCGTGAGATGGGGTTTAATACCCCTAGTTGCCTTGCGATCTCACTTTTCTCTTTGCTGTGATCATGACGTGTAGTTGCCATCGAGGAATACGCGATCCGAGGCGCGGAAGAACGCCTGGTCACGTGATACAGACCCGGTCTAATCGTCGGTTGATCTTCATGAGCCTGGACCTCCGAGCGCCAAAGGTTTGACTTCCACAACAGCGCAGGCCGTTGGCAAACAGCATCAATCTCGGAAGAGCCCGTCAAAAGATCCTTCACCCAAGCTTCATTGCGACCGAGGTAGTCGCATCCTTGCCCGCATAATGTCGCGAAAACCTGCCGATGTGGCGTCGAAGGAGCGCAACGAGTACATCCCGTCCTTCATTTCCAAGAAGCCCTTCTACATCGACGACGATGACTCCGCGAACGATTATCTCGAGCATCAACGTCTGAATAAATCGACAACCGATCAGTCGAAATGGTACGAACGTGGAAAGCGCGTCGGCCCTGCTGCCACCAAGTACCGGAAAGGCGCGTGCGAAAATTGTGGCGCCATGACACATAAAACCAAAGAATGCTTAAGTCGACCGCGAAAGCAAGGCGCCAAGTGGACGGGGAAAGATATTCAGGCCGACGAGGTGATACAAGATGTGAACATGGGATGGGACGCAAAGAGAGACCGGTGGAATGGCTACGATCCCAGCGAGTATCGCCAGGTCGTTGAAGACTATGAGGAATGGGAAAAGTTGAAAAAGGTTGCAAAGCGGGACGTCGAAGATGGGCAAAGGGCCATTACGGATGGCGACCCAGACGGTGAAGACGCAACGCAGGAAGAAGCTCGATACGCCGAGGAATCCGACATGGGAAGGCAACAGAGTACAGCGACTCGCAACCTACGTATTCGGGAAGATACTGCCAAATATTTGCTCAACCTCGACCTCGACTCCGCGAAATACGACCCTAAGACACGTCGGATGGTTGACATGGGAGCTCAGGATGACCAAGCAGCTGCTCTCGTTGCTGAGGAAAATTTCGTTCGCGCGTCCGGCGATGCAGCCGAATTTGAGAAAGCCCAGAAGTATGCCTGGGAGGCTCAAGAGACTGGCGCGCAGAAAATCCATCTACAAGCAAACCCGACGTCCGGAGAGATATTGCGAAAACAGGAGAAAACCCAAAGCGAAGACAAGCGACAGAGTCAGCGAAAAGCGCTGTTGGAGAAATATGGTGGACAGGAGCATTTGCAACCAACGCCATTGCGCGATACTATGGTCGTTGAAAACGAACGGTTCGTTGAATATGACGAAACGGGAGCTATCAAAGGAGCGCCTAAGAAGGCGGCCAAGTCCAAGTATGCGGAGGATATCTTCCCTAATAATCACACCTCGGTCTGGGGAAGTTGGTGGCATAACTTTGAATGGGGTTACTCCTGCTGTTTCTCCACCGTTAAGAACAGCTACTGCACTGGTGAAGATGGAAAGAAAGCCTTTGAAGAGGCAGATAAGATGTTGATGCTGGAGGAAGTCGACGGGGGGAATGAAGACCCAGCTACTGAAGCTGCCGAGGCCGACGATGTTCCTCAGTCTCACAGCCCAGAACGAGCTGAGCAGGAGACCAAGCCTAGCTCGAAGAAGAGAACGTTGATGGAAGTACAGTCTGGCATCACGGAAGAGGAGCTGGAATCATACAAGAAGAGTCGTCTTGATGCGGACGATCCCATGGCTGCGTTCATAGGGAAAGACACGGTGGAGTAGTAGTGGTCAGGCTTTCTATCATTTCATCTAATTTCATTGCCCTATCTAGATATGGAGCGTTAGGTGTTATTAAATACCCCAAAATGTACATATACTTTGATATTTCAATTGGTGTTGTTAACCGCGCTGAGCAGGGACATCTCTTGGTTGTCATAAAAAGCTTACCCTTACTACTGCACGGAGTTGCGTGAACCACGAATTGTCAAGTACTACTAGACTCAACTCTGAGGTGAAAACGAAGCCCAAGGCGAAAGGGGCCTAGTGCAATCGGGTGAGTGGGGCGTTAAAGTCATGTGATTTGTAGCCCTTTGAGGTCCCGTGACTTGTCACGAGACAGGGCACAAGCCCTCGCTGGATACCACACTCGCTTAGCGACAGGCCCGTCCGAACTCAGCGCGCAACTTCCGATACGCCTAGCGACGACGACAACGACAACCAGCCCTTCAACGGAATCGCCAGGTATGCTGCTACTCCACACGATCATTTAATGCGCGTCGATTTACCAGGGGGAATTTTTCGCTGACAATTTTTGTTGTTCGTCCTTGCAGTTCCATAATTCAAGATGAGTATGTGCAAATTCGAGATCCCACCGAGCGACATTTGCCTCGCCTTCGAGAAAGCATTTCGAGACTGACTCCGACAACAGCGAAGGGTACCTCCAGCTTTGGCAAGCGCCACAACAAAACCCACACTCTCTGCCGCCGTTGTGGTCAGTATTTTCCACCATTCCGAAATGAAATACATCACCGGACCGAATAAAAACTTTTGACGGATGTCTATACGGGATATCAGGATGAAGTCCGGAGGATATGGATGGACAATCAGATGGGCTAACCGATGGTGATATTTGCGAAATATAGGCCAGCGCTCCTTCCACATCCAGAAGTCGACCTGTGCCAACTGTGGTTATCCCTCGGCTAAGACCCGCAAGTGTACGAACTCCCCCGACATCCATACCGTGTTGTGTTCTTGTGCTTGATCGATGATGGGGATCATATCGGCCCCGCTTGGAATTGGGATTGAAGCTTACGATTCTTTGTTGAATACAGACAACTGGGGCGAGAAGGCCAAGCGCAGAAAGACCACCGGCTCCGGCAGAATGAGCCACCTCCGCGACGTCCAGCGCCGCTTCAAGAACGGCTTCCAGACCGGCACCCCCAAGGCCGCCCGCGGTCCCCAGAGCCAGTAAATTAATCTCGACGGCGCATCTTGTTTGATCTCGGAGGCTGGAAGAGGGCTGGTATGACAAGGCTCGGCATTCAAAGTGCTGAGCGAAAAAAAGACGCTTTCCCGTGGAGTCGGTGTTGGGACGAGTCTTGTCTTTTGTCGTCATAGCGTGTTTGTCCTAGAATAACGACGGCAAAGGGAAGGCGGAAAATTTGTGGGTTTTGAAAGGGAAAGCAGGCATGAATTTCCTTTCTTGTTTATGGCTGGCGAATATCCCATGTCCTGGCAGATACATTTTTGAAATGCTCCAATGTGATCTGTCTACCTGAATACACCCGTTCTCCGAGATATCTTCTCTCCGCGCTCTACTAGCAAACAGTTCCGCAACCCGAGCTCAAGACATTTTGCGACAAATCTTTTGGTTTTGACATTATCACAGGGTCGCGTCTATTTACGGTCTGCCTCTCAACACCAGGTCAAATGCAACGGACACGGAATCCATTGTAGCCCGCATGTTCTATAAAATCTATTCGCCTCTCCCGAAGACGTTAACACCACCATCTCGCTGAACGAAATACAACACTTCTCTCTCCTCCCAATGGCTTTGAGTGCTGTCCTCGTCCCGACCCCAAGCACCACCTTTGCTAACTCTCAGCACACCACTGACGTCTCTCGCCACACCCGTTTCCAAAACTCGAAGTTGCATCACCATATGTGCCCTGTGAGCCGAGCCTATCACGAACGCAGAATGCTCCGTTTCCAAGGGTGTGGCCGGCTCATAGTTAGCGGCAGATGCGTTATGTATTAGCGGGGAATCGGCGGAAACTGCCATAACAGTCGCATGGACGCCCTACACAAGCCATCGAGTTAGCGGGTTAACCCAATCGTAGACTTCGGCATGGGGCACACGGCAAGAAATCGACAGCTATACGCACCTGTTGTATATTCATTATCCAATCACCCATCTCGGTGGCACCTATCCCTCGGCCGGGTCCCGTCGCGGCCAGCAACAGATCGGGCTGATCAACGATCAGTAGAACCTCTGATTCTTCGCCATTCCCAGCTGCCTCCGCTTGTAGTTGTTTGACCACGGCCGTGATTTCCCTTTCCAGGGAACTGAGAGCCGTTGTGCCATTTCCCGAGAGATGTAGCCGTTTTACAGGGCCAACTTCTTTCGACGTAGGCGTGGCATTGCTGTTGGGCGCTGGTGCGGGTGGTCGCGACACCGGCTGCGGGCCCCGCGCTGGAATGGGGCCAGGTTGCGACCGGACGGGGAGGACTGTTCGAGAGGGGGCAGCACCGGGGAAATGCGAGGGTGTAGAATGGGACGGCGTGGTCACAGGGGGGTTGAAAAGCTCGGAGAGTCCGTCGACGAAGGCGAATTGGCGTTTGTCTGTGAGGCGCGCAAGGTCCAAGCCCTGGATATGTCAGGTCGCGATTCTGCAATTGAAGCAGGAAATGAAATGGAGAATAATAGAATAAACAAGAAAGAAAAAGAGAAGAAACTTAAGCATAGAAAAGCACAGAAATGGTCCCAACAATGATTCTTGCGAAAATACTCACCAGTCGCTTTGCCTCCGATCGCCAAAATTCCCAACCCTGCAGGAAACTCACGAGCACAACTTTTCTCTTCTTCCCATCTTCAGCACCCTGCAGTCCGAATGCCGCTTCAGGATTGGACGATGTACCCAGCGCCGCATACAGGTATCGCAGCACGAGCCAATTCCCCGTGGCGCCTAGTACGGAAGAGAGGACGGTGAGGGACGATTGTGGGAGGGACGAAACGTAAGGCGCGAGCAGGTGCGGAAGTGGCGGTTGGGTGGGCATTGTGGGAAATGAGCGGCGGGGAGGCGTCGAAGCCGGTTCAGGCTTCTTCAGGGAGGAAGGATGGACCGAGATCGAATGCGACCGAGGGACGATGCTGCTGTGGTCTGTTTGGGGTACAGGACTTGATAATAATAATAATGAGAAATGACGTTGTATAGAAAAAAAGTTCTGCCCGTCCCGCCGTGCCAAGACTTGAGACGCCTTCGGGGTATAACTTAATTTAATTTGGATAACTACTTCTTCACAACTATCTCTCTTGCTCTTTCTTCTCTTCGTATAGCAATTGAGATTACGTTGGGAATGATTCGAGGTCTTTTGCAATGTCGTTTTCTATTTGCACTCTCGTTCAGTTCATTGCCTTAAAGAATTGCCCAATACTGTGGGGTACATACAGTCGGCCCATCTAATATATATATTGAGAATTGCTCTTTATTTGACATTTTCTGATAACGCACATTGATCATACCTCAATAGGCAGTCCTCGGAGACAACAGAGCTATCAGATTTAGACAGGTCAAATCGGGGTTAGATAGATGCTAATGCTAGTATACTACTGGATAAAGGTCACTACATACAGATGATGCATTCTGGAACGTGAGCATGCCCAAAGTACCTGGGACATGCTTGAGAACATAATGACCGACCCTCCAACCTAGGGAGGCATTGACCTCGACATGCACAGCCCTCAGGCCGCAGCAGCGACACCAACAGCGAGACGAGGGCCCAATCAGCCGGGCGAGTCGAGCCATCCGCCGTGGATTCCTGAAAATTCAGGACGGTAGTCACCTGACCACCCCCTCCGCCCCACCGCCGGCGGGCAATCAAACATCGCAACTTCTTCCATGCGGAAGGCTTCATCCGATCCATTCCACATACATCCCTCCTTCTCTGTCTCGCAATGGGTCCGGGGGTCTAGGTCGGTCCCGGATGTCTCGTCTCGCCCTCTTCCCTTAAGGACCTGGGTTATTGAATCTCTTCTACGCCGATCGTGAGTTGGCCCCATGTCCTCTCTGCTGGCTGTTCCCGAATCTTTTTTTTCTTCCCTCAAGTACCCCACAATTGAAAAGATCTACTATCAATCTACTTTTCCAACTATCTATACATTGCACTTTATGGTTTCAGTCTCTCTGTCTTTTATCTTGGGACCCTCTCTCTGTATCCCTATCTGTTTTCTCTCATCCCCAAACCTTCTTATAGATTGAATTCAAATGCGCGCCCAAATGGCCTTGTACTTCTGCGTCTATCCTTTTTTGATATGCATATGCTCTTTCCATACAAGCTCGCTTGTTCGCGTTTAATGCTATTCGGGATCAGGGCAATAATCGCATAGTGCTGACAACCTAATGCAGATGACACCGGGCTTGTGTAACTGTCAAGGGTACAAGAAACAAAAAAACTAATCGTTCCGGTCGAAAATGGCCAGCACTCGGGATTCACACTCCTACGCCGTGAGTTGCCTTTCCTAACAGCCTTCGAGGACTGGGGGCAGGTAGCTAATTGGTTGCAGTGCGATGAATGTCGTTTGCGAAAATCCAAGGTGAGATAGAAGCATCGCAGCTAATGCGATCGACTAAGCGAGCACGTTATTAACTCTCCTTGCAGTGTTCGAAGGAGAAGCCAGTCTGCGCTCAATGCAAGCAGTTGAACAAGGAGTGCAAGTATAGTCCGAAGATAACCAGGAGTCCTCTGACGCGACAGTAAGTATCTCGTCTCTCATAACCCTTTTCCTTGTTGAATGGTTGCGAGATAAAAAAGGGCGAATCATCTTCTTTCTGATGCTTTCTTGCGGCCCGCTGTTGGGATTGCCCGAGTTACATCAGAGCTGGACTGACCTTCAATCCAGACACCTAACTTACGTTGAAGACCGTTTGTATGCTTTCGAAACAGCCCTAGGAAGGCTGTTTCCAGGAGGTGACCTGGATGCAACGGTTCGTTCTCTACTACACGACCAAGATGGCCCGAAACCTGGGTCATCTTCCAAGTCTTCCTCTAGACATTCCACTCCCGCTAAAACTGAGGCGGATCGCACCGAACCAGCTCCGGAGGCCCTGCCGCAGAAGGCCGATGGCTTTGATTGGACTGAAAACAAAATCACGGTGGGCGATTTGACGGATGGCATGGCCTCCCTGTCTATCAAGCCCGAAGGAACAGGCTACTTCGGTTTGTGTAACTCCTCGCTTGTCATTGGCCTTAACTAATCGCCCAAACCCAGGTGCATCCTCCAGTGTCGTCCCACTTCGTGCGTTGCTGAAGCATGGTTTCGACCTGAATTTCCCTGCCGGCCCATCAAGGTCACAAATTGGTCCGCCTCTGAAGTCACAACTTCTGAACACCGCACCTTCGGGTGTTGTCGAGCAGGCTTTCATAGATGCATTCTTTCTCAATTACCACTCCAGTTACCCCTTCGTCCATGAAGCTACATTTAGAGCGCAGTTCTACGAGCAGGCTCCTCGCCGCCATGGCCAGGTGTGGCAGATTCTCTTGAACACAATTTTGGCTCTTGGGGCATGGAGCATTGGCGATGATAATTCGGATTTGGATATTACATTCTACCAGGAGGCCAGAAGTCACCTACAGCAGGTGTCGGTGTTTGAAACCGGCAATCTCACCCTCGTCCAAGCCCTACTCCTTCTGAGCAACTATGCGCAGAAGAGAAATAAGCCCAACACGGGCTGGAACTTTCTAGGCTTGGCGGTGAGGATGGCGATGAGTCTTGGTCTTCATAAAGAGTTCCATGGATGGAAAATCAGCCTTCTCCAGCGAGAGATTCGAAGAAGATTGTGGTGGGGAGTATTCATGTTCGACAGTGGTGCTGCGAAGACGTTTGGTCGGCCTATCTTGCTACCTGAGGACCGAGTCATGGATGCGAAGCATGTTATGAATATCCACGATGAGGTGATAACATCTGACCCCATACAGCTTATCATGGCAATCATCAACTGACCTCAACGACTAGGCTCTCACCTCGACGACAACAACCTTGCCCACAGAATTCAACGGACCCACACTCTATTCCGGCATGATTGCGCAGACCAGATTCCATCTACTCACAAACAGTGTCTACCAGCGCCTCATTTCTAGTCCAAGCTTGACACCAGAAGAAACCTTGAATCTCCAAAAACCGATGGAAGAGTGGTACAACGGTCTTCCGCATTATTTCAAACAACCTCCCCCGCTATCAGAATCAGACCCCTTTGCTTTAGTTCGCAACCGACTTTTGTGGAGAGATTGGAACCTACGGATTCTGGTCTACAGGCCAATCTTGCTTCGCTGGGCGTCAAGAAGATGGACTCCTAACGCATCGACCGACTATGAGGAGGATCCTCTAGAGGGAGACTGCCGAAAGCTTTGTCTTCGGAATGCACGGCTGACTATCTCTTCCATCACGGATTTTGTTAACAAACATATCTGCACTAGAATCGGTGCATGGTATATGCTGTATGTTTACCCATGCAGAAATTATTTAAACTAAGCTAACATTACCGTTCTTTTAGATATTTCCTTTTCCAGGCTGGAATCATCCCTATCATTCTGCTCATGACGGACCCCACCAGCGCAGAGGCCCCGGCTTGGCTCCAGGATATTGAGGCGACAAAGAGTCTCTTAATGAATCCGTCCCTCAGTAACCACCGTCTTGCCACTCGCTATCTAGAAGTTGTGAACCGGCTCTGTTCCCCGGCATATACTGCTTCCGTCGCCAACGGGTCCACGCAACAACCGCCGATCCTGATGCAATTTTCTGACCAGCTATTCAACGACCCTACCATGGGCTACATGTTCCCGGACGTCGACCAAGAATTGAATCTCGGAGGCATGGATTTCTCCGATTGGGTCAACTTCGCGCCACAGGGGGATTTCGCCTGATCATATAGATGGTCTTTCACAATACGGTAGCAATTTGGAAAGCCCAAGAGCAACAAATAACGAGGCTCAGGTCTGGGTTTTGAAGTAATATGGGTTTCTCATTGGTCTAGAAGAGGGAGCAAGATAACTTCTCCCCTTCAGTCTATTATTCTCCGTCGGAGCGTACTCGTCTGGTCTGGTCTCGCCTTCTCTTGGGAATGTCAAACCAGGTCATGGTACTACATTTCCTGCGAATTAGCGTGCCTCAAAGAACGTGTTCTTCCTCCCGTGCGAACGGTTTCGCTAGGGTATCTATATCATCAGTCTGTGCTTGAGTCCCGCGGAGCTCAGCCTCGATTTGCACAATGCGCAACTTCTCCTCATGGGCTGCGGTATCTCCGAAAATAAGGTCCATGTCTTCGAGGGTCTGATTCAAAGGATCGGGGTCGTCAGCGTCAGAAAAACAAACATACTATAACCATCGTCCCATTTGGCGATCTTCCGAGGAAGCAGGACGGATGGAAACGGAAACGGGAACTGAACGAGCGAAATGAACTGACTGACCTTTCCTCTCGTCTCCGGAATAAAGAAGAACGTGAACCCCAACGCGATGAGACAAAATGCCGCAAAGAAAATATACGTGCCCCAGGTGATCGAGTCGAGCATGTCCGGGGTAATCAGGCCGATGATGCTAGAATTGGAGAACGGGGGGAAGAGTTTTTGGGTTAGCAAAACCAGATATGACATGACATGAAGTAATGTGGCGATCAGATAGGATAATTCAAGAGATTCATCCTAGTTCACTAGGTTTGGGGTTGGTTGAGATCAATGCATATATACATGCGAAATGGGTAAAGGTGAAGCAGGGACATAGAGAAAGAGGATAGAACTCACAAATTGCACATCCACGTCGCCGACGTAGTTATTGAGATCGCCTTGGACCGAATGGAAAGATTGAATATCTCCGAAGGAAGGACCCATCCGATGGGTGCTACATTACAAGAATGCACCATCACGTTAGCAAACAAGTCGGTCACATAAAGCCAGCCAACACAACTCAACCGACCAAACAAAGGGACCTTGAGAAAAGGTAACTCACCAAACGAATACGAAAAATTCACATCATAAATATAAATAAACGCGATGCCTGCCCAACCGGCCGATTTATGATGCACGAGGTCAGCGCCGTACGCGCCAATGATAGCGCCCACGATCACGAGCGAGACGCAGGTGCCGAGAGCGCCGGACATGAGGAGGACGCGGCGGCCGATCTTGTCGATTAGGAAGAGGGCGGGGAGCGTGCTGAGGCAGTTGACGATGCCGTAGACGCCGGTGGCGAGGAGGGAGGTCTATTGGTTTTTTTGTTCTTGGGTTAGGATGGGGTTTGGTTGGTATTTAGCTTGGGATGGGGTGGATTGGGATTGGGATTGGGATGGGTAGGTGCGTACAGTGTTACCGTCGAGACCTAGTTGTGCGAAGATTGTGGGCGCGTAGTATATCATTGCTGGATGGGTGGGTTAGCTTTCTCTCTGTCTGTCTTTATTAAGAGGAAAGGGAAGGACAAATACCATTACAACCCATAAATTGCTGGAAGAACATGACACAACATCCAATAGCCAACCGCTTGAAGCGGGCCCATGTAGTCAGAAAGGACATATACTAGAAGAAGTACCTCAATCAGCAGAGGTCAACCGGATGGAGTGCATCCAAAACCAACCTGAGCAGCATCCAGCTTCGCTCCCGACAAGCCCGGAAAACGTTCCCTCGCAAACGTATTCTCCAACATGATCGAAGCCTTAATTTCAAGGTACTCGTTGACAAGGTCCGGGCTGTCCTTGACTCGTCTTCGGAGTTTGGAGAGCGCGTCGAGAGCATCCTCGTCCCGCTCATTCATCAGTAACCAGCGGGGCGAGTCGGGGAAGAAGATCATGCCTAGGCCGAGGACGATGGCGGGGAGGATCTGGATGGCCAGAGGGAGTCTCCACGAGGCTTCGGATTGGCCGTCGCAGCCTCCGGGAGGGACATCGTGGTAGGGGTCGAATGTGCGGGAAGCTTTGTCCTGGCCGCCGCTGTAGGGAATGTCTGGAGCGCAGCGCGTGCCTCCGATGTAGTTTGTGCCGTAGTCAATCCAGTAACTTACGAGGATGCCGATCGTTATGGACACTATTCGTAGGCTGTCAGGAAGGGTCATGTATGTATTGTACCCATGTAGGATGGAACCGAGGGGCCTTACACTGTTGCAATACCACTAATCCACCTCGAATATCGGGGATAGACACCTGTACTTCGTAAGCATCCAGATCGACAATCAAGGTCCGTAGACACGTACCTCGGATATGTACAGTGGTACGACCATGGTCAATTGACCAACAGCTAATCCCGCTATGGCCCGACCTGTCAAAACCTCTAATCAGTACTACCCTTTGCCATATGTGCATCACCTGCAGATCACCAGAACATACCGACAAAGAGCATAGGGATATTCGCAGCAGCGCACTGAATCGCCGACCCTACGACGAAAACCACCACGGCCACATTAATCGACAACTTCCGCCCCAACCGGTCCGCAATCGGGCCATTGATCAACGACCCAAACCACGCAGCTACAATACATCAGCATCATGCCATCACAACGCAAGGAGGGTGCTCGCAATCCACAGAGAGAAGAAAGTAAAGAAGTAAAAAAAAAAAGCCACGTAACACACACCCAGCAGTAGAGTCGACACAAACCACCCCTTGAATCCAGTATCCGAGTAAACCCGGGGGAATCGCGCAGCGAATGATTCCATAGTGATCACGCCCGACACGACCCCCTGATCGTACCCGAAGAGTAAGCCACCCAGGGTCGAGAACTGCAAGCGATCGGGGCCACGGTTAGATGGGAATCCGTCATCGTGCAGAGTGTGTAATGCGACCTTGCGGCAGGGAGAGAGAAAGGAAATCCCAGCCAGGCAACTGGACAGGGAGCGAGGTATGTGACTAGCGGAGAGAGAGAGAGAATAAACTCACCGAGGCAACCCCGAGGAGATACGGGTTTTGGCGGACGAGCGCAAAGCCAGCGTTGGTGTTCACGAATGACTCCGACGCCATTGCGTTGTTGTACGCTCTGCAGTGCCGATGGAGCGGGTTGATTCGAGCGATGGAGAGAGATCGAGTCACGCTCTATTTGCAGGCTCTTTCTTTCTTTTCTTGATATCTTCCGTGCTCAACGTTGATCAACCCCTCACGCTGAAGATGAGGTCCATCACACAGCAATCCTCCGTCTTCGCAGGTCTAGCCGTCGTCTATGATCTGGGAGTATAGGTATAGCGCGCGAGAGGGTCCGTTGTACGATAGGCTTCCACTCGCAAAGCCCGTTACCGCCAACCCGAGGAGAGACCAGAATCGCAATCAAGGGCATCTCAGAGCCAAGGGAGGTAGGTGGGTATCACGAGATGCCAAAATGCGGGGAGAGGAAGCCTGAAGGCGGGGGAAATCCGACCCGCTGATCATCAACCTCCTCCCGGTCAAGACTCAGGATGGCTTGCAAGATTCACACGGTGCGCATCGTGGGACAAATGAGATCATCGACACATTGAGCAGAGATGACATCGAAAATGGGAAGTGCATTTCCGAGAGCGACGCCAGATGGAAGCAAGGAGAGGGCAATCTTCAAGGAAATCGGAGTACATCGGGCTTCGGCATACTTGCCCGTCGGCGTCCAGAAGTGGATGAGATAAGCAGCTGCAGTCACATGATTCTGCCAAGACGCAATTGAGCGAAACAGGATGCATTGGCCAATCACAGACTGTCAAAATGAGTCATTCTCACTCATAATTACTAGCGTCTGCGCCATCTGTATGCAGCATGTATGCGTCATGTATACAGTATGATACCGATTGGATACCTACACTATATCTGGGACTTGAAGATACGATAACGGATTGCATAGACAGAAAGTCCTGGACGGTGGTGCTTGTATATGTAGGCTGTGTCCCATAGACCTTTCTAGAGCTATTGTGAATACTAGCCCTTATGATGAAGTGCCTAGGTATCTTATCAAGAAGGTACGGTAGTATTGCTGCGAAATACGCTCCGACTGGTGGGACCGCAAGGGTCTATCCGCGGCTTAGTCTATCTCCACTTACATTCTCCATGTCCTCCTTAGCCTCCTTTACCGTTGACCATGCAAGCGCAGTGCTTTCCTTGCCTCAGGTTGAACTACGACTACTCTACGATGACACGCCGGCCCTTGCAGCCTGTACAGATTGCTGGCCAGGCCCCGACCGCAGAAATCTCGTTAAACCCAATTTCCATTCACATGCCGAACTAATTGACTAGGAGCAGAATCTACTTCCTTCCTCTCCCGACAAGACTTCGAAGAGCATCCGTCTCGCCCTCCAGCTTGGAGACGCGCATTTTCAACGCATCCCGCTCCTCCTTGACCTTCTTGAGCTCGGCCTCCAACTGATTCACCTGGTCGACACGTCTTTGGCGATAACGGCGCGCCGCCATCGTGTTCAATTGGCGCTTTTCAATGCGCGAAACCGCGGGCTTGGACCGAGTCACACCTGCATCACTCGGCGTGGACGAGTTGGGGGACGAGGAAGTCGAGGCTGGAAGGGACATGGGAGGTGGTTGGGATTGAGAGCCTAGACAAGATTAGACCAATGGGTTCTATAGTTCGGTTGTCAAAGGAGCCGGCGCACCTTCAGAGTATGTCAAGGGAGGCTCGTGCGAGGGGAAAAGGTCGTTCGGAACATCCAATTCCGGGAAAGAAAGCTCATTCTGCAAGGGACTAGGCTGTGCTTCAACGGCAGGTGTGTAGGGTGCTGGGTAGAACGGAGTTGGAATAGCAGGCAGTGGCTGATATGGACCGTCAATTACCGGGGCCCATGTGTCGAAGGATTCGAGGCCGGCGAAATCATCACCGGGTAGATTGAAAGGCGAATCCGAGGGAAAGGATTGCGGGACATAAGAATTGAAAAGATTGTCGGAGAAAGAAGGGTCGGAGAAGGAGGGATTTTGATCATAAGGTTCTTTTTGCAGGTCGGCACTACCATTGAGCTGCCAGGAAGGCGACGGCCTTGACCTGCTGTTTGGCTGCCACGACTGTTGTAGCGGCTGCCGGCATGATTGTATGTCGCGGTCGGGCCTGAAAAAGGCCCGGAGCGCTCTTAGACGATTTGAAGAAAAGAAAGCAACGAGGCCAAAGAACAGGCCAAAAGAGTGTGATGATAGAAGGAGAAAAGAAGAGAAGACGCCCAGCAGCGGGGGGAAATTTAAACCTCGTTCGAGGCGGCTTAATCAGCACGCCGTCGGTCGGGCTGAGTTTAGCGCAAACTCAATCCGCCGAACGGACGGCGTACGGTAAGGTATTCGCTCCGGTATTACAGTCCAAGGTAGGTAGGTAGTTATACATCCCCGTGTTCTACAGATCGCTAGTGGACCACAGGCTCTTGGCATAGTCTCTGGATAATATATAATTATGGAATTTCCAAATCAACTGTTTCCTGATTTCCTCTCGGTTCAAATTGGTTGGCACCACCTGAACGGAACGTAAGGATGGGATTCTCGCTCACAACATGCAACGCACAACGCAAACGCTAAACAACAGACACTTAGGCAATGGCCGGCCAAGAAGCTAAGTTGAAACGGAAGCCAGAAGGGAACAAACAGAAGAAGACCAATCAATCAATCAGTAATAGTCTCGGTTGCACCTATTCTTGATTAACAAATAAACGAGAAAACACCCATAAAAGCCTTCCCGGAGTAAAGAATGCTGGTCCGATCCCGCTGGAATCCCCGAAAAAATAGACATGGTTTCAACGATTATGAAAGGAGACTGAATAAGAGCCAAGCTTCAGGTTCTCACTGTTTTCGGTCGGCTAGAATCCAGCAGCAGTTGCCTGTTATCTGCGGGACTCGTTAGGCTCATAGTGGATCGGTTCGAAGTCCTGGTTTTGGAAGTGGGCCTGGTTGTATGGAGAGCTATCAGAGTGAACCCATTGTTAGTAAAAGAGCTGTGGCCATTGAGGTGGATTGGGAAAAACCCACTTCTTAAACGGTGTGGTAACTGGAAGTGAGTGGCTCAAATTGGGCTTCATCACCAAGGGATTCAAGCGAATTTGGGGCCCGTCTGACGAGCGACTGGGCAAGGAAGTCATCGGCGGTGGCGCCGGCGGTGCCGACATGGAGGGGGGCGGCGGAGAGGCCACGGGTGCGGGTGATGGGGTCTGCAACGGGGGTGGATAAATCTCTGGGGCAGAAGAGACCGGGTATGGGCTTGGAGGAGCGGCGGGGATTGGCGAAGGCGCGAGTGCGAACGTGGGATCCATCATCAGGTTGGGAATTGACATTAAACTGGAGTTAACATCGAAGGAGAGAGCGCTTTGGTCCCAAGGCGAGTAGTTCGAGGTCATGGCATATTGAAAATTGACCACCGGTTCTAGGTTCACAGTGGGCTCGGCCTGGTAGAGAAGGTCATAGTGACCCCTGGAATGTCCTGGTTAGCAGATATAGCGACATGTCGGTGATCGCAACTTACGGGCGGTATAGCAATCGGATCGTTCCAGCAACGGGCCGATTCGGCGTCAAGAGGTGAGGCGTGACCACGTCGCCTTCGCTGCGGTCAAGATACAGGATTTCTACTGCGAAATCGGATCCCTCGATTACCCCGTCGACCAAAGCTTGAAGGCCAACTTCATCAATCTCAGTTCTAACAGTCTCTATCCGCGTTCCGCAGTACTGGTCAATGGGCAAGGACAGAAATGCTTGGTACCGATGAGGGTTGAGTTTCATCCAAGCACTTGTTAGAAGCTGTAGTTTTGGAGCAAATCCAACGTCGTCAGTGAGAAAAAAAATTATAATGAGGGCACAACTCGGTGTTGGAAGGGCACTGACTCTGAAATGGGTGATGATGGCGCTCGAGTTGTATTCCGAGTTGAACGCGTCCACCAAAAATGAATCATCGCGGATCCCATTCTGGATTGCTTCGGTGATTTGCGAAAATACCTGCTCCGTCTCATCCACGAATATCTCATACAGATGCTCCTGCTGGCCAACTTGATCTAAAAGGACATTCAACGACTTGATCCGGAGCAATTCACGCTGAACTTGAAGAGTGTTCCTAAGATTGAAGAGGTTCTCGAAATATCCGAACGCAACCGCTGCATAGAGTCAATAAGAGTTACAGGTAGAAATGCGAAGAATAGTCTACCTCTCCATCCACAATTCCCATCACCTTTCATGATACGAGAAAAAGGGTGCGTCGCAGCCAGTGCCTGTTGGCATGTCGTTAGAATGGAGCCCCGAGAGAATTGGGAGAGAAAACCGACGTACGCTAGTCTTTGTTGCGAAGGTAGGATCAGCATTTGCATACTCCATTGCAATCGCGCTGCTCGACTGCTTGGCCGACACAAGTGGGCCCTGGTTTGCGATACAAAATCTCGAGGTTAGTCCGGGGTCCGGCGTCGAGCGCGTCGGCTGTTGGAGACGCTCACCTGAACATCCGGCTCGAACTCGTTGGACAGTTTTTGGAACCGTTCCATTTCATCGGTAGATAGCGGATTCATATTGGAAGAATTCAGGTGATTGGGATGGAAAGTGTTTGGCAAAGGGGAGAATTCGTGAGCAAGAAAAGCGGGAGGGTTTAAATGTTGCGGATAAAATCCCGTGCTCGAGTCCTGTCTGGTTGGAAGATGGAGATGGTTCCAAGAAATATCAAGCAGGGACATCGCATTAAAAGGTGTCGTTAGTGGAGCCGCAGTGGCCGTCGACTGGGGTGTTCACGGAAAGCTTTATGACGCCTTTGTCAAACGTCAGTCGGTGCACCTCTCTTCACATCAACAAGGCATTCAATCTTAGATCCATAGAACGCACAAGGCAAGCCAGCATTCTCCACGTAAGAAACTCCCCTTCTCTGGCTGTGACTGACCCTCTTCGGAAGAGTTGGACCAGCTCAACGGTTCTTCAGTGACGCAAGAGACCTACTCAACCCACATACTTAGCATACGCCATCTCTCTAGACAAGAAAAATCAAGGCAGCAGAACGGGTCCAGTGCGCAAGGTGCAATATCAGACTAAGTCGCCAATCATAAAACAAGGGCAAAGTCACAGAGGGGGTTATCTCCGACGACAAGTGACACTCGATGAGGAACGCGTGTAACAAGAACGTGGATGGGCAAATGGTAGAGACGACAGAAACCAACGGAACAAATCGACAGGTTTTCCGAGGCAGTGCGTCGAAGCAAGGGCTATCCATACAGCTTGAATATAACTTGATTGCCAACCCAAATCGCATCTCTTTGCCACTGCATGTGATCTGCAGATGAACTAGGATGGAGTTGCGGAAGGAACCGCGGAAGCGGAATGGCAGCGGCGAGAGTGAGAGTAGCCTGGAATGGCTTCCATTTGACCCCCTTACAAGAATCACAAGGATGACGGGGGAGGGATTGATCTGCTCTCTGAAGAGAGAAGGGTCTGGAGGGGTATAATTGGAAGCTGACAAAGGTGTCTTCAACGCCTGCGCATGAAAAGAAGCTTCGGGGTCCAGTTCGGCATTTGAAAATGTGCTCTTGTGTGCCGCAAGAAGAGTTCCGAGCAAATCAGAAACCAGGGGAATGTGGAGTCCAAAAGAAGGAGGGGAGATGTTGAAATCATAGGTAGGCAAGGAGGGGATGGTGGCAGAGGGGGGTGTGAATAATTAATGGCTATATAGCCAGTATGGTCGGAGCGAAATCAAGATGAAGAGAGAGGGAAAAAAAAGAAAAAGGCGACAAAACACGGACCTAGTTTTTCTTGCACGGTTCTTTTACAGTTCGGGATGCATACATACAAGCTCACACGTGCCGTGGCGTATGCAATGAGTAATTAAGCCAGGGAGAGAGAGAATGGAGAGACGGAGATACTGTCGCCGGGGGTGTGTGGTTGTCGGAGGGTTAGTAGAAGCGGAGGCCCTCTAAGGATACCAAGAGGGACGGATAGAGGTCAAGGAAAGATCGATAAGAACGGAGCCAAATCCCCCCCGAACAGGGATTTGGAGAGAACCTAAGGAGAAAAGAGGTGGGATAGGACCGGCGTCGAACTGGGTTTTAAGGGAAATTAATATCCCGAACAGATTCGCGGGGAGAAGCTCCTTAAGGTTATTATTCCAACAGCCGGAGGACAGCGCGGGGTTTTGTTCGTTTACAACTGGGTTTACCAGTCAGTGGGCGGTTTAGTCGGTCCACGAACTGACTAGTTCACTCAGTTCCTACTAGCTAAGGTAGCTAGTAGTCAGCAGGATGAAGAACAAGGAAGACGTCGAGCGAGGGGAGGGTTAGGAACGACGGACGGAATTGAAATTGAGAGTGGGAATCAAGCTCTGCCCCAAGGGAAGGTGCTAATAATAAATGGTCCACCCTCAGTCCGGGCACGATGGAACAAAAAGAGGGAAGGAGACGAGAAACGGTGACGATGATAAGAAGTTGCAGTGGGAGAACCACATGAATGCCCGGGTGGGGAGGAACGGAATCAGAAAATCATTAATCAATCAAATCAAATTAAATAATGCTACAGAATCGAACGAAGGGGATGTAAATACAAAATTAAAAATTAATAGGAGAGCACAATGGAAAAGGAAGAACAGAGGAAAAATAAAATAAAAATAAAAATACCACAGTGAGGATATTGTGTAATACTAATAACTACCTACACTCCAAGGCGGCGGAACAGCCGGTTCAGCTTGGATGAAATAATTCAATGAATAATAATATTGAATTCTAAATTATAAAGCTGATTAGGAAATGACGATCCTCTGGCAGCTTTTTATTTTTATTTTTATTTTTTATTCATTATTTCCTTTCCCCCTTTGCTCCCATTGTTTTTTGCACGTCGAACGACAGTGAAAAGAGGTGAAAATTTCCATCTGGTCGGTAATGATCGGGTTCATCTGACCTCGATCTGGGATTGGAATTCATCGGTCACACCAAATACCGAGAGGGCCATTGATTGGTCGGCGGGCTGTCATTCGGTGATTGTCCTTCTCTATTTTGTAAATTCTTATTTAATTTATTGATTTTGATATTTCCATCATTTCTGTGATCTTTTCGAGGTATCGAACGGCAGGTGCTCAGATCGCAGGCATGTCTTTCTCAACTGTCACAGACGCAAGAGTCAAATCACCCTCTTCCCCTCTCCCCGAGGACCAGCTCCTGTCATCCATATCGACCTCTCTTCATTTTGAATGGGAGACAACAGCAACAAAAACGATAACAAGAGAAAACCATCTTGCGAAGAACAAGACATGGAACACACAAAAGAATGATAGAAAAAAAAAAGATGAAAAAAAAGATGAAGAAAAAGCAAACATGAGAAATCAGAACGCCCGATCTCGATGCAACCTATGACCCTGCGCCTCTCGATCCCCATGCACTTGAAAGCGGCCACATGTCCCGGCATGACAAACGCTTGGCCGGTGGAGCGACGCTAGCATGAAGGAGAGGGGCGACTAAAAGCTGTTGAGAACCTGAGATTGACTTGGTCACTACAGAACGGAGTACAGATTGACTACGAGCTAGCTAGACTAAGAAGAGAAGGAGCCGGACAGATGATGATCTCAGGTCTTACAAACGACGAGCTTCTTTTTGGTCCCCACGTCCCCCCCGATGGTCGCAAAAGATGGATGCCTGGGAGGTCTAAACCTGAAGGGTCCCTGCTACCAGCCGTCTTGCATGCAGCATACGAGTGCGGAGTAGAGGAAAAGGTCAAGGACAAACCCCTTCCCTCGACTTTCGAGTCAATCTTAGCTCGGAACCTATCTCTGCCGATCGAGATCAGACAGCAGCGACGGCATTTGATCGGCTCTACGGAGTACGTACCAGGTACCCAAAGGCACAGGACCTCTTGACTCTTCGACCCTGGAAAGGGAGAGCTGCTAACTAATCATTGTTTATTGTTAACTATAACGGTATAACCATCTCAGAAGTAACCAGATGGGTATGTACCACCAAGTGGGTGCATACTCGAGCTCATGCTGATCAGACCGACGAATCATCGACGGGTTCAACCCCGTCAGCAATATTAACGTTGAGTCTAACGATTCTGTAAGGCTTCCAATGATGAACAATCAGATTGGTCGATTCCGTATGGAAGTGCGAAGATCGAGGGTTGTCCAGGACGGTCAGTCAACCCGTTGATCCTACCGTATCGCCCGCCTCTACGGAGCATAACGTGCCGTAATAACACTCGCTCACCTCACTGTTCCTCACCGTGAACACCGGCCGCGAGGATCAGACCACCACCTCGCTCTGGCGGTCATCCTGGAAGCCAGCAGGGCTATTCGGCCGGTGCATCCCTCCGCGTTCTGGATGGCCAAAGCCCTTGACCGGCTCAGGTGGATTTCTAATCCATTTCGATTCGAGGTTAGGCCAAATGGAAGTCCAGGAAAATTCTCGATCCGGCGGCTAGGAGAGGGCTTGCATATGCTACCTCGGAAGCCACTCCGAGGCCGTATCCTCCCCTCCTGTCCCGCTGTGGTAGTTGCCTTCCCTTCGGTTGTCCCTTAGTGCCGTACTTTGTACTGTTTCCGTACCTGGATCCTGGGAATCGGTGGTTTTTCTTTTCTCGCTCTTGTTCTTTCTTCCTGTACTTCTTCTTTCTCAGCACTTGGGACGCCGCGGACTTTTTATGTCCTTCCCGTCCGTCATGCAAGGGAGGCCTCTTCCGATTCGCCTTCAGGGTCTCTTTTAATAGCATCGCGCATCCCGGTCGACTGGAACTGGACTCTGAGTCCTCATCTTGGGTTTGATGAGACTATTTTGGCCCTTGGCCAAGTTACGGAGTACATGGTGGCAGATTAATCCACGATAGAGGAAGGATTTTGCTGCGTGTGATCGCTTTACAGATAAAACGCACGCACGGTATTTCCCCCCACTTGACGTTTTTTCGCTTCTGGTTTTTTTCTTACTCTGATTTGATTGTATTCTGTCTCTCGTTTTTCTTTTTACGCCCTCTCCTTTTTCTTTTCTTGGTGCCTTGTGCTGCTGTGTACCCCTAACTTGCAGTCAATCGATATCTACTCCGTGCCGTTTTGTCATTCCAGCATGACCCTTGTTGGTGATTATCAAAACTACCATTTAGCATCAGGAACGCCATCACTCCACCGAGCATATCGGGCATTCATGTCGGAAAATCCTCGGACCTCTTTCCAAACCCTCAAATTCCCGATTACCCACCGAATGCCTGCCTGCTTTCGCAAATGCGTGCGACTGCCCAAGGACGAGCTTAGGTACCTAGGTCCCCGCGGCAGATAGGGTGGCCCGGTAGGTACCTAACGGAACACGTAATGATAGTGTCGATGGGGTCAAATCAACATCGACGCCGATTGCGCGATTCTCCTGGCTTTCTCCGAGCCGGTCTCTCTGTCTAGGACGTAAATGGCAATTATCACCTACAGGCGCGACTCCACCTGGACCGCCCGTCCGAACCGTACCGCACCTTATCCGTTATCGCGTCGACCGTCACGAGTACTCCGTACAACATCTGAACGACGTAATCCTCGCCATTGCGGTCGATGCCGCGAAGCGGACCGACGTGATCGTTAAACATCCAGTGGGGTGGGCCAAAATCGTCTGGAGAGTGGACTGGATGGCTCATGGGTAGACCCGGCCTACCGCATCCTTAGTTCCTCGTTCCCTTCGAGTAGATTGCTGGATGTAGGTAAGTGAAGTCCAAGTACCCTGCTTGTCGCTAATAACCAGGGGAGTTCGGAAATCATCCAAATTAAAAGCCAGCATGAAAAGAAAGACGGGGAGTGGGATGAAAGCAAAGAAATGCCCTCCAGCGGGGCGGACCAAGTCCATTCGATGACAGGCCGCCAATTGGCAAAAGTACTCCATTCTGACCGTCTCTTGGCGGGCCGTCTTGTTGCAGTCTTTGCAGGCCCTGAAACTGTCCTTCCCACTTCCCACTTCCCACCGACCGACTGTCACCGACTTATCGCGTTACTCACTGGCTGGCTAAATGCGGTGGGTGCCGTGCTTCTTCTGCATTGTCCGCTGCACGGGACAGTCTGCTCGTTGGCGAGGCAGTTAGTCCAAATTTCAATTTTCCCCTTTTCCCTCTTTTTTTTTTTTCTTTCAGAACAAATCCACTTTTATAATAATTTCAACGAGAGGGGAAAGGAAGGGAACCGGGGATTGTGGGCAGTTGGATCCGGCCTATCGATCATACCGACAGAAACTCACTAGGCATGGGTTCTCCGGTGGACACCCGGTGATCCTGGCGAACTTAGTGCCCTCGAGGAGGGGACGAAGCGCTATTATGGAGTAGTTTACGCTGTCTTCTGTGGCAGTAAGGGTTGGGATCCATCGGAAGGAAGCGAATCCTCGTCTCTGTCCTCTAGGGTAACTCACTACGGTGTCGTTACTGACACTTGACAGTCTCTACTTTTCTCCCTTGCAGAATTGTACGGAATTCGGTGTACTCCTTGTACTAACTACTCCGTAAGGTACAGTTGAGTTTTCTGTCCTTGCCTGTCAGACGGCCATGATCCACCGACACGCTGCTCTTTGACGTACGTGAAACTCTACTCTACTGTCAACATTGCGACTTTGTTCTGTCAATCATCAGATAGACTTCTTCTGTTTACTGTCTGGTTAACAGATTGTTGAGTCCAAACTCGCTAAACAATTATACTACAACTCAGTTATCGCCCCTTCGCTCTAATTACCCAGTATATTATCATCGTATCGACCTACCTCTCTTCTTCTCATCCTACCTAATTAACTCCGACCCTCAAATCATCCCCTGTTCGTCCAAACCCGTCGGCCGAACGATGAAAGCGACATGCAGGAGTTCAACCCCGATCTCCACTCGGCGCTTGGCTGTTGACACTTACTACGGAGTACTGTAGGTAGGTACACCTACCTAACAGCTCGACAGACCGTTATGCTGTGTATGTATGTATGTCTTGTGTCGTAGACTGGTAGTTAGTGGTCGTACAGAATATGTATGCTAATATTGGCCCTTGCGGACGGTTGACATGGGTGGTTTCATTTTTCATTATTTAATTATTATTACAATTCTCTTGAAAGATTCTTTTCTCTTGAAAATAATAAAGATTAAAAGGAAATTGAAGTTTTTCTCTGTGCAGCCCCACAGTTGAATCCATTCAGGTCTTCGGGGTTAAGGTTGGTTTCTGGAATCCTACCTACCTACCTACCTATGTACCTAACCTACCTACTTAGTTATGTAGGTCAGCATGTATACACGCACTACGGACCTCGCGTAGATACCTAGTGTAGGGTAGGGTAGGGTAGGGTACCTTAGGTAAAGTATATAGTAGTGTGTAGTGAATGGACATTGGACAATAAACATAGTCCCGTCATGTCGTATTATGAGGTAGTAACTAACCAGGTAGTTACCTACACCGAGTAACTCTATAGAGCCTAAGGATTAATATATTAGGTTATATTACATTAGTAGGCTATGTAGGTAGGCAGCTTTCCCTAGCGAACTAAACTTCGTATGTCATATACTAGAGCGTACTATACTATAGTACAAACTAGTATAGGAGGGGATAGGATGGGATAGGAGAGGATAGGAAGACAAGGAGAGCTAGTAGTACTACCTACCTAGTAACCTACGGTAGTAACCTACCTGCCTTAGGTACAGGTACATACATACTTAGCTACTACTACTACTGTGTACTGAGTAGACTACCTAGGTAAGACTGTCTACGGGATGACCTGACCTACCTTACCCAGTCGTGTGTGTCTGCGGTGCTGGCTCTGCATGACCACCACCACCACCCCCTCTGACACACCTCCAACGACCGACCCCGGTACCGGATACCCCTGTCACTGGGTCTTGTCTTTATCTTTTGTTCTTGATCTTCGGGGTTTCCGGTGTGGATAAATATAAATAGTACGGTCGATGTATGTATGTATGACGGTATGTCCGTATGTACATACATACGTGCCGCCATGGACAAATGTCATGGGTACGTCGTCGAAGTAGGTAGGTAGGTAGTTTAACCGTTAGTGTTTCCCAAGGTAAGCAGGTATTGGCCATAGGTAAGTACCTAGCAGGTAAGAGTAAGAATGTTCTATCCTGGGGCTGGGCTGGGGCCTTTTCTTGTTTGCTTTTTATTTTTTCCAAATCGTCTTTATTCTTTGGTTAAAAATCTTCCCCCCCTTGGTCCCGCTCTGCAGCTTAACAAGGATTATATCCGGTCGATTCTGACTCTCATCGCCCGTCTTGCGCACACCCCTCTCTCTTTCTCTTTCTCTCATCTGTGCTTCATCCGCCTTTCCCCGTTCCCTTTTTCCTTTTCTTCTAAAATTAAAATCCCCGGGGTCCTGCTGCTTTCGCCGCGCCTTTGCCCTTCCACCCTGCACTCCGTAATCGGTGACTGCCAGCACGTCCGCCCCCTGCGGGCATCTCATCACCGAAGCCCGACGGGAAGGCCGGTCCGCCTCTTAGCCCATGGAGCTGCGAGGTCTCGTCGCTCTTGAATCCTTCCGCATCGTCTAGGGTGGCGCGCCAGAGGGTCCGAAGCGATGCGTTCCACTCCTCCAAAGATCGTAGTCGATCCACGTCGCTAGCACTTTCCACTAACACGGTTCCACTCTCTTGGTCGATTTTGGCGTTGAGCTTCTTGTCAAGGATTAGGAAGCTAAGGATATCCTGCACTTCGGGCACCGAGATCTTGATGTGTTTGGAAATGAAGCTGAGCGAGAATCGGGTGTAAGGCGCGATGAGTTTGAGGACCGCCTTGGTTCGCATGTTCCGGCTCACCTCGTCGATGTTCTCCGCGATGAATGGGTCGGCTAGCACGTCGGGGTTTTTGCTGAGAACGGCTTCGTAGGCGTGGATGTCGTCTCGTTGGAAGGCGTCGACTAGGTCGGTCATCGCGGAGATGCGCGGGTCGCTCTTGTAGGGCTTGGTCTCTTGCGAATAAAACGGATTGATGTCCGATTTCATCAACATGGTGGTCAACACGAGGTACTTGAGGACCTGGATCCGCTGCATCGAACCCGCTTCGTCGTAATTGCGGAATGATTCGAAAAAGTCACTCTGCGCCTCCTCCCAGTTTTCTTCGCTCATGTGCATTTTGCCTCCACACTCTCGGATGATACCCATGATCTTGGGATGTGGCACGGCGGACCGCACGCGGAGGGCGCGCTGGTATAGAGCCTTCAGCCGTTTGTTGTTCTTCGTCTCCGCGTACATCTGAATCTCGAGCGCATACAGTTCAAGTAGGTACGTGCCCTTACTCGGGTCGTCCGATCCGTCTTCGCGTTGACATGCTCGATGTAGTTCCCGCACCTTTTTACTCAGTTGGCCGTATTCCTTGCGTTCTAGCCAGAGGCGGGCGAGTTTGATGTTCGTTTTCAACCATAGACGCTCGTTATTCGTGTTCTGGAAAGAATGGAGGGTCAGTGAATAGAACTCCTCCATGCACTGGTAGGCTTTGTCGTCGTCCGATCCCTTCTCGATATAGTCGAGCATGTTGTTGATAGACTTCTCGGAGTAATTTCGCGTGACGGCCGATTTGACGTAGGTAAGCAGTTCCCTGTAGTGTTCGACGGCCTGGAGAAGGGTTAGTATCGCACACAGAGTGACAGAAGGGCCGAGGGGATGAGAGGCGTACATCGCTATACCGCCCGAGCTTGAACTCCAATTTGATGGCTTGCTTGAGACCTTTGAATCCCCTTCAGGGCCATCAGTATTGGGCTTGTTATTCACGGGCGGGATGTGGTCATTTACCAGTCGCCTTTCTCCTCCTCTAGTGGCGGTACCCCTAGGAACTCCACGATCGCCTCCTCCGGGGAGTCTATCTTTATTTGTTTGGCATTGTAGTATTTGTTTTCGATCCCGACGTCGCCGGACTCGTCATCATCCGCATCTTCGTATTCAAAGTCGTACCTATCATTGAGATCGGTTAGAGAGGCTGTTCCGTGTATTCGCTGCATGCAAGAGGGGGGAGAGGGGGAACGCACTCCTCGTCACCGGAATCTTGCATGAAATCGTCATCGTCCGACATCGTGAGTGTTGTGAAAGACTTTTCGCGCGGGTTTCGGGTCGTCTCAAGTACCTGCCAGCGGTGAGGGATTCCGGATCCTCCGTACAGGTAAGAATAATCGAGGGTCGGGGAGAGTGGTAGATGGATGGGAGTCGCAGTTCAGGTGGGAAAGGTAGATAAAGTACCTCAGCAAGTCGCAACCAAAGGAAGCTCCCGCACCTATCGGAGCCTGGGGCCTTCCGACTTACTTTCCCCGCTTGACCACGACTGATGGGTCCGACCGTCGTCTACCTCTATCATTAGTTCATTACGATGTGTCTGGTTCGATTCCTTTCAGGATCTAAAGGACTACTACTGATAGAATCATGGTCATGTGCTTTGTTGGGTATTGAACCAGAATTGATAGGTCTAATAGGACTCTACGCAGAGGGCAGGACAAGGACAACCCTTGGTTCAGGCTACAGTATCGGTAACTATATACAAACAATAAGGGAGGGACAATGAGAGTACACCTCGAGAATCTTGACTTTCTGCATGGCACTTTGACTTCCTTTGTTTGTATCTGTTCCTCTCTGCCGTGTGTCCCACTGTGGAAACGCCTACCTGCCCATGGAACTACCGGTTGGAGTAATGGCCGGGCGCTCTTTGTTTTATATATTGCACGACTCGTACGCAGCGTAGGTCGATAACGACCACCATTCCGCAAGTCCCAGTACCTCAGAAGACAGAATCGAACCGATTGACGACTGCCTGCAAAATGCAACTAAAGCGAGAGCCTCAGAAGTCAGGCACTGCGCGGGAGGCGAAGGCCCTTGGCAGATGACGATCACCTTATTCGCTGATCCTTTTCAGGATCCGATGACATCGACTCTGCACGGCCCACGACTCGTCCTTCTCAACCTTCATCTCCTCCTTATTTCCCTCTCCGTCCCGGCCGCTTTCTATTCTTTACCACCGCCTATCTTAATATAATCGATTACCGTCTTATATAAAATCGCCTGATCCCGATCTCCTCGACCCGGATTCGCGCCGACCCCCTTCTCTTATCGCATACTCGACCGAGCGGCCTTGGACGGATTCTCTCTTCACAATGGACCTGTGTGGGCGTCAAAAAGTGGTTCGGCGCAAGATGGTGCTGTTGTCAGTGATCTCTACCACTCGATGATAATACTTGAAATGATAAGGGTCTGACAGTCATTCGAAACAGAGGTGATGGAGCTTGCGGCAAGACGTCGGCCCTGAATGTCTTTACGAGAGGGTTGGCAACTCCCCGTTTCCCCTCCCTTCGCTCAACGAGCCACTCGCTAACTCTCCGCGTCCAGATACTTCCCAACGGTTTAGTAAGAATTACCCTTCTAGGCAGTGCTGGTCATGCGATATTAACATGTGCAATCATCGCATAGTGAACCTACTGTTTTCGGTACGCGCGTTCTCTTCCCATCCTGGATCATACTTGCTGACGATCCCGGCTTCTAGAAAACTACGTCCACGGTAATTGATTCGCTATCAACGGTCCTTGTTATGCATGCTTATGCTTCTCAGATATTTTTGTCGACAATGTACACATGGAACTATCGCTCTGGGACACGGCTGGCCAGGAGGAATTCGACCGACTGCGCGCGCTGTCTTACGAAGACACACACGTCATCATGCTGTGCTTTAGTGTAAGCGCTTCTTACACCTCACCTCGTCGGAGTATATGATCTAACTGCATATCCAAATATAGGTCGACAGCCCCGATTCGTTCGAAAACGTGGCGAGTAAATGGGTGGACGAAATCTCGGAGAACTGCCCGGGCGTCAAGCTGGTCCTGACGGCGCTCAAGTGCGACTTGAGGAAGGATGAATTCGAGAACAACAATGCGAACGCCATCGCATACGAGCAGGGCCTTGCCAAGGCCAAGGAGATCGGGGCCGTGAAATATCTGGGTAATTAGATTCCTCCCATCGCCTCCAATGAGCAATGCTGATGTGATGATAGAATGCTCCGCCGTCCAGAACCGCGGCATCATGGAGACCTTTTACGAAGCAGCCAAGGTCGCTCTAGACGTTAAAGCCCCAGGGTCGACCGGATCTAAGGGAGGGTGTGTCATCCTTTAAGCATTTTTTGGTTATTTTTTCAGGTTTTGGAGGGCATCTGTCGACCGCCTTACTTCCTTTTCTTCTTTCCTATACCCATATTGGTTCTTTGCATTCCACAGCGGACGCCTCTGCACCTGTTGCGACCTATGGGTTTGCCGGGTCGAGGCAGTCTTATGTTCCCGTGACACTTTAGCCTGATGGTTTTGCGTCTTTCTTGGCCTGTTCTCTTCTTTATACATACTTTTGTTGGCTTCGCTTTATAATCCGTTCATCGTCGGTGCTGTCACTCGGTGACCTCAAAGTCACCGGTTTCCGGTTGGAAGTACCGACACTGCGCAATTTGAACTCGATTGGATTAGCTCGATCGAGACGAGGATCGAATTTTGCTTACTATATTTCCTATAGAGAATCACATGTACCATCTATATGATGACATCTAATCACATGAAACGTCATTTTGCTTATTGGTGTCCCTCATGTCCGATGACAACCAATGTTTTGTCTTGAACCTAGAAACTCCAATTCCTATGCCACATTGACAAGTCCTAGCTATATACATACATCAACAACCGCCCTCAACCCAACTTCAAACCACTCACTCACTCCCCCTCAACTCCTCCTCCCCAACCGTATACACCTCATCCACCTTCTCCCCCGTCGCACTCCCCCCGCACGCAAAATCCGCATTCAACCTCCTCACAAAGGCCTCCACGAACCCCCCGGCCACCTCCCCCACCCCAACATCCTTAACCCCCAACCCATGCAAACTCGTCGCCTCCCTCCCCTCCAACCCGCACGGCACAATCTGCCTAAAATACCACATCGGCTCCTCCGTCACGTTGAACCCAATCCCATATGAACTGATATTCCGTCGCAGATGCACCCCCACTGCTGTTATCTTCTTCGCTGGCCCCGTCTCGCCCTCAGGAGCAGGCACCCACACGCCCGGATCCTCTGTCACTTGGCCCGTGATGCCGTAGCCGCGTAGCACGTCGATCACGCTGTTCTCGAGGAGTCGGATGTGGCACCGCGGCGTGAGTCCTAGACGTCGGAGATCTAGCACTGTGTATGCGACCATCTGCCCGGGTCCGTGGTACGTCGTTTGTCCGCCGCGGAGGGTGGGGTGGTATTCTGCTTTCTTTTCCGCGGGGGAATTCGAGCTGGAGGTGGAGGCCGTTCCCGGCGCGATTAGGAGCGAGCGAATTGGTTCGAGAGATGGGGGTAGGGAGAGCGAGGTCGATGACGGGCAGGTGTTTGAGGGGGGGAGGTCGCGTCGACCGGTCGTGTAGACTGGGTTGGGCGTGAAGGTGATGATGGTGGGATCGGGGGGTGGGGAGGTCGGATGGAGGGTCTTTTTGTGGGCGAGGAGTCGGGTCGTGAGGGTTTGTTGGAGGGCCGAGACGCGGCTGAAGGAGGTTATGTCGGGGATGTGGAGGTGGACGAGGCGCATTTTGAGGGTCTTTCTTCGTTCGTTTCGTTCTGGTGTTGAAGTGGTTGAGGTTGAGATGGATAGCTAATAATAGCTTGGAGTGAATGGATGAGAAGTTCAGTGTTGAAAGATAGGTAACGATATCATGTCTTTCTGGAATAGGAATTAGGATCGTCAATTGAACTTGAGGAGCTTGTTGTGAATTGACCGGTCGGTGGACTGTATCCTGTACAATCAAGAGGACATTAGGTTGTGTCGCACGGAGATCGAGTAGTTAGTAGTGCTTGTTAGTTCCGATAAGATTTCGACAGACGTCACCGGCCCGGAAAAGTCATGTGATTCATGGCGAGGACTATAGCGTTGTTTGTCTCTTGTCAAGGGGTTTTGGTTCTATTGTTTGTTGACTGGCTATTCCTATTCACTTGATACAATGTACAAAGAGTCTTTATGTAGGTAGACTCTTTTTTTGTTGTAGTTGCTCTGAGCAGTAGTCCTATGAGGTCATCACCCAGCCGAAGCTCGAGTTCCGCATTTTCCAGTCGCCGGAAGGATTCAAATTTTGTGTATCAAGTATATAAGACAGTATCGGTATGAGATTTTGAATACAGGTAAGAAGGAAAGTTGCACAACAGTCATAAATTCATGACATCCCTGCTTGTCCCTATAATGACAGGGTTGAAAAGAAGTAGCAAAAGAAGAGATCCTAGAGCAAAGGATGTCAAGTATCCAAGCCTAGACCCCTCATAGACCCTATATAATACAAGAACCTAAGCATCCAACGTTCCATTGACCAAAGGAGTTTGTTCCTCGCCTTCCCGGACCACCACCCAATCCCGGACACCTCCCTTCCAGTCGGCAATGCGGCCTTCGCGCACACGAACCGTCACAACACGCACGTCGCTATCTATCGACACGCTGGCGCGCCGTTGACCAGGTTCTTGCTGCTGCTGTTGCTGTTGACCAAACAGACCCATTTCCTCCTCGAAGGTGTTGTTCTCCAGGTGCCGCTCCTTGCACCAGGATTCTTCGGCGGAGCCGGGCTCGAGGAAGCGGGCGGTGCCGGTGATGGTGGTGGAGATACTCGAGAGAGCGCTCGTGTTGAGGTTCAATAGCAAACTGGCCAAGGAGGATCGCGTCGCGGCCGGTGGGGGGGATCCTTCGCGTTCGCCGGCGTTGGAGGCTCGGGTGGGCGGACGATGGGAGACCCAGTCATGGACCAATAGGGAAACTCGGGGGTTGGTCAACAGGTGATTGGTCTTGCGCGAGGACGGGTTGGTGGTCATGATAATGGTCGGATAAGGGTCGAAGGGCGTCGATGGGAGGTAGGTATATGACATGAGAGAGATGTGGGGGGTCAGGTCATCACATGTTGCGAGATGGAGCTAGACGGTCCAAAGGTTAATATGTGTGCATTTTGCGACACGCATCTGCAAGGGATCAGAACGTACAAATCGCGAGTTCTTCAAACACGCAATGACCTCGGGAGGAAGGGTGGTTGCGACATGGGGGTGGGTGGTGGTGGCCGATGCCTCATATGAGAGGGGCGGGTTGACAGAGTCAGTCATGGCGTTGCGGGAGAATCAGAAAAAGGGAAATAGCAAATAGAAATAAAATGAGACTAAGAGGGGAAAAAGAGAGAAAATTAAAAATAAGACAGAAATAAATCCGAGCGAGTCTCCGACAGAGGGCGAGAGGACGGGGATTCCCTGGCGATGGAGGGGAAGAGGGAAAGCCGTGGCGGTTCCGATCCGAAGAGGACGAAAGAGCCTTGACCGATTTGGGGCAGTCCCCCGTGCTAGTCCCGATTCGGTAGGGGCGGTCGAGGCTGGTCGGTGCCTTCGCTGGTCGACGTCATGGCTGAACATTCACCGTAGCAACTACCTAGGTGTACTCCTGAGCAGGCAGGACTCCATAGTACGCTGTAAGCTGTAAATATTACTGAGCTGTTTCATGTCGCGATCGCGCAGAAACATTGCTTTCGTCATCGTAGCTTCAGGAATGGAGCAACACGCAATGATGATCGACGAAGAACAAGGGTTATCCACAAATTATCGTACAGAGGGATGAACATCGGGGCTATCATCTTTGATAGTGGATGCGAGCGTCCGAAGTAGCGTCATGGTGAATTATCATTGCTGATGCTATCATACTATCAAGTACCTTAGTTACCTGCCTGACATACTTAAATACCACCCCGTGACTGCGACGGGCGCACCTTCAGGCTGCTTCCCCGCACTTCCAGTCCCAGCTTTCCCCAGCTTCCCGTCCTTTCCTCTACTCGTCTTCTCTTTCTCCTCTCTTCCATTGGTGTTTCAATTCCTCATCTCCTCTCAGCTTTCGACCCGTGAACGTGATCCGACCGTTAACACGGACTTTTTCTTCTCCGCTTGACCAATCCCTCGAAGTTCACTGGTAGTTGCTGCCACCGCGACAATCTCGCTCCTCTCTTCTGCAGCAGCCTTTCCATCCTAGCCGTCTGGTCAGACCATCGACTTCACCCCTGTTGCTTGTGTCGCCCTCGTTGCTGCTCCTCATTTCCCCTCCCTGTGCAAAAACCTTCCTACACCCCCCTTTTAACTGTTGTCAATATACTGCTCCTGCAATTGCTTTTTCTACTTTGTCGCTCGTCCTTTTTGAAGCCACGATCCTGAGATCGCCTGGTTTGTTACGATAGTCGCCTTTTACATCCATCCCTTTGCAAATCTGTCTTCTTTTTTTCTGTACCTTCTCTCTCCTCGGGCGTTGAATCATTGAAATACGACCCCCTGTGTACGATTACCTACGATGTTTCTAGCACGCATTGCCCGACCGGCGTCCTCGCTGGTTCGACCCTTCACCACCTCTGCCACTGCCTATCGCTCACCCTCCATTCGTGACCTAACCCCCGACTCGGCGGAAGAATTTAGTGCGCGTCAGAAGGAGTTTCGCGAGAACTTGGAGGCCGCTCGCAAGCAGCGAGAACAGCAAGAGAGTCAGTCTGTCGATGCTTCTGCTTCTGATTCTACCTCATCCCCTACCTCCCGTGATCGCTTTCGTGAGTTCGCCACCGCTCCCACTGCTCCGCTTGCGAGCAATGCGAGCCGTAAAAATGGCCGTGCTGTATTTGATGCCGCCGACACTCTTGACAAACAGGGATTGGGCTCACTTTCTTCCCACCGTTCTCTAGGAGACGAACAAGTGCTGGATTCCTCGCAGTCTCCCAAGCGCGGGCCTTTGTCCTCTCTGATATACGGAACGAAGGAAGGCCAGCAGTTGGATAAGGACATCGAGCGGTCGTTTTCGCAGGTCCTCGCTCGCGGCAAATACGTCCACTCCATCGTTTTCCACGAGGTGAAGCCCGACAAAGTTGACGAATATGTCGACCTCGTGGGCCAGTGGTATCCCCGGATGGCCGGCACCGAGGAAAACAGGGTGAACCTGGTCGGAAGTTGGCGTACGCAAGTGGGCGACAACGACACTTTTGGTACTTGAACTCAAGACAACCCTTTCTCCCTCATCCCATCCCCTATGCTCGTTGACCAACGAGTCCGGGTTGTTGTATCTCGAGCTAACCCGTTCCGTGTTTATAGTCCACATCTGGGAATATCAGCGATACGAAGGATACCATGCCTCCCTTCACAATATTTCCTGCCACCCCGAGTTTCCCGAGTTCGATCGGAAGCTGAAGAGCTTGATCAAAAGCAAGAAGACTTCGCTGATGCAGGAGTTCTCCTTCTGGCCCACCACTCCACCCCGTCGTCTGGGCGGGCTGTTCGAACTGCGCTCCTACACTCTGCACCCCGGAAACCTGCTCGAATGGGAGACGCACTGGCGTCGTGGCCTCAAGGCTCGCCGCGAAGTCATGGAAGGCGTCGGAGCATGGTTTGTCCAGATCGGGGACTTGAACACGGTGCACCATCTCTGGCAATTTGCCAATCTGGAGGAGCGCAAGATTCGCCGGGAACAGTCGTGGGGCATTGAAGGCTGGGCGGAAACCGTGCACAAGACCGTGCCTCTTATCCAGACAATGCAAAGCCGCATCTTGGTCCCCATGCCCTGGAGCCCCGTGGGATAAGCGAACCAAGTCTGTCCGATGCTGTATCGATCTGTGGTCACACGTCAGATCCTCCAGCCGTGCCAGCCAGTCAGACACGGCTAAAAACCAGCAAGCTTAGGGCATCCTAGCGCCAGGCCAGAATGAATGAGGCATGCGGACTAGCATGGGAACCAGAAGACATTTTGCCGGCACGAACGAATGTGACGGGAAAAAGGTTTCGATCGGACTTCCGTTGAGGGTCTTCCTAGTTCCTATTCAGCCGTGTAGGGCTCTTAGCGCATCAGATCTAGCATTTAGCATTGATATTGTCTCATATGTCTATCCCTGTATCTAGAAATTAAATTGACACTATTGCGGAAAAGCTTACCCCTCTTTTTGCACGGTGCCTCTCGTAACTCTGTTTTTCTTAGCATCGTCATATGGTGCCTCGGATCTTCTCCTGTGTCTCTCAGCTCTCTTTCTCTCTAGTCTCTCCTTTCTGGTTTACCCCACCCGTAGGACGACGATCCTAAATGGGCGTCTCGCTGGGAATGCACCGAAGCCCGGGAAAAATGGATGCCTTCTCCCCCCAGCCGACGGTAGAAGAGCGAATGAAAGACCACACGTGGCTAGTCGAGGCACCAGTGTCACCTTCCCCGATATCCCAATTTATCCCAACTTTTCCTGTTGGATTGCATCGTCGCGGTCGGGTCCTGTTGCAGCTCGTCCCCGCGCGGGAACTGTTTAGGGCCCCGTTTTTTGCCGGGCAGAAAAATAAACATAATAGCGATTCCTAATAAATACTCTAAAATTTTTTGGTCCATCAAACTAGAGCGGCATCTCTCCTCTTCCCCGACGTGTTGTTTTCTTTTCTTTTCCTTGTCTCTCCGCCACCCTGTCTTTGGATTCTCAACAGCCCTATCATATTCCGGACTTTGCCCCCCGTGCAACTCCTGGCTTTGTCTCACCCCTTTCCCTCAAGTGTCACTGAGATTCCGCGCCTCACTTTGAATCCTTTGACGGCTTGGTGTTCCCCGTAAAACCAGAAAGGAACCAGAACAAGAAAAGAAAAGAAAAGAAAAGAAACCCCTTCTTTTAACTTCTCCCCAAGCGACTACGTATCTCGCAGCATCACGTCCGAAAAGAAGGATCCAACAAACCAGAAGCACGATGGTGTACATCCGCCAGCATCAACTTCCCAACCTACGGGAATATCGATATGCGGGAGTTGACCACTCGTTAATAAGCCGATATGTCTTGAAGCCTTTTTATAATCATTTTGTCATCAAATGTTTCCCCATGAGCATGGCGTGAGTAGTGACGCCGGTCTTCATGTCTTGATTTCTCGTGAGTGCTGGTCGGCTAACGGCGTTTCTCTGCTCTTTAGTCCCAATGCTGTAAGTTCCGTGTCTGCGCCTGGATCGGTCTGGTCGTGACGATGTGAATAACCAAGGACTGGTAGATTACCCTGACGGGGTTCTTCTTTGTGGTAGTCAACCTCTTGACCATTCTTTGGTATAACCCAAACCTAGATCAAGACTGCCCACCGTGGGTCTATGCCAGTTGCGCCTTGGGATTGTTCCTATACCAGACCTTCGATGGAGTAGACGGAATGCAAGCGTATGATCCCCAATGCAACCACTTTTCTGGTAGATGAGATGCTAAGATGTCCTGCTATGCAGCCGGAGAACCAAACAGAGCGGACCGCTGGGCGAGTTGTTCGACCATAGTGAGTATAGCCGAGCATCTTCAATTTTAGAAGTGCTGGTGTTGATACTCCTTTTCCTCCGCAGGCGTTGATGCATGCAACACCGCCCTTGGTGTGTTGATTTTCGTGGCAACCATGAACCTTGGCCAGTCATGGTCTTCCATCCTGACTCTCTTTGGATGTAAGCCATATGTAACCCAACCACAACCGACTTCCAGATGATTGACCCAAGCTAGCCACCATGACTTTCTACGTCCAAACGTGGGACGAGTACTACACCCAAGTCCTGACCCTGGGTATCATCTCGGGTCCCGTCGAAGGTGTTTTGACCTTGTGCATTGTCTTCGGATTCACGGCCTATATGGGCGGCGGTAGCTTCTGGCACCGCCCCATGCTCGAGACCGTGGGTATCCCGAAGTTGAATTTCATCCCGCAGCAGGTCTACGATATGCCCTTTACGCAGTGGTACCTGGTCTACGGCGCCTTTGTTCTCTTCTTCGCCACTGGCTCAAGTATTGTGCACGTCATGAAGGTGCGCAAGGAACGCGGTCAAGACCCCTTCCGGCCGCTCCTTGGCCTCCTGCCTCTGGTTGCGATGTGGACTCTTGTTCCGGCCTACCTGTACCTCCAGCCCTACATTTTGGAGAACTACGCCATCCCGGTGATTCTGTTCGTCGGTCTGACCAATGCGTACGCCGTCGGAAGAATGATCTGCGCACACCTGGTCAAGGCTAGCTTCCCCTATTTCAACATGCTCCTTTGCCCGCTCGCGTTGGGTGTGTTGGATAGCGCCGGACCGGTCTTTGGACTCTGGCCTAGCATCCTGGGCGACGGATCCGGCCAAGTTGCTTTCATTTTCGTATGCCTTGGACTGTCGGTTGGTATCTATGGCAGCTTTATCGTGAGTGGCGATCGCCCTATTCTAGTTTTCTCCTGTGACTCCTATGGCTGACTATCCGATAGCATGACATCATCACGACGATATGTGATTATATTGATATCTGGTGTCTCAGCATCAAGCACCCCTACGTTGAAGAGGCGCAAATTGCCAACGGTGATGCGTCTAAGAAATCCCAGTGATTTGCGCATCTTGCGCATGTAAACTACTGTGCGAGAACCGCCACGCCTTCTTATAACACCAGAAACCGGCGCGCATTACCTACCTAATACCGGAGCGGCATATTTCGAATTTCATTCGCCAAATTTGCAATGTACATCAAAGCGTTGAAGCGGGTTGGTTTGATCTTTCTAAAGCAGAAATAACAAAAGGGGTTGAGAACTATATGTCCGGGACATACCATACCAGGACGACGACATACGTGGGCTGGAACACCCTCGATGTTAGTCGCGTCTGATGCAATAATACGTTGGGTTAGCGATATAGACACCATGTCAGATATGTGAGATATGCATTGCGATGTTTCTCTTGTTTTGTTGCGCTTTGCTGTTGTTTTGTCTTTCGATCACTTTCGGCTCATTTCTTTGCCACCTGGAAAGATTTTTCTTTTCTGGTTTTATTTTTTTTTTCGTTTAGTTTTTACGCTGTTCACGCTTTTCACCAAATAATGTGTTAGGATAGAAAATGTTAGATGATTAAGATAGTTCTGGAAGCGTCGCATGATTTTTGCCTCTGTACGGAGTATACCTAACTTTAAGCCTACAAGTATGGAGATGGAAGTCTGGAGGGCCTTCGGGAAGCATGTCATCAAATCCGGGCTGTTGATTGGTTCACATCGGTGGGTCTTGCCAAGACTACCCGGAAGGGCAGCGTTAGCGAGGGTTGCAACCCTATTCTCCCCAAACGGGACGGTGGGTGAGGCCCGGCGAGAGAATTCCCTTCAGACCTTTGCCATCTCCACGAGAGTACCTTTTCGCTTTTCACCCTTCAAGCAGGCCATCTCCATCAGCGCCATTCTTCAACCTATCTCGCTGATCGACTTTTTGTCTCGTCAAGATGGTAGGTTTTTCGTCTACCCTTTTCCCCTTCGACTACGTCCCCGTCAGATACCGATCGCTCTACGCGCAGATAAGGGTCATGTTGCCTTGATCTCGTGCTCGACCTCGTCGGCGCCCGTCGGCTACCTTGGACGCTTCATCTCGAAATTTGCGAATGGGACACTACAAAGCGACAAGAGAGAAGGATGATGTGCTGATGGATTTGTGATACTTAGGTTCTCGCGGTCGACCTTCTCAACCCTGCTCCTCAGGCTGAGGCCCGTAAGCACAAGCTTAAGGTATGACCATTCGATATCGAAATTTCGCCCGTCGATCGGACAACGAGGACTGACTCAACCCTTTCCTAATCCAACAGACCCTTGTGCCTGCCCCTCGCTCGTTCTTCATGGACGTCAAGTGCCCCGGCTGCTTCACCATCACCACCGTCTTCTCGCACGCCCAGACCGTCGTCGTCTGCGCCGGCTGCTCGACCGTCCTCTGCCAGCCCACCGGTGGTAAGGCCAGACTCACCGAGGGATGCTCTTTCCGGAGAAAGTAGATGTCTCGACGCAAATCAGGCCGAAGCGATGAATGAAAGAAATGTGGCGTTCTTCGATAATGGATTAATATGATTCTTTTTGAGCAAATTTAACAACAAAATACTCAGATAGAAGATGGAATCCTTTGCCCATTTGCGAGCAAGACACCCCCCAAAATACAAAAAAGGTTTCGAAGGGAAATGAATGACCAGGCTCAATACTTTTTTTTTCCCGTTTTGTGTTATACCACCAAAAAAGCGTGCTTCCAGTGATCAATACAGGCTTTTATTTCATTTGACAACTGAGAGAAAGGGGAGTTCCGGATATCTGGCAAACATTGATCGGTTCGAGGTTTTTGCATCGCAATCTGTTTTGTCTTCATTATCGACATGCTATCTTCTTGACTCCGTGGCTCGATTTGCGCTCGACAACTATCTACATCGCTTCGACATGTACTTTTTCTTTTCCAATCATCTCTAGTTTCCATACAACAACCGGAGCACGACGGGATGACACCAAATGAGCACATCAGCATGAGCTTTGCCAGCCGCAGGAATTCGAATGTCCAGGTTACGAGAGGGACAACCCTCCGCCAATGACGACACCGAATCACTGAGTTGGGTGACATTGCTAGGAAGGCCGATGTGCTATTCGGATTGGACGACTTGTTCGCAACGGACACTCGTCCTGGCACTGGCAACACCGACAGCTTGCGTGATTCCTGAGAAGGGATGGGTGACTGTCTAGTCGGGTCGGGTCTATCTGTCTGCTATGAGCGTCCAATCCGGCATTCCTCGTGCGCCATGCAATCGTATTTGATGTTTGCTCGATAATGCTGTCCCTCGTAGGCTCGTACTTGTAGACGTATCCGAACGAGCACTTGAGTAGTGTGTCTGAGAGAGCCCCGCTCAGGCCATGCCTGAGTAGTTCGCCATTTACCCCATACTGTAGAGGCCCACATGTATGTATTATGTGCATTGCCAGTGGCCATGGCATTAGTAGCCGTGCGTCATTACTCATTGGTCCATGAAATCTCCGTGGACTACAGTTTACACCGTAGTTTATCGGACATGAACGTACCCAATCTCCTCTGTCGAATGCAATTCTTGTAGAGTTCCTTCCTGAATAGCAATCAATTAACCCGCTTCAAGTTCTTGTATACATGAAAGTCAACAATTCCCCTCCAGCTCTAATAACACATACTAGCCTCAAGACCACTGGTAAACAGTTTGATTTGACCACCTATCATACCCCTCAATTATCGCAGTCGAGCATCTTAGGCACAATATACCTATTCCAGGCAAATTAGAACACGGGGAAGATGATTGGAGTGACTGCACTCAAAAGAACGGTCTTCCACTATATCAACAGGTCTTAGTCTTGGCAGGGAAATTCATGTTCTTTTCACAACGGAGGTAGTGACGAAGGAAAGGGTAGAGGATATCTATACGTCTGAGACCTGATCAACGAATGTAGAACTTAACCAAGTCAATACTAACTTAACAACGGACAATTTACCGGATGGGAAGATGAAAAGAGAAGAAGTATGAAATGGCGGGACATCCTTGCTTATCTTATCGGCACAGGTACTAATTCCTAATCTAGCCTAACTATCTAGAGACTCCGACCTAGTCATTCAAACCGAACGACGCTCCTCAATTCTTCTCCTTCCTATTACCTACCTACCTTCCGACTGAACAGATTCTCTCTCTCCTCTCATCCTTCTTCCCCCCCACCCCTAACCATACCAAATATCCCCAGAACCGAAACGAAAGATACGAAAAGAAAAAAATGCCCCCCCAACCCCTCAAACTCCTCATGCTCCACGGCTACACCCAATCCGGCCCCCTCTTCCACGCCAAATCCCGCGCCCTCGTCAAACACCTCACGAAGGCCTTCTCCGCCACCCATGAAGTCGCCGCAATCTACCCCACGGGTCCCCTGCGTCTCGACCCCGCCGATATCCCAGGCTACGAGCCCCCGGCCGCCAACTCCAACGGCAGCAACGAGGAACATCCCACGCCCGACGCGCCAGAAGCGTACGGGTGGTTTCGGCGCTCGAACACGGCTAACCCGCCGCTGTATATGGGACTGGACGAGGGGTTGGCGGCCATCGCGAAGGTGTTGAAGGAGGAAGGGCCATTTGACGGGGTGATTGGGTTTTCGCAGGGGGCGGCGATGGCAGCGATGGTGGCGTCGTTGTTAGAGGGCGGAGTACGGAAAGAGGCGTTTGAGAAAGCCAAAGCCAAAGGTCTAGGTCTTGGGGATGCAGGGGACGCCGGGGACAAGGAAGGCGTGTTTGGGTATCCGACGACGTTTGAGGAACTGGGACATCCGCCGCTCAAGTTCGCGGTTTGTTATAGTGGGTTTCGGTCGCCTGGGGCGCGGTATCGTGGGTTCTATGAGGAGCCCGGGGTGCAGACGCCCGTGCTGCATGTGCTGGGGACGCTGGATGCCGTGGTAGAGGAGTCGAGGAGTCGGTCGTTGATTGAGGCGTGTGTGGGGGATCCCGAGGCGGAGGGGAAGGTGGTTTGGCATCCGGGGGGACATTTTTTGCCGAGTCAGAGGCCGTATTTGGATGCTGCGGTGAGGTTTATTAGGGAGTCCGTGGAAGAGAAGAAGGGGAAGGCAGGTGATAAGGAAGAGGATGTAAATGATATGGATTTGCCGTTCTAGAGGACTTGGATATCCCCGCGATAGATTGGATAGATACTATAGAGTGTTGCGGTTGTCTTCTTCTTGGATTGTGATAGAGCGTGCAAACGCAGTAGTCCATTTCTATATAAGACCCTGTTCTTACACTAATCTCTTTACTATAAGCTTATAAGGCTACTACTGACCCCTTGACATGGTAGGACCTAGTATTAGGGTCTCAGGCAAACAGTTTACAGACATATAATAATCTAAAGACATGTGATATAAAACCTCTGCATTCACACGAAGGATACAGGAAAACCTAATATAATAGGACAAAACCTGTACCAAGGCATATTAACAAATATAACCAGCATCTATACCAACCAGAATATCCATATAAATCTTCCTCAAGCCTATTAGGCCCCTGGAATCCTCCTAGGAGAGTAATAACCCTGTGATTTAGCCTTATTCCCTGATTGATCATGAAAAAAGTCAAATCCACAAAGCGGTTTCTAGTGATCCACATCAGTCTATAACAGTCATAAGAGTTAAAAGGGCTACAGTTGGCTAATTTTATAAGGAAAAGCAGAGAGACTGAATATATATTAGTACTATACACTCAATACTAATGAATATAAGCTAAAGTTCTGTACATGCTCTAAAAAAGAAAAGCAGAATCGACTCTCTTTAACCCCATACCTCTCATGATATTGCAGTAACGTAATCAACGGGCGAGCGACGAATACGGGCGAGCGACGAGTTTTGTGTCGCGCCCATTACTAAATGAAGCTATTCAACCACCAACTCCGTTGAATTGACTAGATAAATATATGAAAAGATAGCTATTTACTAGGGCAATTTCGAATTGTATGTCCAACTATCCCACAGCCACTACAGCGTTGCGGAGCTCGTCGACGAGGCATCGGAGCAGATTCTTCAGGCTGCTCATTAAGCCGTGTATCAAGCTGCTGAACGCGATTTTGACCTTCCTGTACATTAAGAAGCCGGTCATTACCTAGTTCAGCACGCTTTCTTGCCTTCCTCCGACTTTGTCGCCCATTTTCAGCTTGTAAAGCTTTAATTCGTTCCTCTAAAATGAGCTGGGTTTGCATTGCCATTTGCGCTGCTTTCTCAAGATGTTGAATATGAGCAATCGGACTGCTAGAAAGCTGCCGCTTCTTATTAAGACTGTTCTGTAGGCTTCGGACCTTTCGATCTAACTGGCGAGTATTTTGCGGAGTCTGAAAAGCAGAGGATATCGAGCCTTCAACTAATGATGGTGCAGGTGTAGGCGTACATAGTCGAAAGGTAAGCTGTGAAAGAACACGCTCTGGATTAAATGGCTTAAGCCCTGCTCCTCTAAAACCGCCGTAGATATTGGCTGTAGTAAAGACTTTATCGCGTGCATCTGGATATAGCGATAGAAAGTCTTCTTTATCAATATGGTTGTTGCCGGCAATCATACGGCCTTCAAGAAGCTTTCCGTACGCCCTTTTTAGAGGGCTGAAAATACCCACATCAAGCGGTTGAAGAAGATGCGAAGCATGAGCAGGCATGCAGAGACAGATAATTGCATTCTGTTTACAGAAATCATCGAATTCAGCAGCTAAATGGCTGCTATGGCCATCAAGAATAAGTAAGCGCTTTGCACCAGTTATATAACGTTTTGAAAATGGTTCAAAGACGTTTTTTAGCCAAAGAAGGCCTATTTCATCAGTCGTCCAGCCGTTCTGACTAGTTGCAATCCACCAGTCTTTAAGAAGCTTAGGTTCTTGGAACCAGGCAGCTTGTTGAACGCTTGCTTTTAATATAATGACTGGCGGAAGATGTACGCCTTTTGATCCGATTGTCTCGATAATTGTAACCCACTCACGATTGCCTTGAATGACTCTGCGCGGTCGCTCGCTTCGCTCAACTGCAGTAATTACTTTTGAAGTAGAGCAGAGTCCCATTGCAAAGCCAGTCTCGTCGAAATTCCAGATATCGTCTTCATGTATGCCGTGTTCCTGAATAACAGCTTGTACAGTCTCAAACCAAGGCTTTATAACTGTTGGATCTTCCTGCTTTGCGCGTTGATAGGTCATTTGTCTTGTATATCGTGTACGAAGCTCTGGATGGCGTTTAACAAAAGTATAGGGCCAGTTGATTCCGATTTTTGCTTTAGGATCTTGAAGACCCGCACGAAGTAATATCTCAGCCATTCCACATAGAAATTCAGGTCGAATCGGAAATCCTCGCTTATCTGCATCTAAGAGTCGCTTTCGAAGCAATTCTTCTTCGATCTCCGTAAATTTGTGGTTGTTGGCGCGTGTTTCTGCGCGCGATTTTCTTCCTTTAAGACGTGCACGAAGAGTAGCCTCTGGCACACCAAAAGTCTCTGCAGACTTTAGTATTGATTTAATTTGCTTCTTTTCATAGGCTAAAATAGCCATCTGAATACGATTCTCCTGAGATAAAGGCATTTTTCTGCGGTATATTGACAAAAAAGACGCGTTGAAAATTATTGATTTAGAGACGGTGAGGAAACTCGTCGCTCGCCCGTATTCGTCGCTCGCCCGTTGATTACGTTATGCCAGAATGGACTACAGATACTAGGCATCAATCTTTAGTGGTACCAACCCCTTGCAGCTTGCTTGTTGCACTGCATGTGATCTACATGACATTGAGTGTATATGACTATTAACCTCCCTGATAGCACTTTAAACTGTAGTACAAAACTATAAAATCTCTCTACTGAGCATGTATAGTTGGGTGATCTAATTAGTCAAATCAGAATTCGGAATTTGGTATCTTCGAGCATTTAGCCTTAGCGGTTAGTATGATTAACACCTAGCAAGAGCTGACGGCTATCGGCCAAGCATGATTAGCAATGATTCAAGAGCAGTGGAGATGTTGGTTTCCCATTGGTACATTCCAAGTAGTATAACTGCGCTGCAGAATGTGGGAACAAGGCATTCGACATGTTTATCCCTGTCCGTTCTTTCTTGTGCAGTGGGCTTAGAATGGACCAGCAGCGGCACAGTGCTGCACGTTTCAAACTTGGTTCCCTTCGGTACGACTGCATTGCGCTACGAGACCTAGGGTCTTCTATGTTCAGGCGATGGAGGGGAGAAGGTTACGTGACGGTGTATTGGGGCACCAAACCCAAAAAGGTAAAACCAGCCGCATACAGTAATTCACAGGTCCGCCGTTTACACGCCATATATTCAGCGCCAAAATCCATGCCCATCTCTCCAGCCGTGTCATCAGTTCTTAGCGAGCCTTGCCCTTCTCGCCGCGGGAGGGCAGAATCCGGGCCATCATCTCTTCCTTGGTGATCAAGTGATCGATGCGCTCCAAAAGTCCCAGGAGACTCTTCATGTCGCTGCTCCATTCGTTCAGGACGTCATCCGCATCCCGGGGCTTGGCGAAGTTGACCAGTCGCGCCGGACGGTCGATCTTCGCATAGATGGTCTTTAACGTAACCAGTTCACTGATGTACTTCTCCGTTTCTTCCTCGGTCAGGTCGAGCAGCTCCGTCAACCGACCCATCTGGATGCGAGTGTAGTACTTGGCGACCACCCGAACGTTGTGCTCGATGACGCGCTTGCGGAAATCCTGCCAGCGTCGGTGCGGCTGGTCGTCGGCGGAGTGGCTAGGTTGAGCACTGAAGACATCCGTGTTGCAGAGGTGGGGTCCGAACTGCTCCGAGACCATCGGCCAGCGCATCAGCTCGTGAATGGTAAAAAGCTTGATCAACCGGGCCTCGACGGGAACCGTGGACAGTCGCGAGTCTTGCTGGATGCGATGGAGCAGGTCCGATTGTTCGTTGTCGTACGGCGACAGGACAATGTAATACACGATACGGGCGAGGACCTATAAACATTCATGTTAGAGCGCAGGAACCATAAGGTGGCGACGAGATAGTGACGTACTGCTCGCAGCTGCTCCGGGTTGTTTTCAACCGACTCGGTATCCAGGACTTCACGGTAATGCTTGCACACATCCAGGTACTTGTATTCGTGGTTGGAGAGGATGATCTGCTGCTCGAAATAGCGGAGCTTCAGGTCCGTGACGTCGTCATCAACCTCCATAGGGGCCTCGTCGGGAGCACGCGTCTTCTCCCGCTCCTCAGCCGCTTTCTTGAGCTTCTCGATTTCTTCGGCGCTCTTCTTTGGCTTACGGTTGAAGTAGCGCTTGTTGATCTTGCGGCTGAGGATAGTGGCTTGCGTCCAGTCCCCGCGCTCTATGCAGAGAGCCACCTGCTCCAGAATGAACTCCGTCTTTTCTCTCCTGGTCATGGATCCGAACGTCTCCACCTGCAGCTCGCAAAGAATGTCGGTGGCGGCATTCAGATCGCCTTGGGATTTCTTGATATTAGATAGGATTCGGGTGACACGGGCTCTCTCGACTTCGACGAAGATCTGTAATAGTGGGTATTAACATAAGCCGGAGGGTGGTAGGTTATCAAGAGGCACCGACCTTTCCTTCGGTCACAGTCCGCAGAGTCTGGATAACCGACAGCTTCACATCCAAGCTAGGCGTTTCTTCCAGGAATCCCATCACCACCTGCACCATTTTCGTCACAGCTTGTTTGAGTTGGGCATGCTTTTTCGAGAGCAGGAGCACTTGGTCATTGAGAAGGTTCCAGTCGCCGGAGTTCTTGCTGATCGTGACGATGGTGATAAGGATTCGAGACGTAGTGGGCAGGTCGGAAGCCTGTCGATCGAAACGTGGATTAGCCTGATACTTGGATGGGCAGGCGGCGCGCCGTATGTCATACCTGTCTTGCTTGTTTCTCTAGGACCAGAAGCTTGTCGATCGCACCCTGGACGTCGGTCTGAACATCTAGTTAGCATTTGTACCCGGTGCAATAGTATCGAGGGCCTCCAACCTTGGCCAGTTGTTCCGCCTCAGGAATCAGCTTATCGGCATCCTTGGAGAAGTCCTTCTCCGGCTTCAACAGGCCTCCGTCGGACATGATGACGAATGCAGGTCTCGGGTTCGAGGTTATTGGTCAGGTATATGAAATGAAAAATCAGGACAGGAGTAATGTGGTGAGGTAGGATGATGAGGGACTTGAGATGGCGATTCGGATGGGTAGGGAAGGGCTGGAGATGGAGAATGTGGTCATGGAAGCTTGACGGGCAACGCCAGCTCGAGCTGGCCGAAGCTCGCTCACGTGATATGCGCTCACCGTCCGGCTTGCCGCAATGTTTCTGTTTACTCTTCCTCAACACCCTTCGACCTTGACTATATGGCCACCATAATGACATGGACCCGGAACTCCATGTGAGAGACTACTGTGTTTATGGTTTTTCATGAACAATGGCTACTGTCTCGTGTCTGACTTGACACCATTGCTGAGAACAAGTGATATTGCTCACTGAAGATGAAGCTACTTACTTGCAATCTAGTGACACTCGAAAACTGTACTTCGTCCATGATCAATACGGAGTATGATAGTAAGTACTCCCCACCGAGTGCTTGATTCACATCAGGACATTCTCTGCCTGATTGCCTGGTCCTGCTCTCGCCCTGCATGCCTGAGGCCATGATGATTAGATAAGCCGCACAGCACGATCACGCAATATCGCTTTAACTGCATTTGGCCTGCAGACCAATGTAGATGGAAAACGAAAGAGTCACATTTCCACACATTTATATTTTGAAGAAGGACTGTCATTTGGATGAATTCCTTTGAGTGAATTCCTTTTAATAATTGTCGCGATAGGCTTATCAGACTCTATCAGTTGCCAATCTTGGGGTCGAACGTTATTCGTTATCGCCAATTTGCCTCACGTCCAATAACGCTGGGCTTTTTCCGCGGACATCCCAATTGCCGCATTCATAAGTGGCCAACAGCCCACGCGTTGATCGGAGGACTGTGGGATATCACTCCTGATCTTTACTTGCGAATTTGCTCTGCTTGTCTATATCCAGGCGAAAACTTGTGTCTGATCGCAGTGAAATTCGAATATTGCGCTATCTGAGACTTGCGCGGGGTTTGGCACAATGCGAGATGCATCAAACGACAAAGGGTCGTTGGCACCTTTGCTGATGGCCATGCATGCAGACTCTCAGGTGCATCTCATTATCGGCGCAAGTCCACTTGCTGCCGCTCGTTGCATTAAGAGTCTGGAAGCTGGCGCAAAGCCAATCATCATTGCACCGGATACGGGGGATCTGCAGTATACCCTGGCTGAGCGCATAGAAAATGGCTCAGCCCAGTGGATTCGCAGAGAGTTCCAAGACACCGACCTGACGAGCTTGGGGAGGGAAGAAGTCGACCATGTTGTGGACACGGTCTTTGTCACTCTGGGCGGGGCTCACCCTCTGAGTATGTGTGCAGAACTCATAAGTCGTGAGAGCATCTTTTCTAATCTTTTTTGCAGGTTCTCATATATCCAAGCTCTGCCAACGACTAAGAATTCCTGTCAATGTGTCGGATGCTCCGAACCTTTGCACTTTCAGTCTTCTCTCAACCTACTCGGATGGCCCTCTGCACGTGGGAATCACCACCTCTGGACGTGGCTGCAAGCTTGCTTCTCGGCTAAGAAGGGAAATTGCATCGACGCTACCCCCAAATCTTGGAACCGCCATCGACCGACTAGGGTCAGTGCGGAGACGTCTTTGGGAGGAGGACTATGCGGCAGGCCTATGCGAAGCCTCGCTGGACGCCGACGAGGACGACTCAACGGGCCAGAAGCACACTTTCAACAATCTAGTGACCGAAGACGATGTCTCTGCTGCCAAAACCCGGCGTATTCGTTGGCTGTCCCAGATTTGCGAGTATTGGCCGCTGCGCAAACTTGCTGCCATTAACGACTCCGACATCGATAATATCCTCCAGGCCTACTCGTCCAGCAAAGATAGCCCCGAGGATGTCAATGGGGTCGAAGATGTGCAAAGACAGGGCAAAATTGTGCTGGCTGGTTCTGGACCAGGACATCCGGATCTCCTCACCCGAGCAACATACAATGCCATTCAAACTGCCGACCTCATCCTTTCAGATAAGCTTGTACCGGCGCCGGTGCTGGAATTGATTCCTCGGAGGACCGAGGTCCATATTGCACGCAAATTCCCCGGCAACGCAGACCAAGCACAAGAAGAATTCTTGCGAATGGGTCTCGATGCTTTACGTCGTGGAAGACACGTTCTTCGTCTAAAGCAGGGCGATCCTTATCTCTATGGCCGAGGAGGAGAAGAGTTTGAGTTTTTCCGAAACGAGGGCTACACGCCTCTTGTCTTGCCAGGAATCACCAGTGCGCTGAGCGCTCCGTTGTTTGCTGAAATCCCGGCAACCCACCGCGGCGTATCCGACCAGGTGTTGATCTGCACCGGAACAGGCAGAAAGGGAGCGGCCCCCAACCCCCCTACATATGTGCCGACCCAAACAGTGGTCTTTCTAATGGCACTGCATCGGTTGTCGGCACTGGTGGAATCTTTGACGGCCCCGCCCGAAGACGTCTCGCAGTCCCGAACGCTGTGGCCCAAGAACACACCTTGTGCCATCATCGAACGGGCGTCGTGCACAGATCAGCGGGTGATCCGTTCTACCTTGGAACATGTCTGCCTGGCCTTTGAAGCCGAAGGGTCTCGTCCTCCCGGTCTGCTGGTGGTTGGGGCCAGCTGCCATATCCTACATCAACCTAAGGATCAAAAGTGGATCGTAGAAGAGGGATTTAAGGGACTCGATGAGCTGCGACATATTCCTGAGGTCGCTACGATAGCAGAGAAGGAGTAGAGAGTGGTGGTGACTCTAGGAGGCTGCAATGTTGTGATATATATGTGATGACGGTGGACAAGGAGGTTTTTTACAGCAAGGAATAGGAAAAAGAGATACCCATATAGATAGAGCATTGACGAATGATCATGAATGATTAAGATTTTGAAACGTTTCCAATAATTCTTTTGAGCAAAACGTTACGAGGTCTAGAACCAGGCTTGTGTACATATAGTTATGCCAAACCCAGCAAGTCACGGGAATATCCAACGCCAAGACTCCCCGTCAGACTATCTTATCTCCCGATCTCATTCAACCTTCAACCTTCCAGTCATCGCAAACCCATACCATTCGCCCCGCTACCATCATGTCGTCAAAACCGCAAACATACATGTCCAACGGACAGGTCCTTGGAAGGTGAGAACCCGTCATTCTACTCCTCGACGGTAGCGCTTTAGGGGAACGAACACCCAAGTAACCGCCGGCCGCAGCCCCCCGTTTTCCGTCCGCCTCGCTCGCTTCTTCGAGAATGTCTATCTCTTTCTGGGTCTCTATCTCGTGAGCCTCTTCTCGGTACGTTACATTGCTTTTTTCTTATTATTGAGATGCTTTTACGGATGGATGCTTTCCCCATACAACTCCTCATTGCGTATCTCATCTATTGGCTCTATCGTGCTCGCAACCACAGACTAACAACAAATAACTATAGGTTGATCCTTACACCGCTGCCCAAAATTCCAAATTCAATATCACTCGTTCCGGAAACAACCCGAACACTCGTTCGCGATGGGGCGGAAGTAGCGGCTATGGAGGAGGCGGAGGAGGTGGTGGTGGTGGCGGCGGAGGTGGCGGGCCTCGCAAGATTGGTCGCGTAGATGATATTCGAGGACCGGAGTGCAAGAGCTGTCAATGAGGTATTGAGTGTGGATGCGACACCAGGCAGCGTTGATGCTTTGGTATACCGGTTTCCTGAGATTACGACTATCCCCCTTTGTCAAGCGCGAATTCAATCTTGTTATGCAGTGAGATGCCAATACGCGAATGTTTAAAGAGTGCATATTCCACTGCAAATAGGGCCCGTAGAAGATTTTGGCAAGAGATGAGCAGCTTTGACGCGATCAGACGGCCACCCTTCAATCAGGTGGCACCATGCGGCCCTGGCCTCGCACTTAACTATCCAAAATCCCCTTCCTGAGCTTTGAATGCTGGTGCTTGGTGAAGGCGCGCTCCGGCTTGCCTGACGCTGCCATCACACGTGGTACGAAGGTATTCGCATACGCGTGTTTGTATAACTGGATGTCCGGTTCTGCTTTTCTCTGATGATTATGAATAGCGATCTGAAGGTCCAGCTTCTCACGGTATTGGTGTGGTTGGAGTTGGCTATGTGCATCCTCTAATCTTTTTCAACATCAGATCTTGTACCAGTCACGGCCGGCACAGAGCTGGTTGAACCTGTCATATACAACATCTAGAGCAGCTAGCGAGGTACGGAGTACTTGCTATAGGCAGCTCTTGCTTTCTGTCCAGGTACTCTTGTAGCTTGGCTTGGATTACTGTCCTTCGATTGATGATTGGTCATCGAATATAGAGGACGGGGCAGATCCTGGGGTAGGATTGGAGATGCAGTGGGTTGTAAAGGTCGAGGGGTATGCGGGAATATGCATTCTACGATCACTGGTTGGATGTGACCATCCTTAGTTAGATTCACCGTTTGGGTGAATATGTGAGACGATCTCGAGGACCGAGTCTAGTCCATACTAAAGTAGGGCATCCACCTCATGATGATGATAGCATCACGTGATAAATGGGGCGTTTCTCCGCATTTTCAGAGAATCAAATTTCCACCGTCGTCAATCGCAGCTGCAAATATATTCTCGAGCATAACCAGACTGGATTTTGAGAGAATCGATCTCAGAAGAATTGCAAGCCCGAAACAAAAGTACGCAATCCATTCCCGACCCCATCCGGTGGGTAGCACTACGCTTCCAATTCCCTTGCGTCTGAACACTTGCATATAGCGGGGTTAACGGGTCCGGATCCGTGCTACAGGACAACAGCTCACCCAAACACCACAATGTCTGATATCCCAAGGAGCAACGAAGAATGGGCGGCCCAGATCTCGACGATCAAGGACCAACTTCCGGAGACGTTTTCCGTGCATCAGACCCCGGTGCCTTCGGCCATTAGCCAGACGATTGATCACACTCAATTGGCCCTGGCCGCGACCGAGCAGCAAATCGACCAGCTATGCGACGAAGCGTCGAAGTACCGATTTGCGACGGTTTGCGTACGTTTAAACTACGTCGCCCGGGCTGTCCAGAGACTCCAGGCGTCGCCCGACGTGGGTGTGGCTTGCGTGGTGGGTTTCCACGAGGGCATGTACGAGACATCAGAAAAGGAGCAGGAGGCGCGAGAGGCAGTGAAGCAGGGAGCCTCGGAGCTAGATATGGTGTTGAAGTACCCGCTCTTGAAGGAAGGGAAATACACAGAGGTCTACGAGGATATTCTGGGGGTGCGCAAGGCGGCGCCCTTGCCCACAAAGCTGAAAGTCATCTTGGAAACGGCCCAACTCACGCGCGACGAGATCATTGCGGGGTCATTCCTGGCGTGTACGGCCGGCGCGGACTTCATCAAGACCAGCACCGGGTTCAACGGAGCCGGGGCCAATGTTGACAACGTGGCACTCATGCGGGCAATTGCGGACTTGGTGGGCAAGGGATGCAAGGTGAAGGCTAGTGGAGGGGTGCGGTCGACCGAGGACAGCGTCCGGATGCTGAAGGCAGGCGCCGAGCGCATTGGTAGCAGTTCGGGGGTGAAGATCATGCAGGAGTTGGGCGGGGAGACGGTGTCGGGCGCAGCAACGGAAGGGTATTAACGGGAGGGCGAGGAGCACTTAAGACCAGGGGATTTCCCCTAGGGCTCGGAGTCGGAGAGGACTCGAACGCTGCGAAAGAAAGGGAAAAGTGCAAAGTGTTACTTAAGAAGTGGACTGGATTTAAAGTAGAAACTCCGCCGGGCGGTGGAGAATCGACGTCATCAGGAAGCACCCTCATCGGTCAACCACGAACCGCCCAGGAACCCGGTTTGTGCTCAGGATTAGCGAGTCTCTCTAGTCAATTCTTTTCGTTCTCGCAAGATCTGCGCGCTCTCCCCCAATGAAGCACTCGAATCCCTCCCAAAAGTCCCCTGACTTCGCCGCTCGTTCGCTGCCCTCTTCCTCCCCTGTCAATCCCAGGATGCGCCGTCCCAGTAACGTCAACCATAACGTCAAGGTTCCACCCCTTCCCCTCGCTGCTCTAATCATACCACGTCCTCGAGTACTAATCACTGACTTCGGCCTCATTAGAAGCGCAAGACCTTCCACGAGCAAAGTCCGCCCGGGCAAGGTGGCCCTGCGCAAGGTGATGTCTTCACCGAGAAGCCTTCCGCCGTCTTTGAGCCCAGCGGCGGCCGCTCTCATACTCTGAGCGTGGCTATTCCCGGTAGTATCGTGGCCAAGTAAGTCCTGTGCCCATGTATGCGACAAAGTCTCCGGGGACAAACACTAACGCGGCTTTGCGACAGCGCGAAATCCATAGAACAGAAGACCCTCCTCGCAGGGATCATTGCTCGTGCCCTCGCCGTATTCTGCGTCGACGAAGTCGTGATCTTCGATGACGACGAGAACAGTGCGCAGCATGACTTCTACGAGCAGAACGACGACTGGTACGAGTCGCCTATAGACAAGACCAACGACCAGCTCAATGGCAACGTCCCCTCTACCAAGGGCTATACCGCCAATTCGGACCCCTCGCATTTCCTGGCGCATCTGCTGTCCTATCTAGAGACGCCGCCGTATCTGCGCAAACACCTCTTCCCCATGCATCCGAACCTGCGTGGTGCCGGCCTGTTGCCCAGTTTGGACATGCCGCATCATCTTCGTGCCAACGAATGGTGCGATTACCGCGAGGGTATCGTGGTCTCGAACGCCGATCACTACAAGGCGCGTCGTGGCAGCTACTCGGACGGCTACCCTCGTCGACGTAGCTCGACCAGCCCGACCGGCCCTCCTGCTACGATCGTGGACACCGGTCTTTCCCAAAAAGTTGTTCTCCCGGAGATTCAGCTTCCCGAACATGCGCGGGTCACCGTGCGATTTTCGCAGGACGGTTCGGAGCAGTACGCCGAGTCGGTTCATCCGTCCGCGCCTCGTTCGGAGGCGGGTTATTACTGGGGATACTACGTGCGCCGGTGTCGGTCGCTGTCCTCCGTCTTCACCGAGTGTCCCTTCGATGGTGGCTACGATCTGTCGTTCGGGACTTCCGAGCGCGGCGCTCCCGTGCACACGGTTCTGGAAGAAGACGCCGAGGGGGGCGCAATGCATGATCACGATCACCACGCGCAACCACCGGACTACAACCATTTGCTTCTTGTCTTTGGCGGTGTTGCAGGCATCGAGGCTGCGATTCGAAACGATCCTCAACTCCGCGACATGGCCATCCGCCCCACCGAGGCCGGCAAGCTGTTCGATTATTGGGTCAACCTCCTTCCCGGCCAGGGTAGCCGCACTATTCGCACCGAGGAGGCCGTCTGGCTGGGCCTGACGAGTCTCCGAGGCTTGGTGGAGGGTAGTCATCGTCCTAAGAGATCGTACAGGTACAACGGATCCAAGGAGTAGAGGGTTCTATCAAAGCTGAAACTGTCCACCAAACGCCCTTTGGAAGGGATGCCGCGGGAATAATCAGTTCCATCGCCACATTCCAGGCGATGTTTCGTCCTTTTTCCCTTTTCCTTCCCTCTCAGATTCCCTTTCTTCCCCTCCCCTCTTTCCCCTTGCCTCCTTCTTTCTCTCCCCGTCCGGAACGGGTTTCCGGTACTAGTTTCCGGCATCTTGCGATTCAATGCCGAAGTGTGGCTTTTGGACAAACTGATTACCTACCCGTTCGTCGGGTTAGCCGTTATACTTGCATACTTGACACTGTCTGGCCTGCGTCGATCTCGGCCCTCCTATATCCGTCACCGTGACGCCGAGAATCTGCAACGGTCCTGTCGATCCTCTGGTCATTCAATATCTTGTCCTGCGAGATGAACATGTGACGTGACATGCTGGACAGTCTGTATGCTGAACGTTGCGATTGATGATTCTTTGCATTTTTTTCGGGATTATTTTTCTTGTCTTTTTTTCCATCACTTTTCGTTCTATATGATATCAGATACACCAGGCAACGGAGTCATGGTTCATTTACCGTTACCTATCTAATGGGATTTATTGCATTTTATTTCTTACTTTTGTTCCTCATCTTTAATATCTATTAGTTTACTCTTCCCTGCTCACCTGTTACGTCTCTGGACTGAGTGGTGAGTGATGAGTGATGAGTGTTGTAATGTCTAATCTATAGAGGAATTCATAGGTTTGTTCATCTCGCATAGCGCGGCAAGACAGAAAAGATAACAAGAAGATTTCCTATGCGGTCAAGTCTACATTCCACTGCATGGCCGTTCTCTCTTATTCATTCCAAGAATGTGTGAATGAATTCATCAAGAATGGGGCAACAAACGGTGCAATATCCCAATCAAAGTAGATGTCAGTCTGGACCGCGGGGTCGGTCTACACATTCCTTGTTTAGTTTGTTCTTTCTCTTTTATTTACAAGTGGGTTCATTCGGTCTAGATTGTACCATACGGAGTAGGTTGCGGCGCGCATTCCCAACCGATGAGCGCGATGATCATCCAACAATAATGCAATCCAGAGAAAAAATGCTTTTCCAACCGTTGCTAACGCCGGAATTGTGCAAAGTGGAGAAAAGAAGAGACAGATAAGATTATTGCTCATCACTACTATGATCGTCCGAGTCACTGGTCTGCTCGCTTTCCTCGGCGTCCATTTTTCGGAGTACAGCGTCTCCTTTCTTGCCCTTTTTCTCGGCCGCGAACCAGGCTTCTCGGCGCTTGGTCTCGCGCGCTTCCTTGCGGGCTTGTCGGAGGGATTTTTCGCGCTGCGTCTGCTCGTGGCTCTGGTGGAGCTGGCTGATGTGGTCGTGTAGGTTGACGAGGTCGGAGCGGAGTTTGGTTACTTCGTTGGTGGTGGCTTGGCGGGCCGTTTCGTTGATCAAGGCTTTCTTCTTGAGCTGCGCGATTTCGGTCTCCAGGGATGCGATGTGCGAGTCTTTGGCGGCCGTGTCTTCGTTCGGTGTTGCGTAGGCCATGGATGGGATGGGGGTGCCGCTGGCGCCGCCGCCCTGGCTGAACAGGGATAGCTCGGCCAGACCCTCTTCGATCATGGATTCGGGGAAGGTGGCGTTGGTGAAGGCGTCGGAGAACTGATCGGGTTTGGACTGCGTAGGGGTAGATGAGGTCGGGAGGAGGTGCGTGCTGAATGTGTAGTCGGCCGGTACAACGCCGGCGGTCTGGGAAGACTCGGAGAGGGTGCTGTCGTATCTGGGTTTGACGATCGTGTGCGCCGTTCGCTGCAGCTCAAGACTGGGCTGTGGGAGACCATTGGGTGGGAGCATAAAAAGATTCGTTACGGGATGGGTATAATCAGCCACAGTCGAGGCGTATTTCCGTCGTCCGACATTCCACGAGAGAACTTTTCCGTTCTGGTGGCCGGATAATAGTGTCATGCCATCGTAGGAGAGGCAGAGTGTATGCGCGGCTCCAGACTCGGCAGTCGGTGGAGCCCATCGATCTTCGGCTGGTGGTTGGGAGGGAGTGGATTGTAGCGACGGGTCATGAAGAGGATGCTGGATCGAATTGCTCTTGTAGAAATCTACAGACTGGACGCTGCCATCTTCGTATCCCACATAGAAAGCCCGATCCACGGGGTCGAGCGTTAGAGAGGTTGCGCTCGAAGGGAGGAGGTATGTCCGTAGAACACGGCCCGTGTGATAGTCCCAGGCAATGGCGGTGTTATCCTGGGCGGCGGAAACAGCAATGTTATACCGGCCGGTGCTATGTCCGACTGCGATAGAGGTGATAGCGGCGCGATGGTTCGAGAAAGTCCGGATGGGGGAGTTCGGAGGTTGTCTGTCCCGACCAGAGGGGGCCTTTGTGAAGGACAGAAGGTCGGCCAACGACCAGACATGGACGTTGGCATCTTGAGAGCCGGAAAGAATGAAGTTGGAGCTGGGATCCACCACCAGCGCGGTCACTGGACTTAAATGTGACGCGGTCGTGGCGACTTGTCTGCCGGTGCATGTCTAGACAATGGGAAAAGAGAACTGTTAGGCTATGAAGAAAGCACAACTAGAACCACATCTCAGACATACCTCCCATAGAATCAATCGGCCTCCCTCAGTGCCCAGAACCACAACGTCGCCATTCTTACTCCCCGCAATTGCGATACTGCGAATACGCTCCGGGAAGGGGACAGTAGCTTCTTGGTTTCCCTTTTCTCGGCTATACACGTGAAGAATGGCCTTCTCTGATTGAGCTGCGAAAACGTGCGACGGACTTACGGCCAGGCAATTGGCCGCTGTCGAGCTCTTCTTGAAGGAGGAGCGTAGGGTGGGAGCAGGTTGGAATTCATGAACGCAGATCCCTACATCCCTGAGACTATTCGACGTCGGAGCTTTGGCCGACGCCAATGTGGACGCGATGAAATACTCTGAAAGCATGAGGAGCTGCCAAAGTGGGGGTGATTATCAATTATCGAAGAGGTGTAGAAGGGAGAAAACGCCGCTATTTTTATCCATCCATTTTTTTTTCTTTTCCTGTCGGCGATAAAAAGCGATAAACGATAAAAGTTTGCACTGTTTGCAGCGGCGTCCCCTGATCTCACGGGACTCGGCCAGGACAAGGAACGTCGCCCTCTACAACTCACTCACCACATCAAGTTTTCTCTCACTTGGTCCCTATCTTGGGCATTTATCCCATGATCCCTGGGCTCCTTGCTAACTGACCTCCTTATGGCCCTTAGGGTCATGTGGATTGCCGATGTTGCCCTGCGCCAATTACTATCAGCGCGCAGCTGTAGTAATGCAGCGATGGCAAAACCTCATCAAGCACTTCTTTTCCCCGTCGAAGAATTTCACGCCTTCGGGTGGAATTTGAGCCATCCTCATACATTTCAAATCTCCGCCGCTGTAGGTTGATTGGGACTCTCGCACATGCTGCTTAAATTGCGGCCTCCTCCAAATATGGGGGTAGTCCACCACACCCACAGCAACCAATGCAAGGGGGCCTTTCTAGGGGGTTCGGCTTTGATTGCCCGTCGCAACAGCTCAGCCAAAGACAGAAGGGTGACGTTCTTTTCCGGGCCCTTCTAGGGACTCTCCCCATTTCCCTCCCTCTGCATGTTTCATTCCTCCTGTAGTGACGAAATGCAGAGAGCCTGAAAAGCGGACCATCCACGTTGTGCTGCGCCTGCAGGTGGCGCGCATAGGGCCTTCCATCCAATGATCCTCGATCCCGTCGGATCTCACCTCGCTCTGGAATGCAAGGACGGTAGACGTAGTGGCCCTTTACAGTTCACTCTTGTTCCAGATTGTTGAGTGACCCTCGCGAAGGGGGAGACCACACATGCCCGATCTCTGGCTATCTGTCACCGCAGGTAGCCAAGGGATGTCTGGAAAGCAGGTCTTTTGGCTAGTATAAGGTCTTGTTGGGCCGCTGCTGCGCACATTTCTGGGTCTTCTGCTCAGTTTCTCTTATTGCTGCCTCTCATTTCACCCAACTAATATACTATCTTCTGTTTATCTTACATCTCCACTATTGTTCCAATACTGCTTGATCATGTCCACGATGGACTGCGATCGTGCAAAGATGCATCTCAGGGCGCACTTTCCTCTTCACCAACACACGGTATCTGCAAACAGTGTTCCAACGTACGCCAACAGAAATGTGCCTTCGTATAGCGTAGCTGGCGAAGAGGGCCTATCTGAAGGTCGCAGCATGGCTGCTCCTCGCTATTCTCCCAATGTACAACCATGGAGGAGGCAGAACACGCAGAACTCCCTCTCTTTTGTTCCTTCAACCTCACCTCGCCTAGAACAATCCGAATACACGACGTCGCAGACACGACGACCAGCAGAACAAGCTCCTGTCATTATTTCACCTTTTAGATCGGTACGCAGAATGAAACAGCCGTTCCAGCTGCGCCTACCATCTTCTCCCTCGTTTGAAAACAACCCAACTTCGATTCGAGACTCTCGAAGACTCTCGAGGGAACCGGCCAGCAACAACCACGGTTTGCGCACATGGCGATCCGACCAAAACCTCACGACTACGAGCATGGAGACCTTTGGTCTTCTTCCCAGCCCACCTCTGTCCGACTCGAGATCCTCGCAGCATTCTCCTTCTTCAGCTTATTTCTCTCCAAGATCGGAGTATGATTCTGATGCTGATCAAACAACACCGAAGAGCTCTTCTACTTATAAGCCGGAACCCAAACCGTCATTCGCTTCCCGTGCGCTCCGATTGAGAAAAACCACCGAAAACCTTAGGAGCACGAATGAGCCCACAAATGTGCATATGGCACATTCCAATCTAGTTCGACAATGGGATTCCGATGATGGAAAGCTCACGCCTGTGTCTACAGATTCGGAGAGGACGGCATCTCCATCCCCATCCCCGTCTCGGTCCCCCTCTCTGTCGCTCTCACCCACGCCATACACAGATACAGAGTCCCCAGACACCCGAGATTTCTCTACTTCCTCCCCAAACACGCAGCGAAGTCGATCCCGAACGGTCTCTAGCGAAAGAAGTTGGGTCCCGAGTAGCCTCTCGTACTACGAGCCATGGCTACAAGGGGCGCCATCGGAAACAGCAGATTCTGGAGGGGAGAAGCCAAAGGAATTCAATCGGAGGAAGTGTCAGATACTTCCGCCGGCTGATAAGCCTGTGGTGAGTGCTCTAACAGTTTATTGTCCCGGACATATGCTCATTAATTTATAGGTGTTTGCTGTCGCCAGTAAGACGAAACCGAAACTGGTGGATATATCACGGCAGTCGTCCCCTGCAATGAGTTATTCGATGCCAACGCCACCGCAGCGTACAGTTCCTTCCACGCCAGATCACCGTCAACATGAAATATCGGCTTTCAGTCCAGACACGCCATTGGAAATGTCTGATAGCGGCTATATTACGCACCACTGCCCCTCTCCTCAGGAAAACCGAAAGCCCAAGGAGGAAGATGAATTCACTGACACCAGCTCTCTCAGTGGAGAGAGTGTCGGTGAAACCGTCGTCTGCGACAAAATGGCTACAAGCCAAGAACTTCCGAAGCTACCGCCGAGATCGCCTCAGAGGTCACCCCAGCAGTCGCTTCCCAAACCAGATCTCAAACCAATCACACAGTCGTTACCAAAACCACAAGCATCCCCCGGGCGGTCTTCCAACATGTCCGAGAAAGAGGAACTAGAGAAATGGTGGGACCATGAGTGGACGATCGACCAGCTGGAGCATTCGGCCAAGGACTTCCCTCGAAACATGCTCAAGTTGACCTCACCAGTCATCATGTTCCTCCGCCACAATAATGAAAAGGCACTTATACGACCTTTTCGAAAAATATTTCCCGAAGTTGCCGAGAATTTACTCGACAACCTTTGTGCAGTGCTGATTGCACGAAACTATTTGATATCCCTTGCGTCGGTCAATCGGAGAAACAGCAATTTCTCCCATAAACCAAGCTTGTCTCGTCTCGATACGGTTCCTGAAAAAGCAAGCTCCGGGCTAGGAATGCAATACTCACAACCAACGCCAGCGCGGGTCAAGAATAGGGTCCTAGGCACAAGGAGCGCAGAGCTCTGCAAGGACCTCGATCGGATTGTTGACAACCTGATCTTTGCCATCTGCGGCAAGCAAGATGAGCATTTGAAGTCGGCCGTACTCGTGCTGGCTCAGGTTCTGGAGACCAAGTCCTAGACCAGTCATTTCTAATTTACTCTCTTTATAGATGTCGTCAGACATATCCCGGATCATCGCCAGTCAATCTTTACATTATTTCCTATCACTGTTTCTTACACTCTCGTTTCTTATCGCATCAACCACGCTCACTGCACTTCTCGTTTCTCTCCTGCTATGCAAGACACAAACTGCACCCGCTCGTGACACTCTCATTTACTCTGTTGCATCTCTCGTTGATCCAATTCTCATTTATTGTATTTTTTTTCCAATCCTCAATCTTTCGTCATATATCCCATTTTCCTTCTTGTTTCCAAAATTGTGACCCATGCCGACATAGTCGCCATCCTATCTATCCTATTTGTATAATCGTGTACCGTTGACCCCAGTGGTTGATATAATTACTGGTCTGACATAAGGTCCAGACCTAATGATACCCTTAGAATATTAATATAATACTGGCAATTCACACCATATCCCGTGCAACTTGCGTGATCCTCCTGTAGATGAACGTCAGCTTAGGGCTAGTTACCTTCCCTTTGCGGATTTCGGACCTAATCCTGATCCGGATTAGTGCTACATGACTAAGACGCGGGCAATTCGCCGTTATCTCGCGGAGCTGCTTCGTCTTTCCCGCGGAATTCCTTTCTTGCAAACTGCGCAAGTTGAATTGCTTCACCATGGCCGCCTCGACGAACCGCTTGAGATCTCTCTACGCCTCTACTTCCAGAGCTGTATCCCACCCAGGAGCAGCCGTCGCCCCCATTACAGTCCGCAGCTATGCCACGACAGACCCTGCGCCATCCGCCACCGGCGCCCCGGGCACGACGCCGCGTCGCCGAACCACCTTCAAGGATAAGCTGAATGCCGGCCCTTCCTTCTCAGACTTCGTCTCCGGCGGCACCGACAACGCTCCTCTCGATCCCTCCGAAGCCTATGCCCTCAAAACCGCCATGGTCGGACCCGCCGGCCGCAAGAAGGAAATGACCCGCCTCCCGTCCTGGCTGAAGACGCCCATCCCCGATTCCAAGAACTACCAGCGCCTGAAGAAGGACCTGCGCGGTCTCAACCTCCACACCGTCTGCGAGGAGGCTCGCTGTCCCAACATCTCTGATTGCTGGGGCGGCAGCGACAAGTCCGCCGCTACCGCCACCATCATGCTCATGGGCGATACCTGCACCCGTGGCTGCCGCTTCTGCAGCGTCAAGACCAACCGCAATCCGGCTCCCCTGGACCCCCACGAGCCCGAGAACACCGCCGAGGCCATCTCGCGCTGGGGCCTGGGTTATATCGTCATGACCAGCGTCGACCGAGACGACCTCGCGGACGGCGGTGCTCGTCACTTCGCCGAGACGGTGATCCGCACCAAGCAGAAGGCGCCGAACATCCTCGTCGAGTGTCTGACCGGAGATTATAGTGGCGATTTGGACATGGTGGGCCTGGTCGCGAGGTCCGGGCTGGACGTGTACGCGCACAACGTCGAGACGGTGGAGGCTCTGACGCCGCAGGTTCGGGACCGGAGGGCCACCTTCCAGCAGTCGATCCGCGTGCTGGACGCCGCCAAGAAGGCTCAGCCGGGCTTGATCACCAAGACCTCGTTGATGCTGGGATTGGGCGAGACCGAGGACCAGCTGTGGGATGCGCTGCGGCAGTTGCGTGCCGTGAACGTCGACGTCGTCACCTTCGGCCAGTACATGCGTCCCACGAAGCGTCATATGGCGGTGCATGAGTACGTCACGCCCGATGCGTTCGAGCTGTGGCGCCAGCGCGCCCTCGATATGGGCTTCCTGTACTGTGCTTCGGGTCCGCTGGTCCGTAGCAGCTACAAGGCCGGTGAGGCGTTCATTGAGAATGTCTTGAAGAAGAGACGCGCTGCCGCTGCCGCTGGAGCGCCGGGAGAGCAGACAGTCAGCAGCGACACGAAGATTGCCATCGATGAGGCAACGCGCTGATCTTCCTTTTTCTTTTCTGCCCCTTCCTTCTTCCCTCCCCAGCTCTACTATTTTTGTGTATTACTCCCGTTTCACCTTAGATTTTTGGATTCTGCTTTGTTATTGATCGGCGCAGGTTTTCTGGTTCTCTTGTTCTTGTTTCCAAAGCATTATTACTGGTTTACATTTGTGATGATTTTCAAAAATTCAGGAAGGAGAGATTTTCTCCCACTTCTTCTCAGGTATAGAGATGATAATAGGTATTGAGAGAACATAGGTTCAACACATAGATTCAAATTCGAATCAACTTCATCATAACTAATGCGCACGTAAATCTCATATGATATCCATGGCTGAGAAATAGAAATTAAATCATATGTACCCGGGGGGTTGGTTTCGGGTCTCCTCCACTCCTACGCCTCATGAACAATGTTGTCTCTCTCTGTCTCTCTCTCGGTCCGTTTGTTTGTTTCTGTCTGTCTGTCTGTCTCTTCCCCGTCTACTTCCTCCCCTTCGACCATAGAAGGTTCAACTGGAGCGTGCTTCATCCGAATGTACTAGCCAGCCTAATGACAGATTGCAAAGAAGAGTTGTCGACTTCAACGAAATAGCAAAGGAAAATCAAGGATGAAAATGGAAAGCAGGAAGGGCAGGAAGGCGATGATAGGATAGGGGAACCCATGTTTCAATGCTGCTCCACAACAAAGACCACTTCAAATTGCTGCATTTGGCAAGGAAAAGGAAAGGTTGAGAGAAGACGATAATACTCTTAACCTTTCCAAGGAATTCAACAAGAAATGGGACTACCTCCAACTACGGGTTCTTCTTCATGGGTTTCACAAGCCTTCCGCAGTCAGCTCCTTGACGTCCTCGTTCGAGAGACCAAGCAGGTAGAGAATGTCGACAAGGCTTTCTCCATTCAGACGGGTAGGGGCCTCCAGCTGCACCATGCTCTTGGCGCGCCAGGCGACACCGAGTCCAGCGGCATGGAGCATGAGCAGGTCGTTGGCGCCATCACCCACAGCAACGGTCTGGGAGATGGGGATGCCGTTCGATTCGGCGATGGATTGCAAGAGTGCTCGCTTCTGGGAGGCGTCAATGATAGGGTGGTCGGATACAAGTTTACCCGTGAGAGTCTGAGTGACCGGGTCGACCTCGAGCTATAGAATCAACACACCACGGATTAGCCAGCCGGGTAGGTAGAAAGCCTCCCTTGATGATCCGGGGCGGGGACGGTAGTTCAATGGTGAACATTAGCAAGCCAAGGGATGGTGGGGCATACATGGTTCGCGTGTGCGTAATCAATACCAAGCTCACCAGCCAGCCATTCGGCCAAGGGCTGGAATCCTCCACTAAGCACCGCCAGTTTGCAACCAAGGGTCTTCAAGGCCTTGCACAGTTCACGCGCACCCGGAGCAATTGTGATGACGGATTTCAGCTTCTCGTAGATGTCCGCGGGAACCCCCTTGAGCAAGCCAACGCGCTCCTTGAGCGACGCCGAGAAATCGAGCTCGCCGTTCATGGCACGTTCCGTGATTTCCTATCACTATCGTCAGTGGGGCGAAACGCTAGACCAGAGCGTACAAACATACCGAGACCTGCTTTTCCACGCCAATAGCCTTGGCAATCTCATCAATCACTTCATTCCGGATCAAGGTGCTGTCCATATCAAACACGACCAGTCGCTTGTGTCGGCGGAAAACGCTCTCCTTCTGCAGCACCACTTCCACGTTCCACTCGCGCTCAAATCGCCATATGCTCTCATGCTTGCGAAGATCGGTGAAAGTGAGGTAGTCGGGGTTAGGGGGAGGGGAGATGGTGACCTCGACAACGCGAGGCTGATCTTGGCGATCGAGACAGCGATGGGAAGTGTTCATGCGCTGATAAGGGATCGGGAGAGACTCCATGATCTGAAGAAAGTTCGTCAAGCATAGTTGCGACACAAACGGACCGTAGAGATGATCGAGAGGCTCGGGCTCTGGTGCCGGGGGTTCGCGCGGGATCTTCTCGATATCGATAGTCGGTGCAGAACCCACGGGAACCATCGGGGAAGGCAGTTTACTCCCTGGACGAGGAGACGAATCGGGGTGGAGATGAGGGTGGATAGGGTCGGAGGATTTGTAGTATATGGTAGCGACGACTTGCGGAGTTCCAGTCGGTAGGAGATTCCCTTGATGGTTGAAGATGCTGTGGATGATGCCACTCTCGGTCACCTTCTCAGGATCCGGGCTGATGGGGTTAGCGTTGAGGGATAACGAGCCCATGCCAGACTCGACCGCATTCCCCAGAACATTTCCGATGGTCTGGTTGATCGGAACCGAGGGCTTGTACTGCTGGTGATCTTGGATGAAGGAGTTGCTGCGCAACGTATGCTGCAGCATTGGCCGCTGTGGGCGAGAGGCCGTGGTGGTGGGGTTAGGCGCCTCCATTCCGCAGGATCTAGGGTGGGAAGTTGCGAGGGGGAGGAAGAGGAGAGGAGGTCAAACGCGTGACAGTAGATGAGGGTACAACGGAAGACGAGAAGCCAGTCAGCAAACGGACTCTGGAGAGCTTGACACTGGAGACTGCAAAGCAAGGCCTGACGTTTGCAAGAAAATCATGGATTTCCCCTGCAGTATCGATCGCCGGGCACGTGGCGGGGTGTTCGGAAGGAGAAGGCGGTCCCGCGATGTCAGACCGCCCGGCATAAACAGCGGCAGTTCACGTCCGTCGCTCCGGTTCCGACAACATGGCGGACATGCCTTGCCAGCAGATACCCACACGGCGTTTTGCCAGACCCAGCAGACCTCCGACTACGGGTGAATCATCCAGGATCGAGAGCTATTATTAATCTTTCCAGATGGAAGACAGTCTATCTGACTAGTGATGGACTAAAAAGTGCGTGGTTGTCCGGTTACATCATTGAGAGACGCTGACCAGGATCAGGGCCCCCTGCGTTCCCCTGGGAGAACATTGATGGAACAATGATGATGAAAAGCATAATAGCTTTGTCAGATGTCATACACATCGAACGGAATGCATGAATAATCATACTATCATCATCTCCGGGGTTCCAGAAGAACCATTTGGAAACGTGGAAGGCCAGGCATTTATCAGCGGTGATTGCCCGCCCAGTGTGTCCGGCCGACGACAGGCACCACAAGCGCAGGTATTGCGTGATTTTCTGGGGACATGAGGAAATTGAATTTTTCAGCAGCCTCCCCCATCCGGGCAGGCGGTCACGGGCAATGTCGTGATTGCCAGCGGCAGAATGAGCCGGGCAGGATGAAGGGTCTCTGGCAGTGAAGGACAGGCTCCGGTTGCCGGTGATGTCGTGATTGCCCCTGTCTTGCCCGCCTCTTATATGAGACTGGCGGTGGCTCTTCTCTTGTCTTCCTCACATCATCCCCTCGTCAGATTTGCAATTTCTGGGCCAAACGTCGTCATTCAATCCATTCCCGTTTCCTTACATATAGACTGCTTGGTTCCCTCTAAACAAACATTGTCCCACTTTGTCTACCCTTTGTTTTCCTCATAGCATCGGTCTAAGCAAAGATGCCTGCTAAGATGCCTGTCAACTACCCCTCCGAGTCCGAAGTCGACTCCAGAACCGAGTCTGGCTATGTGAGCGGTGGCTCGAGTGATGACTACACCCCGGAGATTGTCTTCACCAAGGCGCACTTGCAATTCCTCAACCGTCAGCTGCAATTTCTTGAACCTCAAGGTCAGCTACGGATGCCTGCCCCTCTTGTAGTCCACTCGGCCAATGCTGACTGATCTTCATGTAGATGTCTTGAGATGGTGTGTCACTTCGCTGCCTCATCTCTTCCAGACTACTGCTTTCGGCCTGACGGGTCTTGTCACTCTTGACATGCTATCCAAGTTGGATGTGCCCCGTCCCCAGATGGTTGACCTTGTCTTCCTCGACACCCTTCATCACTTCAAGGAGACCCTGGCTCTGGTTGACCGGGTCCGTAAGAGATACCCTCTCAACAACATTCATGTGTACAAGCCTGCTGGCGTCGAGACTGAGGAGGAGTTCGCCAAGAAGTTCGGTGCCCGTCTTTGGGAAACCGACGATCAGTTCTACGACTGGGTCGCCAAGGTCGAGCCTGCTCAGCGTGCCTACCGCGAGCTGAACGTCCATGCTGTCCTCACCGGACGCCGCCGCAGCCAGGGTGGCAAGCGTGGCGACCTGGACATCATCGAGGTCGACGAGGCCGGCCTGATCAAGGTCAACCCTCTTGCCAACTGGTCCTTCGACCAGGTCAAGAAGTATGTCACGGAGAACGATGTGCCCTACAACGAACTTCTTGACCGTGGCTACAAGAGCATTGGCGACTACCACTCTACCCAGCCGGTCAAGGACAACGAAGACGAGCGCTCTGGTCGCTGGAAGGGCCAGGAGAAGACCGAGTGTGGAATCCACAACCCTCGATCCAAGTACGCCCAGTTCCTCATGGACATGGAGCGCAAACGCCAGGAGGAGGCCCTCTCACAGGCCCTGCAGACCTCTCTCACCACTGCTCAATAAGCGTGTCGCGTCCACTGTCTTTTAATTTGCATTTACACTGGCGTTCTATGAATGGGGACTACCACATCTAGCGGGATTTCACATGGCGTTGCCTCTGTTTCAGACGGATTCGGGATCTGGAAAATCATGTCGTTATGAATACTTTGCGTCTGCTTCTTTATGTTTGAGGAAAATTCGGAAGGGCCAAAACAACCTGTCAACCCCACACTCCCAAGGGGAAGCCTGTACATAGCGGGTTGACGGGACTTGCTCAGATTACGACCCGATGGTCCGACTACGATAATGACTAGTATTATAGAAAAGAAAACTAGAGCCTTTTTCTCGAAAACCACTCCTATCTTGCGTAGTTTGTTTGCATGTATTCTTTCCCCTCTTTTCTTTCCTTTTCCTGGCTTTCTTCTACTGTAAAGTGCGGTGTCGGTCTTCCTGTTCGGTCATGTGGGGCATTTAACCCTAGTCCATAGAAATCATACCTTGGGTATGTTATGTGGGATGGTTGACAATCACTTCCATTATTATTAACTAATGACTTTGGATTCGCCAAAAGCGGGGTTTGGACCCTGAGTTATACTCGGGGCTCAGGGAGCGAAAAATCTACGGAGTGTGGACACCACGAGGAGGAAGGAGGGGAAACGCCCTGTAAGGCAGAAGAAAGATCATCAAACATGATCAACAGGTCTAAGAGAATGTAGACATCGTTCTCCACTGACAAGCAACTTATAATAAAATCCTCAAAGCATTCATTAGAAGTTGAAGATTTTACTACAATTGATTAAAAAGCCGCGAAAACTCACTCCACCATTCACAAACTATGAAGTAATACTAACCCTCTACAAACAAAGAATGTATGATTCCAATCCCCGGAGACATGGAACACGGTCACAAGATAGAGCGAGTGGAGACGGGGACCGACCCTTGTCGAATTTTCTCACGCGGTGGAATTAAGTCACGAACAGGTCGATTTACAATTCTCTGGCGGGATTGCGCCATCCAGGATTCTGCTTACACTAGTCTTGTTTGGGAAGCGGGTGATCTGGCTGGAGATCTAATCTTATCAATCTTATCTGGACGTCTGCTTATCGGCTCTCCCTCCCTCTTCTGTGCCTCCATGAAAGCTGAAAGGTGACAGCTGCCTTCTCTAGTTGTTCAAGAGGGGGGTGTACGCTACGAGCAATTTGGTTTATTTATTGCCTCAGCTTCTGATTGGAGACCTTTCCTTATGTGAACTTGATCGGTATACTGGAAGTACTTCTATCATTATGCTGGCAGTGAGATGATTAGTGTGAATATTCCTTGCAGGGTCGGAACCATGTATAAGCGATCTCGCGGAACTAAGTTTTATTTTGAGATGCCTTCAGCTTTTGTAAGTGGTATGCTTTCCAAGACTCTCCACTAACATTCCCAAGTAGTACACGTATTCCGGCCCCAACTTGAAATAGCCACCGTTGCTTTTTCCACCCGACTTCCGCCCCCTTTCTTCAATGCAATGTTGTCCATCTGGCCATCCATAAGTATGCAAAAAGAACAGTGACTCCTTAGAATATGTTCTTTACTGATCCGAGTATAGCAACAAAACCCGGGGCAAGCTAAGCACGCAACATACGCAGCCGATGACGCGTTAGCTGTCAAACTAATTTACCTGCGTCTCAGGGGGGAAGTTCGTGTCTGTCTGAGCTTTTGATACAGGTCTCTTGTCAAGCTTTCCACACGTTTCATGTATCGGCGTTCGTTACTCCATTGGGGGCCCTAATACGAAGATGGCAGGATTTACTCGATTCGTTGATGGAGGGCGACTATCCTTTCTCGAGTCGGTACGGAGGACGGAAGACGGAGGAATGGATGGCTGTGACTTTACGTGTTCCGCCTTTGAGATTAGGATTTCCCGTTGTAGACTGATGTACGGAGTAGGTACTCTTTTATTAAGATTGCTGCGGCGATGCGACATATCCCGTAGACCGATAAGTCCGACCGCCGGCCAGGCCCGTCACCTGATCTGCGCTAAACCCCATTGGGGACCGGGGATGCGCAATCACGCAAGCCATGCGGAGGATGTCGTGATGGGCCCACGTGATGACGCCGGCTGCCGAAAGCGCAGCGACTAAACCGCAATCGGAGTGAATCCTCAAGAAGTATAGGATTGTATACGAGTATAACGATGTTGAAGAAGACGAGGAACTTCCCCTTCAGTATCTGTGCGCAGACAACGTCATCCTCCGTCGCAGGTCCTGGCAATCATGTAAAAGAAACGTCCGATCGAATTTGCCGACTCGCCCCCTGAAAATCATGACTCGTCTGGGAGTTGGATGATCTATAGGGACAGATCACCATGAGGCGGCGACCAGGCCGGTCCTGTCAAAGACTCGAGTCCCACGGGGTCAACAAGACAGACGGATTCGACAATTGGTAGAGAGCCGAGGGAAAGGAAAATAGAAAAGTAAAAAGGCAAAGAAGAAGAAGAAAGAGAGCATGAAGTATAGAAGGGCCGCGGAATTAGCAGTGGAAGCCAAGGCCGGATGGACCAGGAAAGATCATCGGAACTCCACCGACTGACGACTCAACGAGTGTTATTCTTGCGACACCTGGGACTGGATCAATCGCATGGTGGGAGTTTTTACATTGGATCTCAGGGTGGGATGGGGGTTTTTTTTTTTATTTTTCCAAATTTCGTTCTTCTGGCTCATTCTTGCTATCCGTAATCCGTCGAGGTCTCCATAAATAATAACTGGACTCTGCCTACTTTTCCTTCCCCTCATCCACTTTTTTTTCCCTCCCCCTCCTTCACCTTCTTATTTCTTCTCTCTTGTCCTCCCCCATCCCTCTTTCTCTCCCTTACATTCTCTTCCCACCCATCTTCATCCCCTCTATCTCTTTCTCCTCCCAATCCTCAAAAATGGCCAACTCTCCTCACGGTGGTGTCCTGAAGGACCTCATCGCCCGCGATGCTCCCCGCCACGATCAATTGACCGCGGAGGCGGAGAAACTGCCCGCCATCGTGCTCTCTGAGCGCCAGCTGTGCGATCTGGAACTGATCATGAACGGTGGCTTCAGTCCTCTGGAGGGTATGTTCAATTAGCCAATTACTTCCCCCGATGGTGCCTTTCTTGGTACTATGACAACAGCGCTTGGCTCCTGCCGGTGATTGGGAACCGCCCAAGGCTAACTCGTATATCTTCCGCCCAGGTTTCATGAACCAGAAGGATTTCGACGGGTATGCTTCCATCTACTCTCATTTCCCCTCAACCCAAGACATTGGCAGGGAACATGCCTATGAAAAACAGAAGCCTACATCTTCTGTCGCAATCGTTATGCGATCGACCAGTCGGCTGACCCCACCTCCCCTCGTTTAGTGTCTGCGAGAACTGCCGACTTGCCGATGGCAACCTGTTCTCTATGCCCATCACTCTGGATGCCTCTCAGGAGACCATTGATGCCGGCAAGCTCCAGGCCGGCTCTCGCGTTACCCTGCGGGATTTCCGTGATGACCGTAACCTCGCCATCCTGACCATCGATGATATCTACCGTGCCGATAAGTAAGTCGACTTATTTCACCCCTCCGAAACTCTCGGTTTTGTTTTACCCTGCTGGTCGTAGTGTTTGGCTTGACTCGTTTGGTCTCGTACAACTCCGTGATCTTAGCGGGGCCAGGCCGGTGGCCATGGCGCCGTTTCGGGATTCGTGTATAGTGGGTCTGCATGACGCGGTATGGCTGACATTCTGTTACCACCAATCTAGGGCAAAGGAAGCCAAGCTGGTCTTTGGCGGCGATGCGGACCACCCCGCTATCAAGTACCTGAACACCAAGGTGCACGACTTCTATATCGGTGGAAAGGTTGAGGCTATCAACAAGCTGAACCACTACGACTATGTCGCCCTCCGCTGTAGGTCTCCCCGCGGTTGCGCCCACTGTCTCTTGGACTCTAGCTAACGGGCTTGCGAAATATAGACACCCCCGCAGAGCTGCGCATCCACTTCGATAAGCTCGGCTGGAACCGAGTTGTCGCTTTCCAGACCAGAAACCCCATGCACAGAGCTCACCGTGAGCTGACTGTCCGCGCCGCTCGCGCGCGCCAGGCCAATGTCCTGATTCACCCCGTCGTCGGTCTCACCAAGCCCGGTGACATCGACCACTTCACCCGTGTCCGAGCCTACCAGGCTCTCCTGCCCCGTTACCCCAACGGAATGGCCGTCCTGGGCCTGCTGCCCCTCGCCATGCGTATGGGTGGTCCCCGCGAGGCCATCTGGCACGCCATCATCCGTAAGAACCACGGTGCTACCCACTTCATCGTTGGTCGTGACCACGCCGGTCCCGGTAAGAACTCCAAGGGTGAGGAGTTCTACGGTCCTTACGACGCTCAGCATGCCGTCGAGAAGTACAAGGACGAGCTGGGCATCGAGGTCGTCGAGTTCCAGCAGGTCACCTACCTGCCCGATACCGACGAGTACAAGCCCAAGGACGAGGTCCCCGCCGGCACCAAGACCCTGGACATCTCCGGTACCGAGCTCCGTAACCGTCTGCGCACCGGCGCTCACATCCCCGAGTGGTTCTCCTACCCCGAGGTTGTCAAGATCCTCCGTGAATCCAGCCCCCCTCGTGCCACCCAGGGTTTCACCATCTTCCTTACTGGCTACATGAATTCGGGCAAGGACGCCATTGCCCGTGCTCTCCAGGTCACCCTGAACCAGCAGGGCGGCCGCTCCGTCTCCCTGCTGCTGGGTGACACCGTCCGCCACGAGCTCTCGTCCGAGCTCGGCTTCAGCCGTGAGGACCGTCACAAGAACATCCAGCGCATTGCGTTCGTCGCCAGCGAGCTTACCCGCGCCGGCGCTGCCGTCATTGCCGCTCCCATCGCACCTTACGAGGAGTCTCGCAAGGCTGCTCGCGAGGCCGTGTCCCACCTCGGTGGTTCTTTCTTCCTGGTCCACGTGAACACTCCCCTCGAGTACTGCGAGCAGACCGACAAGCGTGGAATTTACGAGAAGGCTCGCCGCGGCGAGATCAAGGGTTTCACCGGTGTCGACGACCCTTACGAGGCCCCTGCCAACGCCGACCTCACCGTCGACGTTTCCAAGCAGAGCGTCCGCAGCATCGTGCACGAGATCATCCTCATGCTCGAGACCGAGGGTTACTTCGACCGTCTGTAAGCGTGTTAAAATGGGTTAGGAAGCGTTTTTCATTATTATTTCTCCTTTGTTTAATGTATGGATGACGGACTTGAAAAGAGTTCTATGAGTCGGGTTATAGAATGTATGCTTTGATTGCAATAGTTAGATTCCCCTTGAAAGAATTTTAGGAGCCCAGTGTGCTCTATTCCACCAAATGTGTTGTCCTCAGTCCCGACTCCTTCAGTAAATCGTACATATTCCTAGGGATGCACGTGACCCGCTGCGCATAACGCAAACACGACAAACAGTACAAACACCCGCAGAACTTCCTCATCGCCAAACCAGCGGAATCTACAGTTCCTCGCAACTCCGCCAGCATAAGAAGACGAAGCATCGCAGAATGCTGCCATCTCGAGCTGCACTCGGTCGGGTACCGGGGGCCGCCCTTTCATTACGGCCCCGAAGCCATCATGGCCTGCGCCAACCGTTTCGTCCCTTCACGCACAACTCCCGTCTTTCTCTCGTCTCCACGCCGTACAGTCGTCCTCAGCTACCTTTTCTCTCCCCCGTGACGGGCACACGCCCTCAGCCGCCCATTTCGATTCACCTCCGACAGCATTTTGCCCGGTTGATCTCGACCGAGAGCCGGAACTACTACCGCCGACGGATTTCCCGTGGTCTTCGAATCGGTCTGTCGTTCTACGCGATCCTGGTCATGTTCCAAATCATGAAGCTCGGCGTGCACCAGGAACAACTCGAGCATCAATGGCCCACACCGCCAGAGTGGTCGTGGAAAAGCCGCTGGTGTCTCCGGTCGGCTGAGGCGCAGCAGCATCCCGAGCAGATCGGCCAGCTGTTGGCCAGTTGGCCGATGGTTGCGGCATACGTGCGCGAGCTGATCGAGCGGTTGGAGGATCCCGAGATCGAAGGACAAGGAATTGTCGAGCAGAGCGATGGCGGGTTTCTGGTTGAGGGAGTGGGGAAGACCGGATTCGACATCACCGCCAAGAGTGAGCCGTGGAGGAGAGGGTATCACCAGGCCCTGATGGGCGCTGCTAGGGCCGCGGAGAATCTCGACGGCTGGATGACGGATCGCAAGCGACGCATCTCCGCGCCGGCGGAGTACGTCGTTGGGCCATCGAACCCTCGTCCGAAGCCCATGCCGTTGGGTCAGAAGACCACGCTGCACGAGGAGGATTGTGAACCGGCCACCGCCGGCCCGGAGACCTTTTACATGAAGATTCTGACGACGCGGGGCTTCGACACGAGGCAAAAGCTCGACGCCGCGCTCGCCTACGCCGAGTGGCTCAATTACAAGGGTCTCCAGGATACCGCCAGCGACATGTACAGCTGGGCCATGGACATCGCGACCTCCGCGTCCCCCGTCGAGGCCTCGAAGGTCGTGGACCTGAAGACGGGCGTGCTCAAGAATGACGGCAAGCACCTGCCCTCTGAAAACATCCTGCGCGTCTCCACGGCCCTCGCGGTCCATCACGCCCGCCAGAGGAACCTCCCCGTCGCCCTCTCCCTCTTCACCTCCGTCCTCCGCGCGCGTCGTGCCCTCCCCGAGCCCGAACCGGGCACCGTCTTCCCCACCACCCCCTCCATACCTAAATCCGCGGACCCCTTCCGCGCCCTGTTCAACGCCCTCAAAACCGTCCTCATCCCCGTCGAATACCCCGCGGCTCTTCCCTCCGGCGACGAACCCCCCGTCCGAGCCCCCACCGCCCCCTGCGACGAAGCCGGCCTGATGACCTACATCGGCGAGATCCTCTTCGCCTCCTCCTCACCGGAAACCGGCCTCGCCTGGACCCGCGACGCCGTCGACATGGCCGAATCCACGATCTACGACCTCGGCGGTCCGCAATCCCTCGACGCCCAGCGCTGCACCGAGTGCCTGCGCGTCGGCCTCGACAACTGGAAAACAATGGTGTCGCATCTCCTAGCGCAGGCGAAGAAGGACGAAACTGACAGTCTCCAGAACGCCGAGAAGGCGTGGTTCGGCGGCCAGAAACGCGCGCAGGCTAAGACTCTAGAACGGAAGCGCTGGGACGCGGAGAAGCTGATCCTCGATGATCGGATTAATCGACTCTGGCCGGCCCTAGACGGGGAGTCTGGTTTGGGCTCTATGGCGCCGAATGCTTCGTTGTTTGCTTGATTTTCTTCTCTTCCCCTTTGTCTATCTCTCTCCATGGAAGTGTGAGAGATTCATGGGTTTCTTCCCTTTTATACATTAGTCACATACATACCATGGTGTTCGTTTTGCTGTTTTCTGCTTTCATTGTGTTTTTGGATCGGGGTGTTAGCGGAAAATCTCATTTCTTTTCTTCCTTTATTATGTACCTGTCCCTCTAACCACCCTACCTTCTCAACTGTATGTATTACCAATCTACCAAACCAATAAATAACCCTTTGAGCGTAACAAGAAAGGGGAAATGGATGTTCCATCTACTATATCTATGGAATGATTGTTTCTGATGCATTGATAACAAATCCAGTCAACCAGTCTTATAGTTAGTTCAGTCTACTTTTATTCTAAGCATGTTGAATTCAACTAGGTAGATGAACCCTGGACAAAGTTGTATGATGATGTTTTTGATAGAATTGGATCTAGATCGATAACTCGAAGAAATGAGACGCTGGCGTATACGTAGAAACATACTAAGCATATAATTCAACCCTATCCAACGAAGACAAGTATATAAGAAAAGCGATGCGAATGCGAATGCCATGCAATGGATGCAATTCAATACCAAGCAATGCAATGCAAAACAGCGAAACAGATTACAGAGAACCAAGGAGTAAAGCTCAAACCGCCAATCACTCAGTAAGTTAATCTACTTGCACGGAAACAAAATATGAAATGAGAACGCGATTTTCAACCAGAGCCGGGGGATATATATAGAATTGTCAAAAAAAATCAAAAATAAAATAAGGAAGAAATTCCTCTAGAAGAATTAGAATAGAACAAATAAAGACCGGCAATCCATCACTGCATTACCACAAATCACCCCGAATTGTAATTAATTACCGCCCACGACATCTCCGTTTGGCAAGGTGATTTTGTATCCCTCAAAGTCCAAAGAAAAGGTGCCCTTGACGCCGGATTCGGTAAGGTCAATGCTGAAATCCTTGCGGTCTGAGTCCGGGTACGACTTGGATAGGTATGTGTGAATCTTCTCTTCTGAGTAGGTAGCGGCTCGGAAGGCCCCGGTTTTCTCAAAGATGTAAAGTACAGCGATGCGGGAGAAGTCGACGACTTTCGTGGAGACCGTGGTCGAGGTGGGCGATGCCGTTGCGGTCGATGTAGCAGATGACGTGGTGGTCGTGTGAGATGCCGACTCGGTTTGGGTTGCCGTGGGGAGACCGGTGAAGGTCAGTGGTTTCATGGTTTCCGTCGGCACGGAGGTATCGAAGACAATGCCGTTCAGGGTGCCGGCCGGGGCTCGAGCAGCGAGCGTCCGTGTACGCACGTTCAAAGTGGTCGGGTTTGGTGGCCTGGAGTCGGAGGACGATGCTTGGTCTGGGATGGACGGTTGTTCGGAATCAGGTATGACTAGGAGGGTGCGACGGTCCTTGCTGGAGCCCGTGCTCACGCCTTTGAAGGCGACGAGGGAGTTTTCGGTGGTGCAGGAGACATTGTTCTGGCTAAACAGGGCCATAATAGTGACCGGGTCCAGAGGCACGCCAAAATCACTCTGTGCGTTGTCAAACAAGCGTGGAAGGTTGCTTCCCATAGTAGCATTCTTGGACGAAGAGCCATCGCCGATTTCAGTTGTGGTGCAGCTGGAGTCGCCGGAAATCGTGCATTGCGAGCCGGTAAATCCGTTCGAGCAAACGCAGGAGCAGACGTCTCCACTGGAAACACTAACACCCCCGTTGGCGCATGGCGAGTTGCTCTCACAGCTTGCGCCACTGTTCTTGTTGGCGACAAGGAAGACGGGGACGAGCACCGCCACGAGGATGATAACGATGACCAAGGCACAGAGTAGAATGAACAGCCAAAGAGGCATTCCACAGCAACGACGAGGGCGCTTTTCAACCTTCTCGTTACCTTCCGCCTCCGGCATAGTTTCATTAGACTTGATGTGGTGCAGAGTAGACCTTCGGAAAAAGACAGGCCACGGTGACCCGCGCCCTCCTTCTGGTGTAGCGGCGGGTGGAGGGAATGATGCGAGGAGATCCTTGATTGACCCGGATCTGCGATATTGATGTCCTTTGGTCACATGTCAGTACTAAGTCTCGTCGCTATATGTTCTACTTAACAGGCCTGGTTACTTACCGGCAAATCTGGGACCTCCACCGGGGTTGAGTAGATCATTCCTACTGGCCGTCCGTCCGTGTTCCAAGTTCGAGGCTAATTTCGTCGCACGTCGAATCAAGTCGGGAAGACTTGTCAGACTTCCGCGCTTCTCTGCATCGCGAACCGCCGTCATGTCCAAACGAGGGGGTCTCCGAGCGCCCGGCCTTTTGTCACTCATTGTCGGAGCAGCTCTGGGAAGAACGCCTAGCTCTTTTTCCATTGCTCCCATATTCGGGTTTGCGCGGTTTGGTACAGGGTGTTCGTGACCAAGATCCAATACAATCGGTGCCTTTTCCAGATCAAAATGGGACGAGCTCGTGGATGTCGAAGAGAACGAATCTCGTCGGTCAGTTGCGCCGACGGCAATCTCTTTGAGGGCGGCCTCTTGCGGGACAGGTTTTGGCATGGGTGCTTGGGGTGGCGGCAATGGCGAATCTGCGTTAGATCGTGAGATGGTGCGCAAAGCTGGCACACCTCTCTTGCCTAGGCTTGCTTGTCGGACAAGAGTAACGTTCCGCTCTTCGCCCGTGGATTTGGGACTGTGTTCCTCATCAGACTCGCCGTCGAGGTAGGTTTCTAGGATATCGGACTCGGCACGAGCAGAGCCCCAGCTTGAAGGGATAACTCTGCTCGATGCGAACGATCCTTCATGGATGGTGGGGCTGTCAGATCCCTCCTCCGGTATAGGTGAAACGGAGGATTGACGGTTGAGACCAGGTCGCAGCTGTGCTAATGGCGGCGGGGCAAGATTTGATGGCTGTTTCTGAAACTGTCTTTGGCTTTCGGCGGTTACAGGCTGGGCGGGAAAGGGGAAGTCTGGGATGGAAGGGATTGAGCCAATCGAAGAAGCCGCAGATTGTCTGAAAAGATCATCAGTCGCCACGGAGATTCGAGGAGTCGAGACTTCGGGGTCGGTAGGGCTTGGGGGAACAGGTTCTCTAATGAGAGGACGGGGCGGCGGTGGCGGATGTCCCAGAGGTTGAGAGAATGAGGGAACTGCTGGGCGTTGGAAATGCAGCGGGCTAGGAGTAGCATCCGAAACACTTCTCTCCGAATAGACTGACGGGGATGGCAGGTCAGGCCGCGGTGGTCGCTGAGGCGGGGGACCTTTGGGGACGAACAGTCTGGCGCCAGGGTCAACCATGGAGCCCTGCAGATTATCATTCGGCAAAGGCCATTGGGTCATATGGGCCTGATTCGTCCTGATAGGAGGCGGCGGCCGCGGCGGTCTAACGTTCGCTGGGGGCTCTCGAGCCTCTGGGCGTCTTCCAGCTTCAAGCATCTCCCTTGCCCGGCGAACTGAGCCCTTTCTCTCCATAGCCCCGTTGGGGTTGGGCCCGGAAGGCTTTCCGGGATTCATTGGCGATATGATGGGTTAGTGGCAGTTACGGCGCGTTTTGGCGGAATGGAGTGTTTTGTAACTGCACACACATAGGATGGGATCTTGCGACGAGAGACGTGTATCAAGATTTACTTCGTCTTTGTCGATAAGTGAACGATCCCTTGGTGGGAAAGTGTCCAGCTCGACAGAATAGTCGAGATTTGAATTCGGAAGGTGAATGAAAGCAATGAGAATGACTTTAGATAATAGGTTTGCAGATCTCTAACAGTAATGACCTGTAGCAAGATACAAACACTCAAAAAGAATGGGGCTTGAGAACCAGATGCTCAAGATTGAAAAGAAAGACGTTGATATAACGTTGCGATGGCACTCAATGCCTCTGCTGTGGCGCAAGTATGGAGATGAGTCAATGCTACAGTCCGGCAGCGCATGGTAGCGTTATGAGATAAAGAAGGCATACCGCAAAGGGATGAAGAGTTGTTGCTGGAAGAAAAGAATGGAAAGAGAAGAGAAGACTTGGTTCAGAGCTTCATGGTATCGAACTCGTGCAGAACCTCAACTCCGACAAAATCACTGGCAATCCTTTCGGAATTCAGCCCCTGAGGATGACGGCGAAAGCATCGGTTAGCCCCATCTGATCCAAGTTATGTGATGTATAATTTGACTTACGGATTTATCAAACGAACGGTTCCAGAACAAAACAAAGAATCAAAAAACAGAGCTTCTAGCCCCTGGTGAATTAAAGAGAGAAATGGCAGAGAAGCAAAGAAAGGAAAGAAAACCAGGCCAGAATCGCGTGCAAACGGGGCGTTGTGTGATAGCACCACCTGGGTGGGTAATCAAAATAAGGGTTTTTTGCCAGCACCCCGAGAAGTTAGAGCCAAAACTTAAACATTGATATTATTATTCCGCTGCTTCATCTCCGTCGGATGGGCGCATAAGACTCGGATAAGGGCACAGCCTGTCTAGGACGGGCCCAATTCGGTCCCAGTTCGATCGAGTGGAGTTGGGACCGAGTCAAGTAAGCGTGGAAGCTGACACGGAGGGCCGTTTGATAGTGACTCGAAAGCCATATCAGGCAGAGCCAGCCTGTCTACATGTACATCAGCATGGCGAAGGGGGGAACCTGGTCGGTACTCGAGGCCCCAATTACGTCGTCGCGTTACACAAGAAGCTTCAGATGCGTTATTATGCTGATTATGCTGCGAGGCAGCCACTCTTTTTTCCCCCCTGCTCTGCTGCGTGCGGCTTTGCAGGGCATTGGCGGACCTCCTGAATAACTGCGACAACCATCACAAAGACGCGATGTAGGCGAAGGACACGGATTGGCTGAAAATTGGGATCCGGAGTAAACGAATCAGTCGGATAACTGGAGCATGGGCCCGGAGCGAATAAAAGGAACGGATCTCGGCGGAGGATCCACCAGGTACCACCATACCAAGCGCATGGCGGTTGACGCTAGGTCTCAGTTTGAGCAGAGGGGGCCACTTTAAAAAGCGGCTAAGCGGCCCCGATATTTCAACATGAAACCATGCATCCCGTGTCCGTGATCCAATAAAGAGGGGGAAGCCGAGGCTGGGACCATGATTGACCAGGATTGACCTGGGAAGATCAATTCTGACGTTAGCCAGTCACTGAACCGATCGACTGCATATCACCAACGCAAATCACATCAGAGCGAGAGCGTTTGTAGAAAGCCAAAAACAATCAAAAACAACCAGCCTCGTCGTGGTGGGAGGCGGGAGAGCAAGAAGACTGGATGACACCGTCGGCGGCTAGTGTCGCTTCCACCCTTCGGGGTGGGCTGGCTTTGGTTTAGTCCAACGGGGTCAACTCGCCGATAGCGCGCTGGGACTATATCTGCCGATATTAAAGGCGAGCGTGCAGGGGCCCTAGTGAGACAAAATACCGTATGACTATGAAGATGATGTGCTGATCGCACTTTCAAGGATGATGAGGGGGGATGAGAAGGAAGAAGGAAGACGGAAGACGGAAGAGGAAGAGGAAGAGAGAAAGTCGTTGCTGCCTGAGGACACTTTCCTGCCACCTGACTTTTTTCCATAACAACTAGGATTTATTTCTCAGAAATAAAATCTGTCAAAGGGACATTCTCTGTCGGAGTGGGCCTCAAGTCCTCAACGCAGTCTCCTCTAGTGGCTTGGGCAAGCTATTCTTCAATCTTCACAGCTAAAATCAATAGTTCCCCGACTAAAAGATTACAGCCATGTGGCCGACTGGTCCTCAAAGGCTCAACAGCCTAACAAGTCAGCACTTACGTCTTCCTCCGTGTTTAGTTACTTACCGCCGTATTCCTTCGTCTCGCTACTCAGTGTAGTCTGTATTCCCCACCAGAGTCCGGCAGAGATACGGACTGCCGCCCAGCCATGCGCTCGAGGCAGGGGATGTAACCATTATATGCCAGCTGCATACGGAGTACTACTGGTATCACAGCATATTTCCAGAATGGGATTTCTGCTCTGGATTGTCGTCCCAGAACGGAAGAATTATGGGGACTTCCCTAAATATAGCTTGGTTCACGGGCCCCAGTCTCTTAGACTCTTCGGAGCTCGAAGCCACTTAATCTATATCCCCTAAAAAAGGTTAGTATCCTCCCAGACAAAATAAAACGGCGCTTCTGTCCCTAGCAGTCTCTTTCTTTTTTTCAATGAATCAGACACAGCACAAACGGCACGCTCGCATGTCCCAAAACCTATGAAGACGCCACGGGCGGGTAGTCAAACGGGCACAAAATGAACGAGGACGGCCTTCGTAGGCTGGGTAGGACATGGCTTGACACTCGATGAGTGTAAAAATCACTGGAAGGACTCTAGGGGAGACATTGTGCTCACTGACTTATCCGCTAGGTTCCTGATTCAACTTATCCAAGAGAACCTGTTGTCCGTGACTGCGGGTCTCTGACCCATATGCTTGATCGTTATATGGCTCCGATGCTATATTTGTCGAAATGGAGCACGTTCGATAGATAAAGTCCGTAGGTAATCCAAAACGCAGACTGTCTCATTGCTTTGGGATTAATACTCCGAGGTGTCCGAGTCACCGAGTATCAATAGATCCTGAACTAGTAGCGAAATCCTTATATTAATACCCACATTCGGCTGTCTCCATCACGATTCTATATGACAGTGCTCTGGTCCATTGGATATTGGAGATATTTATAGAACGGGGCTTATTACCGTTAACATTTGACTTAAGTCCATGGACAGAGAGAGACATTTTAGGTTTACTGGGTAGACTGTACGGAGTAGCAACCGGACAGATCCATCTCGGACATATCATGTCTCTAATATAACTCTTTCCCGAAGATGATGTCGGCCGGCACTGGTCTAAATGCAACGAGCTCAAATTATGAACATAGCAAGAGAGAATGTCACAAGCATAACTAGCGATATCTTTGGCGAAACCCTGGCTGAATTGTGAGGCAGGGGTCCATCAAAGTCCAAATTTCTCTGTTTCATCGCAATACCATACAAATTCTCTGTAGATTTCTCGGATACAATTATCCAATTGACGCTGCTTACTTGGTCGATTACCCTAGAAACACCACTTCCATGTTTGATCTATATTCCATAGGAAACGCACCGGTGGATGCTGATTCCCGACAGCCATGTTGAAATGAGGCCAGTACAGGTGAAAGTCTACAGCCTGGACTGAAGTAGCGCTGAGGCATGATTCCGTGGTCGCATAATCCACGCTCTTTTAGCCATTTATAGACCATTTACTCGCAAATGTGAGTACCTACTTCGCGACATAGAGGTGCGGGTTCTATTAGCCCTCTATTGCGATGCTCTTGATGGAAACTTAAAATTTAGCTATACAGTCAACGATCAGCCTTCAGCACTTCCTCCTTCACTTTATTAGGTTACTAATAATTTGATATATGTTATCACAGAAGCTGTGACTTAGATAATATCATATATATATCGCGAGTGTAAAAACATAAAGAGGAGGACTTCAGGTATATATATGGCGATCGTCTCCCAACCTTTCCCGTCTCGCTTCTCATAATATCTATGAAAACTTGCTTCGTAGGTTGGCCTTTTTGATTCATACATATGTGATTGAGTGCTTGACAAAGGCAGGAATTGAATAACTGTGCACATATCACGGTATAAGACCAAAGATGGTATCATTGACACGCCTGCCCCAGCACGTAGTCTGCTGCACCGAACTCATGTTTTAGACACTTGGCTCGAGAGATGCACAGACTCTGTCATCAAGGGTAAACATTCCGCATAATCTTAGTCCTGTTATCAATTCCCGCTGCTGTTAACTTCCACAAGGCAGTAGGGCCTCTTTTTCATTCGCCTTAGAACGTCTTGAGGATGCTAACATAGACAACTACCTTTTCGCCTCTTCTGATCTGTGTACCTCAGCAAATACCTATTATCTAGCCCAATGACTCCAGCTATGCGTTCTGGCATGACTGCTCAGCTACCTCCGCCTCTTGGCGCCAGTATCACCCAGTGCCGACAATCTGAACGCTCAAGGACTGCTTGATCTAGGCTAACCGGGGCATACTGGCCATGCTTGATTAACTATTCTGACGACCTTGGATAAAGTGCACCATCTTGCTCTATGGGAGTATTTTATTAGAGAGCACAAGGATAAGAGAAAACAAAGACGAGCTCTTAGCGAAGTGGAGTTACTTGAACTATTTATTGATTTATCAGAACTGGGAAGACGCGTCTGTTAGCCACGCACAGAATTGCCCTTGGACGTGAATCCAGCGTCTCAACTCTAATCATTCATCTGACATCCATTGCGTGTGGGCATACAGAAAGGAAGGTTCCTCCTCATCGTACCAGGCTGCTCATAAGCATCACTACTTCGATCATTTCACCAATATCCTCATGCTCTCTCTCAAGTGTACCGCCCAGATCCTCAAAGCAGAGGTATCGCAATATGACTGTTAAAGAGTCCTGCTTATAACTAAACCAACAAGGAATAAGTAAAAGATTTACGCTGGAGTCTTTGTTTCCATACTTATTAGGATGCTCTAAAAAGTGCACTATAGGCAGACTGCTCGGGAAAAGTCGATGTGCTGATAAATCTGGTAAAGTATAGGCATGCAGCGTGGTGATAGCAAGACAACATCATTTTGTAGCATCCGCAATCAAGCAATCGAAATTACATCTAAATGGTAAATTAACTCTATTGAAACATAAATGTATGCAGGCTCATCACGCTTTCCATAAAATAATAGAGGTATTCCATATGAGAATAGATTGCATCGGCATTCGTCTCTCCAGGGCGAAAGGTACTTCTTGCATTCGAAGATAAGAAAATTATAAGCTCCAACGTACCTACTAATTTATAAATCGTAATATATCCATGACCCTATAATTTCTATGTCCTGTATTCTGAGTCCAGTACACCCTATGCTCAACTCGTCGGGCTCGATCCTCGCCTCTCCAAACCACCTATTTGAGCACTCTCCGCGCAACAAGAGGACTATTCCCCGCTTTGATAATGGAAAAGTCGTGCGCGTCCAGACAAGCTTTCCGAGAGTTCTCGACGGACGGGCCAGCTCGCGCCGTCATATCCTTTTCGTATGCCTTGATGCTATCGCGGATAGAATCCGAGGATGATTGACTATAGAAAACAGATTTAGATATATCACCCCTCGACGAAGCACATTAACAGGTCAAGGAAAAAACGAACCTGATTGATGCTAAATCAACTCTCTTCGTGAAATCAAGCACGTCGACAATGGCGTTGTTTGCGCCTTCTCCGCGAACTATACACACGCTGTCAATACCGACATCCCAAGTACAAACATTGAATCCCAAACCCATCAAGAATAAAAGAAGAGGAGAATAGACTCACACATGGTCATTGAGTGAGCGGAATCACCCAGCAGCACAGCCCGCGGCTGCTTGTTTGTCTCCTGCTCTTGCATCCAATCTTCGATCTTGATGGGGACCACGTCGGCATCGTCGGGCAGATCGTGGACCAGGGATCGGAATGGTTCGGCCCAGTCTCCTGTGAGAGATTTCATCAAGGCAATGCGCTCTTTGGTCCCGGCTGGGATATCGATTCCTCTGTCGTCGGACCAGGAGACAACGACCTGGCAGAGGTATCCGTCCGGACTGTTGTCGAAGTTGAAGGGACTGTCGAGGACTAAGGATTGGAATATCAGAGACTCGCTTGTTTTCATTATGTGCGAAACAAATGTGGTATACAGACGGATTGGGGAACTTACAGCTGAAATATAGATATACGTTTGATTTCGAGTGTGTTCCCTGGAAGAAGAAGGGGTCCAGGGCTCGCACGGCAGCCGCTTGCTCGACCGAGTACCGTGTCGTGGCTCCGAGTAACTGAATAGGCAGGGGCGCATTGCGATAATTTGATGGGTACAGAGACTTGCGGACACGAGAACGCGAGCCATCGCAGGCGACTACGATAGAGCCACGGTACGAGGTGCCGTCTTCGAAGCGGACCGTGACTGAATCGTCGTGATACTGGACGTCCTCGAGGGTTTTAGACCACTAGATAGACGCATCTCCGTTAGGAATGACAAGGGCAGAAAGGACAAAGAATACCCACGTGAACGTCAACTCCCGACGTCAGAAGCTGCCTGAACCGTGAGCGACTCACTCGGATGCGCTCCGCAGCAGGGACGCTGCACAGCGCCTCCCCCGTGGCCAGGTCAAAGAACTGATAGCGGCCCTTGTCGCCGTTGCTAACGGCCTCCTTGTTCACGAAGGTCTCCGGGAGCTGGGCCTTGACGTCCTCTGGCAGCAGCTCGTAGAGGGCAGGCAGTGCCCAATGCAGAGTTAGACCCCAGCCGCCGGCTCGAGCGCCGATCGACGCATCGCGCTCGAAGATCTGGTAGGCGATCCCTGATCGACGAAGATACTGCGCGAGAATGAGACCGCTGATTCCCGCCCCGATAATCAGGATCGGCAGCGGTTCAGATCTCGGGGCCGCATTAGTGACCAGGTTCTTTTCTTCTTTCATTTTCGCTGCTTTCCAAAATTCCGAGGAATGCGGGCAAAGAGAGAGAATGCGATACGATGAGATGACTTGGCAAAGGGGTGGCCAAGGCGCATCAAGGGATTGTCTGCCCCGGATTGAACCGGGACCAACCGTGAGCAAATAAAATTGGAGGCCTCCTCCGAGATGATGCGAAGTGGATGATACGAATCCGTCTCTCCAACCGGTGTAGGTACAGCTCCGTGCTACCCTGTGCTACTACTATGACTACTCGGATCTATGGCTCAACCACGGCCATACCCGGTCGAAAATGACGGCGACAAGGCTGGCCACTCAATTTGAATACTCCGGCGCTATCGACGCAGATTGAGTATTCAGGGGGGAAAAAAGCCATCCGGAAGGCTTAATTCGTGACGGCGACGAAGAAAGGCCTCAATCCTGGCCGCATCCTAGCATCCTAGACGCTCTCGGCATCGGGATGTCCAAACAAAGCTGACGGAATGGTGCGTTGGCTCCATTCGGCCCCCATTGTCCAATGTCCAGGCTCCCGAGTTTAATCTATTAGTGGGTCCGTCATGGCGACGATAGTGAGGTTGCATTGACAGGGATCGCTTTCTAGCGTCGACGCAAGTGTCCCCAATCAGACCATATTCCATGACGGAGGATGGCTCGTCGGAGGAATGTCTCGGTGATCCTCTGGCGCGATGGCTTGCCACCGAGCATTTAGTGGCGTGGATTCCAGTCTTTCCTTGAGACAAACGAAAAAAGTGTGTATTATGGAATTATCCCTCTTCAAGAAGTGCCTCCTAGTCTACCGGACTAGGGCTTTAACCAAATTAAACTGTATGAAATTAACTGTACCAAGCGTCGTGCTTTCCTGTCTTCACCGGCTCTCCTCTCGATCGACGGAGACACGATATTCCACCGTCATTTTGATGGCGCCGTTGTTGGCAGTGAGCTCGGAATCGCTGCCATTGTCGAGGATCAATTCCTCGCTCGGAGTCCGTTTCGGTTTCGAGGACGCGATTTGAGAGATGTTGGAGACATTGGTACCGTGCAGCCGGTCATCCTTCGAGTAGGACTGCAGGACGTAGTGCGAGTCGGTGCGGTATTTTCCTTTGGAAGCACTTCGAGATTGGAAATCGCTGACGAATCCTTTTAGCAGAGGACCGAGAAAAGGCAAGCACGTAATAATATTCTAAAGGCCCGTTAGTGACTTGACTTCATCTAAGCTTCTTTTCCTTAGGCCATCCGGGAGGCATCCGCCAGCCATTGATTGGCGGGGAATGGCACCCTGAGGGGCCGAGGGGTTTTAGTGTTGATTTAGTGTGAGGATCGGGCTGAGACGGTGGAAATGAGTTGGATCAGGATCCTCACGTACGCCGACATTGAACTCGATCGTGCCCCAGAGCACGAGCATTGTGGAATTACCATCCCCGTAGGCAATCACGCTGATCTGAGTGAGCCGGAGAATGGAACAGACGGTGGTGAACAGCCCGAGAAGGAACAGACACAGCAGACCCGCCTTCTGCGCCGGCTTGACGTTTAGTTCGAGCAGGAGTGGAATGGGCAGGAAGATGATGACCACGTCGCAGAGTATTGTCCACGCCACGAGAGCGTAGTTGGTGGCTCCGAAGGGAAGACATGTGCCTTCGGTGGTCGGGTTCCACGATTTTTGGACCTGCCCCTGTATCAGCTTCAGTTCGAGAAAAGAGAGAAAGAAGAGAGATTTCCCGACCGGACGGCAGTTGAAAATGAGAACCAGCGTCGCAGCCAAGTGTCCCAACGTGGAAATAATCAACACAGCCCATATCACGGTCCGATATACTTTCTTCGACGTTCCTGACAAGAGGCGCAGATAACTGAGGCATAGCGCCGCCTTGAATCCAGCGATGCCCATCTGATAGAACGGTCGACCAGCGAAATTCAACTAGACGACCAGATCAAGTCTCAGCGAGGGAAGCATAACAAGAGATTCGAATCTGCCGACCTTCATGTAGTATCCCAGATTGGCATTGGGCCGAAGAACCAGCGGAAGCCCTAAGCCATACCGACTTTCTATAACCGAACAGGTCAGGACAAGGAACGCGATCGGGACGATATGGTCAGAAGTGTGGACTCACGAGCCACGCAGAGACAGTTATAGATGATACTAAATAACTAAACATGACAGGGATAAGAATTAGACAAGAGCCAAACTCGGATGGGGCATGGAACTCACCATCGTGACGATCATCACATAGTCATCGGCGGCCATACGACGAGATCGAAACCGAATCCAGAGACGTAGACACACGACGACCATCATTGCCCCAGTGAGAGAGAAACATACCCCCAGGATCATGGGATAATTCGACTGTGCGTTCACCTCCGGGGTGGCATTGTGAACCCAGCCCATCGTGAACTGCAAGAATGGTCGGAGTATAGACGCAAACGCAGAAGTAGGTTCAAAGTCTTGCAAGAAATAATAAGATATCCTGAGAATTCCACGTATATCAAGGGCTTCGATGCGGTCTGCCTGTCTGCATCGTCCCGATCCCACGGAACCCTGCCCTCTCCTTTACTTTTTTCCCCTCTGCTTTATTTTTACTTTGTTGATTTAATTATTTCCCCCATCTAGCACTCCTTCCATCCTTCCTCTTCTTCGCTGCTTGAAATTAATCTAGATGAAGGAGGCAAGTGGCCAACGAGACCCAGGGATCTGATCCTGGATGACATTGGCCGGCATCGAACAAAGCCATTGGTAACACAACTCTCCACCTTGACTGCTGCGTGGATCACGGTCGAAATTGACCCCGTCAAAGTGCTGATGGGCTAATGCACTACGGCAATATCTGCATCCCACGTTCATCGACTACTGCAACCCGTCGGTGGCCTAGACCGGGAGGGCTTCGGCGAGAGTACCGCACTTGGGAATCATCTCATATTAGCCTATCTTCCTGTTGCCTCTTCTCCGGCAGTTAAACTTTCCATTTCTTTTCTTACTATCCTGTTCTGGCTCCCTGGAACCTGCCCCTCGTTTTTCTTATTTCTTTTCCTTGGCCTGCCTATCCGTCGTGGGTCTGTCGGTGCTTCCCACATTCCTTATATACATGCAGCTCAACCCCTGGCTGGCATATTCTCCTCCTGATATTATCAAACCATCGTTCGCTTCCTGACGATTCCCAGTCAGCCGGATATTCAACCATGTCGGATATCGAATCAAAGCAGCCTGGTGTCGATGCCAAACCGGTAGCCCCGGCTAAAGTCGACCAGGCCTGGGATTATCTGGCCAGCCATGCCGACAATCAGAACACAGATCATGTTGATCTAGCAGCAACTCGGCGCAAGATCGATCTGCGCATCATGCCGTTCATGTTTTGCTGTTATTTCCTGCAGTTCATCGACAAGGTCATGTACAACGTGAGTTTCCTTTGTACTACCATGGACGAGAGTGCTCCGGCTAACACGCCTATTCCCATAGTATGCAGCCGTCATGGGCATGAAAGTCGATCTGGGACTCAAGGGGAACAACTTCAGTGATGCTGCCAGTGCTTTCTTCATTGCCTATCTGGTGGCTGAAGTTCCTAATGGTGAGCTTCTCGCTTGTTTTTCACCGGACGTCCTACTAGCAAGGGAACTAACGGCTCGACAGTATACCTGCTCCAAAAGGTCCCCCCAGCCAAGTGGTTGGGAATCAATGTCGCTCTCTGGGGTGTCGCTGCTGCCGCTGCTGCCGGTGCCAAAGACTATCCGACTCTTCTCACGTCCCGAATCTTCCTCGGTATTTTCGAGGCCACTGTCGGGCCCTCCCTGATGCTTCTTAGCAGCCAGTACTACACGAAGCAGGAGCAAGCTCCTCGGTTTACTTTCTGGTACCTGGGTCTGGGCGTTGCTCAGATCATCGGAGGAATCCTCTCGTTCGGCTTCCAGCATGTACATAACTCGTTCGAGGGCTGGAGGATCATGTTCCTGGTCATGGGTCTGATCACCGTGATAGTGGGCGTCGCCACTTTCTTCTTCATCCCTGACACGCCGATGAAGGCGACGTTCCTATCGGACGACGAGAAGATCTCCATCCTCAAGCATGTCAGTGTCAACCAAACCGGCATTCACAACACCAAGTTCAACTACAAGCACATCATCGAATCCGTTCTCGACGTGCAGGTCTGGCTGTTGACCTTGCAGGTTGTTCTGGTAAGCTCCATCCATCCCATCTTTACCATTCCACTCTGCTAACACATCTCCTTCCTTCCAGCAATCCGTTTCCAGCGGCGTAGTAACCACCTATTCATCCACCCTGATCGCCTCCTTCGGCTTCTCCGGCCCCGTTTCCGCCCTCCTCAACACCCCCTCTGGCATCGTCAGCATCTTCTTCACCCTCCTCGTCGGCATCGGCATCCGCAAGGCCTCCAACCGTTGGGCCTGGGTCTTCCTCTGCTGCATCCCAGGAATCATCGGCGGTGGTCTTATGTCGTTCCTTCCCAAGACCAACCGCGCCGGCGTGTTGATCGGCATCTACCTCGTCAACTCCATCGTCGCGCCCCTGCCCGTCATCTACCACTGGACGGCGGCCAACTGCGCTGGGTACACCAAGCGCGCCTTCACCAGCGCCCTGGTAGCCGGTTCCTTCTCCATCGGCAACATCATCGGCCCTCAGACCTTCCAGGCCCGTGACGCCCCGGATTACCGGCCGGCTAAGATCGCGGTGCTCGCGACCCAGGCGGCAGCGGGCGTGCTGTCCATCGTGCTGTGGCAGTACTACGTCTGGGAGAATAAGCGCAGGGATCGTGCTCAGGCTGAACAGCTGGGAGGGGAGACGGTCGGGGAAGAGACGGCTTGGGTTGGTCTCACGGACAAGGAGAATAAGAGTTTCCGCTATGTGTATTGATAGGCGTGTTGGTAGTAGTATGTCACTACCTAGTTGTTGGAAACAATTTGCAAGATGTTTACTTGATTCGCATATTCTGCTTTGTGTCTGGTCTGAGCTTGTAACATAGAGTATTCGTCTTCTTTCGTAGAAGACAGGCGCAAACATCCAAATCGAACCGCTCCAGGATTCACAACTTCCCGGGAAGCAGATCCTCCGGAGAACCACCAAAGTTGCATTGGTAAGATTATTCAAATAAAGCTAGACTGACAATTGCAAGGAACCCGAGAGGAATCCGAGCACCGATCCCGACCGAACCGGTTCCACAGCACCGTGAACTTAGGGAGTGTTTAGGGCAAGGAATGGGGGCCTCAGGATCAGGGCCCGCCGGTTAAATCTAACCCAAGATGAGTTGGAGACTGGTTAGGCATCCATTATTTGAACTTGTGAGATTCCTTCCGGAGTACGGAGTACTCAGCACTGATAACAGGGGGTTAATGCGTTTGTTCAGCTTTAGGTCCCAGCACTGTGGGATTACATCCTTTAATATATATATAATCAACTGAATCGTGTCTGTTGATGCAACGTGGATGCCCACCCCTGCTAGTTAGTGTCTACCGTTACCTGATTCATCCGGGTTACTTCGTAACTATCAATTCAGCTCCGAGGAGTTAGAGGGGGACTCGTGTTTTTCATATGTGGAATTTAATATCGATGTTGTCGCTTTTAGGTCCGGCTGCTGGAACGGAGGTGGATGGACTGTGTACTCCGGAGGGTAAGCTGGGATCTGTGATAAGAGTGTTCAATGCGTCGCTATAGTTAATTCCGTACTATGTACACCAGTGTAGTGAATTTACCGAGTAGAATATCTGGGGTACGTCACTTGTTTGACGATCGAATTGTTGGGATTAAGTTATGGAGTAAATCTCTACGATCATACGATTCAGTTTATGAGATCCGAGGTCAAGAGAATTATCTTCCTTCCGTAAATGGCCGGCTGAAAAGAAACCACGTCCATCAAGGACACGGAAATATACAACTGGAAAGCGCGCAGGTCTACCTGGCGTCTCTTCCTGTCGACCCTAACATGCTTCTTACACGATTGATCTCTCGTTCCAGCGCTCGCATCTCGAACGCCGTGCTTGCCAATTGCGGTACAAGGCTTTCTAACACATCGGTGAATGATCTCTGAGCGTTGCGGAGATGAGGAGAGACGAGAACGCCGAACCACCGGATAGGGTCCGAGGAGCAGGGTTTCTTTTTCACTGGTTCAGGCTTCGGCGCAGCTGTCGAGTCTGCATCGGTGTCTTCGGGCGATTCCGTGGACTCTGAATCCTGGGCGTTCGTGTCGGGCGCTTCTTTCGGACTGTCGTCTGGCTTCGTTTTGAAAAGGGCTTCAGAGCTCTCGTTCGTGACCTTTTCAATCGCGAAAATGGCCTTCGATTCATCCTTCCCGGTCGCGTCTTCGCAATCGGTCACATTGGCTTCGTTTGTCGGGTCTAGAGGAGGTTGCAGAGCCCTAAGAATGCAGCTTGGTTAACGCGTGTTTCAATGATGACCAAAGCGACTGAGCTAGTTTATTGATATGAACTCACACTCTCCGAGTGGCCTTCATCCGCTCGTCATAGTAGTCGGCGCCATATCTCCGACCCGGGGGACAGGTATAGTTGGCCTGGGCGAGCGAGAAGAATCCCTAATACTCAACCCCTTTAGTGACGGTGCAGGATGATTGAATGAAACACGTGTCGTTCATACCGAGGAGATGCGGGATGCCAACTCTGTCTGGAATTTCTGGTGCTGGTCGAGAAGGTCGAGGTACTTTTCCAACAGCGTGTCGAGCGACTGCAACAGGTCCGCGGGAGAGTCCGCGGAGGAGTCAGAGACCGGAGCTTCCTTGAGCGCGACCTCGGGGCTTTCTGAGCCTGACCGGGATGCAGGCGGCGTGGGGATCTGTGCCATGGAGAGAGCTCCTTGAAACAGTGACGCTAGAGACGCGATGCGACCGAGACGGGGAGGCGGCGAGGAAGTTGGAGATGGAGATGGAGATGGAGAAACAGGCGAAGGTCGGCCGAGCAGCCCGATAACTCCGTCTGTCGATAAAAAGAATTTCCCGCGCAAACCGTCATCGCTTCTTCCTTCTATTTTCTGTATACCGTCCGTTTCCCATCAACAAACGTCTTCCTTTGGTTCCATCCTTTCCATTTCTTGTACAATCGTCAAGATCTAGGATTCTGTTGCTCGGAGGACCGCATTATTCAGCCTCCCCGCGCCCTTTCGTTAGCGCAGCTTCTCTCGGCTGGACGCCACTCGTGCTTTGCGACCTCGACTATTCCGATCCAGCACTCTGTGAACATTCTCGCAGGAACTAGGAGTCGAAGCGATTGCGAGACAGATCTGACCTTCTCGCTCGTCATATCTCACTGCGTTGCGACAACACCGACCTAAAACCGGGAAAGTCGGAGGCAACGGAGTACTCCAGTCGGCCATCGGACTTCTGCCAGGCGATCGCTTTTCAACCTCCTTCCACCTTTCTCCACGATATATTTCTCTCTTATATACATCATCTCCACTCTTTGCGCTTTTTCAACCATCCATCATGTCGGTGCCCACATTACAGCGAGACACTGCCTTCCAGGTGCGATCTTTGGTACGTTCATGTCTCTTCGAAAGCTTCGTCTCCCCTCGCGTTCACGTCCACAGCCAGACTAACTCCGGTCTCTCGTGCCTTTTCAATTATAGTTCCGATCCCTGCTGCGTCAATCGTCCCAGTTCTCTAGCTTCAACTTCCGCGAGTACGCCCGTCGGAGGACGAGGGACGCTTTCCGAGAGCACCAGAACGAAACGGAGGCAAGGAAGGTCCAGGAGCAGATTCAGGATGGCCTGCAGAACCTGCGCATGATGAAGGTCGGTCTTCCATTTTTTCGCCCCGCCGGGCACAAATGGCGTTGGGAAATCCTGGCAGCGTACAATTCCTACGGATTACTGACGTCGGCATTAGAGACAAACTATAATCAGTCAGTTCTACCAGTTGGACAAGCTGGTGGTGGAAGGTCAAAAGACGGTTAGTTGGCAGTGATTTAGACGACTTTTGCATTGGACTCTTCGATTGACGACTGGCAACAGGGAAAGCAAACCGGCGAAGAAGGCGATATTGTCCGCCAGAAGGATACCGGGTGAGTTGCTCTCTGGGCCCTCGTTGATGGTTCAACCATGCTACATATATGCTAACGGGATTTTTAGCTGGGATTAAATTGTCGATTCACTGATACTGAGGGCGATGGTTTTATTTTTTGGTGTTGGCAAAAAGGAGTACGATGAAGACAGAGCGCCACGTTCGGTGATTCGAATCTTTTAGACTTGGGGTGCTCTCTGTATTTTTAATGAACCCATTTACATTGTCGGTAGCACTGATCCTTATCCCTTGCAATGCAAATTCTTCGCTCATCTGGCGACTGCTGCCTCGTAGAACGGATTGTAGGACTGCTGTAGACCTGCTGGAGTCCCTCTGTTGGTGAGCGATCGCGGTGGTCACGTGGCACCTCCGACGGACAGGCGCGCCTTCGCATCGCAACGGCGACTCTCCGTCAACTCTCCGCCCCGTCAGGCTTGTCGGCCATTGCCTTCTGTCTTTTGTCGCCGATTTCGCAGGACTTTCATTGTCGCTGTGTTCGGCCCTATTCTATTCTTCGTTTCTACCGGGCCTTTTTCTCGATGCCCCTAGAGGGAAGACAGTAACACCATGCCACCCACTGTACGTTCCGCCGCGCCCAGTCCATTCACCAATATCCACAATGCACTGCCTGCGACTGGACTCGTCGATGAGCAGCTAGCTTCGGTTGCATGAATATGACTTGGCTGACCCTCTACAGTTTCGATCGTCGCGCTCCGGCCGCCAATTCGGCGAGAACGCCAACCGTTCGAAGATCGATCACGACGTCTTCGAAGGCCTTCCCGTCCGACGATGGACGCGCCAATCCCAGACTATCTCCCAGGTGCCGAAGCTGGACGACGCCGACCCCCTTGTGCAAGGCCCCAGCGGGAAAACCTCACTGCCCGAACACCCCATGCCCAGGGACAGTCACCTTTTGACTCCGATGAGTCGGGCTCTGCTCCGCGCCGCTCGCGCCGGCTGCGTCTACATCCGACCGGCCAACAAAGATTCCGAGGACGAGGAGAAGGAAGTCACCGACGTGGAGGAGCAGCCGCTGATCCAGAGTGCCGAACGCAGCTTTGTCGCTCGCAAGTGGGCTGCGGTCCCGAGGCATCTGGAGGCGGCGGAGGTTGAGTTCCTCGCTAAGCGACGCACCGGTTTGCCTTCGCTATATGGCGCGACGGCTGCGGGCACCGATTCGGCCAGCAACCCTGCCCCGATGCGACGGACTCGCTTCAGGAAGGTCGATCCCGCGAGTGGGAATATCTCGATCTACGAAGCCTGGGTCCCCGAAGGACATCGAATCGAAGGCGAAGTCACCGACGATACCCAGTTGGCGGTCGAAAATACCGAAGTCACTATTACCCCTGAAGCGCCCGCCCCGGGTACGGTTATCGAAGGCGTCGGAGTGGTCAATGCTGAAGGCGTGGTGGTTGCCGAGGCGGGCTCGGTGTCGGTCATGACTCCGCCGAAGAGACGCCCGCCACCTCCCAAGCGCAAGGCCAAGGGTTTTGGAAAGGGCAGGAGGAAGAAGGTCATGTTTGCTCCTGGGGATGGGGCCGATGCCGCTACGGTGCACGGGGCCGAATCCGGTGCTGCGGGTGTTACTGCGCAGCCTGGTCGTGTCAAGGAAGAGGATACAGACGCGTCTCGGATGTCGGGCGAGCAGGCCGGGCAGGACGATGAGGATGAAGATGGTGATGAGGGTGATGATAGCGAGGATGGGGAGGGCGATGAGTCCATGCTCGATGCGAAGACTCCAGAAACCCCACTGCCGCAGACCAGCGCCGAACCTGAGCCGACGCCTGCTCCTGCCTCCGAGCCTCCGGTCGCTGAACAGGTTCCCGCGCCTGCAGCAGCGCCTGCGGAATCGGATGCTGCTCCGCTGGTTGCTCCGCAGACGGTGACTGAAGCCTCAACTGCTCCTTCAGCGCCGTCCTCTGAGTTGCCTTCACAGGCCCAAGCCGAGCCTTCATTACCCCAGGGGCCCGAAGTTCACTCACAGTCACATCCTGAACCGGCAACATCTACTGCGCCCGAACAGTCTACACACGAAACGGAACCCGCTGAGGATGTCGAGATGACCGACGATCAACCTCAGCCTGCTTCAACAGATATGGGAACTACATCGGAACAACCTGCTACGGTACCGCCTCAGAAAACAGCCCAGGAACCCTTCCAGACTTCAGAGCCCCTGCAACTGCCGGAGGAACAAAAAGTGGAGCAGCCTGCTGTCACTGAAGCAAAGGAGCCGGAAGATGTGGTCATGGCCGATCAGAGCGACCCGGTGACACAAGAGCCTGATCGGACGGAGCAGCAGCCTATGGAGACCTCGATAGGCCCCACACAAGAATCACAGCCCGAGCATGTTCAGGTAGAATCTGTGCCAGAACCGACAGATGCCCAGCCGAGCGAAAAACAAGCAGACAGTGACATTGACCTTTTGGGCAGCTTAGAGGCCAGCCTTGGCAACTCCACTGATCAAGGTCGGACGGATGAACCGACCGAGCCGCAGCCTGAGAAGCAGATCGAGGAACCCCCTGTCAAAGAGGAGCCTGCTCAAACAGAAACCGCTGGAGCACCCAAACCAGAGGAACCTTTGGTTGAAAACAAAGACCAAACGACAGCGGTGGCACCTGAGGCACCGGCGGTAGAGCCAATCTCTCAGGAGCAGCCCGACAAACCAATCGAAGAAACTGTTCAGCAACCCACCGAGATCCCGGTTACAGAAACACCCTCGGAGCAAGTCACTGAGCCGAATACTCAAGATCCCACGCCCCAGCCTTCTGAGCAAAGCGCACAGCCTGAGGAGGCACAGCCCGCCGAGCCCGTCACAGAAAAGGTCGAAGAGCAGCCTGAACCCCCGACTGAACAGCCAACTCCTGAACCAGCACCAGAGCCAGCCGCAGAGCCAGCCGCAGCTGAGGCATCTTCATCTGTAGAGGCTCCTCCCGCAGAGGGACCGACAGAGCAGTCGGTAGAACCTTCTAAAGAAGAACCAACAACCGAACTGCAACCTGAGCAGCCCTCAGAACAACCACCGCAGCCAACAGAAGAACAGTCTGGTGAACATCGGGAGGAACCAGCCCCCCAGTCCGATGTACCAACAAACGCTCCACAAGAATCTGCCGCTACCGAAGCTCCCAAGGCCTCTTCTCCACCTACCTCGACAGTCATCGAAGAGACCAAGCCTGATTCCACCGAGGCCAATGAACCCGCACCCGCTGCTGCTGAAGCCGCACCCGAGGACCCAACTCCAGAAGCTGCCTCAGAACAGGAGACGCAAAAAGAGCCGGAGCAGGAACCGACGCAGGAACCGAAGCCTGAGCCCAAGCCCGAGGATCTAAAATCAGAGACAAAGCAAGAAGAACCTAGCGAGAGCGAGACGACGACAGCACCTGCCACCGCTGCCACGGTTCCAGATCCCCCAGCTCCATCTGCGAATGACGAGGCTCCTTAGAAACCAACTAGACCTAGGTTCATTTCATTTCTTCCTTTTTGTTTTCCCTCCTCATTCATTACTGTGTATTTATTCAAGTTAAGTACGACGAGCGATCACTGGTTTCCTTACCCAGTTTTTACATTGTTTTAGAGACGGGCGCAGGGTTGGTTGGGTTTATTTGATGCCCTTTGGTTGTATTGTGTCTGAAGGAAAGCCAGTCGAAATACATATCACTTTTTCTTTCCCTTTTTCCTTTCTCTTGTCTGGTATTATGTCGTATCATTATATTGTTTCAATGAAGGCCTGTCTCATTGTCGCGGGCATCGATGTTCCACGGCCAAAGTATGCTTTAGAAAACGTAAAAGAGTTTATCCATAGTCGAGTAGACCTCGGAAACAGATTTATTTAAATTAATATAACTCCCAGCTATCTCCACCTTCAAATGCATCACCGTACGAGACCAGACCTTGAAAGTTTAGTTGACGTTGTGAAGTTGTGAAGTTGTGAAGACTTGGACTAAACCGGAAACCAAGAGTAGCGGTCCGAAAGCGGAAAAATGCGTGTACATAGGTATGCCCGTAACCGCACAGCGTCTGCTTTCCTATATAATTGACTTGTCCTGTCCCTCGTAAAAAAGTATCTCTATAGCCCTATATACCGAATACATTCTTTTCAGCTCAACCAAAATGGTGATCGGAATTGCAATGATGGCGGCTATGGTCCCTACCGTGTATGGACTAGGTGAAGCCAGCAACAAGGGAAGTCAAACTAAAGAAAAAGAGCAAGATAAGAAGGGCCAGGAGGAAATGTACCACTTGCTCACGGCATGCAATTCACCCTCCGATTCCCAACAGCAGAAAGCACAGATCCACAATGCCAAGGTGTATTTGGACATGGATGGGAAGGTACGATGCCACAAACCCTTCTGAAGAAATTGATACCACTAACTATTCCAGGCCTACATCAGCCAGCATCAAGTACCTGGTATGGTACCATTTCACGGATGCCTCTATTCTCATCCTGACTGGGAGCCCGGCAATCTGGCCGGCCTCGTAACGGTCAGTCCTGAGACACCACCACAGCTGCGCTGGGCTTTCCTTGACTCGAGCACGCATGAAGTAAAGTGGGGAGGAGCGAAGGACCGGGAAGGCCACATTAGTGGGCCTTTCGGCTTGCACGATGATGAAGGATCTCTCACGTTAAATGGAAGTCGAAACTGGGTAGCAGTGAGATGGGCTTCGGAATGCCACGAAGAAGAGAACCCTAAGGCTACGACGTTAGGTCTGTGGAGCCTCTATTTTGACGCAGGAGAGGATCACTCTATGGACCTACCGGCTGGTGCGGAAAAGATTGATATTGAATTAAAGCTGGTTCGATATCCCCAGAGACCCAGCTAGTCCAGCTGCTATGGCGGTACAATGGCTACTCCATAGGAAGCCTACCGGTGGCAGCACTAAAATGCTTATGGAGATTACTCATAAGGATTAGACAGCATTGCTATTAAGAAGTTTTGTTAATCTTTTAATCTGAGCCGTCTTGCACTATGTGCCAGGAATGTTCCGTAGTATTCGTTTCACTTAAACAAGAGCAAAATGAAGCCTTGGTATGATTGACCTGTACCCCAAGGCCAGAATTCAGGATACGTGTATCCGCATCCAAGTATTTCGCAATCCACCGCATCCGGGTTATTAGCTGTCGTTACATCAGGACATCCTCATCCGGGAACTAGCAAGCAAATGCAGAGATGGTTTCGAAAGATTTTACTGAGATTCCTTGGAAACAGCCCCGGTCAATGACGAATCCAGCCGTGTAGATAAGTAGTGGAGACTAGGCGCGATATACCACTTGGATAAAACCATAGCACAGGGTTTCATCGTCCCTCTCTTTTTTTTTCGTAGTGTGGAGACGCCTTACCACCTTCAAGTTGCAAATTCTGTAACTGTACGTAGCACCTAGGAATATAAGGTGACCCTCACACCTCACCGAATGGGGGCACTAGAGGAAATTATAGATTTACCTCCAACTATTCACAAATCTTCCACTAAAAGATGTCGGGACGCGGACCCAAGCCAAACGAAAGGTGTGTCCCCATGCAGATCGATAGCCAGCTGTGCTTTCATTTACTGAGGCTGGATCCAAGAATCTTTATAATTCCAACAAATCACACTTGGCTGACTTGACAATTAAGTCTACTGCATGACGGCAGTGGCAAAGGCCAAGAGAATACCATCCAAAACGACCAGGCAGAGAAAAACGAGCCCAATGCCGATCAGAAAAGAAAGGAAAAGGACAGCAAGGTTAAAGTCGACCTTTCCGAAGAGCCTGCACCAAAAGGGCCTTGGGGAGATCGTGGAGTTACATCGGGTAATGCAGGAATGTATCGAGTCCCCGAGAATTCTTCCACTCTTAACGTTCGAATCAACTTGGATCTGAGAGCGGACGTCGCTCTGGAGCTCCACGCAGTTGTGCAGGGTTCTGTCATCATTGGCTTATTTTGAGGGGATCACGTATCTCTCAGCGTGGCCGTACTACATGATGCCACAATACTGCCTTATCTTTAGCTACAATAAAGTCTGCTGTGTGAAAAATAATCCAATGAACCTTTCACACTCCAGCGTGATATAGCACAGTGTTTATTGGCCCCTACGTAGCGTGAGGGAAGCAGTTTCAGCAAAGGAGTCTAACAAATGATTACATATTATATGCTGAAGAGTGAACAGGTCATAGATATCAATTCACAGCGAGCACATTTTCCACAAGCCGTTCCCCATTATCCGATAGCACAGTCTTCTTTTCGAGTATAGTAAACATCACAATCTGTTTATTGTTAGTTCTAATTAGGACGACTGGCACCAGAGAAAGGTAAGTTGCTCACAGGAGAGACACCACTAATTCTCCCTTGACTCTCACATTGACGTCAATCTCATGGCCAGAATGGAAATCCCAAGACACTCGAACAATATCATCTTGAACGCCTCTCACTGGGGGTTTGGCGGGCATGCTAGGTAAATTAGGCACCTCTTCCGAATCTGTTGGAGGTACAGAGCGCGAGGGCTTGTTTCTCGTGGCATCTTCCGAAATTATGTTTGCCTCGCTGAGAAGTTGCTCCAGCTCATATACACAAGGCTCGGTTTCCATTGCATGGGATCCGATTATCCGCTGTGTGTGTTGTTCTTCCCCCGTCTCTGCTGTATGTTATATGGCTTTCCTTGGTAGATGGAGAGCGAGGTTGAGAGTTGTTGAGTGGTTCTGCAGGGGTTGTAGATGTGAGTATTGCCCTTTCTGATGATAGAAGAACCCATGAAGACCGCGACAACAAAGTATAAAGCAAGAAATGTACTGTGCTACGGAAGAAGGTGTTAGAGTGGACTGTCTGCATGCAGGCTTGATATAAGGTACCTATTCCGTTCACAGCTCCCGGAAACGGAAAGCCAGCCCCTTCGCAAGAACTCAGCACCAAAACTGCAAGTTTCATTTTATATTTATGATTCATTCCCCCCATTTACATACTGCTGTTACAAGTAATTCGTTATTAATTTATTACTATGAAAGGTGAGTTATCAGTGGAGCCATTTAACTACCTTGCGCTAAGTGCTTGCGATAGTTGCTCTGCAAAGGATCAAATCGGCACATATCGCCCTGGATGATCACCTTATAGCCTCGTCAAAACAAGGTCTTCTAGCCTTTGTCGGGATTGAACAAGGTGATACGGAGGAGGATGAGGATTCAATGATCCAACGGATTTTACGGACCGCGTTATGGCCCGAGGAAAACGAACCTCAGGTGAGTTGGCATCTGTACCAGCGCGGAACACGACAAGGTAAAACTGATGCACGGTGCTTCAGAGCGAGTGGAAGAAGAGTATTCAGGAAAAAGAAGGAGATATACTGTGTAGTATGCCACCACCATCCATACCCGCCCTTTGACTGGATTCTCACAGCTGCAGTACCGGAATTCACATTCCATGGCCAACAGGAAGACAGGGCCACACCGAACCCAGAGATCTCCGATTTGGCCAAAGCGCAGCACCGATATAAAAGCTTTATGAAAAAGTTAAGCAACACTTACCGAGCGGAACTGGTGAAGAATGATGTCTTCGAAGCTATGATGGCTGTCCCGTTGAATGGGGATGCGCCTATCGGTATATCCTACGACAGCACCGATTCAGTAGTAGGTTTCCTCATCTTAACTATCAGACCAAAGACTATATATGGCCGCGCTGACCCTTGATAAAATAGGTAACAATCAAGATCGTCACCCAGAGGGTGAATGAGAAAATGGCACGAAAAACAGATGGAAACTGCTCCGGGATTAACCTCCCTGCTTAATTGCAACCAAGGGAGAGATCTGAGTCACGAATGGTGCGGAGAACTCAACAGCTTGTTCATCATGCAAATGATATCGAAAGTCATTCTCTGATCTGACCAATTTGGTACAGCCACAAACAGACTCGTTCAATGGCCTGTCAAACTTCTCTGCGGCTACAAAATCTTCTTTTCTAAGTAAATCTTAAATGCAAGACTTCAGTCCAACAAGCTCCATATTTTCTAGAACAGCTTTCTTCTTATTAGCTAGCAAAGTGATAAATAATCTAATCTCTCGGAATTATTTATAGCCTTACTAATATTCTATATAATAGATCTTATTTAGTTGATTGAGAATGTTACTAACTACATTAATAAATAAACAATGTGTCAGATAGTGTTCTAAATAGATTAAAACAAATCAATAGATATATATCTGTAATACTAGGGGTATCTATATCTAACTAGCTCAGAAATAGGATCTCGCCAACAATCCAAAATAAACGAGGGACTTGAAGGAAGAGAGAGAGAGGGAGAGAGAGAGGGAGAGAGAGAGGGAGAGAGAGAGAGAGAGAGAGAGAGAGAGAGAGAGAGAGAGAGAGAGAGAGAGAGAGAGAGAGAGAGAGAGCAGAGAAAGGGAAAGGGAAAAGAAATTTACATCGAGAAAAGACAAAAACTATACTCCAATGAATTAAGTAAGCTATCTCAAATAACTAAATAATAATAACAATGAACAAAGCCAGTCAAAAGAAACATCATCAAACTTGATAGGATAAAGTGGTCTCGTCACGTCAGTCCAAGGAGAAAGAGAATGAGAAGGAAAGCAAAGAAAAGAATCCCTCAAACTAGTTTTGAAATCGTTTAAGATCAGGTTAAGATGTAATGAAAACAAAATAATAATAGATAGAAAGGCCCATGAGATATCAAGAAAGTCGGTCGAGTCAATTAAGTATAGAGCCACATCGGCCCTAGACGAGACACGACGACACAGGACATGACTGGGTCGGGAGAAGGGAAATAGAATAAGGACAGGGGTAAGTTAAAAGAAAGAAGAGGGACGCCATCACAAGCCAGACCAATAATTCAATTCAATTCAATTCAATTCACTGCAGCAAGCATCCAACGTTCAACATATGTCAAGGAAATCAGAAGAAAGGGGGGATCGAATACAGAATCGGACGAGGTGTGGATAATCAATTGACTAGCACAGACAGGGTGTGGAGGCTAGGGGGGTCGAGGATTCAGGAAGAATCAAGAGGGTTAGATGGTAGGATGTTCAGGGGATTAAAGATCGGAGAGAGAAAGTACAGGGGTTATAACGACTCCCCAATTGAAGATACTGGTAAGTTGGTGGTCCGTCGATCGCACAGAAATCAGGTGAATTGTTGTCGTGAGTCGAAACAGAAATCCGATGTTAGTCGGAAAAGGTTGACGCCCTTTATTTCTTGTTGTTTGCCTTCCTGGCTATGGTGGCTCTGGCCCGTGGACTTGCGACCTTGGACTTAGCAACTGCCTTGGTAGGAGATCCCTTGGTGTTATTGTTGGCTTTCTGACTCGTGCGACTCCTTGCATTTGTGCCCCTGGCCGCGGCAATAATCTTGGCTTTGGTCGCTTCCGATGGACGACTGAGCTTGGTTGGTGAGGCCTTTGCTTTGGTCTGGGCTTGTGTCGGTTTCTTGACGCGAACCGTCGTCTTGGCCTTAGCCGTGGCTTTCACCTTGGGTAGTTTGACATTCTTGGCGGATTTGGTTTCTTCTTTCTTGACGGGACGCTTCCTCGGCGAGGTTGTCTTGGGGGCATTCTTGGCCGTCCTTGACGTAGTCTTTGCAGGAGATCTCGAGGTGGAGGCCCGCGCCTTGGAGACGGCCTTCTTGACACCTGCCTTGAGCGACTGGGAGCCCAAGAGCTTGCGCTTGTTGAGGCGCGAGGTGGACCCTTCCAACGCCTTGCCAATTCTGCGCTTCGCGTCCGTAACTTTCTTGCTGGCTTTGCTCGTATTCGAGCGGGATTTCTTCTGGGTTTCGGCCTTCGCGTCCCTTTCCTTCGAACGTTGATCCTTCTCTTTGGGACGCGGCCCGAGAATACCACGACAATTGGATGAGCCACACCGACACTGTTGAACGTTCTTTTGCGAGTATGGACTATGCTGCATGTCAATATAAATCCGCAGGACCGGCATCGACAAGAACACTCACTCAAAGTTGTAGTCGTAGGTCAGTTCCTGTCCCGTCGTAATCCCACGGTCGCCGGCAAAAAGCGCCATGCGCGGCTTTCCGGCGACAGTCCATTTTTCCATGCGGCAATTGGGCTCGCAGGAGTGATTCACAAATCGAGCAATGGAGCCTCGTGTGGCGTCGATGATCATGTTCTGGTCGAAGTACATCAAATAATAACACTGTGCCCCGTCAGCGCCTGCAAAACACAACCATAGGGAGCACCGCAACATACCTCGTTGTTCTTGTAGACCGACCTCATCCGCTTCTCACACTCCGTTTGTGTGATGATCTCTCCAGTGTATTCCACGATAATTTGATTCGGCTCGAAGGTACGGTTGCTGCGGACGCCATACCCGCGATCTGTAGTCTTGATGACTTCGACACCAATGTTATACTTACCCCCAGCTCTTGTTCGGTACTTGAGCTCGTCAAAACTTCGATTACCACACTCCGGACCCAGCCCGCAGTTGCCTTCGTCGCATTCATAGAACATGTAACGGTTCTGACAGTCGTCGTCGCAGCCCGTCTCTTCCGTGCAGAGACATTTAGAAAGCTCCTCCTCTTTGTTCGCTCTCCAGATACTGGAAGCCTCGCCGACGAAGACGTCTTGGATGTATACGTTAGCTTTTCGTAGTCACAGATGCGCAGTGGTTCACACATACTCTTGTTTGTCTTCCGCCATTCATTAGGCTTGGGTTGACCGGGAGGCAGGGGCGAGAAAACATCAAACGGAAGCTGGAAGTCTCGTCCTTGCTGCAACAACCGGTCTCCGGCAAACATAGGCATTGGCAGCAATTTTCGTTGACCTGTGACTTGGCTCCTCCTTCTCGCGGCTTTGTTTCGGCCTTGCAACGGACGAACAGCATTCGTCTGTTCCTGCCCCGAGTACAATCCATGAGCCAGCCAGCGCTTGTTCCTGCGCGGGATGAGGGTGGTGACGGGCGCTTCTTGCGCCGTTTCTTCATTCTCCCCCGCCTTGGCCGGAAGATCGCTCTCAGACACACGTCGCTTCTTCGCCGCAGGAGGCTCGGTGGGTTTCGAGACGCCGGGGTCCTCCTTAGGAACGGCAGGCTGTCTGGGCCGTAAACTAGCCCGTCGGCCCAGGTCCTTCCCCTTTTCCACCACATCCCGCGACCGTTTCCCCAAGACGCTGCTGGCGCGGTCCATAAGACCTGACGCTTTCTCTAAGATACTCAGGCGGGAAGAGCGCCTCGTTGGTTCTGGAGCCTGTTGTTTCGTAGTTTCGGTGTCCTTCCCTTTGCTCGGGGGTTTCTCCTCCGTTGACACCCGCTCGACCCGCTTCCGCAAAGTGCGCTGCTGTAGTGACGTGCTCATGTCGCCCGACTGCGGCTCCTGGGAGGACTTCGAAACTGGCGTATCCGGCGCCATTGGATGATCATCGACATCCATAGTATCCCGCGCGAGGGTCGCCTCGCTCCACATAGACTGTTCCATGACCGCAATGCTGTGCCGGAGGTGCGAGACCTGAGACCGCTTGGTCTCCGCGACAGTCTTGACCAGGGCTGGCTCCTCACCCGCCGCACCCAGCGGTAAGGGTTCGGTCTCAGATGCTGGAGACAGGACATGAGACGAATCCCTCTCCAGGCCGGCGGGGAGTTGTGCGGCGCCTCGCAAAGAGGCGCGTGCTACACGTGTAGATCTGCGGCGGAGGGTGGGCTTCTCCTCGGTCGACGCGTTTTCATTGTTGCTGGACGTCTCGGAGCGGCTGTTCTCGGGTGTTAGGAGTTGTTCGGGGTAGTCGAGGGCCATTGTGTCGTCGGCGGGGGCGAGCGTGTGCTTGGTGAGGTCCGAAAGGGTTGCGGGAGTTGCGGTCGACGCGCCGGAGGATCTAGTTCGGGTTTCCATCCCCTCGAAAGGACACCTCCAAGAAGGATTGCAGTGAGTCTGAAGGGTATATGAGAAAGGGGATAAGTTCACGAGATAAGAGCCTTGTGTCTCGTATTTTTCGATGCGTTTTTGGTCGGACGTGGGGGAGAAGGCTTGATCTGGAATGGGGACGGGGGGTGACTAGGCGCTCTCTTTCTCTCTCCCCTCTTATCAGGAGGAGATCCTAGTGATCAAGGGGGGCCCTTGTAGGCAGTCGAGTCAGAAGCCGAGCGAAACGATCATAACGCACGACAATGGACAGGAAGGATGTGACGAGAAGGACGAGATGGGGGCGGACGCGGTGATGGGGGAAGGAATGGGAGAGAGGAAGAGGGTGCGGAGGTGGACGAGGGCAGTCCGTATCCTCCGCCAGGGACGGAATGCAGACCGAAAAACTGTAGCGAGATCGACTAGACTTCCAGTCCTCTTGGGCGCCCCACGTCCAGTCGCACCTTCGTCGCAACTGCTCTTTGCTCCGGCTTTGTCTTTGCTCTTCGCTCTTTTGCCGTTCGCATTCCATCTCTACGTTTTTGTCTCTGGTCTCGCTGCTTCACTCGACAATCTTATATCTACGCCCCAACGCCACATTCAGGATTCACCCATTGCGACTGTCCCTTGTCTACTTCGTGATTTCCGACTAGAGTAGATTATTCATTGTCTATTGGTAGATTTGAGACCAGATATCATACATGTGTTCCTCATGTTGCGTAAGGCTGATCGGACCAACGGCGTCATACAGCGCCCGTTGGTAGACAATCACGCTCGTGGAAACAAAACAAGGGAAAAGATGGATCGTGAAGGGAACGTAGATAATGTCCGTTTGGAATGTGTCAAAATAGAAAAATAGGGAAAGGGGAATGCATGTACATATGCGTCAGAAGAGAAGTTGAGAGCGAAGGAAGATTAAGTATGAGAACCAAAGCATATGACCCTCAATAGGTCAAGGTATCTTGAGAAGTGACTAACGAAAGAACGACGCTTAGAAGAAGAAGAGTAGTATCATGTTAGTAAAAACTTGATTATTATTGTAGGGATTTTTTTTTTGTTCTGAGATTTTTTTTTGATACCTGCAACAGGACCCCTCCAACAGCTGGCTAATTCTGCTGCTGGCTAGAAGGAACATGCTGCATTTCTATGTCGGCCTGAGCCTCCACGTCTCGAGGAAGATATTTCCGTTTCATAGTGCTCAGACGCTGGTCCCCTTCAGTATATGGTTTCTTGAACTGCATATACGTGGGCGGACGAGGTCTAGCAAAGACCGCGATCCAATTGGCGAGGATATTGCCTTGCGTGAACGGCCGATGCCGGTCAGCTTTGGCGAATTTGTGAGAATTCAGATACTCCCTTGTAGTCTCGCCACGCCCAACCAGGAAGAAATGATAGGCCCAGAGTGAGGCCGGATACGGGGCAGCGACCGCCCCGTAAATGACCATTGCCCACGGAACCCTCAACTTGTTGATTGCCGTGCCAAAGGAGATGGCCTCCTGCGACCTATAAACAAGGACATGGGCGAGACTAGCACCGAGCAAGAAGAGGGCAAGCAGCGTGGACGAGCTGACAAAGGTGAAGAAATATCGGTAGTTCCGGCGACCGACACAGTTGTTGAGCCAGACACAGTGATGGTCCAGAGTCTCGACGCAGTTATCGCAAACACGGCAATGGTAGCAGCGAGGAGGACGCCAGATGCTGCACGTTTTGCAGTATTTCACCGGCACATCCATCGCCGCGACTTCGGACGTTGCCAGCTTAACCATTACCCAGTCGTTCGTCGGTGGCCCTATCGTTAACGGGTCATCCGACTCCGGCGGAGGCATTGGCTGCAGATTTCGCGGAATAATCTATCACATCGTTAGAGGTATGAAGAAGCGAAGTCGCGTTGTTTCAAAGGAGATTCTTACACCAGGATCAACGACCGAAGCGTGAATGAAGGACGAGAAACACACGAAGAACAGATAAGCGAATAAGATAGGGATGGCCGGAGAGATGTGATGCCAAAGCCATGGGGCCCTGCGCAGGGTTAGTTTTGAGACGAGACACGACCAAAGCAGGAGAACACTGACGAAAATGCGAAGAACAGCGCTGAAGGCGCAACCACAAAAATGCCGGTTGCAATATTGACCGGTTTATCGCGAGAATTCTGAAGTCTTCCACCACCGCAAAAGAGGGTATTTCCGGTGAAATACTCATAGTTCTTGCCCTGGCTGCCCTTGTTTACTGTTCGGCTCTGTTTGTCGAGAGACCCAGGCGAGGAGCCAGCCGAAGACAGTCGCTCATGAGCTCGCCCATCACGATGCTCTGGCCGCAAGCTTCTGTTCTGCAGGGAGAGAAATGACAAGGAGGATCTGGGCGGAGTCTCATGGTTATTCGTGTTGTTGTAGTTGGCCGCCAGATTAAGATTGAGATGCGCTGGAGTGGGCCGATTCGCTCGATCTCGCTCGTGCAGCAGTCTTGCACTCTCACCCAGACTTCTGGCGGTGGTATTGCCGGTCGGACTGGCGTTGGACGTATTCCGGTCTGGAATGATGGGGTCGGTGAATTCGGTTCCTCGAGACGGCGGAGCCTCCTGCGGGATGGGGCTTTGCGGAATCGTGCTATTAGACACTAAACTCGTTCTGTTCTGCGTTGCATCGTCGTCCCAATCCCCTACTGATGAATCCGTGGCACCTTTTGTGACAGGGCGGCCTCGGTGGGCTTGAAGACGCTGGGACGACATGGGTCGGAAAAAGCCCTGCGCAGCCAATGACGGGATATGGGTCCGGCTCAATCTGCTGCCGGAGCTTTCTGGTCGATTGGTCGTCGCCTGGCTGATCGACGTAATGACCGAGCTTCTCGCAGGGGGTGGTGCTCGTCGAGAGACGGACGGTAGCGAACGAGGCGGCTGCGACGGTGCACCTCCGGTGTAGGTCTGCGACCCTCCGGTCCAAGTCTGCGAGTTCTCTCCATCGTCCGACATATCTGTCACTCGAGACGAGATCCCTCCGACAGAAGGAGGGCGCGGGATTCCGAGCGCATGTTGCGCGGAGGGAGGACTCGGCGCATCGCTATCAGGGGTTTCGGGGGGGTTCATGGTTTCGACGGTATTGAGTGAAATATTCTTTGTTAACAATATTCGCTAATTCTCATGTTGTGGCCAGTCGAGTATGAAGCGGTTTCAGGCGCGGTATAACCCAGGAGGTGTGGAGGGTAAACTGTCTGTATATCTATGCGCGGGTATCAAATTGGGGGTCGATTCGGCTTCGGCGAGTCGAATCCCGTCAAAGGAATGACAACGAAAGGGATGATGAATAAAAAAAAGGAATATTGTAGAAAGTCGTGAATTAGTAAGTCGACCAAGAATGAGCGACAGCAACCTAGAGAAAGGAGAGACCGAGTTAGTGTTGTCTGAAATTCGAGTCAAGGGTCAAGGGTCTTACACCCCTCCGCCAGGCACAAGGACGAACCCCCCTTATGGAGGAAAGGACATGGACTAACCTTGAAGGATAGTAAGTTGCGATGGTTGTGAGCATAAACCAGAATTAAAATCACAAAGACAGGCCAGCAGGTCACATCACGTATGAGGGACGCGGTGTAAATCGACCATGCTGCAAGCAAAAGAACGATTGCCCGGCGCTTGCAGGAGCAGAAGAAGCGAGCGATTGAGAGAGTCGAACGGCGCATCGATTCGGGCAGGAGAGGCTAGTCCGCTTCGGGAACAGGCTGAGTAATCACCCGACGGCTGCAGGGCCAAATCGGATGTCAGGTGATGATGCGCCGGCAACATCATCGTCCGACTCCCACGAATCCGCACCACTCGCCCCCCCTCAAGATCTTCCTCTTCTCCCCGTCTACGTCCACCACAAACCCGACCAAACATCCAACATGTCGTCAATTGCCGCCATGGCCTCCCGCCGGGCCTTTGCCCGTCAGTCTCTTTTCCGCGCCCCCGCGCGCCGTGCCTACAGCTCCAAGGTCGAGGAGGCTGGTCTCGACAAGGCTCCTCGTCGTGACCCCGAGCTCTACGTACGGATCTCCCTCGCTCTGGCTTTTGTTCAAGCCAATTGAACGTCTGCCAACGGATCAATATTTTACTAATCGCCAAATAGGTTCTGCTCGGTGTCATGTCCGGTGCTTTCCTGATTGCTGGATGGTAAATACCCACTCTCCCTCTACCCTCATCCTATACCGACTTATCTATCACCCGACCGACCGCGAAGAAGCGGGTAAAAAAAATAAGAACGAAAAACAACCCGCCACGACAACCAATTGCACATGCTTTCAGACATTGAAACATAGGCTAATTCAGATTGTCTGTTTTTAGGTACTTCGGCAAGAAGCCCACCTCCGTCACCTCCGAGAGCAACGTGCGCATCCCTGACAGCTCCATGCCCTGGGAGCGTGAGGACGACGGCAAGGTCTACAAGTACCAGTACCACCCCCACGGTGACAAGAGCCAGCCTCTGCGCAACGCCCCCAGCGCTCTGAACACCGTCATTGTTCCCAACGTCACCCTCCCCGAGGTATGTTGTGGTCATCCTTGGAGGTTTTGCGCGGTCGGGTCGGGTCGTATGATCCGATCCATGCATGCAGCCGGATTACTGACTTGGCATTCTCGATCTAGGACCTCCACGAGCGTTTCAACAAGTACGGCAAGGAGGAGTGGGACTACTAGATGTCTCTATCTCGTATCTCTACGCAGTACAGACTGGATTGTACACGCAGCCGAGAAGCAAGCCATCCGGAGTGGGGTTGAAGACCTCTGTATTCTAAAATCACCGAAGACTACTCTAGAAGTATGGGGGTGCGATTGTCGTTATAAGAGTTCTGTGCATAGTTTATATCTTTTTGGACGGGAATCAATTGAAGACTGTTTTATTGTTCTGCTATTATGACCAGGTTGCCAAACAACAAGTCAAAAACACGGGGAGGCCGTCAACTCGAGCAAATGTATAGTCATGTACAAGTTCACATTTCGTTAGATCAGGGAAGAAAAGATAGAGGATGAAGATAAAGTGTGGTAAACAAGATTATTGGTAGAAAGAGATACAGAAGAAGGTTAATCGGTCCAAAATTGAAGGTATGGGAAGACTTCTAGGGGAATGGGATACCAGAAAGCATCATTGAAATGTCTCTAACCATTCTTAGAGTTGGGTAGCCTCTTGACCCTCGCTGGCGGGCTTCGGCTCGGGGGAGTTTTGCTCCTCAACCGAGCTGCCCTCTCCAGCGGCCGAAGCAGGACTCTCTTCAGCTTGCGCTTCCTGCTTGCCCTGAGTTTCGGGATTTTGACCCTCCACGTCCGGGTGAGGCGGAGCAACTTGACCGTCGACCATATCCACCTCGTGGCCGTTAGCCAACCGAGTCCGGGTTTCATGGCGGGTCTCAAATGAAACCTTGCCCTCCTTTGCCAGCGAAGCGACCATGTGTTCGTCCAACACGTTTCCGTCTTGGTCGCGGTACTCCACGCGGGCCTTCGAACGAGGCTTCTCAGGCTCCGCGGTCACATTTGCCTCTTGAGCTTCTTGACCATGGGCCTCGGCCTCGCCTTGCTGAACCTCCTGCTTCTCCTGGGGTGGCTGCGCCACGGGAATTTGAAGTTGCTCATGCGGCAGAACGGCTTCCGTGGTGGGAACGGCAGAGCCACGGTGCAGGAATTCGGTCACATATTGGCCAAGCTAGTGCCAGTCAGTCGTCATGATGCGGTGCGTTTCAATATCCTCGCCGCGGGGGCTGCCATTTTGGAACACTTACGTCGGTGTGGAAAGTGTTACAATCGAAATCCCAGGAATCTAAGAGCTTAACCTTACGGCAGGCATCTTGCGTCCAGGGGTTGCCATAGACGAGAGGCGAGTAGAGAGTGAAAGCGAAGATGCTTGCAGCGAGGAAAATTCCAGCCAAGCCTTTGCCGATAACCGGTCGAGACGGGAGGCCAAGACTCTGGATACGGCCAGTGAGGAAGTCAAACTCCTGGCAAAGAGCAATAAGGGCAAAGTAAAGAGCCGGGAAGTAGTGATGCAGGAACAGTTGGCGAGCCATGAGGTAGAAGGGGAAGTAGTGGAAAGCCCACCCGAGCACGCTGCTGCCAATTTCGTAGTCGAATCTCTTGAAGTTGACATTGCGATAGTCACCGCAGCTGCGCTGCCAGCGGAGAATAGACACACCCTTGAACAGGAGGTAGACACCAATCGCCACCGTCGAGGACCACCAAATGACCGGGTTTCCAAGCAGGTAGACCTGGCGGTGGTCTTTACCCCAGAAGTTGATACCGCGAAGTAGAGTGGGCCACGAAGGGGGGCGCGAATCCCAGGCATGGGACTCGGTCAAACCGGCGTTGGTCTTCCACATGACCTTCTGAAGTTCCCAGAATTTACCCAGGAATCCCGGGTGACGGTAGTTGACCTTCTCCGAATCCTCAGGCAACATGGGATGCGCATTGGCTTCGATGTACCAGACACTGTTGGGCAGAGTACCGCCTCGGGCGCATGTAACTTCCTGTTGGTCGAATCCCCATTCAGGAAGCTTCACCTTGTGAGAAAACAAGACGCAGCCAGTCATCACATGCACCAAACGGAACTTGGATTGGATGGTTCGCAGGCGCTTCTTCGATTCTTCGCCGTCGGACATGGACTTGACAATCTCCACTCGGAAGAAATCATTCGCATCGCCAGGGAAACCCTCGTAGCCGTAAGCAGAGACCTCGTATTGCCAATCAACATCGGTCACAGGAGGCCGTTCATCGTGGGAGTGAACTCGTCTGTGCGTGATCAAATGGTTCAGCCGGACGACGGCGCCGTCTTCGATGTAATCCGCAGTGATGTTATCCCAGGCAAGAGGTCCCTCGACTTCGCCGTGGGGGCCCAGAGGCTGAGTCTGGTTTTCGAGGACAAAAATGTTGTTCTCGTCCTTGTGAGGGTAGAGAGTAATCTGCTGTTGCTTACTTCCGGTGGGGTACATGTGGTTGTGGGAGTGAAGGTAGCCACCCTGGGTGTTAAAGTGACGAATGCTGACGCGAGAGCCAAATACCACGTCGGCGGGCACATCTTGCATCGACTTCGAGTTCAATGTCGCCTGGAACTCGGAGGACATGAATCCGTCGCCTTCTCCGGGGTTGACCAAGCAGAGGAAATGGATAGCGAACATTCCACAGTAGAATCCTAGCGGGATGATGATAAGACAAAAGACTCGAGCGAAAAAGTGTTTGAACCACAGGCGCTACATAGCGAGGTGTTAGAAATCATCAGTACCAGGCACGGCAGGACATCAGAAGGTCTGGAATGGTCATACCGAGGTAACGGTCTTGTTGTCGCCAAGCAGCACCCACAATTGGAGGATGGTCAGAGAGCCAACCCAGGCAACAGTGAACAGACCAACCCATTTAACGCTGAGGGTGGCACCAAGAGAGAGACCAGTCGCCGCCAACCAGAACCACCAGGGCGCACGGAAGGCATGAGAAGGTCCCAGCTCGTGTTGGTTCGTGAAACTGGTGAATGCCAAGGCTGTGAGCGCAGTAAAGAATACTAGCGGCGAATCCAGAAGGATCAAGCGCGATTGAGTGATGAGTCCGTTTTCTGCAATCCGTCAGCTTTACGCGCCCTGTATCCAAATGGCCATCGAACCATACCAAAGATCACCACGCCGGCTCCCAAGACAGCAGCCAGAGTGCGACATCCCGACGCCTTGAGAGTCAAGAACATCAGGGGAACCGTCAGGATACCCAGAACAGCCGGAAGCATGCGCATCGCGACATAGGGAACCTTAGGCTCGAGATAATCCTTGCCAATGTCTTTGAAATCAAAGTTGCCGTCGAATCCGGCCAGCCAGCCGGCGAGTGTAATGAGAAGCTTGGCGAGAGGGGGGTGGACGTCCATGAAAAAGCGGCCTTTGATATATTTCGTCGCGAAACCACCGAAGCTAGCAGACAGACATGATCAGTACACGCGCGTAATTCATTCATTGCGATCGACGAGGCACATACTGGACTTCATCGAAGACGACGCTGGAAGGCTGGTAGATCCGGAACAGGCGAACGGCCGCGGCGATCAGGGTGACCAGAACAAGGGTCTTGTAATCCGAGCCGGGGAGATTGAAGATGTTGTTATCCGAAACGCCGTCCGATCCATAGTTCGAACTGCCCGCCGGCGCCTTCTTGCGATTCTTCGGTTTAGGGGAGCGGCTAGGGGAGCGCCCGGATTTGGAACGAGGCTGTACCTCTAGGGAGTCCTTGGATTTGGGAGACATGGTTGGAAAGGGGGACTCAGTCCGAGTCAGGTCCCGAAATTATAAAGGAATGCGAGATATTGATCAAGAAATTGGGATCAGAGAACCGGAAATAAAGAGATGAACAACGATGTTATAGAAAAATGTCGTGAGTATAGTGAGGACGCAGCCAAGGAGAAGAATGCCCCGACTCCGGAGGGAGCTCTTCAACGACCCAGAACAGCAAGGCCGATAAGAAAAAGACGATAGGAAAAAGTTATATCAACGAGTGGAAGGGATCGAGACGAGAGGCGCCATGACAAAACCAAGAAGAGCTCAAAAGGGACACATCGACGTCCGGGCAGTAAGACGGAGGCGAGACAAGACAAGACAACACGTGTGGGACGATGGACCCTACCCAGTTAGCGCCGCGGAAGTTGACTAAGCAGTCTTCTCGTGAACGGTCAACGGAGTACTTGGAACTACTCCACCATTTCATATACTTGCTCATTAAGATAGTCAGTCACTTGCTTACTGTGAATTGGGATAACATGTGTGGTACTTTACTGTCTCTTGAAACTCATGTCGCAACATTCTTAACTCCAAGACGTCCCTTTGAACACCTCCCGCTTTCATCGCAGGATGAGCAACCTCACTAACCCCTTTTCCATATCTCCCCAAGAGCCATGAAGTTAGCCTTCCATGAAGAGCGGCTAGGGGAGTACACGGATTCGGAACTGGGTGATCATATTGTGTCCTCGCCGACGTGCGCGTCTAGTTGGCAGGTAATCGAACTCTCCCCGAATCTCATAACCAAGCATTATCAGCGTTCAGAGGTCGAGGATGCTTTGAAGGCTACCGAAGTCGCCAGCCAGCTGGGGATCCGAGGTCCCTCCATACGAAGGATAGTAAGGAATGAAAGGAGTACTTTCACTATTATGGATCGGATCGAGGGAACTACTTTGGACGTTATCTGGAAGGAACTGGGTTGGTTTATGACGGTTAAGCTTGGTCTGCAGCTTCGCCGCTTCGTGAAAATCCTCAGATCTGTTACCTCGCCAACCGCTGGATCGCTTGCGACGGGCGAATGCAGGTCTTTCTGGCTAGAGGATCGTTACGGTCTTCCGGCGAATTCTGGTCCAGCCGAAATCGCCCACTTCTTCCGATTCTGGACAAATTTCACGTCCATACGGCGAGCGATGCAAGCAGCGAAGCAACCTCAGGCACTAGACTCGCCTGATTCCACTGTCGGGGTGCCGATGACTATTGAGCCATTCGTCTTGACTCATCATGACCTTGCGCCACGCAACCTTATAGTTTCTCCTTCTGGTCAGCTTTCGCTCATTGACTGGGATTTGGCTGGGTTTTACCCTATCACCTTCGAGTACGCATCCATGTACAATTTCAACATTCCTCAAGACTGGGACCTTATCGCCCGTTTACGATGGCATTTATTTGCCTGGATCGCGGTTGGCTATTATGAGGCTGACGCTCGCCTGCTGCGATCCATGCAGTTTAAATTTACACGATTCGCCGTCGGAAGGAGATACGAACTTCTGGGAAAAGGTGGTCCGTCAAGATACCCTGTAACCTGATTATGTGGGCTCCATGCAGTGGGGTTTCGTGTTGTGAGATTCCTGCAGAAATGAGCATTTACTGAACGCCAGTATCTCTGGTGCTTGCTGAGACATGTCTAATGCATGACCCCCTCGCCGCCTCGCAGATCCTTGGTATAGATACCCTGACTTTTCCACCTGAAGCTCAGGCTATGGTTCGTACGAGTATCGAGATAGTCAACTCGAAGGGCCGTGATAAGGATCAATTCAAAGAGGGGTCCGCGTAGTGCAGGTTTTGGATGCTCACTTTAGATATCTAACTCGTTGGTACAGCGAAATTATATCATATCAGATTCCTAATATTTCATAAATTATATTCGCCATACCTGGCAACCGTCTACCGCAAAGCAGTTGAAAAGACTCTTTTGTAAGCTGGTAAAACTTTGACATACCCTTCATACTTGGTTTCCAATGCTACGAATGAAGAAGTGCCTTCGCCGTGACTTGGGATGTGGTCTTAGCAAAGAGAGCATCGTATGTCTTGACGTCTGCCATATCTTCCCATGTTCTTTGATAGTGAATTGTGTATAGCACCGACATCAGCTGAATATGCCCTAGGTGAAGGCGAAGCCCTAAATCAACTGGGTGCAATGTTTTAGATCCTCTTGATTGCAGCCATCCCCTACATCAACTTCTGTCATTCCATGGCCCGCTGAAGCTTTCCAAAGATGACTCGCTCTTTCTTCGTCTTTCCGATCTCTCCCAGAGAAATCAACAACCCTTCAAAGGAAAATTAACCCCTTCAGGTTTATTACGCAAGCATCTCAGGCCTGTTTACGGTCATCGAGAACGGGACTCGGAGGCTCATGCTAGCCGTGACTATTGCGAAAAATATCACAAATAAGCATATCATTGGTGTTCGAGAACAAATCCACGAGAGCTTTCGAATTTAGCTGGTCTAGACCAGCGACTTATCGGTAGCCCAGAAATCCACATGGAGCTTGACGGTTAGCCTGATATCTCTCTGGGGGTTTGAAGAGACGGAAGCGACAGTGCAGACTGGACTGTTACTGAAATACTACATCATGAGACGACCAGTGTTGTTACTCGAAAGATGGCCATCATTGTACAACAATAGCGGAGACGCCTGGATTCAATCAGCTTGCGCCTGAAACAGTATTATCCTTAATTCACTTCCCCTGTTTGCAAAAATTGGTTGAAGATTGGATCCTTATCAACTGTGCCTCCTCTCGTCCGAAACAGGGTAAGTCTCTCCTTCTATATAGCTAATATTTTCACTTTTCCTTCTGATATTTGTATAGAATGTTCCGGGCCGAACCTCTGGGCTGCTGCTTTTACAAATTGTAATGCTGATCTAAATTTAGAGGAAAGATCGGTGGTAATATGTTGAGCCAGGAGTTCGATGAATAGGAAAGTAGCAGAATGGATTTTTTTTTCATCACGTCAGTAGAGAAGGGATCTCCATCAAAAAGGTAAAATAAAAATAAAGATGTAGAAAAGAGAATAACAGGGTCAGCATCGACTAGAACGGACCTAAAAGATCCGAAAGCATATTTTCCACATGTAATTCATCACGGTAACCCTCAAACACCACATCAACGACATCAGCAAGCCACCGCATTACACTTCGAACGGTGTAATGCGCCTTCGTATACTCCCAATACTCTGGAAACCATCCTGCATTCTCCCAATCAACAATTCCAGTTATCCTGCCCCCTTCTGCAAGGATGTTTCTGGGGTTCAAATCACCATGAGTAAAAAATATTCTGTGACATATATCATGCGATTTGGCAGCATCCCTCCGAGTTTTTTCACCAAAGGGATCGGTCAAGTATTTGTTAAAATCCGCTTCACTCTTGAATCGTAGCTCCTCTCGCTGACTATCAGGAATTCGCCAATCCAGGAAACCGCCGCCTTGAGAATTGCAAATCTGATATTCGCCTGGGGGGCCAGGAATTTTCCGAAGTTCAGAAACATATTTTTTTAGATCGATCACGGCCTGCTTGACTTGTTCATCGGTCATTGTGTAGAGTATTTGACCGATTGGGCGTCCAGGGACACGCGTCATAAGCAAATAAGAGAACCGAGGAGTTTCCAAAACATCGATTGCTCTTGGTGCTGGAATACATGTTGATTGCTCTATCATGCGAAGTGTGTGAGCTTCAACATGATATTTGGATGCCAGGTTCGGCGATCCCCTTCGCAAATACAAGCCGAAGGGTAATCTGAAGACAGTCATCGAAAGTGAGGGTCCATATTTACGATAACCGACTCGAAGTAGAGCATCGTAAACGACTGCCCTAAAGGAAGAAGGTAGGGCTGTCCAAAAGCGTCGAAAAAGTGAGGAGGGTGATATCAGCGAAGCAAGAAAGAACTTTCCCTTCATTTTGTAATCATCGTTTCGGATATTCTCGCTAGCATCGTCGCGTGAGGCATCCATATACTTTTTCGTCTCTATCCACGCCAATGACTTGGAGAAACGGGCGTGGATTCCAAGGAGGACTTCGCTGACAATTGGCGCCAATTGAGGAATCTTGCTCTCAAGGACTACTTCGTCTGGCACCAGCCAAGCATCTTCTTGGGGGTGAATACTGTTGGTATAGATGCCAAACTTGAGAAAGTTATTATCAGCCATGAATGGGGAGGGGGCATGAAGACTCACGGTTCGCTAATGAGATTTGTCAGAACGGGTCCTCCAACTTTGTGTCTTAAGGAGTATGTTCCCTGTATGAAAAGCATTCCAAGCTTGCTTAGACAACAGCCAAACATTATCAGCCTTCTCTGGCCCCTCATGCTGAAGGTTTCTTAAAATCTCCAATAGATCTCTGGATAGAAAGCTGCTCAGCATCTGAAAGAGGGCGGTCTTGCGCGTTTATTAGCTAGGATGGCAATTTAGCAATAACGTAACGTACCTCTTCCGAGAGATCTGGATCAGACAATACACAAGGCGGGACTATGTGAACGTATTCTAGATCATGATCCAAGTACGACTTGAAAGGTGTACGCGTAAGGCAACAGCGACATGTATCCCCTTCACAAATAAGCATCTTCGTCTCACTAGACAGTGATGTTGCCAGAGTCGGTCGAACTAATAGCTCACGTTAGAAAATTAATGCGCTTTGAGCCTCATGCTGTCCGCGAACACGCACATTTGTCAACAAGGGATTTCCACTCCGATAGGAACTGCGACTTTGTTTTATTTGGTGGCACTTCTCGATCATCTCCCGTACACGTCATATGAAGGAAGTACCGCGCTGCTTCCTGGGGGTCGAAAGCATCATTAATAAACCCAGCTAGAATAGACCGATCTGGATGAGGCACGTCCGCTATTGAGAGCAAGGCTTGATGTTGAGGCGATTCTTTATCTTGAAACAAAAGCTGAGAAGCTGACCCGCGAATATTCCACGGAATAGCCATAGCAACTGGATGCAGTAAGTCTCCAATTCAAAAAAGATTGTCGAGTTTTACCAGGGAGATGGACTTCTTTGGTTCTGTTAAAGGCGGTGTTGTTCCCTGCTCTGGGTCACGTCTAGGGAGTCGGTTCTATGCAGGGGTTTGGGCGGCTATGGCTTATTCACTGCTCCCTGCAGCAGCCTACTGACCATCGGTGGCCCAGAAAGAACCCCATCAGGAAGCTAATCTTCACTTATCTTGCATTGACTACCACCAGCATTTGACTAATGATGGGGTAGGACTTAACGTCTACAATAACGCTGCTATAGTTCCAGATCCTTCCCCTTTTGGTTAGTTGTGTTTTCCGGGCCCCGTTATGCGCGCGGCTGGAGTTACCGCCCATAGCCGCCGCCAAGGATGAGGTAAGGCAGGCCAAAACGGGCAATGCGAGGATTGCCCGCCTGGACCTTCGGAACAGCTCCCCTCCAGCACCTTTGTCCCAGCCCATCGTCGCTCGGGTTTTGTGTCTCGATCATGGCATCCGTGAGTAATGGAAATACACCCGCCCTGCCCGAGGAGGTGAGCAAACCCCCCGAGGGAGTGGTCTTGCCACCTAAGGACATCCGAGGTAAGTTTCGACACCCGCCGACAAAAAAGAGGAAAGAATGCGCTGACATGCTATATAGCTATTGTCGAGAAAACGGCCGGTTATGTCGCTCGAAATGGTCACGTCTTCGAAGGTACGTGATAGATTTCCCCATGTTCGTCCCGTTTGGTTCAGGTGTTGACGATGGATGTTCAGATCGCGTCCGCGAAAAGGAACGCAACAACCCGAAGTTTTCTTTCCTCAACCCGGACGACCCCTACGCAACCTTCTACCAGTGGCGCCTTACGGAGATCAAGGAAGGGAGAGGCACCGCGGTGTCTGCAGGTCGACCGGGGGAACAAGCGGCGGAACCTGAGCCTGAAGTACCCCAGGGACCTGAGGAGCCTCCAGAGTTTCATTTTTCGGCACGCATGCCCATAATCAACGCGCAAGATCTGGAGGTCGTCAAACTCACGGCTCTGTTCGTCGCGAAGAGAGGGAAATTGTTCATGACGGCGCTATCACAACGTGAAACTCGGAATTTCCAGTTCGACTTCCTGCGGCCACAACACAGTCTCTACCAGTTCTTCACGCGGCTGGTAGACCAATACACCATTCTCCTGCGCACGGAAGGAATAGACGAGGCCACCACGGAGAAGAAACGTCTTGCGGAGTTGGAGTCGAACGTGAAGAACAAGTTCCACATCCTGGATCGGGCCACGCAACGAGCCGAATGGGTCAAGTACCAGGAACAGCAGAAGCAGAAGAAAGAGGAGGAGGACGAGCAGGAGAAGATCGCATACGCGCAGATAGACTGGCATGACTTTGTGGTCGTGGAGACCGTTCTCTTCAACGAAGCCGACGACCAGTCCGATCTCCCGCCACCCACCTCGCTCGGTGACCTCCAATCCGCCTCCCTGGAACAGAAGGCCGCCATGTCCCTCAACCCTCTCCGCATCGAAGAAGCCATGCCCACCGACGAGGAGATGCCCACCTACTACAACGCCTACCCAGCCCAGCCCGAACCCATGCCCCAACCCGCAGGACCTTCCTACCCCCAGGGCCTACCTCCCCAGCCCATCCCCGCCGCTCCCCAAGCTGCATACTCCGCCGCCGCGCAGGAGGAAGAGCAACGCATCCGCGAACGCGCCGAGGCCCGCGATCAGGCCGCCGCCGCGCAAGCCGCCGCACGAGCCGCGCCCGGCCAGCAGCCGATGCGCATCCGGTCCGACTACGTCCCTCGCGCCCAGGCCCGCCGTCTCAACCAGACCGGCCCCACGGCCCTCTGCCCCAACTGTCATCAGCAGATCCCCGTCGCCGAACTCGACCAACACATGCGTATCGAGCTGCTCGATCCCCGCTGGAAGGAACAACGCGCCAAGGCCGAATCACGCAGCGCCACGACCAACCTGTCGACCGCCGACGTCGTCAACAACCTCAAACGTCTGGCCAGTCAGCGTAGCGACGTCTTTGATTCCACCGTCCTCCCGGGTGCAGGGGACCCCGAAGAAGAAGCCCGCAAGAAACGCATGGCCTACGATGCCTCCGCCGGTGGAGTCGGTCCCACACCCATGGTCGGTCCTTCAGGCGGTCCGCCCAATCCTCAAAGTATGACGATCGAGGAACAAATCCGACACATTCGCGAACGGGCCAAGCAATGATCAAACCACGGACCTTTGTTTTCTCACATCCAAAACTAAATCATTTCTTTCACGGCTAGGGGGATACAGCTGTTGCGGAAAATTCTGTGCTTGTTTTCTTTTCTCTAAATCTTATCTTTTCATGGGCGTTGTCTTACCACTCATCTGGAGTTTCTCTTTCTAAAATTTTCTTAACGGTCGTTGGAAACATTGATATCTTTTATTTCTTTCTTTCCTCTTTACTGTGTCAGACGTATCCGCTTCGGTTGTAAAGTATATCTTGTTTTGCCCTATCTTGTTTGAGGCTCGAGGATTCGACAATTATGACGTGCTAGTTAATACATGTGTATACCGAAGTTGAAGATATGAAGCAGCAGTTAAAACTACGGTACATTGACTTGATGGTTGCTGAGTCAAAGTCGAACTATAAACAACCTTGTCAAGAAAAAAACAACCTACAAAAGTCTAGTATAAACCAGTCAGGAAACTCAGTCTGATAAATCATAAATTAGCAGTATATCTATGAGAAAGCGCAAGAAAATCATAGCCATGAAGAAAACCTGCGCCAGCATCATTCAGTAAATACATTAAGATCCGAAGTTGCCGACACGTATTTCGCATAGGATCGAGGCAACAATAAAGCAATGTGGCAGAAATCCACAGATCAAACAAGATAAACGCCGTTAAGCAATTTTGGGAACGAAAGAAAACAGGCAAATAGGAAGACACGCTGATGTCTCCACATGCAGTAGGAAAGCGATGCCCATATGTGAGATGAGACACCTTCTGTACAAAAATGGGGGAAAGCCAGTGTGACCGGATTGCGCTCAAAGAATTGCAGATGACAAAACAAAGACCATGACAACAGAGGTAAATGTACATGAGGAACATATTATAAGCAAGATATTAATACAGGGTTGCAGGCTGCTTGGCGAATAGAAAATGGTGCAATGATAAGAGAAAACGGGGGGAAACGATAGATAAGAAAAGAAGAATATTAGTCTGGCAGCCATGCAAGAGGGAAATTAATATGAAAGAGATGAAAACAGGGAAGAGAAGAAGTTATTGACTTAATGATCAAGCCGGTGCCGCTCGCGGCTGTCGGCTTTAGTTTCGTTCGAGCTCCTTGTCGCCGCTCTTGACCGTAGTCTCGGCGGTTGTTTCATGGATGTGCAATGGAGCTTTTGATACATCACTCTCGTCCACGGTAGAGAGTTTTTCAACAGGAGGCTCCAGAGTAATACTCACGCCATCGACAGTTTTCTCGGAAGTCTTATCGTGCTCGTTGGTGTCCGCTTGCGAATTAGTGATATCCAAGGGGGAAACCGCTGTACTGCTGACAGGCGATTCCGAAGGAGCGGAGACGAATGGGTCTTCGCTCAAAGACAATCTATTGCGCTCGCCATCGTTGTCCTGCTCTTGATCGTTAACCGAATACTTGCTTTGCGCATCAGTACTCTCGGATGGCTGGTATTCAAGCTCCGGGTGGTTCTCGATGGTTTCGATAATGGTAGCATCTGCGATAGCCTCATGTGCCTCCGGGCTGAAATCCTGCGCACCAGTGGACTGGGTGAATATAGGGACAATTCCCGCACCCACTCGGGACCAGAACATTCTCTCTCTCAGACGGATGGTTTCTTCCCAGAACTCCTTCTCCTCTTCGGCATCACCGGCACGAATATGTCCATCCAGAATGAGGCGCAGATATCCGGTGAATTCGCAGGCAGAGCGTACTTTCTCGAGACAGAGAGCGCACAAGGGATACCGCTGCGCAGTCTCACTGTCCGACGTTCGGAAACGATGGGTTCGCTCATTGACATCCCCAGAACGGCGCTCGCCGCAAAGAGAACAGGGGAACTCATATTTCCTCGTCGCTGGCGGCACTGGCTCCACCAGGAGGCTTCCTTCACAGATGCCACTCAGAACCGAACGTCGAGTCAACCAAGAGATCCCAGGGGCTGCATCAAGCCTTAGAGTCGGCTCAATATCTTCGTTGAGAACGCGCTTGTAAAATCGGGTCTCCTTGAGAGGTATGTGAGAAACTGAAGGCTGCGGCGAGGATAGACTTCCGTTTGGAGAGTGGGTTTGCGACTTGGCAGGCGAGGAGGCCGACGATCCGAATGCACCACCTCCAAAACTGGCCAAACTCATGACGTTCAAGCCCGTGTAAGACCCACTAGTGGCCCGACTCGGCGGTTTGGAAGCAGTGGTTGATAATTGGAACAAATCCCGAAAATCCTCAAAGGCGGGCACATCGGTTCGGCATACAGATTTGATGAACTGCGGGAAACTGGAAGAAGGCCCCGGCAGTAATTCCTCGTGGCAAGTCAGTTCCGGGAGGGCGGACGATTCCCCATTATTTTTGGTGATCTCCAGCGGCTGATGGGGGCCAGTAGGAGAGGACGGAGCCGTAGACATGATTGTGCGAGCATCAATATCGTCCTTGGTGATATTCATCCCCTGCAGAACGGACTTGAGCTCGGCCAATTGTTCTTGATGCGAGGCAAGGAGTGATTCGGTATCCTTCACTTGAGAGCGGAGTTGTTCATTTTTCTTCTCCACCGCCTCGCGCTCGAGTTTGGCAGCGGCCACCATCTAGACGAATGAGAATTAGTCGATTGCAATTGTTGCATCCTATATCCGGCGAGAACCCACCTTGTTTGCTTCTTCGAAAAGGGCGGCCGTCAGAGTCTCGAGCTCTTGTTCAATGCCCTTCTTCTCTTTCTCCACTAGCGCACGCTGCGCCTTTTCGTCCGCCAAGGCGGCCTTGAGACGTAAAATCTCGTAGTCCACATCGGATTTCTTGATGACGACCTCCTGGTCGATATCTCGTTTATATTTTTCGTTTTCGGACTCGAGGGTGCGGATCCGAGTTTGGGCCTGTTCTAATTCTTGGCGGGTGGCGACTAAATTATCGTCGAGGGTGGTTTGGTTGTTGATGGCCTGAACGAGTTTGACACTCAGGGCAGCGACCTCGTTACTGAGGTCAGGATGATGCGACGGTGACGAGGACTCTTCCGAGACTTCTGGAGTGCCGCCTAGCCGGGGGTCCTTCAAGGTACTAAAGCCACTCTCGGGGATATTCCCGACGCTGGTCGAGCGGGTGGCCTGGGGGGGTTTATCGGTCCCGACGGCAGCGAGGTCATTTGCGGACCGAGCCTTGGTGAGAGTTCGATCGGGGGAGAGAGATCGGTTTTCGGACGAGAGCGAGCGCTTGTGACTGCTGGGTCGTGGAATCATCGTGGACGGCGAAAGAAGGCTGTGCCGAGAATAGTAGGAATGGAATGCGATTAAACTGCTCATATACGTCAGTACGAATTGCAACGAGAGGGAAGATTCCGGGAAAGTAGGAACGCACTCGGCCATGGTGACGAAAGAAGGCTGATAACGAGGTTCAGCAAGTATGGAACGCGCGGTGACCGACGGTGGGTATCACGACCACGTATATAAGGTAGTGAGAACGGGCTTTCCATGCGACAATTGCAGCGAGTAAAAAGAGCGTTGGAGGGTAGATGCATGCAACAGCGAAAGTAGGGGGCAAGGTAATGCACCGTCCCCGCCAGTGCGCCGACTGGGAGAAGTTACTAGCCGGTCGGGATGCGAAGCATTGAAGAATGAATCGGGGCTAGGATCGGGCGGAAGGCGGAACGGGAGCGGAGATAAATCAGAAGGGGGGGGATAAAGGAGGGAATGGGAAGTTGAAAAGATAGACGGAAGGGGGAGGAAAAGGGACTGAGGAGAGGAAGGGAGTAGATGAAGAGAGAGAGAGGGTGACGAAAGAAGGGGAGAGAGACGGAAGAACCCCTCTTTCGTTGCAGGACAGGAAGAGTAAGGCAAGTCAGGCAGGCGCTTAAGGAATCGGGGATCGCGGGTGAGAGAGAGAGAGAGAGGAATTAGTCTACGGAGTAGCACCGTCGCACTAGGAGTAAGTAAGTACTAACTACTCACTACGGTTAGGAAGAGGCTGGGAGGCAAGGCGCCTTAGTCAGCCCTGCTTTGGGACAGGCCGGTCACGGGTCTGTCCCGTGATAGTCCCTCGGTCTACAACTTTACCCTCCGTAGAGGTGAGGAGTAGCTTCTCGCTACGGCCAACTAGGAAGGTCCGCCCATTGTTGGTCCGATGGTCGAAAACTTGAGGAGAATATGATCCGTTCGCTTGGAACCAGGAACCCCAATGGCAGGATCAAATTTCGTCAATAAATAGTACCAATAATAATAATCAATTCGAAAACTACGGAAGACCGTGCGATCGGCTCACTGCCACCCCCCGACGCTGCCGGGTCGGAAGTTGGATCATCTCAAAATAGTTGCGGAGTGGAGGAGGACGACTCATGGCTTGGCAGCCGATGACGACACTCGCAGCAAACAAGGGATTATCCATTGGTTTCTGAGACATCGCGACGGCCCTTTGGGGCGACCTGCCTTATCTATCTGCGGCCCGGTGCCACCGCGATTCCGTCGGCGGCGCGTACACTGTAATTGCGGTGTACGGATAGTGGTTCAATTGCTGTCTGCCTATTCTGCGGTCCCTGGTTGCACCATTGTTGCCCTAGGTGTCTTGTCTTCGGGGTGATTCTCCGTTGTGTTACTTGGTAGTGGAAGTGGTCTTCCTTGTGGAGTAGGATGAAGATCAAGTCAGCTTCGGCGCACTGGGCACTCGCTGGCAGGGAGTCAGCCAGGACACGTGATCTAGTGGCAGAATTGAGCTTCTGCGAAAGGCGGTCTGCCATATCCAGACCTGCCTGATTCGGGTAGATCGATGCCTCATGGCACCCCACATAAGTTGCAGCCTTAATGCCTCAGGCAATATAGAAGTGGGGTTTGAAACTTCCTCGAGATCAAATGGCATCGCTCCATCTTCATCGTTGATCCCCGCGTCACCATCAATTCCTGTCTTTGAAATCAAACCCTAGGGCCAACAAAGGATCGGTCCTCGCATCTCATACGATCCCCTCATCATACGCACATTCTATCAATTGACCACGCCATCCACTCACCATGGCCGACGCTGAATTGGAGGAGGTTAGTCTATACCGTTGAAATCCTCTCTCTCTTTCTCTCGCTTGTTCCCTGGTCATGCCCCCTGTTCTTTCCCCGTGCGGAATTTCACCATCGCTTCCTCGCCGGGCCCCTTTAGCAAAAATACTGACTCGCAAAATAAACAGATCAGACGCGCCCGTCTTGCGCAGCTCCAGCAACAACAGGGTAGTGCCCCACGAGGAGGGGGTCCCGACAACCAGGAGGAACAGAGAAAGTAAGTTCAATAGTTCAACTAGTCCTGACCCTCGTGGAACAAATTATACTAACAACCACTCAAGACAAGCCGAAAGTAAGCCGCGATAATTATTTCCATGCCACAGCCCGTCTGTTACTCACCACCCCGCTCCCCGCAGGCGAGCGTCGCTCCGCTATTCTAAGCCAAATCCTCGAGCCCGAGGCCGCCGACCGCCTCGGCCGGATTCGCCTGGTCAAGGAGTCGCGCGCGATGGACATCGAAAACCGACTCATCATGCTGGCGCAAACCGGCCAGCTCCGCCAGAAGGTCAACGAGGATCAGCTCAAGCAACTGCTGAACGCCGTTGCCGAGAACCAAAGGAAGGACGAGGAGGAACACAAGGTTGTGTTCAGCCGGCGCAAAGGCGGATGGGACGACGACGATGATCTTTTGGATCTGTGAAAAGAAAAAGAAGAATATCAATCGTGATCTATGTGTGAAAATGATTTAGCTCGGTATTTGGCTTTTTCTTTTGCAAATTCGCCGTTGTGATACCTAATACCTCCGGCTTTCTCCTGTTCTTAGGGAAAGTCCTATGCCTTTACGACTGATTATGGGGCAGTTGATTCCTTGACCTGCACAGCGCCTCTGCTTCCATAATAATGTGACCCGATCGAGAGATTATTTTTCCCGTCATCGAGAGTTTCCTCGTCTCTGTCAATTACGACCCGCTGCAGTCGCAGCCCAGTCCTTGCTCAGAATTCTTATAGCAGGGCGCAAAACTATACACTCTATTCTGTTCATGATCATAACCAGACCACCGCAAGGGAATTAAAAGCAAAGATAATTTACATAAATCTTGTACACGACCATAACCATCCAACCCACCTACGCAGCCTGCTGCTGCTCCAACTTCTGCTTCTCCCTCTTCTTCTGCTCCCTAATCATGCGCCGAATCTCCCTCATATCAGGCGGTCTCTCGATACCCAACTCCCCACGCAACTCATCGACATCCTTCTCCAAAATCTTCTCCCAGTAGACATTAATCAACTCCTTACTCGACAGCCCACTCCGCACCGCCCACGGCAACCACAACGACACCAACCGCTCCCTCTCCGCGGGCTTCAACCGCACCGCCGCCGCCATACTCAACCCCGTCATGGGGATCAACGTATTCAGAAACTCCAGCGCCTTCAGCGCCAACTCGCCCTCCACGAACGTGGGCAGGCCCGTCAGCGCGTGGTAGAAGTCGTGACACTCGCGGTATCGCTGCATTACGTACGCACACTCCTCGTCGTCAATGTACTGTACATTGTCGCGTGTGTCGGGCGACACACCTTCGCGGTCCAGCCACACGGCGTAGGTCCGGCCGACGGAGTTCTCCGGGAGAGAGCGTAGGTAGGGCAAGGGGAGGGTCGTGGATGTCATGCGGGGTCGTTCGCGGAGGATTTGTCGCCCCGTTGGGTCGGAGAGCATGGCGTCGCGTAGTCGGTAGATGAAGTATGGGGTTGCGGTGGCTTCGCCGCAGGCTGCGATGAGGTCTGTAGTTTTTGGAGGGAAGTGTTAGCTTGACTACCTTTCGCATGATTTTGTATATAATGTATAGCGCATAGAGATAAGAAAATGAAGCCATTGGCATTGCATACCCGCTCGACGAGGGTTCATCAGCGCCCCGAACGCAGAGCCAAAAGCGAGAGCTCCGCGCTCGAGAACGTTCAACGGGACATGGCCGGGATACTGCGGCGACGGGCGATTGAAGAGAGAGAAGTGTCGCGTGCGACAGGATACCGAGACGGGGGCGAGTAAGCTTGCTTCGTGCGCAACAAGCGTCGCGGTGCGCCTCTTCAAGACCGACATGTTGAGTCCGATGGGCGACGGGTCACTGTCAACATGACCGGAGAGAAGAGCGTCGATGGAGTAGATCGGGTGGTACGACGTCGGTTCGGGGAGGATCTCCGGGCGGCGCGAGTGGCGGCAATGCCCTCCCGTACTGATAAGCGATCGATAAGCTATCGGGTTTATCGCGGTTTTTCTTGTAGATCCTCTTCTTCTTGTTCATGTGTCGTTGCGCATGATGCTTGGGATTCGGCATTCTGGTGTGTTCTGCTAGACTCATGGGCTTATGACATATATTTCCGATCTCCGGGACTACTCTACATACATCACCAATCTACACATCCCCCACCCTCAACAAGTCCGGAAAAATGAAGCCAGGCTGGTGGCCCGGAGAGGACCATGAACAGTTCACAGACTGGGCCATTGCTCAAGGCATCCTCGTCAATGGGGTCTATCCAGCTCGATTCCCAGGTCGCGGCTTAGGCATGATAGCCATGCGGAGTCTCGAAGTACACAGCCCTATCAATGCCCCCCGTCATGCTCCAATCTACCCCCACATCCTACATCCCGACTAACATACTACAGGAAGGCGAAGCAATCGTCACAGTGCCACTGACAGCAATGTTCACCCCCAATTCAATCCCCTCATCATTCACCAGCAAGTTCCCCGACGAAACACCCGTCCACGCACTATACGCCGCATTCCTCACCAACGGGGACCCCTCGGACCTGCAGCCGTACGAACCCTGGCGAAAGACCTGGCCCACCCGTCAGGACTTCGAGGACGGCATGCCACTTCTCTGGCCCTCGTCTCTACGCGGACCCTCCAAGCACGACACCTCTTCTGGCGCACAAACCTTCCTTCCACCATCAATATCCGGCTCCTGGACCACCATCCCGAAAGGAAAAGCGGAATGCGACTACGAAACCACCCACCAGAACCTGCTCGCGCAGCAAGAATCCCGACTCCAGAAGGCCTGGGATCTCGTGGTGGCTGTCTTCCCTGAAACCAACTGGGAGAGCTTCTCGTATCATTGGTTGATCGTCAACACGAGGAGCTTCTTCTTTCTCATGCCGGGCGACGAGGCGCCTGAGGATCGGAACGACGCGATGGCGTTGCTTCCCTTTGCGGATTATTTTAATCATTCTAATGTTGCTGTATGTGCTTCATCTTGATCTGGTTGTGTTGTGGGGTTGGGACTGGGGTTTACTGTTAGGGTCGAAGTTGACGTGGCTCTGCAGTGTAATGTGAAATTCGATGGACGGAATTATGTCTTCCGTGCGGCGAAGCATTATGGTGAGTTTACTTGGTCTTGTGGATGAAATCGAAGAGTGCGAGGACAGGGCTGATGATGAACCACAGACGAAGGAGAGGAGATATACATGAGCTACGGACCCCATCCGAGTGATTTTCTGTTGACAGAATGTGAGACCCCCTTCGTTCCTGTCTCATCGACTCTGCTGATTACAAAAGACGGTTTCTTCCTCGACCATAATGACTCCGAAACACTGTATCTGGACGATCTCATATTCCGAGACCTTGACAAAACGCTGCAGGAGGAATTGGAGTTCCAACAATATTACGGGTAAGTTCCTATCGCTAATAGAAAGGTGCAGGATGCGCTGATCAACAGCTAGAAATTATCAATTAACCGCAGATGGCGCGTGCTATCGCACCGAGATCGCTGCTTGTATGAAATACATGGCGGTTGAGGACTGGCGCAACTATACCCTCGGCTACTCTACCAAGGGCTTTGATGCTCAAAGGTCAGAGGCTATAATCCGAGACTGGATCAAGACGTATGCCAACGAGGCAGACACGGCGATCACAGCATTGGAGAACTTGAGATCTAGCAAAGTAGACCTCAAAGATCAAGAAAAGGTCAAACTATTGCTGAAGCGGTGGAAACAAATCCGAACGCTCTGTGGCCAAGCCCTTGAGGCAGTTTCGTGCTAGAAAAGAAGAGAAAGGAAACACCTGGGTATAATTTCTGGAATATATCATCCTGCTAATTCGAAAGACCGAGAGGATGAGCGATATAATACAAAATGGGTCCTATTAGGTGGCATCGACCACCGGAACAGCACCCCACTCTCTCTGCGTGGTGCTTTCCTTCTTGGCCAGCACCAAGTGCTTCATCATATAATTCACCACGCACTTCACGCCCAGCTCCTCCCCCCTGCGCACGATGTACCCGTTCATGTACTCAATCTCGGTCGTCTTCCCATTTCGGACATCCTGTAGCATGGAGCTATGGTTATGGGCCGTTCGGTTAGCCAGCTGCGTCACCATCCAGCGCAGCCGTTCGGGGGAGAACCGGGTTTCAATCCCGGGGATGCCCTGCAATTCCGGCAGCGCGCAGATCACGCCGGAGATCTCCATCAGAAGCAGGCGCATGATACGGGTGTAGCTGTAGTTGTAGAGAAGTTCGCCGTTTTCGCAGTTCATCACAGCCGTTAGGGGGTTGATCACCGAGTTCATCGCGACCTTCTCGAGTTGATAGAGCAAGAGGGCGGACGGGGTCTCGGCGATCGCAACAAGCGGCGGCGTCAGGGTCAAGATGCGCAGAAGATATTTGGTACTCGGCGCCCAGTCCGCGTCGGTCTCCTTGTCGTGAGGGACGGTGCCAGCCGGCGGCACCACGCCCAAGACAGTTGTGCCCACGCCGGTATGCGTGACTGAGAAACGATTCGGGTTGCGCCGCGCCAGGCCGTGAGAAACGATGCCCTGCACGTAGTGAGGGCGAGTGTGCGGTTCCGTAAAGACCGTCTTATTGATCTCGTCGATGACGCCCATGCCGTTCTGGAGAAACAGAACCGTGGAATCGGGCGTCAGACGGTGACGGACAGACTCCAGAGTCTTTCTGGTCACCGGGGCCTTGGCGGCCACAATTAAACATTCAATAGGGTCATCGGCCCCGGCTGACTGGGCCAGTGTCCCTTCGACATTATCCTCCTCGCCTTCGATACTCTCGTTCGGTGTACCGTCCTCCTTCCAGTAGGGTATGGAAAGCCAGGACTTGTCGCCTAGAACGTCGATGTCGAAGCCCGTTTTCACGTCGTCGAGGCCGTTGGAGCCAAGTGACAGGCACTTCTTCCTTTTCAGCCAGGTCTTGTAGAGGCCTGGGTTGTGCAGCATGAGTGTAACGGGTGGCGGAGACGGTCGACTCGCCAGAGAGTGAGCCACGAATAAGCCGACATTTCCTAGTCCGATGATATGTATGCGCCCGGACAGTCGACGTTTCCCGCTGATCTGAGACAATTCATCTGCATCCTGCCTCCATGTCATCATGCCACGGTAAGAGCCCCATTGAACCTTACTGCGCGTACAACGACACAAGTCTGAAATGCCGGCCCGCAGAAGCGGACGGCGTGCTAGTATGTACAACACTTTGGAAGAGTGGCGCGAGGCACAACCGCAGCCGGTATGCAAGAGAGAAAGCAGTCAGTCGAATCGACAATCACGGAATTCGTTAATTCCGCATTCTGGCACGGAACTTATATGTAGAAAGGGTCACGAGAATCATACGACTCGACCGAGCCCAAGATTTGGAGGTCGCAGACTCGCAACAATCGCCGGGCGGAGAAGAAAGAGTTGCCGTTCAAAGCTCTCCACCGCCTGCCTCACCGCCCGTAGATAAAAAATCGACATTATTCTCTTTTCCCATCGCGATCAACTCTCTTTGTCTTCATTCTCAACTCACCAGTACATCATGGATCCCGTCGATTTGTTGCCGCTGGTCGACCAGCTAGATGATAATGTTGATGATTTGGAAGAGGCGCTTGCGCCGCTCCTGAACAGCGCCGTCACCGAGACCTCGAAGAAACTGCCTGTTCTGGATAAGGCGAAATACCATGTCTTGGTCACGTACGCTTTGGAGTCACTTCTGTTCTGTACGTCTGACTTCGTAGGATCGAGTCTGATAACTGGTCTATAGAACCACTTTGCTAACGGATGATAGCTTACTTGCGCCTTCACGGCGTAGACGCCAAAGACCACCCGGTCTTCCGCGAACTGACCCGCGTGAAACAATACTTCGCCAAGATCAAGGCGCTCGAGACAGAACCGGAGCAGCGCACCATGACTCTAGACAAGGAGGCTGCGGGCCGATTCATCAAGCACGGTCTTGTATGTTCTTCCCTCTCCCTCAGACAATATTTTCATAGTAATTGATTGGTACCAGGCCGGCAACGACAAATACGACATGGAGCGCAAGGAGCGAGAGGCCAAGGAAAAGGCGCGCGCGCAGTTCAAGGCATCGCTACTGGCTAAGAAGGAGGCTGGTGCGGGCGAGAAATCATCTAAGAACCCTACGAATGGCTCGGATTCTGAGTCCGACTCTGGCGCAGACGACGAACCGAAAGCCGAACCTACTGCTAAGCAGTCGACGAAAACCGCTAAGTCCGCTGGACCCGAGAAGAAGAAGAACAAGAAGGGGAAGAGTGACAGCGAGAAGAAATCCAAAAAGAAGGATAAGCGCAGCAAAGAAGGACGAAATGAAGAGAAGAAAGAGCGGAGACAGAAGAAGAAGGAAACTCGGAAGGCAAGGCAGTCATAGAGAAGCGAAAGAGGGTCAAACTAAGCAACACTTCTCTCTAGGACTAGCGAGGATAGAGTCTCGCGAGCTTGGTCGGCTGGATCCGATTGTCAGGCTTGACGTCAGCCAGTTCTGGTCTTGTTTATTGCATCAAGAGGACAAATTGAGGCAACGAGATGCGATGGCCAAGACGACCATTGCATATGTTCGCTCTCAGCAGATTTTGCTCTTGAATTCACGTTGAACTCGTGCGTTGCAGCGCCGGCTGGAATGCGCATGAGGATTTGGATACCCAACAGCAGTCGCATCACTAACGCAGAAATACCGGGAGGACTTTGAGGTCACCATCATCACACTCGATGCAGTACTTTGCAGGCGCAATGCCTCGACATGCATTACGACGGTGTATAGTCATGGTTTGGCCTGGCGAGACGATCGGAGTGGCGACTCTTATCTCCGGTCCATCTTTTAGGCATCGAGAGCCTTCTGTCAGCTGAGTGATGTGGATCGGGATAAGTGACTCATTGCTAGGCAGCACATAGAGGCATTCGCCTTGACAATACATAGTAGAGTTATGAGAATACTTTCAGTCTGCATAGAGGTTTATTTCTAAACTGCAGTGACGCACTATTAGTAGAAATCACCAATATGCTATAACTATGTGTACGGAGTCGACACCTCAGGCCACAAGGGCCGCGATACGAGACGATACCAAGTGGAGACGGGCCTTCGCGGGTAAATAACTTCAGATACGGTAGAATGCGTAATTACCGGTCACCATCCGGACGGCTGACCTCATCAGGCACATCCACCAATCAGCACCCGTAAATTAGCCAGCTGCCGTCGGAGTTTTTCCTCTTCTCCGCCGACATTCTGTTCCTTTCTATATAACCGACCTTCTTCCCCGAATCTAATCCCCATCTTTACCCGTTAAGCCACAACCCCCATCGTCAACCTTTCGACCAACTTTCAACCTTCACATCCCATCAACATGCCTCGTCAACGTCGTGGTGCCGCTCCTACTCCCGCGCGCAGCGCCCCTACCAGACCTACCGCCGCTCCCGCCAGACCGGCCGCTGCTCCGCAAGCCCAGCACTCCCAGCCTCACTCGACCTCTGCCCACCAGCCCTCGGGTGCCCAGCAGCACGCTCCTCCCCCTGCCGCGGCTCCTGCCCCTGTCCAGCAGAGCCAGGGTCCCGGACTTTTCGGCCAGATGGCCTCGACCGCCGCGTAAGTCAAGCTTCGAGCCCTTTCCGCGGAAACCGGGACCCCCAAAGAACCTCCGTACCTGTACCTGTACTAACGCAACCGTGTCATAAACAGTGGTGTCGCAGTCGGATCCTCCATCGGCCACGCCATCGGTGGCTTCTTCGGCGGTGGCGGCTCCAGCGCCCCCGCTGAGTCTCAGCAGGCCGCTCCCCCCGCCGAGGCCCAGCCCATGGACAACGGTCTGTGGCAGAGCAGCGCCGCCAACACCTCGTGGGAGAACCCTGCCTGTGCTACGGATGTGCGCAACTTCCGTAGCTGCATGGATGAGAACAAGGGTGATCTGACTATCTGTGGGTGGTATTTGGATCAGCTGGTATGTTTTTCTCCTTATTCCCCTGTTTTCCCCGTTACCCCTTGGGGATGGGGTTATGGTTTTCTCCAGATAGATGGATGGATTGATACTAACGATTTCTACAGAAAGCTTGCCAGGCCGCTGCTAAGCCTTACTAAATGCACATGCGACCCCTTCTTCCCGATCTACCTACCTATCTACATACCCAGTATCTAATTTAGGTGCTGTTTCCTAATGTATCGTTATGTGTGTTCTCTTTTTTGTCATCTACGGGGCAAAATCCACGACATCGGTGTGGATTCAGGTCTTTTTATCTGGCTAGCTAGCTAAGTGGATGGACCTGTACCTCCGACATCGTGGATTGTGTTTGCATAGCGGCGTATCTTTCTCCCTATACCTACCTACCTACTTTTATCACTGTATACCACCTACCATTTCGAACCACCTATTCCATTCTAGCTAGCGTGACAGGTCAAATCAGATCAGATCAGCTAGTCTAGAATGGGCTTGTGTTTCAACTGTTCGTTTCTGATTTCTGGATATCTCATCCCCTATTACAAGATCTATAGATCTATCTGTCTCTAGATTTATCTAGTTGGATGACGGACGGGTTGAGGAACAGAACAGAAAGAACGCAACGAATCTCATAAATAAATAATGAAAAAAAAAGAATCATTCCACTCTTCAGTTCAGTTTCAGTTTGGTTTTCATCTTGTCATTTGGTCGATGGCGTACATGTAAGAGTACAGTTGCAGACGTAAGAATTAACAGGATAGACAGATTAAAGAAATCAAAGCCTTGAGTGATATCAACAACTTCAAGCCGTCATATTGAATGGAAACGAACGATCAGATAATGAATGCTATCGCTATTGGAAGAAAACAACCAGATTAAGCAGACAAAACATAAGGGTTCACGATAGAAAATACTAGAACGGAGCAGAGCAGAAAAGAACGAACAGATGCCGTGCGAGTGCCAGTGAAAGATGCGCAGAATACTCAGCCAATAAAGTCCCAAACGCTGCAACAAGTAGAAAGTAAGCAAGGATGTGGGTAAAGTTAGGTAAGCCCTGATTTGAATTCAGATTGAGTACAGCTATTGCAAGGGTCGTCCGTTTTCATCCCGTCGAGGTTGGAAATTAAGCTGTAAGATACCAATTAGCCCGTGCAATGGATCGAAATACCCTCACTGGGCCTTAGGGGAGACGCACCTGATTCCCGTTGTACAACTGGCTGTCATCCCGCTCTTCACGCTGATCGTGTAATGTCCGGATATTGAGTCCCCCGGACCCGGTTGGGCGCGGTCTCGCTGCGCCTGGCGGGGTCGAAGTCCCGGGCTGAGCAGAACCGGTCGACGGCGCCGTCTGAGGTGCTGGTGATGGCTGGCCGTAGCCGAGCAAGGATCCGACGAGACCTGTAGCGGTCCCGACAACAGACGACACAAGCCCGTAGGCGGACGAGACGGCGCGGACAGGGAGACTAGCCCCGGATGTTGAATACGCCTCCGTGTAGGTGTTGATCGGAACCATGACGAGGTTCGCCGTCGACCCAAGACCTAGTTCTGCGAGCGCCTGTTCCTCCTCGGCGATAGTGAGGGTTCGGTTCGGGAGAGGGGTTAGGATGTGCTTGAGGTTGTAGGGGCGTTTCTCCTCCAGCTGGCTGTCAACCCAGGGGCGTACGTCTCCGCGAATGGTCTGCGAAGGAGTAAAGCTTGAGCGCACGGAACTTCCGTCGAATAGTCGGACTTGAAGACGGTACTGTCGTGGGGGCGTTGGCTGGGGTTTGGGTGCGGGCTCTTGCTCCGTTTCAGGGGGAGGGGGGGTCGGCATGTCGACGCTCAGGGTTCGTGAGGATGTTGCTGGTTTGTCGTGCTTCTTGATAGTAATCTTGGGAGCGGGTGCAGCTTCCTTCTTTTGGGGCAGAGGTGCAGGCTTCTTTGTTGTCTTTGTCGAAGGTGATTGAGACGGTTCTAGTTTCTGCGTCTTCTTTCCCGCCGTTGCTTCGTCTCCCTGCTGCTGGGGCGATTGTGTCGACTCGGCGGGTTGATGTCGAAGCGCCGCTGGCACCGAAGCAGGAGAGACAGGTGTGGGTTCAGATAGAGGTGTCGTTGTAGACGCTGTCGTCGGCTCTGGTCCAGAAACCGGCGCAGCCGTATGCGTCGTTGCCGCAGAACTACTCTGTCCTATCGACTGCGTCGGCGCCTGAGACTGAGCATCCGCATCGGCAACCGCAGCTCTCAACCGCTCCTGAAAGCCCTCCTTCTCAATATCCGGAATGATATACTCTCGCAGGGTTCCATGCCTACGCAGAACGTCAGTCAACACCGTCCCAGCTTGAACTGTATCCAACCTATCCAGGGTATCGGCAATGACGTACTTGATGACAACAACAGCCGGAAACTTCGTAACAGGGCAGAAAGATGTCAAGAAGCCCGCTTCCTGACTATCCTTGGTGAGTCGCAACAGGACAGATGTTGACTCGAGGAGTTGCGCGAACTGTAGGCAGTGAATGCGTTGGCGGACGTCCTAGCCTGACGGTAGTTTTGAAAGAGGATTGATTGATTACCTCGCTATCCGTGAAATACTCATTCTCCCACGTCGAGCTCGCCTCGCTGTCATCTATTGAGTGAGATAGTTAGCTCCTGTCTACAGGATAGTAGGTGCAGCAATGACAATGGAGAAGGGTGGAGCTGGCGGCTGGCGCATAGGCACAGCTCCAGCTAGAACGAAGGCAAATGGAAGGATACCTCGAACAAAGCAAACCACGGCTTTCCCTTGGCAAACAGCATCAGCAATACCCTCCTGCAGACCTCCAGAATAAAACATGATGGGATGGACACGGAAGGACGGATGGAAGTAGATACGGAAGGTCAGTGACAGGAAAGCGAAAGCTGGGGCGGAGAGATCGGGGAAAGCATGGAAGCCGCCGATCACGAGAGCCCCTCGGGAATCCGTCCGCCAACTTTAACTAAGACTAAAGATTTCCTTGCCTTCACTGCATCCCCCCCAAGGACCTTATCACCAACAACCCCGACTTTCGCCAATGAACTAAATACAATTGCCTGGAACGAAACACCTCAGATCGACATCGACATCCACACAGCTCATGAGGTCCATCTTCTCGGTCCTCCAACGGACCGCAACGACGGCCTGGAAGCAGCCCCCGATCGCCTCCGCCCTCCGCGGTCCTCGCGCGACGTTCAAGCTCGACTCAATCTGTGCGAGATGTCGACGCCAGCAAGTCCGATTTAACAGCCAGCAGCGGCAAATGGGCGATGATCCGCGCTGGCTGTCGGTGGTGGATAATCCGGCGCAGATTGTGCGGACGGGGAATAAGCATGGACCGGGGTTGATTATTTTAGGTATTTACGTTCTTCTCTCTCTTCTCTTTAGCTTTGAACGATTAGAAAGGGGGATAACGATTAGAAAGGGGGAAATTGTGTTGGTTTATGAGAATAATATTGACAATTGATCCTCTAGCTTTAATCCCGATCATTTCCTTCGCCCTCGGAACCTGGCAGATCCAGCGTCTCGACTGGAAAACCAAAATCATTGCCAAATATGAAGACCGTCTCGTCAAAGCACCGCTTCCGCTGCCGCCGCAGATCGATCCTGACGCTGTCTCGGAGTTTGACTACCGGAGAGTCTACGCCACGGGTCGTCTGAGACACGACCAGGAGATGCTGATCGGGCCGCGCATGAGGGAGGGGGAGGATGGGTATATTGTGGTGACGCCGTTGGAACGAGGTGAGGGACAGAGTACCGTACTGGTCAACCGGGGCTGGATCTCCAAGAAGATGAAGAATCAGAAGGATCGAGTCGGCGGACTGCCTCAAGAGGAGGTGGTCGTGGAGGGATTGCTCCGCGAGCCGTGGAAGAAGAACATGTTTACGCCGGAGAATAAGCCGGAGAAGGGAGAGTTCTACTTTCCGGATGTGGAGCAGATGGCGGAATTGACAGGCAGCCAGCCGGTGTGGATTGAACAGACCATGGGTGAGTCTAAGCTATATGCATATTCCATGTAACGTGTGGTGTGTACTGACGTGAATGAACCCGGCAGTTCAGGATATGGTGGAATTCTATGATCGAACGGCCAAGGGAATTCCTATCGGTCGTGCGGCGGAGGTGAACCTGCGAAACAACCACAGCCAGTACATCTTCACATGGTGAGTCCTTCAGAACACTGATATTCCAACAACCCTGGCTGACTCTCGCAGGTACGGTTTGTCTTTGGCAACGTCGATCATGCTGGGAATGATTATCCGGAAGAGACCCAACGAGGCCACACGTCGGGTGCGCGCAAACCGGAACTGGTAAACTCCTTTCTTCAGATCTATGGTCGTTGCGGGCGTTCGGGTTCGTTAGCTAGGAAAGATTCTGTATCACATGTATATTTCACGGCGGCATCGGCAGCCTCATATCCTGCAAGAGTTCCTTGGGTAGATGTTTTTGTGCCAGCGAGAACATAGTAGTGGCATTGTTCGTATGACGTTGTCTAGAACGATCAGCTTGGTCCGACAAGACACGATAGGGAAGGACATGAAACCCACCTTCTGATGAGAGCGGCTACATCACTCTCGTCGATCGTCTTCCGTCCCGCATGTTTCGAGTAGGCAGCCAGATCTTCGCTCACTTGCTCGAAGTACCACGAAGAGGCCTGCTCGATTGCCGCCAGTGTGGCCTTGTTGATCTTTGCTTTAGACCCAGCCCGTGCCGGCGCAAACCGTGTAGCTAGCTTCTTAATGACCCCGGCGGGCATGTTGGGAACGGGAATGCCATGGCGGGAGAGCTTTTTCTGCTTCGAGCCTTGAATGATCGTGTCTTCTTCACGCAGCCCTCCACCAACCACTCCAGGGCTTTCACTCATCGGTGCCGGGGACCAGCGAGGTGACGGGTTCGCGTCCATGCCAAAGTCAGCAAGAGGCTCGTTGCCATCATCACTATCCGATGGGAATCCTGTATCTTCCGCTAAATCCACGGCCGGAAGTTCAAACCCGTCGTCATCGTTCATGGCCGCATCCTGATCCAAGTCATCATTCCCAACCGGGACGGGCGATGGGAAGTTAAAGTCGAGGTTGAATTTTCCCAGATCTTCCGTCTCTCCGCTGTAGACGCACATTAGTTTAGGGTCTGTACCAAATCCATACGTGCAGACTTACCCCCTATCAAAAGCCCCTTGGCTGATGACCGTCTCGTCGGGGTTTACATCATCATCATCCGCAATCCCCGTATCATCGCCATCCTCATCCTCGCTCTCCAACCCGGCCTCGCCAAAGTTCTCACTTAACCGTGGCCCACCGAAACTCATCATAGACAGCCGCGCTTTCTCGTGATCATTGGCCGCTCGACGCGGATACTCAACCGTAATATCCTCTTCCTCGAACGCCAACGAAAGCCTCGGCGGACGCGGCGGGGGGCTGGCATCGTCCTCACCGTCCTCCTCCGCCACATCTTCCAATGGCAAGGAAAGACGCGGCCGTTCCACCTCGGGCTCGTTATCTAGCTCCTCGATCTCATCGACCTCTGGCTCCGGCTCTGGCTCCGGTACTTGCGGCGAAGATTGAATAGGCTGGGATATAGGCGCCAGAGCTAGTTCATAGTCAGTGATGACCTTCCAATATACCTTCAGAACAAAGCAATAGCAGGAGGAAATCGAGAGGACAAACTCACCCCGTCCCAGATTCCGCAAAATATCAAATGTCGTCTCCCGCTGCACCTTAACGCTCTTCCGTCGATCCCGGGCCGGCGTGTTCGCCGCCCGGCGCTGCATCGCGCGCAGTCCATACGGTGTGGATGGAGCCCCTACACCTCTATTGCGCGGCGTCCGACGCGCGGAGCGATTGCCGGAGGGGGTTGTTGATGTCGCGAGGCGGCTGGGGGTGATGGGGTTACGGGAGTGGAGGGGCAGACGAACCTGGGTTACCAATGTTAGCAATTGACATGTATTCCAAAGCGGAAAACTATTGGGGAATATCAGAGGGGGGCAGGCAGGTACGCACCCCCGTTAGCGTGGTGTCTCTGTCTCCGACGGGGGTGGACTCCGCGGCGGGTGACCCGCGACTGCGCGGGTTAGGGGTTGTAGACATTGACAATCGTATCTATTCAGGTAGAAAGTAGGTGATTATGCATGTGCAACAGGCTGGGTGAGAGAATACAATCAAAGACGCATGAACAATGAACTGGAAGGAGGGATGGCACTATCCCGACGATAGTTGAAGGAGAGACGAAGCGGGCGCGTTCAGCGGCGGTGGATCACGCGCCGCACCCCGACCCCCTTATCGATAAGAATCCGCTGACTCAGCATAAAAAGTTGTCACGGCGCAGAGTCCGAGTCCGATGCGACGAATGCGACAAGCTCTCATTTCCTGTCCCTCGCAGTCTGTATTCTCTCTCTCCCGGTTATCGTGATATATTTGATCGTCGCAACCATGTCCGCGGAACCAACCACCCCCAACCCCTCCGGCCTTGCCGCCAAGGTCGACAAGAAGCGCAAGCGCCAGGCCGAGGACTCTACCTCGAAGCAGAACAAGGCGGAGTCTACGCCCACCGAGAAAGCCGACGGACCGAGCAAGAAGAAGCAGAAGAATGATAAGAAGAAGGGCAAAGGAAAGGGCAAGAACGACAAGAAGTCCAAGGGCGATGACCAGGACACCGACAAGCCCAAGCCCAAGCCTAAGACCAACGACTCGAAGGAAACCGAGGTGAAGGGCAGCGTGGACGAGGCCATTGGCAAGATGGACGGCCGGTTACTGGCAGATCATTTTATCCAGAAGGCCAAGAGACATAATAAGGAGCTTACGGCGGTGGAGTTGGGCGATCTGAGTGTGCCGGGTATGTTATTCGTTTGCCTGAAGATATCGCTAGATGGTACGGATGCTAATCAGGACAATAGACACTGCGTTCTTGGATACCTCTTCGTTCGGTGAAGCTAGACAGCTCAGTCATTTACCCGCCTTTATCAAGGCATTCAATCCGACCAAGGGCTCGGATCCGTCCAAAGCATCGATGGAGAAGGGCACGCCGCACACCCTGGTGGTTTCGTCGGCGGCGCTTCGAGCTGCTGATGTAGTGAGGTATGTCTAGGATCTTCCTGCGCTGAACACTACAATCAACCGCATGACTAACGTGCATATAGAGCTCTTCGCACATTCCAAACCAAAGAATCGCCCATTGGCAAGCTCTTCGCCAAACACATCAAGCTCGAAGAAGCCAAGCAGTTTCTCCAGCGTGCTCGGTATGTCATCCACCCAGTAGTCAACACTTCATAGTCCAATTAGCTAACTGCGCCAAACAGAGTGGCCATCGGCGCCGGTACCCCAGCCCGTATATCCGACCTGATCGATTCCGGTACCACCCCCTTCCCTTTCTCAAGCCTTACTCCCTCAGTGCCAACCCAACTAACCAAAAATAAAAGGATCTCTCAAACTCGACGAGCTCAAAACCATCATCATCGACGGATCTTACGTGGACCAGAAACAGCGCGGCATCTTCGACATGAAGGAGACCCATCTGCCTCTGCTGCAATTACTCACGAAACCTGAGCTGCGGGAGCGGTACGGGGCCAAGGAGAAGGGGATCCAGCTGCTGGTGTTCTGATTGTATGTTTTTATGTTCAAAGTAAAAGTTTTGTGCTGGCGTTGGGAGGTTCATAGCTACTTATTATAGTACCCATATACATACTACTACTACACAGTATACACTAGCGTGCATGCATACACTACAAGTACGGAGCATAAACATGTAGATTGTCACATTCCCTTGGTTGACCAGTAGATAAACTCCTACATAGTACTACGTTTCAAAATCTTTAGTCATTGACTCACCGACCATGTAGAATCCCATCCAACCCAAAACCAAACCAACCGAAGATATAGTTATCTCGATCAACAAACAGACCCACCCACGAGATCCTCAATCCTCACCGCCCCAACTCTCCCCCCGTCCGTCCGCCCGGCAAAAAAAGCAAATTTCCGAAATTTTGCCCATCGGCGACAATTTTCATTTCTTTGGATTTCCCCTTTCAACTTTTTTACGTTTTTCTTTCATTTTTCTCATACTTTCGGGTGTATTTGTGCGCGTTGGTTTCAATTCTATCTACTTGAGATTACCCGTTTGATACAGACATAATGAGCGACAAGAAGCGCAAGAACGACGAGCAGGCCGCGCAGCCTGAAGGCAAGAAGGCGCGGAAGGAAGAGAAGAAGGACAAGAAGGAGAAAAAGGAGAAGAAGGTGAAGGATGTTGTTGAGGAGGAGGTGAAGGAAGACAAGAAGGAGAAGAAGGATAAGAAGGAAAAGAAAGAAAAGAAGGAAAAGAAAGAGAAGAAGGAGAAGACGGAGGAGGAACCGGAGAAGGAAGAGAAGAAGGACAAGAAGGAGAAAAAGGAAAAGAAGGACAAAAAGGAGAAGAAGGAGAAGCGCACCGACGAGCAGGAACAGCAAGACACCCCCGCCGCGGACGCAATGGACGTTGACGAGCAACAAGACGCCCCCGCCGAGCAGCCGAACGGTGACGACGCCTCCAAGAAAGAGAAGAAAGACAAGAAGAAGGACAAGAAATCGAAGAAGGAGAAGAAAGAAAAGGCCTCCGCGTCCGAGGACCAGCAAGCAGAGCAGCAGACGGCCGAGTCGCAACCCGCCGAGAAGCAGAACCGATTCATCGTCTTCGTCGGTAGGTTTCGCAATACCTGTTGAATCTACTTCGCATCGACTGACAATTGTCTCTGCAGGAAACCTCCCCTACTCGGCCAACGCAGAGTCCCTGAAGAAGCACTTCGAAAAGAACCCTCCTGCCTCGGTGCGCGTGGCCACGGAGAAAGAAAAGCCCACCAAGTGTCGCGGCTTTGGCTTCGTTGAGTTCGACCACTACGATCGCATGAAGACCTGTCTGAAACTGTACCATCACTCTATGTTCGACGACGGAAAGTATCCGCCGAGACGGATTAATGTGGAACTTACGTACGTCTTTTCTTTCCTTGTTTTCTTCCCTGTTCATTGGTTTTTTTTTTTTTTTTTTTTTTTTTTTTTTTTTTTTTTTCCCTTTCTGTTGGTTGCATTGCATACAACACCGGTGTCACCCACCACCGATCACCAGTCCAGTCCAATTTAACCCCCAACTAACACAACCCGTCTCCCCTGCAGGGCCGGCGGCGGAGGTAAATCGAACCACCGCAAAGCCAAGATCGAAGCCAAGAACAAGAAGCTGGCCGAAGAGCGCCAAAACAACCTGCACAAGGAGAAGGAGCGCAAGACGCAGACCGAGGAGACCGAGGTGGACGAGTGGGCCGGCATTCATCCTAGTCGGCGGAATCGGATGGCTTAGAGCTTGACTCTGAGATCAGGAATGATCGAGATGAGATGAGATGAGATGAGATGGGAGTCTAGGAGGGTGTAAAGACTCTACCTGGCAGAGTAGTGGATTTACGTTACATCAACTATCATACCCAAGCTGTATATAGACCGGTGTTTTGCTTGTCTTTGGTCGACGTTGGATTCGTTGGGTCTAGAGAAAAAGTACTTTATTTGGTTTGTTTATTTATTTTCGCCTTAATGCCGAGATATCCTTTGCGGTCTGTTGGATGCTGTGAACGTACTGGACAAGTTGGATGGGAGCATGAGAATAAGGAAGGAAGACCTAGATATGTAACTGTCATCGTTTCAGATTCTATACGGTGTGGAGATTATCAATCAGGCCCCGGACTGGGGACACACCTGCTGTCTTGCATAATCAAACATCACTCTACATCGATGCTATGTGCTGTCTTGTGCTCAGTACTTGGACGATCAACGCCGACCAGTTCCCATTTCCAGGACAATAGCCAGACAAAAAAACAAGAAGACAAAAAAGCACGACAGTCACAACCCATGTCGACATTCATTGCGTGATATTGTATGGCATGTTACATCTTTATACTGCATTATGAAGAAGAGAGGGAGTCAAGAAAAAAAAAAGATGTTGGAAGGGGAAAAGGGGGGAGGGATAATGTAAGGGCGTCCTGCCGACCCTGGGAAGAGAAATGCATCAAGGATCATGGCAAACCAAGAGATGGAGAAAATAAAACAAGACAAGACAGTTCAAAAGTCATCATACTGGGGACAAATCGAGAAATCCCCCATCAACCCAGACGCCGGATTAGTTCTTATATTATAAGTCGGAAGAGAAAGTAAGGGGGAATAGATGAATCTACAAAATGGAGCATTTGCTCTTCTTGGGTTTCGTGGCCGGTCGAGGATTGAGGACCGCTCTGAAGACAGGGTTAGCATGGAGCGCATGAGACAAGGGAAGGGGGAGGGGGGAGGGGGAAAACGTACCGAATGGCTTCGTCAAACACACTCTTCAGGTTGCGCTGCGTCAGGGCAGAACACTCCAGGTACTTGTGCGCGCGAATCTCCTTGGCCACCGCCAGGGCCTGCTCGTAGGAAACCGGCTCCATCTTCCGTTGACGGAGAGTGTCGATGGTGCCGCGATCGTCTCTCAGATCGAGCTTGGTGCCGACCAGGATGATAGGAACGTTGGGGGCATGGTGTTCAATCTCGGGGAACCACTGTACACGGGTTAGCTGGCTGACAATATGGGAGGTATGGTTGGGTAGAAAGCACCTTGGCCTTGACGTTGTCGAACGAGGGCGGGCTAACGATGGAGAAGCAGATGAGGAAAACGTCGGTCTGGGGGTAAGACAACGGGCGAAGTCGGTCATAATCTTCCTGTCCAGCAGTATCCCAAAGTCCTAGACTGATCGGTCGGCCATCTACCATCACACTGGCGGTGTAGTTATCGAATCTGGAGAGAGGCAAGGTCAATCACGCGTTCGCATTAGACGGTGCTACAGGGGGCGGGATTCAGGGCCACGAACACGGTCGGTATGTATTCCCCGGGGAAAGCGTTGGTTGTATAGGAGATAAGGAGACATGTCTGGGACCGTTAGCCTGGAATAGAGGTGAATATGAATATTTTCAAGACACTCACCTTCCCCACAGCACCATCACCAGTTACTACACACTGTTTAAGAGTCGCCCGTTAGCCGCGGTGTTGGTCGAAACGGACGGAGACGCCCCGAGGTGAGAAATGTCGGCGAATGCTGACCTTCAAAGACTGAGTAGCGGGACCCGTCGCCATGGTTGATTACCGGACAGGGGGGATTGCAGAGGGATTGTGCTGACGGAGAGAAGTGCGACGAGGCGAGAGAGGTCGAGTGAGGTCCAGGAGAGAAGACGGCGCGGGCGTGGTTGGGCGGGCGGAACGAAGAGCGACCTAGGATCGGGAATCTGCCAGAGGAACCAAACCGGGCGATGATAAGTCGAATGCACCGAATGAATTGCTCAGGGAATTGATGCAATAATGTTGACAATGACAAATGAAATAAAATCAAATAAAAGAACAAGGATCCTGACAGACGGATCAAATATGCACAAGTAAACGGTGAACACCGAGGGAGGGGGAATGGTCTTCAGTAGGTGGAGGGAGAGGGAGACGAGGGAAAGGAAGAGAAGGGAAGTCAGGAAACAGAAAAGGGAAAAGAGAAAAAAAGGACAGGGACAAGAGCGACTAAGCCGGACAAGAGGGGGAAACGTTTGGTTGGATTACAGACGGCGACGAGAAGCGCCAAAGGAAACGAAGAGGGGGCGAGAGAAGCTCAGTCGATAGCTCACCTGGGCCCTGATTGGAAGGTCAATTGCAGACGATGGAGAGGTCTATCAGGTCTGTGCAGATGGAAGATGAGGAATGAGGAATGAGAAGAGAGAAGAAAGAAGAGAAAAGACAGAAAGGAAGAAAGAAAGTGAGCAAGAGAGCAAGAGAGCAAGAGAAGAGAGCAAGGGGAAGAGGTACGGAGTACTTGCGAGGTACTTGGCCAACAGCTGTCGGTGCACCTAACGGTCAAAGTAGCGGAGAAGTACCCTGTAGTCACGATGGACTATGTCCACAGTAAGTTATATTATAGAGTATAGAATCACTGTAGGATACTCTCTGGCGGACTCTGACAGACTCTGACAGACTCTCCCGATTTCTCTGTTTGTCTCCGACTGCATCACTTCATGGTTCGTGAATGCTGGTTCAGGGGGGTGGAGCAGTACCGTCTCTTCGCCGGCTTCCGAGCCTTGGATGGTCCATCCCCTCTCGGATCCTGGACTATAAGAATCCGGAGTATCCCTCTGATGAAAATAGTATTCCTTGTAATGCTCACTCCATAGATCATATTTGATTCTTATCTTCTTTCTTCATCATAATGGTGGGATCCACTGCTGACACCGAATTTACTCCGTACTGACTTAGTAGTCTAGTCTACCTACTAGGTGCCTATACTCTTCTCTTCTCTTCTCTATCTCAAGGCCTCATCACCCCCGCTGACCCGTCCAGAATCCCATTCCCGACTTTCACCTCGTACGGCCGCTCCATCAATCCCGATGCCTTTTCGCCGAATGTCTGGAAATACGGTCCTAACAGGTGAGTCTGCAGCGCTTCGTGGTCTCGGTATCTGGTATTGCCCGTAAGCTCCATTCAGACAGACTCGATCATGCAAATACAGAAAGCATTCATCTTTTTCATTTGGCAAAGAGAAAGAAAGAAATAAGAGGAAACGAATAAGAAGAAAACCCACCTCTCAACCACCATAATCTCACTCCCATTATTGATCGAAAAGGCATAGTACACCAGCGTATCCGGTTCATTGGCCTGCACCGCCCGAGACAGTTCCGCGAGGTGCGACGCAAGCTAGATGGTAATGGGATTCGAGGAGTCAGTCGTCGTCCTTCTAGATCGGTATTCATACTCCGTTGAATCGATAGATAAACCGGTCGGCCAGGCTGTGGGGACGTACTTCGTCGTGTTTACCCGCCTTGGGATACATGATTGCCACCACATTGACCTCGTCGGACATTTTGAAATTTGCTTCGATAGTAGTCCTAGCGAAGAGGTGTCGAGAAGATGGCAGTCCGTCGAGCTAGAAATAGATTCTCCAAGGAGCGAAAGAGAGCTCAACGCAAGGATTGAAGGAAGGGAGAGCTGTTCACAGCTCAACATACCGGGGACAATGCGCATGTGGGGTAGGCGTTTATGACTAACTGATCGTCCGTTCACCAGGCAGGGCTGATCATACAAGACCCAAGGGGGATTCTAGACTCTCTCTCTTGCTCTCGCGTAAATGGTATCTCATTCATGTGTCTATACGTATATACAGTACAAAGAAAGATATGGACAAGAATTTTACACCCGGGAATTGCAGCAATGCAGTCCCAAGGTTTATACGGCGTACACCCAGAAGATGCCCGGCGGTTACATCACCGGAGGTGCCACAAACGAGTCGGGAATTCCTTCAAACACCCAGTTCAGCGAGTCGAATACCTCCGAAAATCCCGCCTCGCTGATGAATGCCCCTTGGTCGAAATTCGTCGCGTACATCAGGCTCGGATCTTGCAGCGAGGCGTCTTGCTGGCGGGTGACCGGCCCTGTCGTCGACAGGTTTGGATTGGTCATCGTTCCTATATCTTAGTGAGTATGGACCAATGTTCAATGGACTGTCTGGACCCATGGAGCATACCTTGTGCATCTTCGATGCTCTTCATCGGTCGGAACCGCTGCCGCCAACGCCAGACCGTGTCGTATACATGGCTCATGCTCATGCGACAACGGACCTTCAGCTGCAGAGCGTCCTCTCCTGGGGAGTCCTCCGCCCCGCCGGCATTCCACATCTGCGCCAGGATGTCTGCGAGCCGCACCGGACGGTCGTGATCCATGACGCTGATGCGCCGGATGGCCGAGATGGCCCCGTTGAACAGCAGCTTGCCGTGGTCGAAATCGATGTGGCGGCTGAAGCTGCTTTTCAACAGCTTCATGAGAGCGAAGGCGGCTGAAACGATCATCTGAAGAATGTAGTTGGTCGCGTGACCAATGAGCTCCCCCGGTGAGGTCTCAAGATCTAGTACTCGTCCAAGGAAGGACGTCGTAGCGATGAACAGTTTAGTCAAATCGTCGCTTCGTGCATTAGACCCAAGGAACACAAAGTATCGAAGATGTAATTCGGCGGCTCGTAGATGAATCATGTTGATGTCTGCACACAGGCATTAGAGACAAATTTTCGAGGTGAGATATGGGAAAAGGTGCGTACTGGAGATGTCACGGCTAAACTCCACCTCCATGTCTCGGAGTTCATTCTCCAACAGCTGCACGATCAACAGCTTTTCCGAGCTGATGAACTCAGCCGGCTCGGGTTTGCTGCTATACAGAGATTTGGTGACCCGGTCGCAGAATTTTTCAATCCGCAATCGAATCCGTAGATCGTCGGGTAGCTGGTAGTCGGCATCTCGAAGAGACGGCGGCTCCAGCGCCCAGTCGTAGATCGTGCAGGGAGGTTGTCCGTAACCGGTGGCCACACTATCACACGTTAGCAGCTTCGCAACGGACCGAGTGGGAGTGAGCGTACTTCTGAGCGACTATGTTACAGATCACCCACGTCTGCAAACGATCTTTGACCGCTTCGCCCTGGATTTCCATGCGGAAGGTGGTGAATTCTTCCGCCTGAACGGGACGGTGCAAACCGAGTTGCATGGATATTTGCATCATCAGCCCGCTGAGCATAAAAGTGGCGTCCGTTCTTTGACTCGTCGTAGGCAGTGGCCACGTGCACAGAAGACAGAGAGCCTTCACTATTCGATAGTCTTGCGGGACTCCAGTGATCGTGGACCACAGCAGCCGACTGAAGGGTCCGGTGAGCGCGCTGAGCAGACCGGGTTCCGACGGGGCTCGACGGCTGGCGACGCAGATGATTGTCCACGCCTGAAGTGGACATCGACGCAGATACTCCTCCGGAGGTTTCTGAGGGTTCAGCAGAGGTAGAAAAGGGTGGTAATACTTGAAGTACCTGTACCGATGTTAGAGCCAATGAGTTGTCCGGTCAAGCCAGGGACGGTGCATATTACTGGTCGAATAGCCGGGCTACTCGCGGTCGAGACAAGGAGACATCTTCCAGACTCCACTGGTTGTCTTCTGTAGAGAGGATAGATGCATCTCGGTGCATCGTCATCGGGGTCGCCATAGGCTGCGGCTCCAGCGGAGCAGACAGCGGCCGTGACCTGTTAGACACCGCCGAGTCCGGGCCACAGAATACATCCTCGGAGCACTGCGACATCTCGTCACTGATGTTGGCTTCCGCCGCATGAGGATGATCATTGTTGGTGGCTAGACGTCGGCGGAGATCTGCAATCTCTCGCTCCATCTCAGCATTTCGCCTGTAGGTGGCATGCGTTAGAAAGCGACGAGTCAGAGGGTAGGGCAAGGCCGGTGTTACCTTCGCTTAGAGATGCGTTTAAAAGTCGGCTCGACCTTGCATTCTATCTGAAGCCGGCGGCAGCGTGAGCAAGCCGCCGCGGGCGTTTGCACAATGTCACACCGAAGCTGTTGAGCACCGATGAACCCCCCATTTTTTAGCCAGCCGTCGAATCAAAAATTAGGGGTCGGCGGGTGAGTACTCCGTAGGTGCGTAGGAAGCATCGGCAGCAGGGTTGCTACATGGAACGGGGGGCGTGTGCGTAGGGTGCAGGATGATGGATCAGAAAGTAACAGGACTTGGGCTTACCTTCTGCTGTTTACACTCATTACAAGCCTTTCTACTGCCACCACGGCGCTTCCCCGTGACCGGGGGCGTCTTCTCCATGGCACAAGGTTCGGAGTTCCTGGCAGATAGATCAAAGGCAGAGACCGGCCGGGGCATCCTGGGGGTGTTCCGAAAGTCGCTGGGAGCCGAGGATAAAAGACCGGCATGGGTAGGCAGCCCATTCGGGGAGATCAGAGGCCGATAGCCCAGATCCATCGAGATAAAATAGAATTCGCCCGCCGGTATGGAACCGCGGGGCGTGAGAACACATGCAAAATCGAGGCGAAACGGTCAGAAGCCAGGCCTGAAGTGCCGGAAATCGGCAGAAAATCTGGGGAGAAGAAGTGCAAAGCGTCAGGTCCACAAGATGGAGAGCCGCGAAAGTCGGCGGTTCCACAGCTGACTCATCCGTGAAGAGTGCCTGAGGCAGCGCCACCTGCGACGGACGGACGCTGGAGTGGCCCGCGAGGTGGTGGATCCGGAGCGTAAGAAGGAGGAACTAGGAATAGAAAGGGGAGATGGGCTGTTTGACATGAGTTTATTCTCTGGATCCTGCAAGCACGGTCATTTGACTTATTATTAGCTATTACTTCTTACCCGACTACGTACACCGTAGAGTTAGACTAACTACGGTGTATGAGACTACTCGGTGCCTGACGGTTTGACCAGCACAGACGATGACGTATGTCGCTGCACCTGCGGGCCACGGTACCTGAGGCACTGAGGCACCCAGGCACTGAGGCTGCGCAGCCACAAAGCCACCAGGCCCTCAGGCCCTCAGGCCACAAGGCAGGCATTACATAACTAAAGCCTTAGGCTTCCGTCATTCATTCGGCTGCCAGACTCCTTTTACTTCCTGCGGCCTCGTTCTTTCTTCCTTCCTCTGCTCTATTCCCTCTAACCCCGCTTGGGTCCTACGTTACATTCGTGTTTCCCGACGTTCTCATGGCCGAACCTCTCCACGACAGTCCGGCGCCAGCTTCGTCTTCCCCCCGGGGCCCCGATGCGCCACCCTTGAGCGCGGATTCCGGTCAATCGGCGAACTTGGATATCCGTCCAGGCCCGCCGGCCATGTCCGAGGAATTGAAAGCTCGTCTGGACAAAGTCATCTACTCAGATGTTAGTGGGATGCGATCTGATCCCAATCCCCCCTTAAATTGACCAAACCGCAAGTGCGCTGACTGCAACGTCCCATATAGATCGGCATTACCACTCTCCTGACCCGGCTGAAACAAAGCGTCGCTTCCGCAAGGGTGTGTTCCTGTTTCACGCCGCATTCCCTCCCTCTCCCCCTAAATGAATACCGCGGGCGCTAATTGGAATATGACATCAGGATTTCTCGACGTTCCTGAAGAAGCGGTCCAGTTTGGAGGAGGAACATGCGCAAGGACTAAGGAAACTCTCCCGCTCTCTTTACGATGCCGCGCACCGTTCCGATAATCGCCAGGGCACCTACGGCCAGAGCCACAATGATTTAAACCGTTTTCATGACCGCATGGCCGACCATGGACTTCAGTTCGCCGTGTCCTTGCAGCAGATGGCCGACGATCTGCATGAGCTGGCATCGAACATCGAGCGGGGTCGCAAGCAGTGGAAGCAAACCGGTCTGAATGCGGAGAAGAGAGTATTGGAAGCGGAGGCGTCGGCCGAGAAAGCGAAGGCCAAGTACGAGTCCCTGGCGGAGCAATATGATCGCGTCAAGACGGGCGACAAGGCCGGTGGGAAGTTTGGCCTGAAGGGACACAAGTCGGCTGCGCAGCATGAGGAGGAGCTGCACCGCAAGGTACAAACTGCGGATTCGGATTACGCTGCCAAGGTACAAGCGGCGCAGGCAGCTCGACAGGAACTGGTTTCCACCCACCGGCCTCAGGCCGTTCACGCCATGCAGCAATTAATCTCGGAATGCGATTCGGGGCTCACGCTGCAGCTGCAGAAATTTGGTGGGTTCATCCTGTTCTTCCAAATGATCTCGTCTCAATACTGACAGTTCTTTAAGCTACTTTCAATGAGAAGCTCCTTCTGGGACAAGGTCTCTCCATTAGCCCGCTGAAGGATGGAACCAACACCGCCCTCGCACCGAAGAGTCTCTACGAGGTCATTCAGACCATCGACAACCAGAAAGACTACAATGAGTTCATCCTGAGCCACGAGAATAACCCCGCTGCGGTAGCCTCGGAACAAATAAAATATCAACGTCATCCGGTGAGTCCATTGCCTGAGCTCTTTGTGTCTCCTACTAATCTTCTACAAGACTCTTGGTGGCTCAGCACCCGTCGTCCCGGCCTCTCAGCCCAGCTCGCAAAACAAGCGCATGTCTATGCTGCCTCAGTCCTTCTCTACGCAACAGCTCCCTCCAAGCCAACCTTCCTCGCAATCCCCAGCCCCTAGCAGTCAACCTCATCCCTACCCCCAGGGACCCGACTCGTACTCTTCGCCTTCGTTCCAACAGCCTCCGTACCCGACCAACTCGGGGCCGCCTGCTCCTGAGAAGGTCCCGTTAGATGGTGCGCCCTCGGCCCCTCAGCCTAGCCCGCTGCCGCCACCGAGCAATTCCTTCCAACAACACCTGCCGCCGTTGAAACCGGTCTTTGGGATCTCCCTCGATGAACTGTATGAACGAGATGGCACCGCGGTTCCTATGATTGTCTACCAATGTTTCCAAGCAATCGAGCTTTTTGGCCTGGACATGGAGGGTATCTACCGTATCCCCGGCAGTACTAACCACATTAATCAGATGAAATCGCTCTTCGACAATGGTGAGTAGCCTTCTACCTTTCTGTCAGTCCAAGCTGTTGCTAACAATTGTAAAAGATTCATCACAAGTGGACTTCACAAACCCCGAGAATTTCTACCATGACGTAAATAGTGTTGCCGGCTTGCTGAAGCAATTCTTCCGAGATCTTCCCGATCCGTTGTTCACCTCAGCTTTCTACTCGGACTTCATTAATGCCGCGCGTAAGTCCTGGAAACTACAAATGTTTATTTAAAACTCGCTCTGACTGACATGTAAATAGGTATCGAGGATGACGTCAAGCGTCGTGACTCGCTGCACGCCCTTGTCAACAACCTCCCCGATGCACATTATGCCACCTTGAGGGCCTTAATACTCGTACGTATCCCAGCTTCCCCTTTCCTTTCCAACTCCATCTAACGCCATGCAGCACCTGAACAAGGTCCAAGAACATTATACCCAGAATCGTATGAACGCAGGCAACATTGCCATTTGCTTTGGGTACGTGCCCTTCTTCCCCCATTCATCATACATGAGCAGAGCTAACAAATGAGCAGTCCTACTCTATTGAGCGCAAGCACCGGCGGCAACATCGCCGATGCAGGCTGGCAGGTCCGTGTCATCGAGACCGTCCTGGTCAATACGTTCCAGATCTTTGATGACGATTAGTTAATTCTTTGCATTATTTGATTCGTTACTATCTATATCCTGTATTTGCTCCCGCTTCTTTATTCTATCAACCCTTCTTCAACTTGCATAACATTCTTCTTCGTATCTTCCTGGCTATTCTACGGCTTACCCCATAATTGTCGTCTTTATTAACACTTAGAATCCAAGTTGACTGATATGACGGTCTAGATTATTCATCAACATCTTCAATTTTATGAGCCACTGGAGAATAAATACAACATATGAAGAAATGAATAGAAAATTCCGGATATAGTACAGGTGGCGAAGATATGGGAGATGCATATTCCTTGAACAGTCCGCTGAGAGGTGGTACAGAGTACAAGATAGGAAAAGAAAGGGTGATGGGGGAAGCGGCGTATATAGAACACATGATTGAATCGGATCGGACCATGCCAAACCGTGTTTGCAGCAAGTGCCTCGGGGAGATTGGTTAGCTGGGTTGGTCGTAGGCACCTATGATAGGGCTAAGCGGACGACTGCCTCAGGCCGCCAAAAGTAGAGTCGAGAAGGAAAGGATCCCTGGGTTGACAGCTCGACGCTTATTTCTTGCCCATCATCTGGGCCTTCATCGCCTCAATACGATCGGCGGCTGACATCCCAGGAGCAAAGGCGGGATCCATGAGCTCGTCGACGGTCGTGGGCGAAGTATGGCCCCAAACACGCCAGGGCTCCTCCTCCCCAGTCCATCGCATTTTCTGGATGACGATGTACTCTGTGCAGTCCTGCTGTTTGGGGGCCTCGGCAGGGACGGCCGACTTCTGGCCCTTGTGCTTCGACTGCACCTGGACTTTGCCGGTGGACTGACGACTCGTGATGCGCACGACGACCTGACGGACTCCGGAGTTGGGCAGTTCGGGTATCTGGGTGGCGCGGTCCGAGACGACGCGCAGGCCGGTGAGGAAAGTGCCAGGGGTGCGGTTGTATTTGTCCAAGGACCAGGTGACCTTTTCACCCTTGGGGCGGCTGTTGATGCGCGAGCTGAGGCTGTTGGCGAGGCCGGTGCAGCAGAATTTGCGGAGTTTCGTGACGTTGCCTCTATTGATTGGAACATAACGTGGTCAGCGTCGCCCCTGCACAGTATGTCATGATCTGAACTTACTCGGCGAATGTGGAGTACATCTGCTGGTGGAGGTTGCGGGCAACCTGTCGTCGTTCTTTCAGACGGAGCGGCAATCCTTTGTTGAGCCATTTGGAGTAGGCGAGCAGACTGTCGGTGAGATGTTAACTACCTGGTCGTCACGTAGGGGGGCAAGATCGGTCGTACCCTAGGAAGTTCTGAGCACCGGTCTTCATCCAAAGCCATTCCATCCGTAGACGCTCGTATGGTTGCTGGAAGATCGAGGGCATATCTCTCCACAGCGGTCGAATAAATGTTCCCGGCAACAATCCAATATCCTGAGGCAAGTCCGCACGATTCAATTCATGTCCTCGAGTCTTCATACTCGGCTGAGCCGGTTGTTTGACGGACACTTCGTTCGGCACGTAGCCACCAGAGCGCCGAACGGACTGCGAAAAGTGTCGACATTGGCGCGAGGCGGCGATCGAGGGGTACAGGTGCGCGAGGAGGGCATTGTTGGTCCGCACGGTCGCCATCAGAGGCGCGGGGGACAGCGACGAGGCCATGGTGGACAGGCTGGACACGGACTGGGCGAGCTGGAGAGCAGCGAAATGGACGAAAGTCCGCGGATGCAAAAGAAAAGCGGCGCTCACGTGACGCGGCGGTCAGCAGCACTTCGGCCACGCTTCGTCCATCTTCGTTTCCCTCTCGACCTTCCGTCTCGTCTCCGTCTGGGCGTCGTCACTGTCCGATTCGATCCGTTGGTCTTTCTCTCGTCCGTGACCCTCGTCTCCGGTAACCGTGCTGCCTTGCTTCCTCTGTTCGTTGCACTTCTTCCGGCGTCAAGGCGAACTCTCGGGGCTTTTCCAATCCACCAACGGTCGATCAGTGATTACTACTACAACAGGTCCCTTTATCACCTGGATCGGAGGGTTTCTTCGACTTCAATTCCCCTCCTCTGTTTTCCTTTCCTTCCCAATCCTCGGGACTTTCTGCGTAACGGCTGCATATGCCGTAGACTAAAGGCTGGCTCCTCGTCGTGATGCTGCTCCTCCGCCCTTCTCTCTCCACGCTCCGTCAACTCCTGAGCCGGACTTAAACCCGCCCTCCTATCGGACTACTCCATCCACCACCCCTCCTCCCTCGCTTTCCTCGCCTCCTTTCTTCCCCTTCCCTTCGGCTCCTATCTCAGCGGCGGGTTTCCGCGATAAAGCCGTGGCGCCCTCATCGGTTCCCTCCCACGTGGTCCCGCCCTCCCCGGCCTCGTCGACGTCCCAGGCTCCCAGCAGCCACGATGTCGCTCATGCGCCCTCCTCCGCCTTGCATCCCCGAGTGGCCGTCATCCTGGGAGTCGATCGGAAATGGTACCTGCCTCTTATAATCAGCCGGGCTCTGAGCACGGTCCCGGCCGCGTGGTGGGGTCTGCGCTGTGCCTTTACCTTCCTGGCCGAATTGCTTCACATTCGACCGGGTATGGGACGTGAGGGGTGGGCGGCGGCGATCGTGGGAAGTGTTGGACAAGATTGGGATGTGGAGAGAAGGTTTCGCGTGACTGAAGTAGCTTTGGCTATTATGTGGGTGAGTATTCTTCTGCTTTACCTGTCGCTTGGTTTGGGGCCCTATGGCTAACATCCTCTGTAGTGCTGTGCATCCGCATATCTTTCTTATTTCTTTGCTGATTGTATGATGTCTCGATGGTCGGTCTCCTTCCTCCTTCCCCTCATATCCTAGACTGTGCTCACCCTTCGATAGGCTTTTAAATTATACCCCGCCAGCAGTTGTTATTCGTCTCCTGACCACAAACGGGTTAATCGCTTATATCACATCATGGGTTCTCTATCTCTCCGGCGCATCGTCCGATCCCCGTCTTCTCCTACCTGCATGGATCTCCATCACAACTGTATTCCTCCCCCTCCCCCAAACATTCGCCCAAATCACCAGCTAATCAAACCCACCCCATTCCCAGACTCTTACGTTCCTCTACCACGCCACACAAAACCACGCCATGATCAAACGCGAAACGGCCGCCGCTTTGCTCGTCGTCTCGGTCGCCAGTTTCGTCAGCATGTCTTCGCTTCTGCTGCAGCTCCATCTGACGCGGGAGAACGAGCCCGAAGTCCCTGTTTTCGTCATCACTAGGAAACTGTGGGATTGGGCCGTGGCGATCTTCTTGCGCATGAGGGTCGTGGAAAGTGCTGGGGAGTTGTAGGCAGTGTGTCTGTCGTCTTTATCGATGGCTGGTGTGGTGGGATTGTGTGATATCGGAAGTGTGAGAGAGTGTGTGTTGTGTGTGCGTTTGTCCTGTGGAGAATCCTATCGTCGGTCTTTATACCATTTGATTTCCCTTTTCCTTCTTGAAGCATCTGACCTGTTTGGCTGTCTGTTGGAGTGCATTCTCCGGAAGGTCAATTGTTTCTTTCGGACCAGAAATAAACGCCTTTGAGCGTTATGATACATTACGGTCTACAATTCTACTGTAGAGTCAAGTAGGCACGGGATTAAGAGAATGATCCTCAATTGCAGAATAGCCATAAGCGACATAAAGGCCCGAAAGGAAAGTGACAGTCAACGAAAGCAATAAGTCAAGTCTCGAAAGACAATTCAATGAACCCATCAACAACTTGACTCGAGCAATGAATGACAATCATCACACAACAATTCCCGAAAAGCAAAGGGATAAAAGAATACGAAAAGTAAAAGACAGTGATGAATCAGTCGAAGACGATCACAGAAGGAAAAAAAAAAAGTAATAATATCTATGACGATATTGGGTATCTACCAACGCCTCGTTCCGTCATAATCCCATTCTGAAGTATAGCAGTCGAGTCGAACGAAAGACCCACTCTGTCATCAATCATACAGGGCGATTGATCAAACATTCAAGACAGTAGGTCATTCCGACAGAGGCCCAAGTCCAGTACACCAGGCTCAGAGTGTGGATGGCAGGATAAAAGAAAGATGACATAAGGAAAGAAGAGGCAAGATAGAAGAACGACAGGAAAATAATAAGCCTAAGCTCACCCCGATCCACCCGGGATTGGCTTGCACATGGTATGGTATGGTGCAAGATCCGACGGGCAGATATACCAGGGCTGCTACCACATGTCTCTCCTCGATCTAACCACTCTGAGGGCAACGCAGACTGGGAAGAAGGGGACCGGAACGGGGGGGCGCGGCGGCACGCTTAGAAACCGTGGACCTTGATGGTCTTGGCATCCAGCTCGAGACCTTCCTTCTTGTCGGTCAAAAACTCCTGAACATCTTTACGCTGGTCTCCTTGCAGCTGAATCACATCACCCATCTCAGTGTCGTTGACGATGGTTCCATTGCAGGCTGTTAAGGGCCAAGTTAGTGGTTGTGGACCTTTTGACTGGAAGGGTGGGAATATTTGTGGATTGGGTTTCATTGTGGGGCGAAAGGCGATCGATCAGGGAACCCAGTCGAATCGAACGAGGAGGAAACGTACCGAATTTCTTCTTGATCACCTTCAGAATCTTCTTCTGGTCGAACTTCTTAGGAAGACCCTGGACGGTAGTCAAGGTCTTACGGCCATTGCGCTCTGCGGAGGGAAGAAAGTCAGCTCAGGTTCGCGGTTGAAGGGAGGGCCCGTGCACATTAACGCAACACAGAGAAAAGAGGCCCCCACCGGACGGGGAGAGAGAAACGAGGTGGAAGAGGACAACGTACGCTGAATCCGGATATGGATATAATTCTGAGACTGTTTAGTCTCGCCGGTGTCTTCGTCAGCTTCGGCGAAGGGGTCTGTGAGGGCACGTGTTAGCCTTTCCGGGACCAGAGCAGAAAATCTACCCCGCCAAAATGTCATGCGCATTCCGTAGACCTTGCGTCAAGAACCGGATACGATCACCCACCTCAGGCGGACAGTTCTTTCAAGTGCTGGCCCAGCCGCGAGTGAGTCGCCGATCTCCGGCACTGTCCCAGGCAGGAGTTCTGCAAGACGGGCTTCTTGGACGAGGCCAGAGATAGCAAGGAAAGGGAGGTGGCAAAACGACTTACCGAAGGTCTTAAGGTTTTCGATGGACATAAACTCGGCCTTTTGTCGTAAACGGCCCTTAAAAGCGGAGTATAGTAAAAGAGCGAGGGGGACAAGAGCTGGGAAACTCTGGTGTAGAACTAGCGACTGGCGAGCGAGAAGCGGGAATGCGAAGGCGATGATGGTTGTCGGGAAGGAAGGCTGAAGATGGGAAGAAGAGCCTTTTGAGGGGCGCCTTGTGGGGGAAGGCGGTGTGTGCCCGCCGCTGAGGGTGACTCAGCCTGTCGTGGCCTTGACACCTGACGAGCCCGGTCGTGTCAGGTTCCGGTGACTTTGCTCGAGCGTGTAGAATCCCGCAGAGGACAAGTACCGAGTACTTCGATCGTAGTGCGACCAGGATAATCCTGGTCCCTGTCAAACTTTGCGGATTTTTCCTTTTTGTTCTTCTCGAAAGTCTTGGCATCCTCGCCCGATCCTCAGGCGCCAAAGAGGCTGTGTCCGATCTATATATACCTCGATATATACCTCTCTAACCTACTGTCGACACTCGACAGGGATCCAACCCACTGGTACCACGTCTCCTGCGCATTACATGGCAAACGATCCTGATCAAACCATCCTGGAACTCCGTCAACTGGAGGTTACTCAGTCCGGGCTGATTCACCTCATCCCTGCCAATCACGCCCGTCGCCATTATTTGCCACCACTCGCAAACCCAGAGAAAGCGCCGAACCCGCCGGCTCTACCGGGGCTAGAACTGACCCGATGACGGTTCGTGGCTGCAACTCTGGTTCATAGCCACCAGGCTCTGGACTGCTCAATAGCATCCAGGCGCCGAGCAGGTATCAAATCCCAGATCCCAGGCATCGGGATTAGAACCAGAAGGAGTCCCTGAGTGCGGGAATAGCCCTGTCGCCTCCGCTCGTCTCGTCGGAGATCTCGAAGGGACTGTCGTATATCCGGTAGGATCTAGCCCGCGCTTTGCGGTCGACTGGATATCGCTTGAATGCTGCTGGAAGATTGTTCCGGTGGTGTTTGACTACGGGAGTTCGACCACGGGAGGAAGTGTTGGTGTGACCTGAAATGAGCAAATGATCCTAGTGTTACCGTGGGTTTCGTCTATCAGGATAGTACCAACCTAATGCAGTGGTGGTTGGGCTGCAGATGTAACGTTCGTTGATCAATGTTGAGGTCTGGCTATTTTGATTGGCGTAGATATCATCTCACTTATAAATGTTTTCTAAACTGAACGTTCTGACCAGAATGCTAGATCGAATCCTACATCTAGAGTACTTGTTCTCCTCAATATATCTACCCGAGCAGCAAGGTATAGTACACATAATTAATTGGATCTGACATTCGACATATCCATGCCATTAGGGAATATCATGATCGAACCCAATGTAAAGAAAGTCGTATATCTCCTACGGAGTAGAAACCCACCAAATAGGGTTGTATGGCCCCTCTGCGGGGGAACAGTTTGTTGCGTTGGTGGTTGATAAGAGAGAGGATAATGATGGGACCAACCCCGGTACAATGTCTTATTGTGCGGATGGACTGAGGACAGATGATTGATACTGAAAGTCAAAGTACGAATTGCCAAACTTCGATCATTGTAGTGTGAACTCCAGTACGTTGTAGAGACCGCAGTCTCTTGATCCTACTGGAACCCCTACTTATATCTACCCTTCTCCCACTGCAAGTAGAACAGAATACCCAGCCGGCTTTGATGTCTAGGAAAGAAATAATTCTCAATCCAAAGAGATATTTCAAGCAGGACTTGCGTATATAAACATATAGGAGTATCTGTATCAGCTTGCTAGGGAAGTCAGGTGTTCGTCTCTTGACCTTAATAAGGGTTTATATCAAACGAGAGAGGCGCTCCCCACATATTTATATGTTGACACCCAGCGAACTCAATCAATGTCTTGGTCCTGATAAGCCTGTGCATTGATTTTGCAAATAACATGCTGACTGTGAAACACCACAATAGGATTATTATTACATAACTATAGCATACTGGGGCAGCGGGACAGCAACATCCTGGCAGAAGCATCTCGTACACAGCGGATAGGTTCGGGTATTTCCTGCGCCCGATAAGTCTCCCACTCACTCTGACCAAGCCTGATGCACATCCACACTCCTCCACATATACCTGCTCGAAACGATAGTACAATGGTATCATGGAATCGACGCTTTTAAGGAGACGGAGATGGAGAAGGGGCGGTAGCCGTGTTGCTACGGGCAGCGGGGGAAGGCATGAAGATGGGGAAGTAGGTCTGCGCAGGTTAGACGAGACAAGTTGACAAGGACGTGGATACGGCGAGAACATACCACGACAAGGGCCATCACTTCAGTAGGGGTCATTAGCTAGGTGTTCACTTATGAGAAGAACCGGGCGACATACAAGACATCAGAACAGACATGTAAGACGGCGTGGATGCGTTTCTCTTCTGCTCGGGGGTTTCACCGAGCCATGACTGGAGGGAAAATACGAAGGAGACCCTGAAAGATGGACTTAGACATGTGCGGATCTGACCGATAACCGGCGACTTACCATCCAATCATCCTGCATGGACGGAGTGGTCAGACACTTGGTTGTAGTTCGTTATACTAGAAAGACATTGCGTTGCGTCTCACCTGTTCCGGGTGAACATCTGTCGACATGTCAGCATGGGCGCAATTGCGACAAGACCCAACGGGGCAACCTTACCGCAGCCATAGGCAGGGTGCTCGACATGGCGCCTATTCCACAACACAATCAACAATCAACAATACCACTCCCATTATCTCCGGGGAACCTATGCGTACCGGTCATATCGGCGTCATCCTTGCTCTTGGGAGGGTCGACATAGGGGATGGCTAGTACGGGGGAGCACTCGATTAGCAACGAAGTCCGATGATGGCCGCGACCAGGGCACAGGGCGGCCTACCGAGATCCAACCTCCGCATATCCTTCTTGGAGCCCATTGTGGATGATATGGAGACACGAAACCGACGCTAAGGAAAGGCCGAAAACTGGGATGCGGGATGAGCGAACTGAAGCGCACTGGAGATGAGATGAAGTTGGCCAGTCGGCGGAGGTGGACGCCAAGACTCAAGCGGCAAGTCGGGGTGGCTTCCGGCCTGAGGTATCTACTCTGGGGTCTAGTACAGTCTACTCAACACATATTATTACTTACTACCTACTACTCCGTACAACTAACGACACGATACGGAGTACGGAGTCCGCCGCCTATCACTTCATCTTTACGGTAGTGAGTTAATTTATTGAGTGGATAAGATGAATACTTGTGTACAGTACGCCGCCGGGTTGTTGATCTGACAAGCTGACCGTGCCATCGGAGTCGTACCCGCTCCCTGCTGTTTGCGATAATTGTTGACAAGTCACACAGCCTGACTCCGATTGCAACTCCGTATGATATTTGACTGCATGACGGGCGGTCAGACTCAGGCACTGGATCGTATTATTCCATCGTCGGCCCCCACGCTCCACGAACATCCATGCATGCGATAGACGATCACGTGCTCCCTCGACGGTCCTTCCGAGGGTCGACTTGACAAATCCGGCAGTTAGAAAGAGTAGTTAACTAATAAATGATGAATTTAGGGATTCACGATTCACGGTCGTCGTCGTCGGACGGAACTCCCGATATTGGCCTCGAGTTCCCTTTCCTGATTTGTGCAATGGATACGGCCAGGAAGCATTGATACCCAGGCAAAGCACCGGCCAGCCAGCCATCCCCCGGCGCTGATCATCGCCAAGTGGCATGACTTTGAGGATTGTCTGATCCTCTGCACTCCACTCCCCGGAATTTGGCATTTCCAGATCAATTCCGGATTATGGGGGAGTCAGTCCTCTCCTGATCTCTTCCCCTCTTTTCGATTTTAATTGTCCGGGATGGCGTCGAGAAGGAGGGAAAAAACCAACCAAAAAAAAGCCCTCTTCTCCGTAGTGCGCGCGATAAGAAAGGACAAGGGCCCTAAAGGCTCGGCATGGTGACAGGGGTCGAAAGAGTAGTGTTTGCCCCAATGCAGTTTCTGTACAGACAGATTAACCAGGCCATCCTAGCTGCATTCTGCGGTGCAACCGTCGAGCGTCACACGGATCCACCTCGAAATCCTCCCATATTTGCTGAGATCCAGAGTGACACAAGCACAGCCTAAAGGTGCATGCCAATGAGTGAGGGAGAAGGACCAAGCGCAGTTGCATACGCAGTACGGAGTATGCACGGATGAAACAGAACTGGACTACCCATGTCGTATGGACTGGTGGATGCATGAAAAGGATCGTCGATGTTATTAATGAATAATGGACGACGGGCTAGATTGAGGTGGCGAGACTAGGATCCATGATTATGTTCCGTCCTCACCGATCTTGTTGGATCTCTGAAATACGTATCTAGAAGAAGCGAAGGTAAAGAGACGGGCTAGGGTCAAGTCTCGGAGTTGTTGGAGGATCTCTAAGGAAAAGAGTTCGATCTCCGAGGATTAACCACAGCGATCGACCGGTATGAGGTAATAACCTTAACCGCCGAGCTGCGATGCAGTATATCGATGAGAATGACCATTACACGTCAGGGAGGCATCGTATGATGCCATCGCGAAGGTCACCTCGGACGATGGGAGGATCCTAGCGAGAATCATGTTAGATTCTTGCGAATCCAATGCCAAGAGAAGTAAGTAAGTGGATGGATTCCCGGAGAATCCGACAAGTCTGAAGGGACCTACACCGAGTGCAGCGTAGGGAGTACAGACGGAGTTCCTAGAGAACACCCGGCTGACTCATCCACGTAAGGAGCAGCCGGTAATACGACCGTACCAGAATGATGCCGGCAGCCGAAAAGGCGGCGAAAAAGGGGCGGCGGTACGGTCAGCATCCGTCAGGTACTGAAAGAATGGTACGGCCAGTTGCTCCCGTAGTTACTTTACTCTCTGACCTGTCGATTCCTCTCAATCTATCCTCCCCTTTTCTCTTCTTTCCTTTCCTTTCCTCTCCCTCTCCTAGGTTTTAGTTCTTCCCTCTCAAATCTTGCTCCCTCCTTTCCGTTGGTGCGTGCGCGCGTGTTGCCGGATCGCCCTCCCAAACAAGATCAACCCGATCACCCTTTATTTAACCGGCATCCTAACCGCCTTATCTCCACATCGTTCGCTGAGTCGCCTCCCTTTCCCCCGACTTCCATCTTTGGTGATCTCTGGGATGTGAAATCGTATATTTCTTTCTTTCCCTGCGTGAAACTGTCGATCCGAGTGTCCCCCTTGAGTGTTCCCGACCCTCCGTCCGATCCCGTCCGACCTGCAACCGACTCCCATGACCCGACTCTCGTTGCTTGCGCACATCATGAAGCTGAGATGATCCCTCATCCTTCTGCCGGCGTCCAACCGTGGGCAAATCCTATGCGCCCTCTCAATAGCGGTCCGGGACGGGTGGAGGCCCCTCAGGCTTTGGGTCAGCCGTCTGACCCTCAGCCCGAGAAGTTGCCCATGTCCGTCCCTCCGTCGCAACCCCGACAGCCGGCAGTGATTGATCTGACAAGCACGGGCGGGGATGCGCGGGATCGAGAACCACCAGCGAAGAGGCTGCGCCTGGATTTGCCCGCTGCCTCGTCCGCACGAGATGGCAGTCCGGCATCGGGGAGCACCGGAGAACCCAGAAGTACGCCGGGAACCGCCACCTCCAAGCCGCCGGCGCTGGCCTGGCGCGGTCGACCCGCCTGGTCTTTCCAGGCCCTGATCTCCGAGACACCCGGTGGTGCTAATACTGGTGGCGGAGAGACAAAGGAGGGGGATGCGGCTGATGTCGCACCCGGGGGAAAGACATCTCCGCCCCCGTTGCCCGTCCTTCCCTGGAAGTACGCTCCTCCGCAACAACCAGGGAGCAATGCGGCCAAGTCTCGGGATAGTTCGCCTTCGAAGGCGGTCCAGACCACCCCCTATCATATCGAGGTTCCGACCGTGGCGCCGGCCATTAGAGGCGACAGTAAGTGATTTGGCAGCTCTTCCTTTGGACCCGGACCGGGAGAACGTGGCTGACAAAGAGCAGAGGTTGCGGACTTCTCGCCGTGGTCTGGAAACCATCCGGAAGATGTTCTGAATGAACAGACTGCCAAACAGGGCCATTACGACCGCACCCAGGTTTCTCAGAACGAATCAAACACGGCGCGCCCGTCCCTTTATGCGCAGCTAAAGCACCGCTCTGGTCTTCAGATGCTCTCCTCGGTCTTCTCAGCCGCTCTTGAGAAGAGGCAGAATCACAACATGGTCAACGCGCCGTCGACGTTCAAACCGCCTCCTCGCGTGACTCTGACGGACAACAAACGAGAAGCCTGGCTTCGCGACCTAGCCAACCCGTCAGTTCCACTACGCAAACTGAGCCGAACGATCCCGCACGGTATCCGGGGCAAAGCGCTACTAGATCAGTGCCTGAGCAAATGGATCCCGGTGAGCCGCGCCGTCTGGTTAGCCAAATGTGTCGGAGCCAACGAAATCCGCGCGTTCAAAAGAAAGGGCACCAGTGGGGCCCTAGCTGTAGGGCTGGAGGCCAAGTGGGTTCGCGACTGGACTGCAACTGTCCAGCAATTCCTGGAAGGTGTCATTAGTGTCTGCGGTTCCTCCGATTGGAAGATGAAGATAACCTATGCGTATGTGTCCCTTGTTCTGTAGGGCCGTAGATGACTCTTCTAACCCTACTATTCCTGCTACAGAGTCAGTCTCACTGCCCGTTTATTCTTCGAGCGGTTACTAGACCACGACCAGTATCTTGGATGGTTCCTCACTTCTCTGGAAACATCTTCATCCAACACCGTCCCCGTTTGGCTCTTGATGCTTGGTGTTTACTGGGACAACATCATGCGATACCGGAAGCGGGGCCGGCGACTCGCGGAAGTGTTGCTTGCGAAGCTCCAACGTGTAAGTGCATTTGACTGATGGTATCTTTGCTTTCTCCTAGTATCCCAACGCATTGACATTGCGATAGATATCCAAACCGGAGCAAGTCGTACCTCTCCGGCCGCTGGTCGACCGCTTGTCTCTCTATATTCGCCGGCTTGTGCTTGAACATACATCCTCCGTCATACTCCCGAAATCATGGGAGAAGTACAAAGATCTCATCTCGTCATGTTTAAATCTGAAAGACAACGTGCATAGAACAGTCTTTCAAAATCTCGCAGAGCGGAATACAAGGGTGCAGGCTCCCAAGTGTCAGCAGGAAACGGCACAACGTTCACCACAACAACGTGTGATTCACCTCTTCGACTCTGTCCGTTCCACTCACGAGATCTCGTCGACCTCGAGCGAATGTCTCAAGACTATCGAAGACAAATCCGTTCTCATTAGCAAGCTTCTGGAATGGACTGCTACCCCGTTTCGTTACGGCCTTTGCCGTGTATATACTGGCGTTCGACTTTTGCGGAAGTGGAAAATGTCTGGAGTTGACATCGACTCGTACATTCTTTCGTTTCTCGCGGGAACCAAAGCGACCTCAACCCTGAACATGGAGAATATATATCATATCATTTCGGAGCTTGTGCGGTCTCAGACATTTTCCGTCGGTAGGTATCTACAGTGGTTGATGGCTAGGGGCGTCACGAGCGATGCCCATCCCGACGCAGGAAAGGTAAACCATACCGAGCTGTACTGTTGCTTCTGCGATGCTGACTAACATAAAATGACAGCCCATCTCGAACGATCTCTGCCTCTTGAAGCAGCTGCCCACGGCTCGACTCCCGGAACATGTGCGGAACCTTCGGAACACGCTTCTCTACCGTGCGGGCATTTCGGCCGCGGAGGAGGAGTCTACCATCGAGGAGCTCAAAGCATCCGTGGCTCAGCGGCTGCCGAAAATCTTCGGGAACGAGATGAGCAGCGTGATGCCCAGTGAACACCAGCTACCGGACTTGACGTGGGCCGTCAAGTCTGAAATCGGCCAGTGGATCCGGCGGGGCATCTCTGTGCATTACCGTGACTCGCATAGGTAAGCCTGCTACTTTTACTACCCGAAGACAATCACTTACCGATGGCAGAAAATCCAGTAGCTATTCCTTCCTCTCTGGGTCCAGTGTCTCTGCCCTCACCCCTCTGGAGTTCTACAGCGTCCGGCACATCTTGGAGAGTTTTGGGGATCTGTCTATACTTGCCGATGTTCTCAAGCAAGCTACAAACTGCGATGACAATATTGTTCTGGCATCTGTTGCTGACACCATCAATTATCACTTTGACTCTTTCTGTGTTATTGGTGCCACAACTGATCTCTTCCGGGGACTTGTTGAATCGTATGCTCGTATTAAGAGACTAGGCACCCCGAGTCTGGACTTGGTATTCTCACTCATCGAGCTTGGCCTCCGACTGCCCAACGAGTTCAACACCGTTGCCCTTCTCCGTCAAGATCTGACGCGTATTGAAAACAAGTCGGCATTGGCAGCCCCGTCTCCGCTGTCCGATAGTATCCCGCCCAGCTTCAGCGAATGCGATCGGTCTTTCCAAGGGAAGCTAGATCAAATCCTGTCATCGGGCAGCGGCATGGACGAGTCCACCATGGACACAGTCTTCAACTCTCTCACCAAGACCTTGACCTGTAGCACTGGGGAGGCGAAGATGTCTGCCAATGAGACCTGCAGGTACTTGGCATACCTGCGGCCTTTCCACCCGAAACATTTCGACTCCATGCTAGTTCGCTGGATATGCGGACTGTTCAAATCCTCCGCCCCCGGCATCACGTCTCGCATCTTACCCCCTCTCATAGGGGTAGGGTGTGTCACTATTCACGCGTTTTTGCTCCTAGTCAAAAGACTCATGCAGTCCGAGAGAGTGACTTCGGTGGTTCCGAACTTGCCGGATTTGCGCGTGGACCTTCTCGACCTCCTCGTTCCTCCCCAGCCTGAACAGGGCCGGTGCTTTGATCTGGTCACCTATCGTTTCTATCTTGCGCAGCAGGAATTCCTCCTCAAGCACCCGCAGGAGACTCTCGAGGTGATCCGTGACGCCGTTGCTTTGATCGAGAGGCGGAGCCAAGAAACCGGGCCTGATCCCAGACGTGAGCATCTCGAGAAATGCGCCATTAGCTTGCTCCAGGTCATGCTTACTCAGGACCCACCAGTCGTGGTGCAATACTGTCTGCAAAAGTTCCTTGGGCAACAAACCATGTCGACCGCAGTGCTACAAAAGGCCACCGATCATCTTCTAGGATCGGACTCCCCCCGTAGCTCTCTAGACATCCCCGAGGCTGAACGGATCATCCTCATGACCGATGACTTCTCGCTTCCGTTCTGTCAGCTGAAACTCCAGATGTTGTTCAACGCCGAGTCCGGAGAAGCCGCCAAGAATGGCATTGTTGACGTGATGTTTAATGCTGCAGTGAAAGAATCGCGTTCCAAAGGCAGCAACTGGGTTGGGCTTGTGGGTTTAATGAGTCAGGATGCAGTTCGTCAGATCCGCGAACGGGCCGAGAAGGAGTTCCTTTCCGTTCCCATGTTCGAGGATTCCCCGGATCAGGATGCTTCTAAGGACAAGACCAGTTCCATGGAGACTGCCAAGCTATATCTTGGGATTGTCGAGAAGCTGGCGTATAGCATCCCCGAGACCGGTGTCCCGTCAGTAGTCCCTGTGATCGTGGACAAAATGGATGCGCTTCTCCACAGACTTGTCACCGTGCAAACCAACTTCAACAGCTTCACCATCAACAGCCGTGGCGCCGCCGCAGCGCACTTGGTTCAAGCCCGCCTGACCTTCGAAAGAGCTCTGGCATTCTGGTTTTCATCCCTGCTTAGGATGATTGTTATGCACCGCGCGGCATTCAGTAGCGGATCTTCCTTAGCGCCCAAGCCCCACGGCGCTCAAGAGCAGACTCGGTTATTGATCTCAATCTTCTGCGTCTCCCTCGCGCGCCTGCCGGACAACGTGCTGCGTCTACTCCCATCCGCAGACTATTTCCCTCACCGCGTCCCATCCGAAGGGTTTCGACCGTGTCCCGGGATTCTGCTCCAAACCCACGCACTAGATGTCGCTGCGTCTCTCATCGACGCCTTCCCCGACGAGTCTCGACAACAGTGTGCCCGATTCCTCAAGGAAAAATGCCCTCCGTTCATCCAATATCAGAACGACTTACGGTTCATCTATCTCCTCGGCCCCATGAGCGATGCTACCACATTGAATGTCACGCAACCTGCTTCCCTTCCCTCGCCTGCTGGCGGCGGGTCGACGCCCACACCGACCCCATCCGGATCCCTGGCCGGCGGACCGTCCGCGCCGCAACCACCCACGCCGGCCCCTACAGGGATGCCCACCGGCGTCCCGGACGGAGTCAACTGCGTTGCCAGCCAACTCCGCCTGCAGTACCGGGGCCGAACCATGGGGCCCTATCCTGTTCGACCCTGGGAATTGCTCGAGGATGCCGCCCCGATTGTAGGGGCCAATGACACCGCCGTGAACCTGAAGTACTTTGACGCTCGACGCGTGCGAGCTTAACACCACCTCTCCTGCCTCTTATCCTATAGCCACCTCTGACTAAATTACCCATCCTTCTCACACCTGTCGATCTTTCTTTTTCCTTCTGTTCAATCGTTATGCCAGGCGCCTGATACCATACTCATTGCATATACTTGTGAATTTCTATTGATTGATATATTTATTTTGTTCGTTTTTTTATGCATGCACAGCATCGCAGAACATGAACCATGTCTTATCTCTGTCATATTGCATCTTCATTTTCAACTGATGATCTCCTGTATGCATGGCGACCGTGGTTATGGGTTGATTGGCGAATTTCTACTTATCTATCTATTTTTCCATGAATGATAGTTTACCCTGCTCAGTGCTCGAGGTGACTGGGGTCTTCTACGGCTGGTTGGGTCGATGTATATAGAACTGGCGTTTTATCTCAGGAGGGGTCTTGAATAGCATTTTTAGCATGAAGCATCAACTCTTTTTACCCTTGGTTGGTAATGTGGCAGATGTGTTTCTACTTGCTAGTCAAGTAATCGTCGAACTATATATCTTTTAGCCTCTTAACGTAGAAGCAAATTGTTCTGGTCCTCAGGTTTCCTGGGAGTTAATTCGACGAAGGCCCGGTGTTACTTTCCCAAAGCACCTCTCCCTGTCCACATTGGACAAAACCAATGCGCAAACGTATTATCATGCCTCATTCTTCGTGCCACTTTCCAGCTTCCGCGCAGAAAAATTCCGAGGGAAGCCGGACAATTTCCCGTGACCCACCCTTCCTGATGTGGTATAGTCTCAATATCCGCCTCCATCCAGCGGAAATCCCCACGTCTCCGCATTTTCCCTCCAGCACGGAATCCGCCCGCCTCCAGACAAACTTGCAAATCCACCATGGCGTCACGAGCACAAGGCCCAAGGACGATGGCGGGGAAATGGGCGGAATCACCGGATCAGGGGAGCCCGGCTATAGCCTAGCAGATCGGGAAATGAACGAACACACATAAGAATGACATGCAACGACCTCGACCGCCGAGTTGGTTCTAGATGGACTTCATCAACAACACTGTCAATATGGCTTCGGTGCAGATACAGTCGATGACGCCGTCGCCGGTTCCGGCGCTGTTGACGGCGTCGAAAGTTCTTTCTGTTCAGCAGGGTTCGTGTGAGAGTGCAGAGCAGGTGGTTTACACGATTGATGGCTTGCTGCGTGCGAGAGCAGCTGGGGAGAAGGCGGATGAACCGATCGTGGCTTATCCGTCTGCTGGGACGGAGTATGCGTATTATACGCCTCGTCAGGTAGGCGGTTCCTTTAGAGGATAATGCGAAGTGATGATGGTGGAGCTGGGCGCTGATTGAAAGCAGTTACATACATTTGTCGAGGCGGCTGCTGTTCATTATTCGAAGGTGATTCCTCAGCGACGGTCATCGCAGGATGCAGTGCAGGTGGTGGGTTTGCTGGGCCCGTCGGACTTTGAGTACTTGATTACTCTGCTGGCTGTCTCGCGGCTGGGTCATACGGTTCTGCTCCTGTCGACGAGGATCGCCGAGGACGCCTACGTGAGCTTGGTAGAAAACACCAAAACGACGTTCTTAGTTACGCATTCCAGTTTCCGGGAAATGGGCGAGAATGTCGCCAAGCGGACCGGTGTCAATCAGCTGTCTGTGTTAGATCGCGACGACTACGACTTGCCGGTGACTGTGGATTTACCGCCCGCGCAGCTAGACTGTCAAACAGAGGCGAAGCATGTCTGCTGGGTGATTCATTCGAGTGGATCGACGGGTCATCCCAAGCCCATCTACCAGACGCATTCTGGCGCCCTCCGCAATTACGCCAACAATTTCGGATTGCGTGGCTTCATCACATTGCCGCTCTTTCATGCCCACGGCATCAGCTGTCTGTTCCGAGCCGTGCACTCCCAGAAGCTGATCTACATGTACAACGCAAATCTGCCCCTGACGGCACCTTGCTTGCTCACCACGCTGCACGAACACCCCGAGATAGAGGTCCTGTATGCTGTTCCGTACGCGCTCAAGCTTCTCTCAGAGACAGAGGAGGGACTGAAGATGATGGCGCGTCTGGATCTGGTCATGTTTGGTGGATCCTCCTGCCCCAAGCCCATCGGAGACAAGCTGGTGCAGAACGGCGTGCGCCTGGTGTCGCACTACGGCACCACCGAGACCGGCCAGCTGATGACCTCCTTCCGCGACCGCTCGGACCTGGACTGGGACTACGTACGTCCCGGACCCTCACTGTTGCCTTATCTCCGCTGGGAGGAGCAGATGCCGGGCATCTACGAGCTCTCTGTCTTGGAAGGCTGGCCGTCCAAGGTTGCGAGCAATCGGCCTGACGGCTCGTATGCAACGAAGGATCTGTTCGAAAAACACCCGTCCAAGGAGAACGCATGGCGCTACTATGCGCGGCTCGACGACACATTGGTGCTTGAAAACGGCGAAAAGGCCAACCCGCTGGTCATCGAAGGTGTGGCCCGGAATAACCCTAACGTGGCCGAGGCGATCGCCTTCGGGGCCAACAAGCCGCGCCTAGGGCTGTTCTTGGTCCATGCAGAGAATAGCAACTGTACAACGGACGAGGAGCTGATTGATGCGGCATTCCCGGCGATAGAGCAATGCAATGTGGAGTCGCCGGCGTATGCCTACATTTCCCGCGACATGATCCGCGTCCTCCCTGCAGACGCCGAATACCGCAAGACGGACAAAGGCACAGTCATTCGATCGGCGTTCTATCGAGACTACCAAGAGCAGATCGACCAAATCTATGACGCTGAGGATGCGCATGGGGATCAGATTCTAGAGGGAGATGAGCTGCTTGGTTTTCTGCGAGAGCAACTGCTGCAGATTGCGCCGTCCATCGAGCCTTCCAGCCTGGGAAATACCACCGATATCTTCGGTCTCGGAGTCGACAGTCTGCAATCCATCCGCCTACGAAGCGTTATACTCCAGATTCTTGACTTGAAGGGACAGAAAATTTCACAGAATTTCGTTTTCGAGAACCCGTCGTTGCAGGCGATGGCTGACGAGCTGACCCGCTTGGTTATGGGCGACACCAAGGAAGAAGTTCCCGTGGAGGTTCGAATGAGCCAGTTGATCGAGAAGTACACCGAGTCTATCCCAGCGCACGTATCGGTTCCCCGTGGTTACGACGGCGAGCATGTCGTTGTGACCGGCGCCACCGGTTCCCTCGGCGCGCACGTTGTCGTCCAGCTGGCTCGATCCGACAACGTTCGTCGCATCTATTGTTTAGTTCGAGCGAAGACCAGACACGCTGCCCATCGTCGAGTCCTCCAATCTCTACGCGACCGTGCTGTTCTTGCAGATCTGATGCCTGACCTTCACCGGAAGATTGTTGCTCTACCATCCGAACTGTCCGACAGCAAGCTGGGACTGGATACTACGACGTACCATGAGCTTATTGATTGTACCACCGCCGTAATTCACTGTGCCTGGTCCGTCAATTTTACCTGGTCGCTGGAGAGTTTCGAGCAGAGCTGCATCGCCGGCACCCGCAATCTGCTCGATTTCTGCCTGAACGTCCAAGCCCCAGAGCCGGCCCGCTTTTCGTTTTGCTCATCCGTGAGCACCGTCGCACGGAGCCCTGGGGGCTGGGTGCCCGAAGCATTGCCCGACTCTCTGAGCTACGCTCAGGGTATGGGTTATGCGCAGTCCAAACTGGTGACGGAGCATATTGTGAACTACGCGGCCCGGGAACGGGGCATGTCTGCGCGCGTGCTGCGCGTGGGCCAGATCATTGGCGATACGGTCCATGGCATCTGGAATGATTCGGAGGCGATTCCTATGATCATGCAGACTGCGAAAACAATCGGCGCGCTGCCCCGGCTGGACGACATTCTCTCGTGGACACCAGTAGATACGATCGCGAGCAGTGTGATTGACTTGACCCTCACACAAGATGCAGGTGATGTGTTCAACGTGACAAACCCTATACTGAATCACTGGACGTACGACCTCCTTCCGCTCCTCAAACAAGCAGGCCTAGAGTTCGAAGTGGTAGAACGACAAGAATGGTTGCGTCGACTCCTGAATTCTAACCAGGATCCGGCTGCGAACCCGCCCATCAAGCTGCTCCCCTTCTTCTCAAGCAAGTACGGAACCGATCGCTCGAAGCCTCCGTTGTTGTACGACACCAATCTGGCACGGTCTGCCGCGCCCGCTCTTCGTCAGGGCGGTGGGCTCAACCTGGACCTCGTCAGTCGATTTGTTCGGTACTTACAGCTCGAATGCTGGAATCAACCCGCAAGTAGCCTATCGAATGCAGCACTCAAGGCTCGCGAGATCATATTCCTGATCGGCCCATGTGGCTGTGGCAAGAGTACCGCAGCGCACGCTTTAACCGAGAGACTCAATCTCCCCGTCATAGAAGGTGATGACATGCACTCCCCCGTTGCGCGAAAGAAGATGGGCAACAAGGTCCCCTTGGCCGACGAGGATCGATGGGAGTGGCTGACACACATCCGAGGAGCCGTGAAGGATCGATTGCAACAGCATCGTGACCTCCCTGGACTAGTAGTTACTTGCTCCGCTCTTCGCACCGTCTACCGTGATCATCTCCGCCGACTCTCCGAGTTATTTGACTTCCCGGTTGGAGTTACCTTCGTGCTCCTGGATATCCAGAACAAGGAGAAGTTGGAAGACAGACTGGTTGCCCGCTCCGAAGGCGAAGGCAACTACATGGCTTCGGCGATGGTCGAATCGCAGCTTAATCTGCTGGAGGAGCCGGATATGTCCGAGGGAGATGTCATTCGAGTGGACTCCAGTCAAGGGAAGTGGAATATGCTGCACGATGTGGAGGAAACCGTGCAGGGCATTCTGCTGTGACTTGATTTGAATTGAATTAATTGCTCTTGTCTTCAAGCTTTGATATTCGCATTTGTTGGATTATGGGTGTACATACGTTTGATTTTCACTATGGTCTTTTGTACTCTGCACAGGCGTTTATTATTTATCTTTCAGTGGGTTATGAGATTGAGTCGGACAAACTAACTTGTTTTCTTCTTCAGTGCAAGATTGGTACGAGTAGAGAAATCGTTCTTATAGTCGCTGCTTAGGATTAGAAGAACAATACTAGATTATTCGAGACATGTATTTCCGAATAGAAATCAATCTCAAAAAGAATATCATTCAAGACATACCTATATCCAGCAAGAAAAGCAACAGCAAAACCCAAGGAAAGCTTTTCCACACCCACAATCTACACCAACCACCTAACCCAAAGCTAGGTAAAACTATCTAAGTACCGCTCGCACTCGCAACAAACTGCCCCTTCCCACCCCTCCTAAACATCAACAAACAAGCCAACACCTGCACCCCCGCAAACCCGATCATAACCTGCATCTGAAGCCGATAACTTCCCGCAAACACGTCCAGGACAAACGCGCGGATCTTCTCGGGGAGATACGCAATTGAGCTCGCGCTGTGAAGTAGCAAGTCGAGTTTCTCGGGAGGAAGGACGCCAGACAAGCGGTTCTTGAGACGTCCGTTGAGGATGTTCGAGGCGATGGAGAGACCTACTGCGCCGCCGAGGAAACGGCATTGGTTGAGGGCGCCTGTTGCGGTGGCTGGCTTTGAGTTAGCTTCGCTAAGGGTGAGATAATATGGTATAGTGGAATTGGGGGTGAAAGAAGGAAAAAGAACATACAGAGATCAATAGCTTCCACGACATACGGCACAGCGAGAAGCAAGTTCCCGATTGTGATGCCTACACCGGCGCCTGCGATAGCTTCGTACCCGTACCCCGCGACAGGGAAGGATCCCGACGCAGGGATGGTGGAGAGGAGGGCCATGCCGATGGTGTGGAGGATAGAGCCGAGCAGGACGATGTAGATGAATGGGATGCGGCCTTTCAGGCAGGCGATGTTGGCGACGGCGGTGGCGACGGTCGAGACGGCGGAGTAGGGGATTAAATGGATGCCGGCCTGGATGGGGGAGAGTTGAGAGAGGACGATGAAGCGTTGTGAGAGGAAGACAATCACGACGTTCCACGGGCAGGCGCTGACGAAGGTTGTTCTGGATTTTATTTTTTATTGGGGTTAGAGATGTTGATGCCGGGATGGGATGGGGAGGAAGGGAGGGGATGTGATGGACTTACATCAACATTCCGATCCAGGCTCTATTGTAGAGAAAGCGTTTTGGGAAGATGGGATAGTAGCCGATCCATCTGTCGATGATGAACCATTCCCAGATGAAGAATATAATCCATGAGGCGCCGGAGAGGGCGAGGAGGGTGATCGCTATTGCGGAGTTCCATTCGAAGGCTATAAAGGTTTCGTTGAGAACGGTGACGAGAAGAAAAGATGCGGCGAGGAGCAGAAAGACACCGAGGGCGTCGATACGTCGGAAAAAGGTCATATTGGGTGTGAGTTGGCGAAGGGGTCCTGGAGACGTTGTCCCAAAATTGGTTGGCATCGCGATGGCAATGATCAGGATTGCCAATGCGGCAGGAGGCAGACTAAGATCAAAAATATCAGTAAACAAGGCGTTGTGTATGCTGTGTAGAACCCACTTGAGATAAAAGACCCATCGCCACGCCGAATGGTCGGCGAGGACTCCTCCGATTATAGGCCCCGTCAGAGAGGCCAGTGCCACCGCGACAGACATGAGACCTCCAAAGATCGGTATCTTCTCTCTAGGGCCAACTTCGTAAGTGCACAGGATACTGAGCGGGTAGACCCCTGCGCCCCCAAATCCTTGAAGGGCTCTGAAGATGATTCTGTTGGCAGATGATCAGTATATCCAAAAGAAACTTCTCGGGGAGAGGACAGACGCACAGTTGGTTAATGGTATCAGCCAACCCACATGCCATTGAGAAGACGAGAAACAGAAATAACGCCGCGTTGATCGTTCTCTTTCTCCCGATCAAGTCGCTGATTCTGGTCCAGAACGGAATGAAGCCTACATTGCGTAAGCGGACGATGAGCAGCAAGTAAACGGGGCAGTTTCCTACCAGTGTAGGTGGTCAGATACGCAGTGACAATCCAGCTGGTCTTGTTGAACCCCCCCAGATCATCTGTTATCGTGACCAGGGAGGTGCTGACAATCGTGACTTCGAGATTTACCAAGTAAAGGCTAATGAAAAGACTAGATTTGCAGGGTATAGCATTAGCTAGGAGTAACTGGCTACAGTAGCAAAGAAGAAGGAGTAAAATACCCAAGCGTGGTAACGACGAGCCTCCATCCATGAGGGTAAACATGCTGCTGTAAAGATGTCTCTTCAGATGCACTCGTATCGGTAGAGATTCCCGCCTCGAGAGTCTTTTCGTCTCGTTTCCCAAACATGGCGAGACAGTCTATCTGTATTGATGGAGATGTCGCAGCAGAAAGGACGAAGATGAAGTCTGCGGGGCGAGGCAACGTTCAGAAGCGAAGATCAGAAGGAGAGTCATTTTATGCAAAGAAGCTGTCCCTTTAGTCGGGGAATTCCGGTAGGATAGTGGCCCACCGCAACGGCTAGCAGGAAGTCTGTTCTCTACAATATACGGAAAGATCCCTTTGCTAGCTCAATATAGCGCTGTGAGGAATCCCGCAACTTCACATGCTTCCTTGGCATTCGGTCGATGTACTCGATAGGCAATCGATTATGTTGTCGATATACCGGAATAAGGAATTTGGGGCGCAAGGGTGGAGATTAGCCAACATATTTGTCAATCTGCAGGAAAATGACACGAGGCAGGGGTGTGCCAGGTCGCCATGATGCGCATTTTCACGAGCTGATAGAATGTATCTTGCTGAAAAAGGAAGAAAGGGAGAATCAGGTACTGCACATGACGCCATGAAGAATTTGCATAAGCGATGCACATCTCCTACTCTAATACCTCCAAGGTATATATAGAATTCTGCGAGCAAAGCAGGTGAGAAGCCACCTCAGCCTACGCTAAATAACTTAAGTCTATGTGAACAAATGGCGTCTAATGTCCAGGTCATGTCTCTTTCAAGGAACGTATCCAAGAAAGGATGCAAGAATGTCTCCCCTGACCAGTTCCTGCGAGATTCTGGGATCCTTTTTCTGAACCCGAACGCGAGTCTGCAAGTGGCTGGATCCCCGGACCCTCGACACAGCGACATCCTAGAGTTCAAGGAAAGGAAAAGACCACATTGCCTCGAAGCAACACGAAATATAGATCGTCGGGAGAAAGGACCCCTGTTTCCGATTTCATGAGAAGGTCGCGTTTCAAAGATGTGATATTACTCTATACCAGGGGTCAGGCCCCCCAATGACGGTGATCCATCATAACGAGATTGATAGAATCTACCAGACGTTTGTATAGGGCGGTTTTGACTTCTCTCATTCTTATATTGGCAGGTAATCACCCCACGTGGGCTACTAGTTCTGGCCGGTTCAACGTTGCAAACACAATGGACTCTTCTATATTGATGACCACTGGGAATTGGTTTGAGCAAAATTTGATTCCTATTTTTATTTTCTCCTCTATCCATCTCACACACTTTCTCTGTGTGCATCACCACAAAGCAAGCTAGCAATCGCTGATTTCAGCGCTTAAAATATGTCCCGGTATACTCATAACAAGAAGAACATAGAACAACTCCCAACTCCTCGCTCACAAGCACACAGAATCGAGTATGTACCAGAGCTGGCGCTAATAGCCCTCACAAAAACACCAGTTTGTCACTCAAATAGAGAGCATATAAAAGCGTGGCTTAGCGTAGTAGCCAGCTGCACCCGAGTTTGGGGTCTCTACTGCGCACCAGGAATCCTGCTGCTTTGCTTCTTCGCATTCATTCTCCCCAAGAAGATCAAATCCCTCGAGGTCTTCTTCGAGATTGTCAGATGGCAGACAGGGTGGTGAAGGGCGCAAATTTGGGCCACCTCCGTAATGGCGAGAAATAAACCCTTGGCCTATATCTGATCATTAGCAGTCATTTCTCTCTTTTTGTAGAAGGGACTTTACCTCTAGGACCGTGCACAGGGGAGTTGAACGGAACTGCATAGCAGTTCGAAGAGTCATCCTCAAACTCACTGCCTTCAGAGTCTGTTGTCCGGTCGCTCTCTTTCTCCTCCTTCTTCCCCTTCTCCTCCTTCTCCTCCTCGGAAGAACTCTTAATCTCGTCCTTCTTATCTCCCCACTTGTTGGCATCGCCAAAGGTACCCACCAGACCATCTCTAGGGCATACAGCCTCTTCTGCCGACCGCACAGCAGCCAGAGATGGCGTTGCTGGTGGAGTTGGTGGGAATTCTACCAGCCGAGCCATTTTCTTGTCGTTGGCTTGGGCAGAAGAGGCCTTGAGGTTGCCGACTGTGCTGGAGGAAGATATCTGTTTGAGAAAGATCTAGTTGTGAGTGTGAGGATACGTATGATATGGGGCAAGGGATATGGGAGGAGATGTGTCATGGAGGTCGAGGTCGAAGTCGAGGGGCAGGCTCTTAAGATCCGCTGTCTGTCATTATGACAAGCACAGGTATTACGCGAACCCCCGACCGTGGAATCCGGCAGCAGACTTTTCAGACGAAGGTTTTGGCTGGACCTTTTAGGTTTCGACCGTGGTTTGTATTTCCACAGCTTTTCCTGTTCCTGCAGGCACAATACCATCAATGCCCTTGACAATTGAAACTTGCAGGGAGAAGGCCAAATGACATCAAAATCGCAGTGCATGTAGATGGAACCAGGTTGCAGCTTGTGAATGAAGAAGCACACTCTGAAGAGCACTAATACAGCGTTTAAAGCACGGTGAATGGTATACTCTAGTACTACTGTGTTCAAGTTAGGGCACGCAACATCATCTGCACCCCACTGCTGCCTCAGGCATCCGTACCCCGCCACGCTTATCGATTATCGGCGAGAAAAGGAATTCCTTATGACTCGCATACTTCTCCTTCCTTCTCTCCCATTCAATTGACAACCTCCCACTCCCATCATGTCGACTGCCCTCACCACCACCGACCTCCAAGGCGCCCTGCCGCTGATTGCGCGCGGCAAGGTCCGCGACCTGTACGAAGTCGACGAGAAGACCCTGCTGTTCGTCGCGTCGGATCGCATCTCCGCGTACGATGTGATCATGGAAAATGTACCCCTGCAACCCCCAAATAAAACGCCGGAGGCCAGTACAGCCAAGCTAACAACTCCCCTAATCGGCACCAGGGCGTCCCCAACAAAGGCATCCTCCTCACCCTCTGCACGCAGCACTGGTTCCGAGTGCTCACGGCCGCCATCCCCTCGCTGCGCACGCACTTCCTGACCCTCGACCTGCCACCCCAAGTCCCCGAGTCGCTGCGCCCCGTCCTCCAGAACCGCAGCATGCAGGTGCGCAAGCTCAAGATCCTCCCCCTCGAGGCGATCGTCCGCGGCTACATCACCGGGTCTGCGTGGAAGGAATACCAGAAGTCTGGCACCGTGCATGGCATCCCTGTCAAGGCTGGATTGCAGGAGAGCGAGGCGTTCCCCGATGGACCGATCTATACGCCTAGTACGAAGGCGGAGCAGGGTGATCATGATGAGAATATTCATCCGGATCAGGGTATGATTTCCCCTTCCCTTGCCCTTATTCCGTGCGGAGAATTGGTCCGATAAAGTGATTAATGGCTGACCTCGGGGTTCTTTGTTGTTATTTAGCCGTTGCTATTGTTGGCGAACCGTACGCGTCTACCATCGCCTCCTTGGCCGTGGAATTGTACAAGACGGCTCATGCGTATGCGCTCGAACGCGGCGTGATCATCGCCGACACCAAGTTCGAGTTCGGATTGGACCTGGAGACGAACGAGGTGGTGCTGGCGGATGAGGTGCTGACGCCGGATTCGTCGCGATTCTGGCCCAAGGATTCGTATGCTATTGGGAGGGGCCAGCAGAGCTTCGACAAGCAGTACCTGCGCGACTGGCTGGTCAGCGAGGGTTTGAAGGGCAAGGAGGGTGTTCGCATGAGCGATGAGGTGGCGCAGAGGACGAGTGAGAAGTACAAGGAGGCGTGGGAGAAGTTGACAGGGGGTAATTAGATGGAATTCGCAGATTGAGTGATTGCTTGACTATGGATGAATGGCCCGCGACGCTAGTTGAGGGTCATTCACTACCAAAAGAAGCTCGAATTATACAAATTGTGACAATTACCTCAACATGGATAAATCATGACATTCTCATGAAATATAAGGTATGGTACATTCTGAATAAGCATGGTATCTATTTATTTCTCCCATTCGTCACGCAATCCCCGCAAGCCCTTGGCCTTCTGTCCCTGCTGCGACGTTTGATCCGGGCTCTCAGCCGTCGTGGTGCCCTGCCATTCACTTTCGACGCCTTCGTCCACGGGCAGAGCATCCGCCCCGCAGATCTGTCGCTCCTCGTCAATTTCCGCTTTGCTCATGCCGTTCGTCGCCCAAATCCGGTGGATCCGCAAATCATACGGACCCTCCACACGGTCCGTAAGGCCGATGCCCACGCTCTTCACGCGCTGACGAATAATTGATGTCTGCGGCTCGACAACAAGGCCGTGGTTGGTGCGGACAAACGAGTTGAACGGCAGGAAAACAGTCTCCCAGCCGGTGGAGCCAGAGGTCGTGGCGCTCGACGTCATGATGGTCGACTCTGGGGGCACGTCCGACAGCGAGGCAGGGATACCGCTGGGGTACATGGTGTCGGCGAGTTCGGGATCCTCGAGGGCCTGGGGTAGCGAGTCTCGGTACATCGAGGGGTCCTGGACGCGGTGGTGGCGCGTATATAAACGGTGCTGGTGGATATCGGTCTCAACGATCGAATCGGTCTGGATGTTCACGGTGTATCGGCGGCCGTCGGACTTGACGCGCAGCGCGAGGTAGGAATACGGGTCAACGTCCCAATACAGTCGACCGAAGAGCCAGAAGCCCCGGTCTTTGTTGCGAAAGGCAGCATATCCTGTGAATTGCAGGCCCGTGCCTCATCGTCAGCGAACAGATCTTCCCGCATAACGGCTAGCGGGCCTTAACCGACCGGTTCGTTCCACCCTCCAGTTATTGGGAAGCCGCGTGGATATGCTTCCGTGGAATCGAGCGTGGGCCGGAGAGTTCGATCCGGGGTCAGATGGAACGAAGTCGAGGCTAGCAGTACTGAAACCCCCGACAGCACGATCGGCCATCGTTTTGCAGCCGGCGACAGCAGATTCGTCTTCGAAGTCCATGAGGTAGTAGGGCTTGGTGGGCGTGTGAAGGGCCTCAGAGTTCCAGGCTACAAGTAAATGAGTTCGTCAGCAGTGGACATCGTTATCATCTAAAGACATAGAAGAAAATTTGCTGGCATAAAACTTGGTAACGTCCGAACGTACCGATCTTCGACAGGCGAGTTAGCTCCGCCGCGCTGCGTTTCATAAAGCCGGCCGGTTTGGCAGCCAAACATCTTGCCGTGGGGATCATGATGCTCAATATGGTGATTGGAAAGTAGAGCCTGAGTAGTTGTAGGGATTAGATGCGAGTGAAGGGCGACTGGAGAGAAAAAGACCCCCTGGTGGAGGAAGAACGAAGATCGCTGGAGTCTCGGATGCTTTTCGCATGACGTCGCGTGGTTGTCCGGCCGCCGTCACCGCCTTCCGGGTCGGGCGGAATAAACTATATCGCGGTCTCAACATCATCTGGCGCAGTAGAAGATAGCCGGGGGGATCGAGCCACAAGATATAGTCAAGCAAAAAATACAGCCTGAGTAGCAATAGAGCTGTAGGCAGCAAGAAGTGCCGCAGCTCCGGCGTGGTTGAAAAAGTGGGAGGGAGCAGCGTTGGCCTGTCCAACACCTCAGGCACCCGTTCCTTCCTAAAGCGCGGCCACTACGCCCATGTGACCGCATCCAACCCTAACAGAGAAGGGAAGAGTCACCGCGATGGCTCCATTCACTATGTCGAGTGCTGCTTTTATTTCTCAAGAAATGAATCTGATTATCGAAAGACAGGCACGGCCCTCCCCCCTACCGACGATGTCGGACGTCGTTGCATCCCCTGTAGTTACGTAAACAATAACAATGCAAAGCGTCCCATCCTACCGGCCTGCTGCTGGCGGCTTTCTATTCCGACAAGCTTTCGTACGCACCATAGAAGTGTTCGTCAGGTGTCGAGTCTTTGTCATGATTGGTAAAGCCATACTCCCGTAAAATACGGCTCTGAATCTAACCCTAACCTCCCAGCTCGGAGACATCGTCGGCTCCGAACTTGTCGATCTTGTGATAAGACAGCCTAGTTTAAGATTAATTCTATGCTGTATGCACAGGGAATACAGTATGGGGCTTTGCTTTAGGAGGTGGAAGGAAGAAATGCGGTGAGAAAGGACGGTGAATTGCCGGAACGATCTGGCCGGAATAAACCAACACCGGCCCTTGGGCTTCACCAGTCGCTAGGCCCTTGGCCGTCCAGTTGGACGCATTCCCGTATCAAGCTTTCTCTTTGTCAAAGCTTGGCATGACCACAATGGCTTCCCATGACCTAGAAGCCCCTAGGAACCAACCTCCTGTCCCTCAGGTAGTAGTACCTCGAGCAACGGATCGCCGAAGATTGGGACTTCAACTTCCAAGTAACATTGCTTTCCCAGCAGGTACCGGTCTTCTCATTTGTTAAAAATACTGGTAGCGAAGTAATAGCCTTCGCGTGTTTGTTAAGCACCCAGGTCCCATGATTCGAAGGCATTCGGCATTACCACAATTACCAGCATCTACCATCATTGTAAACCATAGTCACAAGCGCTGTTTGACTCACCACCTCCTTCTCTCTTTCGCCCTTCTTCATCTCTCCTCCTCCTCCTCCTCCTCCTCCTCCTCCAACTCTCTGACCATCGTCTATCTTCTACCACCACAAGTTACTATCTACGAGCACGAACTACCTGTATCTTATTACCTTGTCTTTTCTCTTAACACTTGTTCCACCCAAGTGAATAAGCCCGCATTTAGCCTACGTAGGCATTTTACAACCTTCGAACTCCAAATGGCAGCGGGAAACCACGGCCCCACCGATAAAACTGCGCAGGAGTTTTATCCTGTCCAGTGGCGGATTCACGTTGGGAAGTAAGTGTTTAATATATTTCCTGTTCATGAAACGTATACTAATACAAAGTTTGCATAGCCTGCCAGATGATATGGGGGAGGAGCAGTTAATAAGGGAGCTGCGTGAGGTCTTCAAGGGCTTGTTGTGCTACATCAAGCCCTTCATCCACCAGCCACATTCGACTGCCTTCGTGCAGTTTACAGTAAGCCACTTCACTTGGTCAATAAATCTAAGCCCGTATGTATTCTAACCAGCAAATAGGAGCTAGCCCACTGGAAGCGGGCGCTGGGGTACAAAAGGTGCACTGTTGGCAACCGCGTTTTGCGGATTGAGCCCGCCACTGGTCGGCGTAAGTGCCAAACAATCTTGATATATTGTGGTTTAAAATATAGTTGTGAGAATTGCTTGCTGATGAAATTTTAGGAGATACGCCACCAAGTTTTATTTGGGAAGAGAAGGAGGGTGAGAAGATGAAGGTGTGGAAGGGGCCCCAGCAGCAGCATTATCAGCAGCATTATCAGCGGTATTGTCAGCCGCATTATCAGAAGCATTATATGCAGCAGTATCTGCAGCAGTATACTCAGCAGGATCCTCACCAGTATCCTGAGCAGTATCCTGAGCAGTATCCTCACCAATATCCTGTGCAGTATCCGCAGCAGTATCCTGTGCAGTATCCTCACCACTATCCGCAGCAGTATCTGCAGCAGTATCCTCACCAGTATCCTCACCAGTATCCGCAGTGGTATCCGCAGTGGTAGAACGAAGTGAAAGAGGTAAAGAAGATGGGGAGAATTGGATTCATATCTATTTTCAGGTTTTTTTTTGTGTGGTGGTCTTTTCGCTATCCTGTCATCATGATTTCTGTCTTTGCCCTCGTTCTGGCCTGGCGTTGTATACCCCTATCGGAGTTCAGGGATGAGTGTTTTTCTCTGTTTACTTCCCTTTCTTGGAAAGCCTTTGCTTTGTTTCTTCTTTCATGTTTCCTTGATCGAATGTACTGTACTTCTGCACCGCATAGGAAATTGATATCCTAATGGGCGCTTCAACAGACTAGTTGCTCCTATCCGTTCGTATCTGTAGAAAGTGCGCAGTTCATGAACCCATGTTAGACCCGGGCGCCTGCCGAATATGGTAGTTACCAGATTATGAACTGAGGAGGAGGCTTCCCCCTCCTGCTCACTCACCTGTCTTTACCCTCTAGCGTCTGTCACTACCCCCAAACAGTCAATCCTTTATCCCCGGGTAGTAGGCACAAGCTTGGACCGCTCAGCAGCGACATTGATTGCGCCCTTCTATAGTGTACCTCGAAAAATGCAAACCAGAAGTTTTTCAATTTTATCAATTAACAAGTTAGACATATGAGGCTTCTCGTAGAGACCTCTGGATCAAGGCTTATATGTGCCTACGTATAAAGTGATATAGAGGGTTTACAATAGGAACTTGGTGGACAGTTTTCAGTACTCATTGACTGCATCACCCCACAGACCCAGCCTGACGAGGATATATTGCTGTGTTAGAGGAGAATGCCAATCATCGTCACATGGATTCAAAAATAGAGAACATGGGGCTTGAGGCATAACGGTGTTTGGCGCACAGCTACTCTTGCTGGCCACATCCCTACTCACAGCAATCCTCAACGCAGGCCTATGAGCAATCTACAGTCCTACGAGCTGGTTTGTGGCTCAAAGCGTAAGAACCTTAGATGAATAGTCAATAATAAGATCCTCGTCGACCTTCTTGTCTGCTAAGCTTCTCTGATAGTCTTTTTCTTGCCGTACATGCCTAAAGCTCCTCCTTCGCTCTCTTCTCTTCTCCCCTTTCTTTCGTCACGTGTCCGATATGTAACTCTTACGTCTTACCTTCCCACCTCTCCTCATCTTGTGAGTCATTCCCAGCTAGGCAGAAATATTACTGTCAAAACATGCCCGCCGTATTGCGGTAATTCATCCTCGGTCCATCCATGGAATGCCCTGGGAATATATACGCCCGCTGTGAGTCAAACAGGGGATGGATTCACGGTAGCAGTCGGAAGGGTCAAACTCAGAGCATACATACTACTACCTAGGTATAGATGGAGTACTTGCGTTTTCGCGACACATCTTGCGAGGGTGGCGACTACCGCGGTTTGATCTTGCGGAATGGCGAGGAAGTGGAAGTATAAAAAGCTTTCCGTTTTAGGAAAGTGTCAGGGTGTAGGGATCCGCCTTTGCATCCCTTCGACGGCACTCGGCGTTCGGTCTTTTGTTGTGGAATCCGAGATGTTCCGCCGATTTTATCCCTTTCAATAAGAGTTAACTAGTTAGCTTGAGATGACTAAAGGATGTGCCATCGAATCACTTTGGGCATCGAGGAGTCTACTCCGTCAAAACATGTCGACCAGCAATCACTGCCATAACCCGAAATGATAATGAACTACGTAGAAATTGGTTTAAGACTTTTTCTCAAGTTTCGATTTCTTTCTTTTCCAGAGAAACTGCCTTAACCAACATCGGCGCCGGTATATGACATAGCAGATTCCATACCTTAACTATCTCGGGACACAAAACAGCCACTCTACAGCATCTCTGTAATTCCTCTGCTAGAAATCCGGCCTCACAGGAACCGCTGATTACTCACGGATGTCCACAATGATTAAGAAGACGAGCCATACGTATATAACGTCCCCAAATTACCCAACACTGGACGCTTTGCCTAGCTAGAGCGGCCAGCCGATATCTCGGAATGGCACCATAAACTAGTCACATGCTCCACGGAAGATGACGTATGTACATATTTGTGAAAAACATGATAATTGAGGATTGGTATGTTGTGATCACCACTGAGATACAGGATGCTTAAGCAGCCGAATAGGACTGAAGTGCAATTAAACCTTAGCCCTACCTCTATTTAGCCTAAAAGGCCACCAAATATAATCTTAAAATCAATGACGTCATACACGCTACAACTTTGAAGAATGATATGGATGTGTAGAGTTGAGATTCCATTCAATGAAAGTAATAGCCATATCGTGCATGGTCTACATAGCCTTTTCATTAGCACTTATTTCAGCTACAGTACAATGTTTGTTAAGGATGGTGATCCCACATCAGGCCTGTTATCGGAAGTAGATGCTGGCTCACTAATTTGCGAATAGTTACGATTAACCTTCATCAAAAGAAGAAGTCCATGCTACGATCCTAATCACCGCCAACAATGAGTATTCAGCCCTTGTAGACAATGATCTTAAACGAGACCATTGACAGATTGACCGAGAGCGTGGACTGCCGAACTGGCATATAAACGGGCCATATCAATCATTTTTCTGTTGATATATACAATTTTTATCACATTGGAGATTATCTGCCCTCTTCCACAGAGTATATATCGAAATCAGGGGTGCGATATGACAAGTTGGCACGAGAGACCCGTAAGATCTAGGACCCAGCAGGGATCTACGATATATGTCAGGCCTTAACAGAAGCCCCGCACGGATCGAAAAGAATTACATTCAACAAGACCGTATCAATTAGAACGACGTCAGATAAATCAAATGTCGACGCAGATACTGGTCCTCGAGACATAATTCAATAGCCCGATCGACAGACAATAGGTACTGTCGATTTTCGTGCAATAGTAGCACAATTGAATGATATCATGTCGGAGATCTACTGGATTCATTATATGAGTGTCTTCATTCTGAATTTTTGAACAATATCTGGGGGTATAAACAGTGTTTTCGCATATCCTCACGGCACAATTGAACTCGTACAATTTTGCTAAAGATTACAAGGGCTTGAATGATTCCAAATTATACATCAAAATCGTAAACAATCTAAGAAAAAAAACCCAAAAACTTTCAAGACTTCAAGCAGTCTCCGCAACACGATACACCAGCTTCTCCCCGCTGACCTTACCCTCCTGCATCGCCTTCATACCATCCAAAACACCCCGCAGCCCACCAGGGTTCACCTTAAGAGGGTGCGGCTTGACCTTGCCCTGCGCCAACAGCTGCTCAGCCGTAGCCCAGAACTTCTTGGCGAACTCCATATCCTCCGGCTTCGCGGGGAACGGAATATCGCCGAACTTGAACGCCTCGCCGAGGATGGTGTAGCCCAGCGTCCAGCGGTCGTTGACGTTTTCACGCTCGATCTTCACCACCAGAAGGGCCGAGTACTCGCCTCCCTCGGTGGAGAGGGCCTCGTCACAGAATTTGGCGCTCGACTCGACGGAGATGGTATCGAAGACGTATTTGAGGTTGTTGTTCGTGTACTTGCGGATCTCGGCGGCGACGTTGGGGTCATTGTAGTCAAAGACGGCGTCCGCGCCGAGGCTCTTCACCAGGTCGAAATTGTGCGGCGAGCACGTCGTCAGGACGGTGTAGCCGGAGAGCTTAGCGAACTGGATCGCAAGGGTGCCGGTGGCGCTGGAACCGCCGTAGATGAGCACGGGGGTCTTCTCGGTCGTGGGCTGCGTGGGCCACGCGAGCTTCAAGCTCTGGTACAGACCCTGACCGACGGTGCTGATTCCGACGCCGAGGGTGGAGGCCTCCTCGAAGCTCAGGTTGTCCGGGATCTTCATCTGCAGGTCGCCCTTGGCGGTGATGTATTCGGCGAAGGTGCCGTCCTCGTGGTAGACGGCGTTGGAGCCGTGAACGAAGCCGGAGACGCGGTCACCCTTCTTGAAGGGCTTGGTGACGTCCTTGCCGACGGCTTCGACGACACCGGCGTAGTCGCAACCGACGACGGGACCGGGAGGAGCGAGGAAAGCGACGTGCTTCCAGTCCGTGGGGTTCAGGGCCACAGCGACGGTCTTAACGAGGATGTAGTCATCGCGGAGGACGGGGATGGCATGGTCTGTGACGAGGTCGGCGTGCTTGGGGGTGGTGATGACGACAGCCTTTTGGGTAGACATGGTGATGGTTGTGGATTGATTAGGTAGAACAACAGGATTGGGATATAAACAAGTATTTTTGCCTCGACTTCGAGCGAAGCACTTATATGATAAAGCCGAAAGAAGCTGGAACTCAAATGAACAGCACCGAAGCAGAAGCAATTGAGATTACAAATGCAATTGAGAACTTCATTGGCTTTTAAGACAAGAAACCGATTAGTGAACAACAAGTCCCCCACCTGAAGTCTCTACGTCATGAAGGATTCCACTGTCGGGACCAACCAAAGTCTGCACGATGTTGAGGACGACCCACTTCGGACCGAGTCAATTTGGCACACAATTCAACCCGCCTGTTTCGGGGTGATTGGTGATGCTTGATAAGCAGATTTCCTCAAGAATTGGGAGCTAAGCTATACAAATCATTTGCCGAGGTTCGACAATCGTGGATTTTCTGGAGAATACTTCCGGGGAAAAGTTGGAATTGCAGCCAGGGATATTAGTCCATCAACCCTAAGAGAAGGACTCGAGAAAGAAGCAATTGACTTGTTGCCAGATGGCCAATCACGAGAGGCTGACAAAATAGCACGCCCTGCTTCTGTTCCTTGATTCCATCGGCTGAACAATATGTGTTTTGCATTTGAAACGGCAATTGAATCCCAACCGGACGGCCCCTGCAGGGTGGCTGCTGGGAAAGTCCCAAAGTAGTTTAGACTCCGCACGCCCAAGTGGATCCTTGCAGATGATCCCCGCAGGGATCCCGAAGCAGGAAATTTCGAGAAATCGAAGGGAACGGAGTTAAGATCCTTCAATTCCGGGATGATTACATCTGCTGGGTTCGTAATCGAGCCGACAATTGCCAAGAATAACGAGAGCGAACAGGAAGACCCGAGAAGTACCATCGCGTATCCTGATAACCACTGTGCAGAGCAGCAGGACCACTTGCAACGTGCGGTGAAAACAAGCGATCTATTCTTGAGAGTCACGAAATATATACACGAAGAATCTATAAGCATCTCCTAGACCGTGAACTTGGTCTTATTGACTTCCCCAGCCGCAACTGCAGCCTTCCGGACCGCCTCCTGTCCAACCTCCTCGAAAATATCGTATCCCCAGAACGCAGGGAAGTTGAACCTTTTGTGCTTTTCCAAGGACGAGAGCTTAGCGAAAGCATCCTCCTGCAGCTGACGAACCTGTAAATTTGCAGCAATTCGCGAGGGCGTCACGCTCTTCGACAGGACGACTGTGCCGCGCTGCACGCCCCAGCTGGCGAGGAGAGGACCCGGATCGAGGCCCAGCTCACCCGCGACGGAGTGCACCAGGGGATCATCAACGGTGCGTGGCTCGCCAGTCTGGTTGTTTCCGAGAGGAGAATAGGCCTCCACGATGATGCCTTTATTTTGGCAGAAACGGAGCAGATCGGGTTGCTGTAGGTATGGATGGGCTTCGATTTGGTTCGCGGCGGGGACGACGCTGACTTGGCTGAGAAGTTCTTCGAGTCGGCGGACGTTGAAGTTGGACACCCCGATGGCGCGCACTTTACCAGTGGACAGCAGCTTTTCCATGGCTTTGTAGGTGGTGATGTAGTCGATGTCGGCGAGTTCGAAGACTCCGTCGGAGTTGAGTGGGAACCATTTATCGCCGCCTTTGAAGGCACTGATTACTCAAGAGTTAGTTCGTGGCGATTCATGATGGGTATAGATCGAACAGGAGGTCCATACCAAGGCCAATGCATCAAGTAGAGATCAACGTATTCCACGCCCAAATCCTTCAACGTCTTGTCCAACGCCGATTCAACGTCTTCCGGGGCGTGTTTTGTGTTCCACAGCTTGCCGGTGATGAAGATCTCCTCGCGTGGAACACCAGACTTGCGAATGCCATTACCAACTTCTGTTTCGTTGCGGTAGATGGCTGCGCAGTCGATATGACGATAACCTTGCTTCAAAGCCACCTCGACGGCGTTTTCAACTTCAAGAGGTTTGGCCTGCCATGTTCCAAATCCCACAGCGGGAATTTTGGCACCGGTGTTGAGCGTGAAATGTGCTGGTAGAGACATTATGTGAGAGACAATTATCGAGTATAATTCAGAGCTAAGCCCATCGGCGACTGGCAGGTTTCTTAAAACACAGTGCCTTCACATCGCATCTCCGACATGTCGACGTGATGGCGGAAAAGTAGTGGAGCTAGTCGGGTTTCCGACCCTTCGTGTTGCTAGTGAGGGGCGGGCGGATAAAAACAAACCAGGTAGATGCCAACATTTCACGCTGATGAGCAACGGATTCCGATCTGCAGGAAAAGGTGGGTATCTGGGGAGAACTCCGCGCCTTTGCTGGTTGTCGTCGCTGTTCAGTCGGTCATCTGCCGAGTTTCCCCGCAGAATTGAGGTTGACCTCGGATACGAGACTCTGGGGTAAGGAAAGCACAATGCGTCATTCGCCACACCGCTGCAGTAATTCCATTGTGCGATAGGTAAGCCTCCTAATGCCGGATTTTGATCCGGTTCATGACGGAGAAGCAGCGGAAACATTCACTCACTCCGCTAGACCATTTTACTGGGGATTTGAAACGGCACGCACGGATTGGCATGTCAATGTAGGATAATAGGGAGCCTATTCTCTTGTCCACAGCGAATGCCACGACTGGAAAATAGGTGATCATCTTGGCAAATGCTTGTGAAAAGCTTGGGCTATCTCTGCTCATTTCACAAACCCAAAAGTGTCAGAGCCGCGTAAAAGAAACAAAATCCTCTGTATCTGCTCAAATGATTTGGAGAAATTCATTAGCATCCATATAGTAATCGTGACGATGATAAGATCATAATGATCAGCACATACAACCACGGCAAGCTAGCAGACATAGCGGAGACCGGGTGGAGTCCAATCCTTCTCCGCGGTCTACCCCGGTCATGTTGGCGTGGAAAACAGACGTGACAACCTGGGGAGTCCGGAGAAGGCTAAAAGAGGTATATTAGGCCCTCCGCCAGCTGGTACCAGCAACAACCCCCGAGGGCTATTCATCTCCACTGAAAGAGGTTGCGTTTCTCTTCAGACATTTTTTGTTTCTCGTCTTTGTTCACCGTGTATGAAACGACCACCTTTCTCTCTTATCTAGTCCCTCAAATACCTTGGCTGAAATACATCCATCTCAGCGCCACTTAAAACGACAATAAGTGGCCTTTACTTGGATGCCAGCACGATGGCCGACCTTGATTCAAAATCCACCTCACACCATGTTGAAGCAAGCGCCAAACAAATTGATGGACAGGATATACTCTTTGACGGCTTGTCTGATGAAGAAACCAAAGCTCTAGAGAAGCGCTGTAAGGTACCAATCCAGAAGAGATCAACCGAATTCTAATTGTTCACAGTGGTGCGCAAGATCGACTTACACCTGATATCGTCCCTTTTCCTTCTCTTCATATTCAACATTCTGGATCGTTCCAATATTGCCAATGCTCGTCTTGGAGGAATGCAAGAGGACTTAGGCCTCTCGGACACGCAGTATCAAACAGCTGTGGCTATCATGGTATGTTTATAGTTATGGAGACGGAAAAATGAAGCTGACAGAGTGGTCCCAGTTCGTCGGTTATCTTCTAGGTCAGGTACCGAGTAACATTCTCCTGACTCGGTTGAAGCCATCGCGCTATATTCCAACGGCTATCTTCATCTGGGGAGGTATCTCGCTGTGCATGGCAGCGACTAAGAACTTTGCTGGCGTCATGTGTGTGCGTGTCTTTTTGGGATTTGCGGAATCTCCGTTTTTCCCTGGAGCCTTGTAGGTGACCGGCAGCTCGATATTGCCAGGCAACCTCTCTAACACATCTATGCAGACTATTGATCAGTTCCTGGTATAAGCCTTCGGAGATCGCTGTACGCGTGGCAATTGTATACTGTGGTAACACAATCGCCAATGGATTTGGTGGTATGCTTGCCGCTGGTATAATGAGTGGGCTGGATGGCAAGGGAAACCTCGAGGGCTGGAGGTATGTTGACTCTGGATGTCAGGTTGGAACAATGCTAACAAATGCACAGATGGCTATTCATCATTGAAGGAGCAGGTACAATGGTTGCCGGAGTTCTCGCGGTGGCTCTGCTCCCTGACTTTCCTCGCTCTGGACAGCGAAAATGGTTGAATGAGCAGGAGCAACGGTTCGCCGAATGGCGTCTTGCCCGCGCAGCAAACGACGAGGTCGACGAGAATGGCTCCGTCAAAGAGGGCCTGAGAGACGCAGTGATGGATCCCAAGGCTTGGCTTCTGATTCTGATCCAGGTCTGTCAATTGTCTTCGCAGACATGGACATACTTCTTCCCTGTAAGTCACTGTACCCTCGGCACTTGATAAAAGTTGGTTCTGATTGGCAACAGACAATTGTCAAAACCCTGGGCTTCAACAACATGATTACTCTCTTGATCACAGCGCCAGTATACGTGTTTGGCTTCATCACCGCCCTGGGAAACTCTCTGATCGCGAACCGCACCAACCAACGCGCAATTCTTATTGTCTGGCCTCTCTGTGTCGATATAGTGGGTAATATCATGGTCATCTCGTCGCGAGCAACAGCCGTCCGCTATACGGGAATGTTCCTCATGTGCGCCGGTTCCTATTCAGCTTTCAACGTCGTCCAAGCGTGGATCGCCAGCACTATCCCTCGCACAAGAACCAAACGAGCAATTGTGTACGCTCTGGTCAACTTGTTTGGCAACTCTTCCAATATCTACGGCTCATACTTCTTTCCCACCTCGGACTCGCCCCAGTATAGGCCCGGAGGAATCATCTTGTCTTCCTTTGCAGCTGGCGGAATAGTGATGTCCTTGCTCCTCGCTGCCTATCTGCACTTCTTGAACGCCAAAGCACGAAAGGCAGAGGATCAAGATGGTCATATACGCTACAGGTACATTTGGTGATCGAATTCTGGTAATGATGTTGTTATGAATGATTTGTCTTGGCTTTTTGGATCGTTTCTCATAGCGTTGTATGGGTATCTAGTGTCACGCACAATCGAAAGATGATTGCTGGGCTTGGCTCATTTCACGATTATTCTAGTAGCCCAGAACATCTAGAACAATCAGCAACATCACATGAGAGTAATTGAATAAACTTACTACTTGGTAGACTATCTAGCTGCGGCCAGAAGTCAAGATTCAAATCTTCCCCAATCGCGAAATTATCAAACAGGGATTCGGTACCAGGGTCAAGTGTGAATGGCTCAGCTAGTCGGTTTTGTCGAGGCAGCACATTCGTAGTTGCATGGGATCCTGTGAGGTTTTCAATAGTAACAGCATCTGGTCTACTATGTTGGTGACCTAGCTGGCTTTGATGGAAATTCAAAGTATCCGCCTGGTGGCTGTTCACCCCAGCTTGATTCTCCGTTTCCTGTGGGTGACAGCAATTCAGGTTAAGGATAGATGGCCCCAGCCGAGCAAGTTCCCGCCGAAGGCCTTGTAGGATTGCGCCGTATTTCCAAGAAGGTGCATTCCGAGCCGTCGCATGAGCAAGGTGTTCCTGTGCTGTTTCCGAAAGCCGATATAAGGCGGATTCCTCTAGGGCGCAATCATACGTGCTACCCGGAGTCGAAACAATACGGTGAGTGGCTGGAGGTATGCTACCCCTTTGGACTTGGATGAGGTAAAGGTACATGATCGATAGAGCATTGAAGGCGATGTACTGAGAATACCAGAACGCGGGGAAGAACTGGTTTTCGCAGACGAAAGACAGGATCATTTCAATGGCATCCCGTGCGGCTGCCAGACACACATTTAGGTAATGCTGATAGCTGGACTCGTAGTCGGGCCACATGCCTCCGTAGTTTCGTAGCAATAGAGGCCGTGTAATAAACATAAGCGCATGATAGCGGGCTAATTGCAAGACCGTCAATTGCCGCCGGAACACAGGTATTAGTGTACTCGGTTGAATAGCGCCCGATAAAAATGGGGGCAAATTGCTCTGCCAGTCAACGACCAGTCCGCACAAGATTCGAATCGTATTGAGCTGTTCCCTGCTGGAGATTCCCGTCACGACATATGGGTCTTTGGCCGCCTGGGTGAGAATCCGAGCAAGCAGACTATGAAATATCGGAGCATCCATCAAGCAATCTCGCTTCGAAGTTCGTGAGTCGTGACTCATGAGATCCTGATCGTTGATCCGTGTCGGTAAATCCTCATCTATATCCTCATCTTGCCAGAGGCGAGGTCGGCCCAAGATAACACTCAAATATTTATCGAGTGTGTAAGAGCACCAGACCACCCGGCATCGGCATTCCCTGTGCACCTTATCTTCTTTCTCGGCTAGCCTCCGCGATCGTTTGCTGTGCATACCAAGCGCCATCATCAACTGGACTGTTGTTCCGAAGGTAAACCAAGCTTTGCGTGCTCTGGACGTGCATAAGAGGTACAAAACCATCAGGAAGCGAGCCTGGACGGAGGCTAGACTGGGCTCACCCGTCTCGCGCGAGAGCAAGTGGTCTGCTTGGGTATAATAGAGCTCGCTCGTTTCCCAGCCGTGTGCGTCTGCGTCCCTTATTAGACCGTCCTCGTCCGCCTGAAACATGTTTGCAGTGGTGAATATCATCAGCAGAATGGCCTGAGATGCCGAGTCAATTAAATCACTGCCAAGCGAGGACCCCAGTCCATCTCGTGGCTCGTGGCGATACAGACAATCAACTAGATCTTCGATTGTCGGCTGATGGAGTATTCGATAGGTCGGGGCTGCGAATTCGAAGTATCGAAAAACCAAACGATCGGCATTAGCCCGGCTGGGCCATCGAAAATCGGTCAACCGGACTTCAGGTACGATGCGGTCCCCGAAGGAGAAAATGGACACGGTTGACGACTGGGTCTGGTCACGATTGGGCGGCATCGACCTCGAGCTGCTAGTATCCAAGTCCTGCACCACCCTCCCCAGGAAAGAATGTGCCGAAGTGGGTCCCCAATATTGGCCTGCAACATGGGCGTCCCCTCTCCGATCCGGGCCATCGATTGGGTGTTCCTCGCTCCGCTCTGACAGGGAAGGTGTGGAAGCCACAGGACTTGAGGGACGATCCCAAATAGCTGGTGCGGTTCCCTGGGGAGTTATTGAAGCTGTGGAGGAGACATGGTCGTTGTAAGATGTGTCGTGGTCCTGCGTAGCATGTGATGGTCTCGCGTCGGATGGGGGAGGACTTGCAGCGACACCACGATTGTAAGCAGTGTCATAAGTGCATTCGAGATGTCGCCGTGAGCATGGCCCACAGGGGATGTTGCCCGTGCAGGCTTTCTTCTTTGCCTTGCAGCTATCACACGCGCGAGTCACCTTGCGCAGTTTCCGCGCGGGTGTCTCGTCCGGGGTCATTTCCGCCGCTCCTGCTCATCGGGGACTATGCGCCGATATTCTGGTGCGATGGAGTCCCGGCCAGGATTGGCATTCTCATTCATCCGCCAATATCCAAAAATCGATTAAAGGCAAGGACCGCCCTCTCTGTGACCGTTTCGATGTGCTCATTGCCGGTTGTTGACAGAGGGAAGTCGCCCACCGGCTTTCTCCGCCTTTGTGGTTGCAGCTGACCTGACCTCTTGAAAGTGGGTCCCGCGAGCCGAAAACGCTTATTAAGCAGGATTTGGTCACGTGACGTTCGCACCACCAAATTTTTTCTTTTCAATTCGCACGACCTCTTACACCACCTTACCTTCGTATTCAACCCACCTTCTTCGACCCCCCCCCTTCTTTCTTTCTTCAATAAAGCACATCATATGATCTTCCTCTTGATGCAACAATATATGAATATCCTTGCAAATGAGATTGAGGGTATTCAGGAAGATCATCAATATATTCAACCTTTAGTGTAGTAAGAGGCTTTGTTTTCGCATGAGTCAACGGAATTGGAATGTCATCTTCGGGTTCCTATAAGCACTTAGTAAGCGGTTACCAAGCGCCGGCAAGCTTGGGAGTTTTCCCTACTGTAGTCAAAGCATCCACATCGATTACTTCATTCAAGGGATCTGCAGTAGAATCCATAGTATGACTTGTAAGAAAGTACTTTGTAATCGCTTAAGAAGCGCTTGACGGACCGGAATAGGGAGTGGTGAAGAAATAAGAAAGAAAGTTGAATTTTTCATGGAAAGCGGATTACTGTAAGATATTTAAGGTCGCGCGAATCGTTCTGCTTATAAATCAAGCCTTGGCGGACCCACATTATGAAACGGCTCAAGCGAGCCTATCGATAAGCTCGCGTGAACTGTATCCACTCCGCCTTTTCCGCTTGCGATGACTGATTCGTGACTCAGCATATTCTTGGCAGTTTGTGCCTCAGGCTCCTAGAGTCATGAGCCATGCGAGATCACGTGTCCGCGCATATCGCATTGCGCAATGCTTTTGCCCTGAACTGATCCAATGTTGAATTATCTTAGGAAGAAAACACATATTCATAACGTGCTGTCTTGCGAAAAATGAGTTTTCAAATGTCGTAAGCGAAGATTATCGCTCAATTAGAACACTATATATTCTGCCTTCCTGGCGGGATGTAGCAGTCAAGTGAAGCATATCTGAAATCTAACTCGATCGCACTCCCACTCCATCCCAATGCATAAATCTAATAGAATACAGGAGAGCAAAGAGAAAACGATTGAATTAACTTTACACTGATATTGTTTTACTTGTTCTCGCACAGTCTGCCGAAGCTGCGGGCTGCTATGACGTGGGAACCTCCATCGGGTAAACATTAGCGCTGGGAAGCCTCGAGACGAGGCATCGGTGCCCTGATCCGAACACGATAAATAGATATTGCGAATCACCCAACAAATTACCTCGGTGTTGCGCTGAGCTCATTCAATCTATTGTTTTCAAAACCCACAAAATGTCCTGGAAGGCCACAAACACGCACCTTCGCATCCTCCACGATGCAGAGAAGCGACAATATGGCGTGATCGCTGCAATCGCCTACAATATCGAGCACATCCTCGGGCTCGTGAAAGCAGCTTCGCAAGCGCGATCGCCTCTGATTATTCAATTCTTTCCATGGGCAATCGATGTATCGGATGGCTTGCTGGTGCGCACTGCCGCTGACGCAGCCAAGCGCGCTGACGTGCCCATATCCATTCACTTGGACCATGCCCAGTCGGAAGATATCATACGAAGGGCGGTTGATCTCCCATTTGACAGCATCATGGTCGATATGTCTCATTATGAAAAGGAAGAGAATCTTCGAAAAACGGCCGAGTTGGTTGCGCTTTGTAACGAGAAGCACATCGCCACAGAGGCGGAACCAGGACGGATTGAGGGCGGAGAAGATGGAGTTATGGACACGGCAGGGTTAGAGTCCTGCATGACGACAGCCGAGGAAGTAGAAGAGTTTGTGGCGACGGGGGTAGATGCTCTGGCTCCTGTTTTTGGTAACGTTCATGGGGAGTACGGGCCTCTTGGGCCGAGGTTAGATTTTGAGAGGTATGCAAGCTAAATCGTTCCAGTCACTCATAGAATAGCAGCTCACCCTGGGACAACAGATTTCAAGAGATCAAAACGCGGACTGCTGAGAGAGTGCGGCTGGCATTACATGGGACGAATGGCTTCAAGCCGGAGTTGTTGCAGCGCTGCGTCAGAGCTGGAGTCGCCAAAATCAACGTCAATAAGCTTGTCCTGGATGACTACTATGACCATCTGCATGCAAGTACGGGCAAGATACCACATACTCAGTTGATTGAAGAAGGGATCGAAAAGGTGGCTCAATTAACACGCAAATGGATGGAAATTTGTGAATCAGCACGGAAGGCTTAGGATGTCATTTAGAGTGCCAGATCTTTTGCGGGTTGGGTTTAACTATTAGATAGGAACTTTAAAGCTATGGATTGGAGCAATTTAGCAGCTCCAGGGGACACAAAGATACTTCATCTCGAGGTAGGGCCTGAGCATGTGAGATTAATTAATCGGATGGACTTAACAACAGCAATGTGATATTGAGGACCACTTTGGATCTTTCTACTTTATCTCGCCAATGTAATAGCAGTGAGCAGCACCGAGAGAACTCCAAGCCACACAAATATTTGCTTTATGGCTTGATGTAAGGCGAGACTGATGTGTTTTTGATAGTCTTCCTTCGGATACGCCCTTGGCCACGGTTCCCGTGGTGCTGGGTGACCTAGGAATTGACAGAGCTCTTCCCAGCCATCTACTCCTAGGCGAAATTCTAATAGTTGCGACGGAGGGATAAAATCTTTAACTCGCTGGTTGTATCCAAGATACGCCTGTCGACAGGTCTCTCTATCGTAAGAGCCATCGCAGAGCACCTCCCATACCAATTTTAACTGTTGGTACAACGGTCCAATGCTGGCGGTATCCATATATTGCCAAAGCTGAAAGAACCGCATTCGAATGAACTTCAAGATTGTCGCATTCACGGAGTCCAACCATGAATCAGCATCCCGGGTAGTCAAGATAACCTTCGCGTCGGGATACGCGCGATGCAGGTCCTCCCAGAAAAGACAAGCAGGTACATCGAGACAAGCATCATATGAGCCTATCAGGCGATCGAACTCCTCACGTCCGTATCGGGGAATTTTACCAGCATCCATGAAATTACATTTCATGGCCTCTATCCAAAGGTTGAAGTCCCGAGGGGGGTTCTTGAAACTTTCAGATCCATGATAAGGGATGTAGCCAAGCTTGCTGAGGGCAATGCGCATGGCTTTGGAATTAAAGCACGTCAGATCCAGCGGTCATTACATAGAGCAGGTACGTACAATTTGTGCCAGTTCTGCAGAGACCGACTCCTAGTATCCGCATGGGTTTCACTCGCACATTCGGCTCTTTATCTATGAGACGAGACATGGTTTTACTAGCCAGAGAGAAGGTAGCGATTGAACAGGGGATGAGTGAAGGAAGAACAATTTGTATGGAGCTTAATAAGAACACGAGGGACAATCAGTTAACTGGCTGATCTTTTAAGCTGCGCAGACTCAAATCGTTTGGTTCACGGTGATTTTCTGAATCAACCTTTTCAGGAGTCTATTCGGGGAATATATGGGGTTGAACCCTGCTTAGCTCAGACACATCTAGTGTACCATAGGTCGAAGGACCGCCACCGAGTAAGCGTCTCGTCATACTTCAAGTGGCTCCGCGCGTATGTGTGCTGACTAGGCAATCGAAAACACGCAGAGTTGACATTGCGACAATAGCTTGTCAGCAAGACTGTTGTTAGAGTGTTCTTTCACGTGGGCATTTCTCAAGCCTCGACAACATTCCAACCATAACTCTTACGCCAACGCCGTTAGCGGCGGAAGCATCCCACGTAGTCCATGACAGCCCGATCTGTTTTCCTACTCTTATTGTCGATAAATGTCTTCACCGAGAGATGTGTAACGCAATCAAGCAAGGTTACAGAAAAGAGTAAGGAACCAATTACGAGCTAAGAAGGGTGGCTGGAGAATGCGGAGAAACTGGAAGCTTTCCCAATCATCCGGACCTTTCGGGCTTTGCGATTGGAAGGATTGCCATCTAGTTAGATGGCTTTAGCTGCCGTCGATTTTGTGTCTTCTTGTATTTTCGAGTCATGTATAGTAGTTCTGCCCATGCTTATATTCCTGCTACAATCGGATGAGGCGTTCGCATGGCTAGAAAAATTAGACTATCGAAACTTTGTAGTAAAATCGGCTGGGATGGCTGTCCATGATACGATTGGAACATGTTTAGATGATCTAGAAATTCAGGTGGAGCTCTTCCTAGATATGCACACATGGATACACGCAGGGCTGAAGGCGAATGCTTGGCAGATTGTATGACGTACTGAAAGGTACACCAAGAACCGTAGTCAGGCTAGAAGAGGTGGGATGAACACCGATTACTTGGCCTATCTACTGATTGGCAATTGATAACACCGAATGACGCTGCATATGAGGGTTTCTAGGAACTAAAACATAGGTCAGCTTCATAATGCGCAGGATTTGGCAAGGAAGCGGGGATAAGCTTAACTCCTCTCCGATACCGCACCTTATCACCTGACGACCGGCCCCACCTGACGAGCGTTTTCCGCCTCAGCGGCCATATAGAAATTGAAACCATACAACCACATACAATTCAAATTAGATAGAACTTTTTAAGCGGAGTAAAATAGATATAGAAATGAAGCTGTACAGGCCTTTTTTTAATCACGAAAGCGCTGTGGGAGACGGATTTGCCTACCTCTGCGATTAAGCGTTGGAGGTGCCTCATCAACGACCTCAACGCCTACAGGGGCGATATCAATCGATTTTTTCGCTTTTGAAGTGCTAGGGGGCCTATTCCTGCCTCGTTGAGCCGAATTGAAGTCCTTTTGAAGCTGTATATCAGCCTGCTTAGCGAGCTGATCATCCTGCTTTTTACGCGTCTTTTCCTCTGCTTCACGAAGCCGTATCTCCTTATTTAAAGCGCGAATTCGCTTATTCTCTTCAACTAAAAGCTTTTTTTCCTCTTTCTCCCGCTGCTTATGAAGCCTTTCCTCTTCTTTTGAAGCTTTAGCGAGCTGTATAGCTTTAGCTTTTTCTGTTTGAAGATCACGAGCTTGTTGGATCTTCTTAGGAGAGTAAAATACCGCGTAGCCATCCTTAGGAGCTTGTAATTCGAATAAAAGGGCTTTCCTCGCTGACGCTTCTTCTTCTCTTGAAGAAGCGCCTCTTCAAGGCCTTGGCAACGTAGTTTCAAGATAATATTCTCTGTAGAGAGAGCGTGCATCGTAGAATTCAGTTTTTTAGTCTTTTGATCGTATAAATCGGTGACAGCATTCTTAAGAAGCTTCTCAATCTTTCTCCAATCCTCTGCATCTAGTGCTGAGCGAGATGAGCCACTAGATGAAGGTCGACTATTATCATTTCGATTGAATTGTGATAAAACAATTTCAGGATTCAGAGGCCAAATACCGATCTGTTTCTATGAAGAATCGATATTTTTAGGCGATAAAGCCTTCTCCCATGACGGCCAAAAGAGATGGAAAAAGTCTTTTTTAGTGATATGACAAAGGCCTTGAGATTGAGCAAGGAATCGCTTTAATTCCGTATTGTATGCTGTAGAGAGAGGTCCGAAGATTCCAACGTCAAGCGGCTGCAGCGAATGCGTAGAATGAGGCGGATAGGTCATTAAAAGGATCTTATTCGCTTTGCAGTATTCGAAAAATTTCATATTGATGTGAAATCCGTGATTATCGAGAATAAGAAGTCTCCAACGTCTTCTTGTTTTCTTTTTTGTCTCACGATCAAATATATCTCGCAACCAAGCGTATTCTAGCTCATCATTTGTCCATCCGGAAGGTGAAGATGCAAAAAAGCAAATATGTAGATCAGGGTTAAAATCTTGAAGCCACGTATCTTGAAGCTTTGAAGAGACAGCTTGGTATATAAGCCCTGGGGATAGCGAGGTCCCATCTGCGCAAATACAGGCAATTGTAGTAATCCATTCGCGATTCTCATCTTGAAGTCGCTGCTTCAAGCCTTTTTCAAATGACTGCTTAGAGAAGATCCTCTTTGTCTTACTGAGCACTCCAAACATAAAGTCTTTCTCGTTCATATTGTAGATATCTTCCTGCCGAATGTCGTATTCTTGCATTTTGCGAGTCAAAAGTTCGAAATATAATGCGTATTTTCATGCTGAATCGGCCCTTTTTCGAGATGAATCAATTCCAGTAATATAGTGAGAAATAAGCTCATTGCTATATCGCTTCAAAAATCGGCCTGGCCACAGTTTTTCCGGTTGTTTTCCACTTATTTCATAAGCGAGATTTCGAAGCGTTTCAAATGAAATGTAAAGCCCTTTTTCGCTTAATCTATTGATATTAGAAATAAGCACTTTAGCTTGACGATCATTAAGAAGTTGTTGTTCTTCATATTGCTCATCTTTGGAATGCTGAATGCCGCGGAACCGTCTCGTTAAAGTTGTTCGATTAATATCATACTTTTTGGCAATAGAAGTAAAGTTAGGTTGTTCTTCAAGCTTCAGCGATTCTAGCTCTGCAATTGCCTCGTCAATTGGAGCCATATTGGTAGAGATATGGCTCTTTGAAGATGTTGAGAAAGTCGGTCAAACTCGAGATTTCGGTCGTCAGGTGGGGCCGCTCGTCAGGTGATAAGGTGCGGTAAGGAGGACTGCGATATCTTTCCCATGTAAGAATCAATCTAGCAAAGAGTGAAGGAGCTTAGCATGATTGGCATGGGTGTAAAAGAGCTTTTGCTGCGTCGGAGAACTAAAGTGCGGGGCCTCCTAAGAATTGATGCTCTGGATGAAAGTAGCTGGGGAGGAGATATTGTTGAGGAATTGGGGTTGGGTATGTCTTTATTCTGTTTCTGACTTCCACGGGACGCCAATACTGACTGACGATGCAACTTTGCAGCGCTGTCAATACGTGGACCCAAATGAGTAACACAAGCTCCTTCCTGAACCCCAGCGCCATCGGTGCCCTGGGCGACATATATGACCAAGGCATTCGCTCGGCAGGTGATTATCATATCTCGGTCGGGACTATTTCTGAACTCAAATTAACAAACGATTGAGGCTCTATGAGAATTGGGGCTGGGAACAAAAAATGGATAGCATGTCCGGTGTGACTTGGATATTCACTCCGACAATACAGATTCGCTTACCATGTATACCTGATGGCTTTTTATTGGCCACCATAGGATTTTGCATCAGTAGAACTGCGGCAATTGAGAGTGTAGATACGCCATACCTAACGTTTTCAACCACCGAGCCGCGCCTACCACCGAGCCGCGCCCTTTCCCTCAAAACTCCTACTTTCTTCATTTAACGCGTCTTTTCTTATCACCACAATTTAATATGCCTCTTTCTAAAAAATCGTGCATTCAGATGGCTATTTCAGTCTATCAGAAAGGCCAGATTAAATCAATTAAACGCGCTGTGGCCCTTTTCACTGTTTCTGAAAATATCCTACGCGATCGGCTTTATGAAGTTAAATCACAATTGGAAACACGCGTCAATAGCTATAAACTGACTGAATTTGAAGAGCAATTGCTTTTAAAGCGATTACTAAATGCAGATACATGAGGATTTCCAATTTGACCCGAATTTCTGCATAAAATAATCCAAGTACTGCTTTGCAATCGATTAAAAGACTCTACTGCAGTTATCGGAATTAACTGATCCTATAAATTCGTTAAACGTCATTTTGAGTTTCGTACGCAATATAATAAACGCATTATTTATCAATGTGCAAAACAGAAAGATTCAAAGGTTATAGACCTATGGTTTGAGATTGTATGAACGATTATTCAAAAACACAACATACATGAAAACGACATCTGGAATTTCAACAAAACTGACTTTGCAATGAAAGTCTGCTTTATTTCAAAAGTGATTATTGCAATTGAACGAAGCGAACGATCGTATAGAATCATTTAAAATAATCGTGAATGAATTACAATCATCGAAACAATCGGGTCAAAAAACGTACATTTATTGTTAGTCATTATATTGAAAACAAGCGTTCAACAGGCTGTCTGATTCCAAAAATCTAAACTGTTTCGCGACTGGTGAATTTTTATTAGTCAGAATGACTAAACAATTGATGAAATAACGTATTTCACAAGCGAACGTGACACACAAACGAACGTGACACCGCCAGCCAATTCCTGCCTATAGGGTAGATACTATAGCCTTTATCAACCAAACAATCAGATTTCTATCTAAAAATTAATTGGGAACTCGATTAGGACATTGCAATCGCTTATGTCCTAGATTATGACAATCGCTGCAGCGCGGTGGCGCTCGTACGCGCGGCTCAACTGCAGAAAGCGCTGGATCTATGGGAAGCGTATTTTGACCTTCATCAACTTCATTCTCGCGCTGAAATCGCTTTAGGCCTTCTCGAAGTGATGAACCCTTTTCTATAGCTAGCTGTCTAGTAGACTTGCTCCGTCTTTCGCTTTCTCATTCATTATTAGCACGATGTTTGCGTATTTCTTCCTTTGCAAGAAGAAGCTCA